ATGTCCTTATGGCACGGCAGGATTTTAAATATATCCTTAGCATCTGGTACAATATGAAAGCTCTAAACTAACAGTGTTACTTTAATGCCGGGGTTATCCTAAACAGATGATCTGGCATCGTGAAGTGACATCCTGGGCCTTGTGTACAGCATTATCTTCTTTTGCTTCCAAATCATGCTTCCCAAAGAATCTATTTTAAGGGCCAGAAATGCTACATGCATGCTTCAGCCTGTATTTATGCATTGACACAAATGACTGCAGATTTCACTTCTGTTCCCGATAGAAGAAGAAGAGTTTGGATTTGATACCCCACTTTATCACTACTCGAAGGAGTCTCAAAGCGGCTAACATTCTCCTTTCCCTTCCTCCCCCACAGCAAACACTCTGTGAGGTGAGTGGGGCTGAGGGACTTCAGAGAAGTGTGACTGGCCCAAGGTCACCCAGCAGCTGCATGTGGAGGAGCGGGGAAGCGAACCTGGTTCACCAGATTACGAGTCCACCGCTCTTAACCACTACACCACACTGGCTCTCTTAATTCTTTACTTCTTTATTCTTAACTAATTTGCAGGGGCTTTGGCTAGATGACCCTTAGAGTCCCTTCCAAACCTATAATTCTATGCTTCCCTTGCCTCTGTCAGTACTTTCCCCTTTTTAAGAGAGAGTGTAGAGTAGCCCAGCTGGTCAAGGTTCCACAGTTGGTACAGGAACAGAGGAAGTTACCTTCAATGGTGGACAATGGTACTATGGTGCCCTATGCAAGGCCAAAATTTAACGCCCCTCCAAGTCCTTGTGCTGCCTTCCCAAAGGCGGGTAAGCAAGGCGCTAGGCTCTGGGAAGGAGGCATGAGGCTCTGGGCAGGGTCCTAGGGTCCTCCCACCTCCTTGCTCACACTGGGAAAGTGCTAACTAGGCTTTGGGAAGGAGGCTGGAAGTCTCTGGGACCCTGTCAGAGCTTCATGCCTCCTTCCCAAAGCCCAGCACCTCGCTTACTGGGCTTTGAGACAGCCACCCTCAGCTTAGTGCCATGTGCACCCCTCACACAGCTATAAATCTGCCCCTGCCACCTTAGACCAAGTCAAACTGCTGGTCGGTCTAGATCAGAATTGTCAACAGTGGCTAGCAAAAGCTCCCTGGGTTTTCTAATCGGAGTTATTCCCACCTATTCACCCCACGCCCAGTATTGAACCTGGGACATATTGAATGTGCATTACCACAGAGCTATAGTGCTGTATTTATTCACAAGTTTTTAGCTTGTGAAATAATGTTATGCCATTTTGTGCATATCAAGAGCATTCTCCTCAATTAATCTGATCCAAATCTCCAAGCCAAGTTGAGGAAAGAAAGTTCTGCTGCATACTGACTGGGCTTAATGAGACTGCTTCTGGAAAAATAGACTTAAGTATCTCCTTAATTCAGTCAGTATGTATTCAAAGAGCTTTGATCAACCCCAGGGGGAGCTAGCCTGTGAAAAGAACAAAGAGTCTTAAGAGATGGAAAGGGAACTGAAAGAAGAAAAGAAAATCTCTCTCTCCCCAAGGGTTTATACTTCTGCCTCCACCTCATTTAAAAATCTAGGAGCCACTTTCTTACAAGTACATCCCAGTCTATGAATATACTTTTCAAAATAAATAATTTTGTGATCTTTGACAGGACCAACCAAGAAATACTTCAATCAAATTATATGTTTTCCTAAGTTAAAAGTTAGCACACTAAAATTGCAATGCAGTGCCATATTTTTTTTCAAGTTATTTGCAATATTTTAAAAAGTGTACTGCTGTTTTGTGAGTTTCGGAAGCGTAGTTTTCAATTAATTTGAATAACTTTAAAGAGACCAGAGAACAATCCACACACATCGCACAAATCATCTTTTCCAGTCCTCAAACCCAGGCTACACATCACTTACAAACAAACAAACACACAAAGTAAAAGCCCAACTACTCATTGAAATATGAAAGCCTAGCCTAGTTCTGATGGGAGCAATAAAGTTTGGAGAGCTGGTGGAAACCCTAAATGGCTCAAGACTAGGATATCCAAAAGGCCATCTTCTCCCACAGAAATCTGCCTGTAAATTGATATCATTTTAAAGGCCATCTTATAAACCTTAACAAAAAAATATTTGGTTGGTGGGAACATGAGACAGGGCCTTTTTTTCGGTAGCACCCTGGTTGTGGAATTTGTTCTCAAAGAAGGTGAGATTAGCATGATCTCTGACTGTCATTTAGGTGGGCACTGAAAACATTATTGCTCCACATAGGTTTTAATTTAGGATTGAGGCTTTGTTTCTTTTGATTCTCAGGTTTTAGTTTTAATTTCTGTTATTTATTATGTTTTAGATGCATATATACAGAGAGAGCTTTGGGAGTCCTCATTAGTACTAATAAGCAGTCCAAAAAATTTTCATAAATAACTATCTGAGTTATTATAATCTATATGGCTGCATAGAGAAACCAGTACACACAAAGATATACACAGAATAAATGGTAGGAAAAGGGACTGTTAACCTCTGCATACCTCTTATAAGCATGAATCACTACATATGGCAGCATAGCTAGCATGTGGCCTTTTCTGTTGGGAAAGAAGTAGCTAATTACCGCCGTATGGTGAAGTTACTCACTGTATATTTAACAGTGGAACCTCCAATAGCAGTGAAGCTGTTGGGCTGGTCATGCATTCACCTTTACAGCAGACAGGGCTCTATTTGAAGGACTATATAGTCTGCCTTAAAGATAAAAAGGGAGAGCCCAGGACTTAAGAATGTCCATAAATAGTTAGCACGTGGTGACAGGTCACAATTTCCCCCACTATGGCAAGGGGTTGCACAACTTCTCTTTCTCTCTGTTGTGATAGCTGAACAGCTGCCATCTTATTAATTGTGTGCAATTTTTGGTGGCTCAGTTTGACCACCAAAACCCTCTGCTCTGTAGCTATATATGAATGAATCAATTTATTTCGGTCACTGACCAGAACGAAAGCTATATATAATACTAAAATAATGCTTTTAGCCTGAATCCTCTTAATTCAAATTATATGTTGGGAAATACCTTTCCCGTTATAAATTCAATCTGGAATGTTTTCTGAAGAACGAGGCAATTTCAGCTGATGCTGATATGAACTTTTATCTGAACAAGGATTGCAAGTGAGGACACGTCATACTCCTGTTATGAGAAAATGCCGCTCTATTCACAACTAATTGTTACACTGCCATGGCTTCCGGCAAATGATATTGTTTACCACTTCCTTTTAACATGATAACCCATTAGGTTCAGCAATAGCACACAAAGACTGGTGTGCTGGTTTCGCAACATTTAAAACAGTAGTATTTAAACCAGGGGAATCTTATCTGAGGAGTGAAAATGCACAACATTATCCTCATACTTCATGTATTAGAAAGCAGTTCATTCATCATTCATGTTTTTCTGCTTTAAAGCTTCTTGCTACCCCCGCTGCAAATGATTCAGAACCAAATATGGGCATAGTCAGGTTTCCTCTTCTTAATCAGGACCTGCAATCCAGCTAATACTTCACATGTGTATGAAGTTTAAAGTTAGGAAGGGGGCTGAAAATAATGTGAATGTTATTTACGAGGCTGCTTGAAAAGAACTTTTCCAGTTGGTCTGATTCTGAACCATAAATATTTCTATAAGGGTTTTGTTAAACATATGCAGATCCATCTAGTCTTGCGCTGTCTATTCCGTGTGACAGTGGCTTTCTCGAGTCTCAGGCATTTCCCACCTAGCTGAGCTCCTGGGGATTGCTCATGGGAACTGACACATGCAAAACATGCGGTATACCACTGAGCTCTGCCAGCTGTTTCTTGGTATCACTAGTAGCATTTGCAAGAAAGTGTTCCATCTGCATTGTACACGTAAAGCAGTATGATACCACTTTGAGCAGCCACGGCTTCCCCCAAGACTCCTGGAAGACTTAGTTTGTTAGGGGTTGCAGGGGGTTGCTACGGTCGGGCAAAATACAGGACAGGTTGGGGTGGAATTGGGGGGGCTAAAAAGTACTTTACCTGCTGCAGAAATGACTTCAAGGCACTCCATTACAATAGCCCATGGGGGTTACAGTAGTTTATTCAATAATAAAAAAACAGGCCCATGCAAGACCCGTTCCTCGCTCTCTGACTTGAGTGTCCGTCTCTGACCCACGCACCTCTCCCTGCGCAAAAACTCTCCCCCCCCCCATGCATCCAAAAAGCTCTTGCATGGTTGAATCCTTGTTCTGCAATTTTTCTCCTGCTACGGTATTTTGCACTGGAAAGAGACTTCTTCGTCCTGGAAGGTTTCCACATGTCGATTTGTATGTAGAATGTTAGAACTGTCGTTCACAAGGGTTCCTCCTGAAATGTTTTTGCATTTAATACGTAACAAGTTCTGGAGCTCCAGCCTATCCCGCCCGTTAGGCGGAGCACTTTAAACCGCAGCTTACTTGTTTTGCTTTCACACCAACACCCGGTTTCTTTTCGGGAATGGTGAAACTTAGCTTCTCGGCATTCAACATGGCGAAAAAGGGGAAGATCGGGGAGCTTAAAGATGCGCCTGCAAGCGCCACTCAGGGAAACACTCCCGGTGCAATTTAAACGCTAACGGGGCACCCGCGCGCGTCCCCCCCCTCCCGCCACTGCCCAGCAAAAGCAAGAGGCGATTCCACCCCGCAAAACCGACGCGCGACCTGGATCCGCATTCAAGATGCAGATAGCGGAAGAAGGGGAGGACTAGAGGTGTCTACTACGGGCTACTCCGAGCGCATGCAATCATAAGCGGTCCCTGGAGAGGATGCGATCCATTGACTTTCGGTTTGGCCATTCACCGCCCCAGTTCCAGACCTTCCGGCGGCGTTTCGGGCCAACCCGCGCGAACGCGCCCAGCCAGCCAGCCATTGCCGCCGGCGCTGCGCGAGGGGCCGCCCGCTGTTGCGCAAGGGGCGCATCTCCCTTTCCCCGCGCGTCTCGGGGGAGGCGCCGGCTCCGCACTTTGCAGGGCAGGCGCTTCCCCGAGCGACACTCGGCGCGTCCAATAGGCAGCGGCGCCTCCGCCTAGTTTGGGAGATTCCCCGCGAGGGGCGGGCCCGGGGCAAAAGCGAAAGGCGCTGGGGGAGCCCCGGGTCCCTGCAGGGGCTGCTTCTGGAGGCTGCTCCCGGGAGGCTTTTGCGGGGCTGCTGCTCCCGGGCTCCCCCTGGGCAGGGGGCAGAGGCAGGAGGGGCGATGCTGCTCCAGCGGAGCGCCCACTTTGATCCTCAGAGAGATGTGGGGCCCTGGCTTTCCGAGCAAGCGGCGCTGCGGGGAGACGCTGAGGCTGGTGAGGGTTGCTGCTGCTGCTGCTATTCTTATTCTTATTTTTCTTCTTCTTCCTGGACGGTGGAGTCGCGCATGCCTGTCCTTGTTGCCCGCTCAAAAAAACAACCCCTCACGACCTGTTAAATGTGTTCTCGAGCCAAACTACAATTTTTGGGGGGAATTGGGGCGGCGGGACTCAGCTGCTGGCTCGCCTTGTTCCCAGTGGCGTAGCGTGGGTTGTCAGCACCCGGGGCAAGGCAAGTAATTTGCGCCCCCTAACCCGTGGATTTGCGCCCCCTAACCCGTGGATTTGCGCCCCCTAATCCGTGGATTTGCGCCCCCTAATCTGTGGATTTGCGCCCCCTAACCCTAACCCCCAGATGTTGTGCCCGGTGCGGCCGGCCCCCCCTGCACCCCCCACGCTACGCCACTGCTTGTTCCGCTCCGGTTTCGTACTTGGGAAACTTAGAAGCAGTTTTCCCAGCGCAGGGAAGCCCCGGCCAGGTGACAAACGTATCTCGACCTCAGCTCAGTGACCAAAGTTGCTCAGACAGGTGAGCTGAGTACCTGTGAGTACAGCGGCAAAGTCGAGAGGGCAGGTTCCCCTCATGACCGTCGCAGCCTCTCCCCACCCTCACGGCGCTGCCCTCTTCTAAGAGAACCAGAAATAATCTTTAAAACGTCTGGCTGCGTACCCTTAAAGCACGTTCATACTTTCCCCTTCTCTGCTGCTCAGAGAATTCTGGGCACTGTAGTTTACCCCCTACACAGAACTACTGTAACCAAGAAGGCATAAACTACAGTTCCCAGAATTCTTCGAGGGAAAGAATGGGCTTCAGGTGTGCTTTGAAGGTATAGCATGAATACAGCCTTCCTCTGCTTACATTAGAAGAGGATGCTTAAAACGGACGTTTAAACCGGCTGTAAAACACCAATCGTCAGTCTTGATCAAAAACAGTGATAAGCTGATCCCAGAGGAGACAATAATTCCGTCTAATAAAATCCGAAGGTCACTGTAAGTAAAACTGGACTATTGCTTTTTAAAGCGAATGCATTATTTAGGGGTGCTGTTTTGTATATGATTCTGTGAATGATGTTGTCTACCAAACGCCAGCCTCCTTTCAAAACACAGAATATCACCCATATAGGAAGACAGACAAGTTTATGTATTATGCACAATCTACTGTATTACTAGCAGCACATTATTTTCTGACCAATAATGTATTGGCTCTTCCCTAAAATAACAGTGACGATCCTAATCACAAGCGGACTGCTATTGTATCACTTTGTCTGACGTATAACATAAAGAAGCAGGCAGCCTGCGTGTCAAACTAGACATGATAAAGGAGATGTGTGATTATATCTATGGTCTCATTAAACCTATCATAAATAACAGCTGCTTGGGTGGTGGATGAGAAGTGGAATCCATTCTTAGGACGGGAGGGTTGTATCCAGCTTATCTTGTACTCAGAGTAGATTCATCAGTGGACTTAATTGAAGCTATTCAGTGTTTCAAAACAAAAGTCCCAGAGAGACAAAATATGGGGTACTTCCAGCCAGGAGGAAATTTGGTCATTAGAAACGCAGAGATGGTGTAGATCATGTGATTGTGTTGGAGAAGCACTAATGGTCATGTCAACACCAGAGAAGTTGAGAAATGTGCTGTTTTTTAAACTGCAAATAATTTTGTTTTGCAAATAATAATAATAATTTTATTACTTATACACTGCCTATCTGGTTGGGTTTCCCCAGCCACTCTGGGGAAGCTGCAGTACAGTGAAGAACAATTGCAAAACAAGAAGTTACAGAGCCCATGTGTCATTATTACAGCATATGACTGGAGAAGTGATAACCATTGAAATCAGATAAACAAGAACTAAAGCAGCTATCTGATATAAACCCTCAAAAACCCAGTGTGGGTAGTTGGAGGTCATGAACTCTCAAGAGAAGCATTTATGAAAGTTAGGAGCAGAAACCATACTGTATCAAATGGATTAGGTGTACTTTGACCCCTCAAACATATCTGTGTATTGAATGCAGAGTTTTGCAAAATTTTGGAACGTGAGTGTGGACAAAAGGGACAGGCTTCGAAATGGAACCAGGTTGCTGCCATTTAATAGCAAACTGGTTGTAGAGCAGTTTTTAATCTGAGCCATGGGAAAAAGGTTATAGGAGCAATGGAGCACCCAATTTGGGAGGAATTGTCCACAAGAGGTGAGGGTGATAGTGTTTCTGATTCCCAGATATCAGTGGGATAGTATAAGGCTACTGAACTAGGTGTTCAATAGGGCACAATATCCAGTCAAAGAGACCAGAGGGCTGTATGGGAAAACACACATGCTATAGACATTTGGAGATTTAGGTCTGGATAAGCCAATTCTAGGAAGTTACTGAGCCAATATGGGAAATCCACAAGGCTTGGCTTTGTTGTTGTTGTTTAGTCGTGTCCGACTCTTCATGACCCCATGGACCAGAGCACGCCAGGCACTCCTGTCTTCCACTGCCTCCCGCAGTTTGGTCAAACTCACTTCGAGAACACTGTCCAACCATCTCGTCCTCTGTCGTCCCCTTCTCCTTGTGCCCTCCATCTTTCCCAACATCAGGGTCTTTTCCAGGGAGTCTTCTCTTCTCATGAGGTGGCCAAAGTATTGGAGCCTCAGCTTCACGATCTGTCCTTCCAGTGAGCACTCAGGGCTGATTTCCTTAAGAATGGATAGGTTTGTTCTTCTTGAGGTCCATGGGACTCTCAAGAGTCTCCTCCAGCACCAGGCTTGGCTTTAAAGGTGAGCAAAGATACTTTAGGGAGTATTCTAGTGGAATGCAGAGAACCAGTGGGATATAGTTGTATCTGTAAAAAAACCTCTAAAAGGAGGACAGGAAAGGGCATATGGTAATGGTGGGGTGTATCTCAGAGGGAATAAACTAGAAATCTCAGATGAAACAGACTCCCCTCCCCTGAAGCAAAATGCTCAGGGTGATCTTGAAATGGAGACCAAGTTATGTCAGGTCATGGTTTGCTTATATACAGCCTAGGACCTTGGTGGTAACTTAGACCCAAAGGCCCTCAAAGCAGTGAGCAGCATAATCATGTTAAGAAATATAAATTAAAAGTGCACTAAATACAGGAAATCAATCATCAAAACAAAACACCTGATAGCGGCCTACCCATAATAGGGGTTGATGGTTGAGGAATATGATCCCTAGTGGTAATTGGCTAGTATTGTAGTAATAGATGGCTTCAGTTACCCTAACACAGACAGTGTGAATGTGTCTGCAAGTTATGGCAAAGAGGTAAAAATTAAAGATAACTTCAGCAACTGTGTCTTGGAATGGTTAGCCATGGAACTTGCCAGAGGAGAGTTGACACTGGACTTAATTTTCCATTTGCGGTTAAACCATAGAATGTTGCCCCAACATGTGGCAATGGATTCCAGTTAGGTGATTTTCAAAGTTGGGTTAGATCAGTGAATCTCAATTTATCTGATGCAATAGAGCTGGAATCCTCCCACCATATTTGCAGGAGGGACCAGAACCATATTTGGACCTTGAAGCATCCCATCCAACCTGGGCTGTAGTGGAGTCACCAGGAACCATCAGCCAACAGTTTGTGGACTGGCACCAGTCTGTGCACCACCACTTTGAAAGGCACTGAATTAGATGACTGTCATCTGCTTACTTGAAAAGTGAGTTCCAGTGGTGTTTCCTCTTAGGAAACACTGCATAGGATTGTAATCAACACTATTTAAGAAGGAGCAGTGCAATAAAGAACCCCAGTCATTTTCCAGGAGGGGTGTATTTCAGAACATTTGCTCCTGAGTCAAGCATTTTTAATGAATTATTGCCACAATATATAAATACCTGGAAATTCCTGTTGTCCTTGCTGTGTTTTTGATTCTTCAAAAAATTATTAAGACACCCGTTGTGGAATTCCTTCCCAAAATAGGTGACATTAACCACATCCCTGGTAGTGTTTAGATGGGCTGTGAAAACATTCCATGTGGTTTAATAGTTTACTTGATGGTATTTTATTCTTTTTTGTAAACTGCGTTGAGGGCTCTTGCTGGGGCCAAAAAATAGCACATATATATATATATATATATATATATATATGTATGAAGACAATTAAGCAGACTCTGTGACTATTAAGAAAGTCCTCTGTCTTCTCTGATTATTTCTTCAATATGTATCTCCAAAAGTAGTATCTGGATATGTAATTCTACAAATGGTTCTGGCAACATTATTGATCTTATTCTGACAAGCAGCTTAATACAAACTTTAATTTTTAGAGTGAAACCCGCTGTGTAAGGTGACTTTTTTGTGTTTGTAAAAAGAAAAGTGTGATGGTTTCCTTTAATTTGCTTAGTCCTGGCAAGCATAAAACTTGTTTAGTAAGTATTTCTGGTTGAAATCAATGATACTTAAAAGTACTTAACCTTTGGCTGGATCCTCCCCAAAGTTACTGTAAAGAGTTGCATAATCCGTGTGACTGCCAGGAATGGCATATCAAATTGGAGTGCAATATCAGATACAGCCTGAAAGCTCTGGAAGTGTAGAGTTTATTTTTCTTTTTAATTTAAACTTCCTTGAAATATGGAGAACGCTCAAACCGAAGCATGAGAGAGCAGGAAATCCTTCTGCAGATTCAGCTTCCTACTAACTGTCTATCATGTGCACCAGTTTTCCTTTGGTGTGTCACAACTTATCTTGCTTCCATTTTTCTCCTGTCAAAAATGTGGCAAGAGAACATTTATAGCACCTCTCTCTCTTGACTTCAAACTCTAAATGTGTAACAAGGAAATGCTAATTAAACTACAGTGGTACCTCGGGTTAAGTACTTAATTCGTTCCGGAGGTCCGTACTTAACCTGAAACTGTTCTTCACCTGAAGCACCACTTTAGCTAATGGGGCCTCCTGCTGCCACTGCGCCGCCGGAGCACGATTTCTGTTCTCATCCTGAAGCAAAGTTCTTAACCTGAAGCACTATTTCTGGGTTAGAGGAATCTGTAACCTGGAGTGTATGTAACCCGAGGTACCACTGTAGAAGGATTGTTCAGGTTGCAGGTTATAGCATTTTGCAAGAGTTATTACTCTGGGTAAGGCAAAACAATAAATTAGGGCTGTCACTCAGTTAAAAAAATAATAATCTTAGGCTGCAATCCTGTGCATGCTTCCTTGGGAGTAAGCTCCCTTGATCTCAGTGGGGCTTGTGTTTGAGTAGACATGCACTATGAATTGATAATCACCAGTAACTTAGCAAATTAGTCCAGCAAATAAATTTGCTTCTGGATTAAAGCAGAAGTAAGAAGCACACTTGCATTGTAGTTCATTCATGCTCATGCCATGGGAGACGTCTTAGAGTCTGCATGCTATGAGAAGGAGGTGAGGACCACTCCTTTAAAAACTGCCATCAGTAATCTTTAGAAGTATGAAACGATTTCTTTTAATTTTTTAAAAATCTACCCCGTCAAAGAGGGGCACCTTTTTAAATGATTAATGTCAATTGGTTAAATGTTTCAGCCCTCAAAAAATTGTGGCGGATTTTGGCACAGTGGATTTTAAATTTACTATTATTATTGGTTAGTTATAAAGCGTTTCATATTTGTGGGTTGACCTGTGCTAAGGGTTTGGGACAGAGAATGCTTATATTTCCCTCCTGACTACAAGGGCCAGCCCAAGCCATTTATCAGCCTGAGGGAGAGCAGCAAATGGTGACTGCTGCTCTTGTGCTGGCAGCAATCCCAACTCACTCAGATTCTGTGTTCCAATTGAGGATGGGCAAATCTGTCCATATCAGTTCCTCTTAGTTTCTAATTTTCCCACTCTTAAGTTCAGTTCTCTACATTTCCACAACATTTTCATATTTACAAAACAGTCCTTGTGAAAAATCTTCAGCGTTGTAGTGTTTATTATTATTACTATTATTACTACTACTACTATATAGGGAGCTCCCCATTCGAGTCATGCGTGACTGCTGACACACATGCCGCTTTGGGCATTGGAAAGGGACAAAGTGGGGGCGGAACAGGGCAGGGTGGGCTAATGGGCGTCCCACCATTGCGTGTGGTGCCTTGGAAAGCAACCCTTGAGTAAATGGGGAGTTGCCTGTATGCTCCTCAGCTTCTTGAGATAAGTTCATGTGATTGTCAAAGTTCCTTCTTATAGATGAAATCAAATCTCCCATTCCACTCTCCCACCAGTTAACAATATCCACGGGACACTGTGGCTTGTATTACATTAGAAGACTAGAATTCTAAACAATTTCCCCATTCATGCTGAAAGAGCTGCACTCCTAATAAGGCCACTAAGCAATAGTTTAAAACTACTAATTATTCCTATAACATTACATGACATTATTGTCCTAATGACGTTTGTTTGTTTCTTTGTCAGTCTTTTTAAAAAAATATAATTGAGCTTAAACTGGCCTGAAGCATCTTACGGTTGTTATTTCAGATATTTTGGGGAGTAACTTGGAGACACTCCGCACAGTTAATGTTGAAAGAAATGGAAATATTATTTATACCTGGAAGGTAAGTAAAGAAAGAGAGATAAGACTTAAGAAATGGTCTACATGATGCTATGTCTGCTTTACTGGAAGTAACACTGACTACAAATGGGCATTGCACTCAAGTAAGACTTGGTGTGTTATATAGCAAATAATAAGTGTGTCCATCCCTTCATTTAATTTAAACTTTAATTTTGCTCTGAAATTAGAGATCTTATCATTACAAAACTGATTAATTTGCAATGCTGACTTCATATCCCACTTCGTTCATAATCAGTGGAGTGCTTCTATTTAGCACATTTTGGACTGCAGGGCTACATACACTTACCTGGGAACCAGTAGGATTTAATTTGAACAAACGTACATAGCTGTCCTCCTATCTTGCCTTTCACCACCAAGATGCTCCCGGAAGTGCACCACTGTGCTTATCAGACCCTTCCATTGGGACAACCGATTATCTGTAATCCCTCCTAAAATACAGTCCTATTTATTTAACAATTTGTACAGCTCTCTTTCCTTGTTTGCTATCAGCTGCTCCTCAGAACGGTTGGAGCAGCAGGAGTCAGCAACCCTTTTCAGCTGTGGGCCAGTCCACCGTCCCTCAGACCATGTGGTGGGCCAGACTATATTTTTTGGGGGGGGGGAATGAATGAATTCCTATGCCCCACAAATAACCCAGAGATGCACTTTAAATTAAAGCACACATTCTGCTCATGTAAAAACGCGCTGATTCCTGGCCCGTCCGCGGGCCGGATTGAGAAGGCGATTGGGCTGCATCCGGCCCCCAGGCCTTGGTTTGTCTCTAGTATCAAATGCCTCTGAGCTTCAGAAGAGTGGGCAGGGTTGCATTCCCTCCGTCCAACAGTGGACAACTTTTGCAAACTGTGGCAGCTGAAGTAGTTTCATTTCTGAACAAAGACTGGTCTTACCCAAATTTTCCTGGAACTCTCCCACCACTGACTGACTGCTCATGGTCATTGGGTCATGCAAATATGTTTTCCAGCAACTGCTGTCTTCTTAACTGGCGAAACTGGTTGAAGCTGGTACTTTTAGACATGCAAAAATGTTTTTCGCCACTTTGCTCTGGCTTTTTCCGCAGAGCACTGATCAGGTGCTTCATCACTGAGCTGTGACGCTTCCCCTATTGTGCCCAGACTTTAAAGCATGAGATCGTTGTTGTTTTTCCACAGACCTCTGATCTGGTGATACAGATTGGATGTGCCAGTTAGTTACATGGTGGCAGTGCACAGCCCATGCTGGATCCTCCAATAGTCTGTTCAGCTGCTTTTAATTTAATTGTTCCTGTTCTGTTAACAGTGGCCTGATACATAGCAATCAAACATCTGTTTATCTCCATACCAGTACAAACACCACATGCTCAATTTCTTTCTGTTGAGCTGCTGTTAAAGACACAGAAATGGGGTCAGTCAAAGGTGGCAGCCGTCAGGCGGATGGTCACACTGCATAGCATAATTAAGAGGAAGTAAAACTACTAGGTGCAAAGATGAGATGATTTAAAATGGGTTTCCAAATTTCCCAACATGTTTTGATGAGTGCTTTTCCTTAGGAGAAAAAAACCAAATCTATAAGTTCATTCAAAATTGTATTCACAAGGCATTAGAATACAGACTTATGTGCCTTTTCTCTTTCTCCTTACCATGAAAGGGAAAAGGGAGGATATATTTAGTTGAGGAAACTGAGAGAGAAGGTATGACAGAAGTAGGATTGTCTATGTGTGTGTCTGCTCTCTCGTTCTATCCTGGCCTGCTTTCTGAGTCTCATAGCAGCTCAGCATCAAGAAGTTAAGTAGGTGAAGGATTATCATCATCACTTTTATCTTAGAGATGGGCAACCTGTGGCCCTAGGACCACACACAGGTCTTGGTCTAATATCACCTCCCTGCTCCCTGTAGGTGATCAGTTCAGGCTTTCGGCGAGAGCAACAGATTCCTCTCCCTGGCTGTCTGCTGGGCAGGAAGGAAGAATGGAAAGGAAGAGAACAAGGACTCCTGGCTGTGGCCTTTCTGATTTCTGGCTTCTGCCACGTTTAGCACTGATCCATGGTCCCTGACATTACCCACAAGGAGAAAAGCTTCACCTCCCTTCATGACAGGGGAAAATGTAATCATATATTTTGGGCTCTTAAAGATAAGGGACCAGAGCTGGTGAAATTGGACAATTGAAGATAAATGGTTATATTATTACAGGTGACACTGAATGTTTTTAAAATGTTCTGTTCTCATGGCTGAATCACTTCCCTTGCAGGGGAATCAGGCGCACACCTGTATTGGATTGTATGAGCCCAGTAGTCAAAAGAACCAGGTAAGCTTCATCCACCATATAGAATAGGGAGTGTTATAGAGCTTGGCTGTTTCCAAAATGAAGGCTTTTACAATTGCTACAATAAAACCAACAAGCATGTAAAATCTATAACAGATATATACACACGCATATATACAAATGTTTATAAAATTATGAATATTGACATATCATTATAAAGCAGCAGTACTGACTTCTCCAGAATCCTCATAGAAGAAAAAGGGTTTGGCCAAGATCATGACGCTAGAGGGAAGAAGCTTGGCAGATCTTCTAGATGGGGTAGGATTTAAAGATGCAATGCAGCCTTCGGGTAAATCATTCTGTTATTAGACCTTCAGAATGAACCTCCTTAGGGGCTGATTTGCCTGAGGATCTTAATTGGCACAGTGAGGGTCACATGGCAGAAGTAATTCTCCTTATGAATTGGGGCTTGGGTTTGAATCAGTTTTGGCAGGAAACATGCAGTGAGTGGCAAATGTTCTGGTCTTACATGTTACCTGGCTTTCTTCAATGTATATGAATGGCTTCATTCTGTGACACCTACAATTTTTATAACCACCCTCGGGTGCAGGTCCATGCAGGCAGTATTGCAAGTCAGGGTATGAGATATTCGGAGATACCTTTTCTCCAAAAGGGACTCAGTTCCCATCACAGATGTAATTGAGAAAGGTCTCCCTGGGCATTGCTGCCACCCAGGAGCCAAGGCAGGTCCAGCAAAACCATCATATCATAAACCAGTATAATCAGGGAGAGAATGTGTAGCTGAAGTCATATCCCTAAAACTGCTCATAATCTCCTGTACCTCCATGTGACTCCTTCTTGGATTGAACCATCATCCTGTTACCATATCTAGACACAGTGATTCACAGTCAAGATAAGATCCAGCATTAGAGGGAAAGCTGTCAGAAATTGGCATCTATTATAACTATGAGAACTTTCAGAATAAATAACTTGAACAAAACATGACCAGTAGATAAGATGTACAGGTGTTGATTGGTCTAGCATAATAGGTAAGATACCTCTATTCTCTATACTTCCATAGCACAAAATTGCTTGGTTTTGAGGGTATGGACCATGGGTAGGCAAACTAAGGCCCAGGGGCCAGATGTGGCCCAATCGCCTTCTCAATCCGGTCCGTGGGCAGCCCAGGAATCAGTGTGTTTTTACATGAGTAGAATGTGTCCTTTTATTTAAAATGCATCTCTAGATTTCTGGGGCATAGGAATTCATTCATTATTTTTTTCAAAATATAGTCTGGCCCCCCACAAGGTCTGAAGGACAGTGGACTGGCCCCCTGCTGAAAAAGTTTGCTGACCCCTGGTATGAACGTTAAGGAACCTAGTTTTAAGGGGGTTGCACTAAAACTGATTGGGATGCGGGTGGTGCTGTGGGTTAAACCACAGAGCCTAGGACTTGCCGATCAGAAGGTCGGCGGTTCGAATCCCCACGACGGGGTGAGCTCCCGTTGTTCGGTCCCCTGCCCACCTAGCAGTTCAAAAGCACGTCAAAGTGCAAGTTGATAAATAGGTACCGCTCCGGCGGGAAGGTAAACGGCATTTCCGTGCGCTGCTCTGGTTCGCCAGAAGCGGCTTAGTCATGCTGGCCACATGACCCGGAAGCTGTACGCCGGCTCCCTCGGCCAATAAAGTGAGATGAGCGCTGCAACCCCAGAGTCGGTCACGACTGGACCTAATGGTCAGGGGTCCCTTTACCTTTTATGGAGACTAAAGTGTGTGAATGTAAAGAACAAGGAGAAAGAACTAAATGTAGTTAAGATGTACTTGCTCATAAAATGTCCAAACATTTCCCCCCAAATAGCACTTATATACTTTTGAAAAGGACTTGCACATGATCAGCTGCTCTGTCAACAGTGAGAAGACATTGCTGGGTAAGCTCCTTCCTGTTGCTTTCTCATTAAAGTTATGTTCTGTACAGTGTTAGAAACTCAGATATATAAGCTATGTGACAAATGGCACCTAAAATCTAGGTTGCAATCACCACAATGGAATATCTATTTGCCAGGGGGTTGTAGTAGATTACCCTCAGGATCCCTTCCAACGCTACAGTTCTATGATCTCAACTGCATTGCTTGGTCTTACAACAATTCACTTGCCCCAGTATGCAAGGAAGAGAAACACACACAGTGGAAATGGAAATGGTATTAACTATGAACTGAGGGAGAGGTTTTTAAACTGTGGTCGCCAACTTGGCCCCAGAAATCTTCACATAGTTGCAGTTGGACCCACGGCAGTAGCAAAAAGCGCCTGGCTAATTTCTAAGACTGGTTCTGTATGAAGACTCCTTGTATCTTGTTAACTTGTAGCATTAATCCTTCAAGTGTTGCAGTATAATGCTAAGTTATGCCATTTTTAATGCAGGCTTTGGCATGTTAGCATGCAGTGTGGTGAGGGAGTGGGCCTGTGGGTTTCACATTTGTACACTTAAGCATCGTTTAGTGCAACATGCATGAGCAGGAAGGAATCTTGGGCTCCTCTTCTCCCCTTGCTCCTCCAAGCCCAGGAGGAGGAGGAGTTTGGAAACATGTTGTCAAGGCTGCCTCAAGTCTCAGCTCACAAAAGACCAACGCCTATGTCTTCTTATATACAAAGGTGTTTATTGCAGTTCATTGTTTGCTTGACATCCTAGGCGCGCAGCCTTACGTCTGTTACGCTTAGACCGCTGAAGTCCCCTCTGAATCCGTCCCTCCCCTGCACCAATTTAAGAGGCTTGCGCTGCTCCACCTCTTTCTCTCCTTCCTTTTCCGCAGGGTCCTTCTGCCCGCTGGGGTTTCGCCCCTCCTGGATTCCTCTGACGCGGAATCAGACTGCTCTTCCCCCCTCCTGCGGGCTTTGGGACCTGGCCCCTCCTCCGGGCTCCCTGTACTTCCGCGCGCCAAACCTCTAACTTTCCTTTTGACAGTTACACTACTCCCTTCACTGCTCCCCTCCCCTTCCGGGAGGGCGGCTTGCTCTGACCTCCCTCCTTTCTCTGCTGCCGGAGCCGCTTCCCCTGACACACTGGAAACTCCACCCCCTTCGCTGCACTCTGGTGGGGAGGCTGGTCCTGACCCCCAGCTGCCACTTTGGGATCCTCCGCTGGCCCCCTGCTCCTGACACGTCCCCCCTGGGGCTCCCCTGGCCTTGACCACCGGCGCCCCTTCTGGGAATCCTCTGATTCGCTGGAAAGACTCATAGAATCTCTTGAGTCATTGTCATCCTCTTCCTCGCTGGCTTGGAATTCATCCCCATCGCTCTCCATCTCCTGCCTACCCTGTGCCTCTCTCCCTGAACCCCTGACACATGTGGTTCCACATTTGTTTATCTGCAGATAGTTACACTGGCCAGTTCAATCAAGCCAACTTCAAACCACGTTATTGGAGTTGGCTTGTTTAAAATAAACGTAGTTAGAATTAAGCACAGTTATGGTCTGGCTAACACAGAATACTGTCATTAATCAGAAGCAGAAATCAAAGCTTCTGAATTGCTCCTAGTCTTGCAGGAGGAGGAGGAGGAGGAGGAGGGGGAAGTACGAAATTCCAAGGTTTGCCTTATCTTGTTCCTTCTCATGCCCATGATGCTAAATTATGGTTTTAGTATGATGTGCACACATGAGTATTCGTTTTTAAATATGAGCTAACCACAATACGTTTTTATTATAGCATTGCTTTAAAGTAATATAAACATAGTAGTAATACAATTGCGTTAGACAGGCCACATTCATTCCCTAGGACTGAGGATCCCCACCACTGTAGCAATGTCCCTTGAAAGTCTTGTTAATTTCCCTCAAACAAAAATTGTGGGAATTCAATATATGACGCTTACAATTTCTATATATTTGTTGTTATTAGCGGTCAGTTTTCTCCAGTCAACAACAGAAGAAAGAGCAAATCTCTTGTTTCCCCCAGGTACTTAAAACATTTGATACACCTTTAAATGGATGTTGGATATAATTTACAAACAGCAGACCGATTTATGTTACTTCTGCTTTTATCCTAGTGTCTAAATGTCTGACCTTGCTGATTGAAATTCACCCAGTAAATAATGTGAAAGTTTTAAAGGCTGTGGATAGCTGGATCAGAGTGCAGGTAAGTCATATTTGCAAACTTTTCATGATTAGGTGTGTAGTAACAGCCGTTAGGTTTGTTTTCTGTGCCAAAGTGACATAAAGCCTGCTTTCTATCTTAAATAGAATTTAACAATAACAATACCATTCTCTCAATTAGACTATGCAGTACACCATTAGCCAGCTATCTCGCCTCAATACAGCAAGCCTGTTATCTTTGAACAATTTCCTTTTACAGTTTGTTTATCCAGTTGCAGACACATTTGCTTCTCCAGCAAGCTACCTGTTGCTCATTTCAGAAGATAAATGTAAGTACTTAAATTTAAAAAGCATTTTGATAAAATGTACATTTTGATTGTAGGTTGGTAGGGTGTTCTGCAGTGTCTTGTCTTTTCCTGCTTTGGAGACAATATGGTTGTAAGGTCCATTTCTCTTTTTAAATCCTGCTTTAGGAAGTGTTGGGAGAAGAAAAAGATCTAAGCCTGAGTGGCATTCATGGGTGGCATTCAATTTTAGAAAACCATCTCTGATTAAATGCTGGCGGCAGGGGGAAGGTCTCTTAAAATGACCTTGTGGTTGTGAAAATGCATTGTTCTGTTCTTTCCAGAACCTCCTGGGTTCTTTGAAAAAGCTTTAAGTTTTATAGATGAACTGTGGGAATGGTTTCACGCAGACCTAGAACCACAAGAAAGAACTCTGTGTGGCTGGATGTTCAACCCTGTGTGTGCTAATGATCAACCCGACAATTTGCCCTTATTTGTAAAAAAAATGTTGTTGTGTCCCATTTGCAAATTGCCAGGTTGAACATTAGCACCAGCACACAGAGTCTTAGAATGTGGCATTCAGGATGCCATCCTATGCCCATCTTCCTGGGAGTACCATAGAACTTAAGTCTTAGTAAATAAGCAGAGGATCGCACACTAAATCTGTACTAGTATGCTTTCAGAAACTCAATATTGCACCAGCATTGTGTTATTATTCAACAGTCATGTGCAGATATGCGGGCACAAATGTGCTCATCATTTAGAAGCAAAATATCCATTGAATTGTTTGATGGTCTGTGTGTCTGTACTACATAAATAGTCACAAAATGACATTGTTTTTCAATTTTAAGATATTGAAAAAATCGACATCAAAGTTGTCAGAGAAGGAGACAGTGTGGTAAGAAGCTTAACCCACTCCCCTTTAATTCTTTTGTTCAAGTGGAATTGGTTGGGTTGATATTTGTATGGACTGTCGTTGTGTAATATAGATAAGGTCAGCAACTAGATGGCCAAATTCAGCCCCCAGCTGGAGTACAAGTTGGCAAGATCTTGCCATTAATCTAGTTTGGTGACTCATAGTCTTGGCCAGGGGTCAGCAACCCGCGGCTCCGGAGCCGCATGTGGCTCTTTTACACCTTTGCCGCAGCTCCAGGGCGGATACTAGCCAGGGGAGGAGGCGCATTGTGCGCCCTGACACTCCCCACTGTGGCAGGCGCTGTACTGGCTGTGACGTCGCATGGGGGCGGTGTGCGTTAGTCACGCACCGTCCCGACGTCACCTCGCCCGCCCGCCCGCTGCATTGTACGTTGGTACATGTACGCTGGTCACTGCATTGAAAGGGGGCATGTACGCTGGTCACTGTTTTGAAGGGGAGTGAAGAACACACACACACAAAAAGGTAACTTGTTAATTTAACGTTTATTTCTATGAGGAGAAGTAATTCTGAGGGGTCAAACAAAGAAATAATAAAAAAGTGACAAAAAGTTATTTTTATAATGACGAGTTTTGCGGCTCCCAGTTTTTTTTTCTTTGGAAACGGGTCCAAGTGACTCTTTTTGTCTTAAAGGTTGCAGACCCCTGGTCTTGGCTGTCCTCCTAAACTAGCTGCAGGATTATTCAGGTCAGGTGTTTTTCTACATGCTGGGGATGGTCAGAAAGAAACATTACCTGCATTCTTATCTAAACTGCACATGTTGAGTTTCTGGGAGTGTTACCTGAACAGGTCTCTAGTTACTGCAGTGTATTTGATTTGACACACATTGTTTCACTTTTTTCCTGATTAATGCTGATTTTCTGTCCCTTCTAGATGATAGAAAATGCAAGCCAGCTTTCAAGACAAAGAATTGTTGACGATATCTTTTGGGCCCAGTGGGATATGCTGGAGCAAACATTATTTTACATTGCCTCAAAGGTTGAAAATATGCAATATTTTGTTGCTTTGGTTACGCACTTGCATGCTATTTATTCAGTGAAAATGTTACATTTTAAAATAGTAGCAGGGTTTCTTATAATAAGGGAGATAGAAATGTGTTTTGAAATATACCTCGAAATTAGACTTTCATGCCATCTGCCATTTATGCCCTGGTACTTAATTGAGTAGGGGGAGGGGAAATGTGATTACCTACTGGAGACGGAACGGGATCCTGTATTACTGAGTTGAATATTGTGAATCTAGTAGTGAGAATGGATTCTTGAGTGACTAAGTGTTGATTTTGCGAAATTCAGCGGAAGCTTCTCCGCTATGTGTCTACAGTTCCATGTTCATCTCTGGGGTGAACACGAGCAGAGTCTTCAGCCATGGAATGAATTGCATTTTATACCAGAAGGTATTAGCAATCAAAAGACTGCAGGCCAAAGCTTAGAACAATTGATTACGAAAGAGAGTGATTAATATTCAGTTTGTGATGAAAGTAAAAGATTGGTTACAGTGGCAGCATTCACATTGGATTGGCAGCTATGGGGTGAAATCTACAAAGTGGTAGAGGCTGGATGGATTCAATGCCAAGAGTTCTAGGGAGAGGGCAGCAGGACCCAGCGAGACATATGTGGCTGAATCAGATTAGGGTGGAAAGTTGGGCTATAAACAGCTCTTTCTACCAGCATCTGTGGCTTGATAGAGGAATTGGAGAAGCAAAGAGCAGAAACAAGGTATGAAAGAGGAAGCTGGAGGGCAGAGAGTATCTCTCTTACAGCAAAGGCAGGGGGGAAGAAGTTTTCTTCTTTAGGGGACAATAACTATAAAGCCCTTTAGGTCTGTGATGGGGAAGTGAGGACTAGCAGAGTCCCACAGGTCTCCAAAGCCTGGTGTTATACACGGCTTCTGCAGCTGAAGGCAGTACTACTTCTGAATACTAGTTGCTGGAAACTGCAGCAAGCTTGGATCCTGTTTGCGGGTTTCCAGCAGGCATCTGGTTGGCTACGGTGGGAAAAGGATTCGGGGCCAGATGAGCCATTGGCTTGATCCAGAAGGCTCTTCTTATGTTCTTAGAGGATTGTAACGTGAGACAACAGGTTGTGCTTTTCTCTGGTCTTTAATTAAATTGAATACAAAACGATAAAAAGATGGAGTGGGGGAGAGCACTGGGAAAGGAGGCAGGGAGAAGAGCCATGCTGACTTGGGGTGGAGTGATCCCATGAAGACTGATGTTTTTGGGGAAAGAACCTCCCTGCGGGAGAGAATAATACTCATGGAATTGTAGAGTTGTAAGGCAATGTAGGAGTTGCAGCTAAAGCATCCATGACAGATGGTCATCCAGCCTCGGCTTAAAGACCTTCCCATGAAGGAGAGTCCACAACCTCCTGAGGGAGACTGTTCTACTGTCGAACAACTCTTACTGTCAGAAAGTTCTTCCTGGGAGGTTTATACTAAATGAAGAGTGAGGAAATACTAGATTCATTAGATAAGATATTCACGTTTCCAGCCACAGTGCAGAGGTATGTGGTGTACAGGCAGATTGCAGTGTGCATATATTTGCATTGGGTCATGTCAGAGCGTGCTGATCTGCCATGGGCACAGAGCTTCTTCTACCAGGGCTTTGAGTAGGTCCAATCATGATGTGGGTTGGAGGTCAAGTAGAAAGAGAGGCACTTGTATGTTCTGGAAGTCTCATACTGGTGTGTGTGGGTGTGTGTTGAATATATACACATTGACATACACACATGGAAAATTGCCAGCAAGAGTCCACTATTGATCTAAACTGAGAATACCCAGTACAAGCTTCAAGTTCAACTTCTCTCTGAGTGCCTAATGTATCTGCATATTAGCACTTGAAAGGCATCAGGGAGATTTCTAACTTAAGGCGCTATGGCCAAGCTTAAAATGACAGTGAGTCGGAGTTCCTTGGTAGCAAGCCTGTAAAAATGTCATTTTCCTGAAAGTAGAAAAATACTAGCACCAGAAGTGTACCCAGGTGTGCAGATTAGGGTGCCCTTCTGTCACAGCCTGGCATCTTTCCCCCCCAAATAATTCAGAACTGCTGATCTAGCTATGAGGCCACATTTCATAAGGACTTGCAGGAGAGGTATACTTTTGTGGTGGTTTTTGCTGCTGTTGTTAATAGAGTTCCTAGTACCAACTGTTAAAAACTGTACTTAACCCTACTGCAATGTTGTTGCAAATTGTAGACTGTACCGTATTTTTCGCCCTATAGGACGAACTTTTTCCCCTCCAAAAATGAAGGGGAAATCTGTGTGCGTCCTATGGGGCGAATACAGGCTTTCGCTGAAGCTTGGAGAGCGAGAGGGGTCGGTGCGCACCGACCCCTCTCGCTCTCCAAGCTTCAGGAAGCTATCAGCAAGCCTGGGGAGCCCTGCGGGAGTTCCCGCAGGGCTCCCCACGCTGCGGATAGCAGCCTGCTGCCCGGCGCGCAGAGCGCGCTGAAGCAGAGCGCCCCGTGCTTCCGGCAGAATTCGGCCAGCCCCACAAGCTCAGGGGACAGCGGGGAGGCGCAGCGCTGCCATCCCGCTGTTCCCCGACCTGGTTTTGCGGGGGAATAAAGGAAAACATTTTTTCCTTTATTTCCCCCCCCAAAAAGCTAGGTGCGTCCTATGGGACGGAGCGTCCTATGGAACGAAAAACACGGTAATTTAAAACTAAAACACACACACACAGCTACTCTGAGTTTTCAAGAGCCTCTCTGAACTGAGAATAGTGTTTGCAGTTTTTCTAACATGTCTGTGCCAAAAGGCAATGGGAAGCAGCTTGACACCCACAAAAGGTTTCCTCTTATGAAACTGCAAACAATGTTTTATGGTAAGCAAAACCATAAGTATTTACAGACAGAAGGTAGACAGTCTGGGGGAGGCAGGAAGGAAGTATCAAAGCTCTGTTGTGGTGAATTTTTTGTACTTTCTTTCTGAATTGCTTCAGGGCACATATGTTCAAAGAAGGGTCATATATTTTAAGGATGGAGAGCTTTTAAGGGCAGAATTAGATGTTACAAGGTCAGACACAGCTCTCATGCTTTTTCTTCTTCTCTCACAAATTGGACTCTAAAGCTAGCAGTGAGCCTGGCTGTACGGAGATGCATTAGGGGGATACTATGGGTTCAAGAGCAGAGGACAGAATTATTCTCCTCATGCATGTATTCCCATTGACTTAGCCAGCATGAGCATGCTTTGCCAAGATAATGTCCAGTTCTTCCCCAGTGGTTTAAATGTATGCCAATAAAGTTTCTCTTTGTTGTAGGAATCAAGGGACACACTATACTGCATCCAGTTTTATCCTGATAAAAACTTTAAACTAATAGTAAGTTCTATTAAGCTTTTATTTGTTCATTTCAAAATACAAACATTCTGTTGATCTAGACTGCAATCGTAGCCTTATGGTGGCACTGTGGCTTAAACCACAGAGCCTAGGATTTGCTGATCAGAAGGTCGGCGGTTCAAATCCCTGCGACTGGGTGAGCTCCCGTTGCTCGGTCCCTGCTCCTGCCAACCTAGCAGTTCGAAAGCACGTCAAAGTGCAAGTAGATAAATAGGTACTGCTCCGGCGGGAAGGTAAACAGCGTTTCCATGCGCTGCTCTGGTTCGCCAGAAATGGCTTAATCATGCAGGCCACATGACCCGGAAGCTGTATGCCGGCTCCCTCAGCCAGTAAAGCGAGATGAGCACCGCAACCCCAGAGTCGGCCACGACTGGACCTAATGGTCAGGGGTCCCTTTACCCTTTACCTTAAAGCCCATTAAATTCAGTAGGACTTACTCCTGAATAGACATGGTTAGGATTGTGCTGTTTAAATAGTCCACAAAAGGCCTCCATTCTATGAAAAGTTCATCATTTTGATCTCTTAATTTCGCTGTCAGCTTTGCCATTTCTCCAGAGTCCATTACTTAGTGCCTTTCTGTTTTCCAACAGCTTGAAACACCTTTGGATATCAACTTGGATGACATAGGATTAAAGTGAGTTTGGGTGGAGTGCATTCTAGCTGTTTTCCTCAGAGCTATTTAGAATTGAATTAAGCAACATCTCAGCTTCGTGTGCTGCTACACATACATCTCCCCACTCCAAACCAGTTGTAAAATCATTTCCTGTCAGGAGGTGTTGCCGTTGGGAAGGCGAATTCTAGAGGAGACCATTTGTGAGTGCTCTTTTAGCGCTGTAGTGGCGCACTATTCAATGTAGATAGTGATTGCAGATTCTTTTCTGCATCTTGATATCCCATGTATATTTATGAATTGGTTTTCTGTTTGGCAAGCCTAAAAGCAGTCAGTGATTGTTCCGTGCTTCCCTCAATGCAGCAACAACTTAGTTCTTTTCGAATTTTTCTGCATATATACAAAGATGCAAGAACTGATGAAGATGACTCCATTTCCTGAAGGTTCAATTCAGACATAACGGTGTCATTATGAGGAAGAGTCCAAGCAAAGCACTGAGTTCATATGCTTAATAAAACACAACAAGCTATGCCTTGTGCAAACAATGGCTTGCCAGCCAATCAGGTTTCCAGACAATTATGGAACTGTATTTGGAATCCTAGTGTAATGGTAAACTGTGGTTTGCACAAGCCATAGCCTGTCACATTCAGACAAAGCAGCAAACTATGGTTTGCTGCAGACTAGAAGCAGAAGCTTCCAGTCTCCTATTGTGTACCAAGGGGAAGAAGACTCCCTGCAGCTTAGTCTCATAATGACAAATTTGTCTGAGGGCTGCCAGTGTCTAACTTAAGCTGCAGATTGATCTTGGCAAGGCTTCAAAGATGTCACTATTTTGAGTAAAGAAGCAAATTCATATTTCTGTTCCTAGATCTGTGAATTTGGATTTTAACTGTTCTCAAGACCAAGAGATGATATCTAAACCTTTGAATATTCAAGTTTTTACCAGTGAAACAGGTAATGTATACATGAGACACAGACTTGTGAACCTAATTTACCCAAACCTTTTAGTTTTACTTGCAGCTTAATTCTTTCTTATCTTTCACCATCATACAGTAAACTTATCCCCTTTAGGTATTTATTGTAGTTGGATACAAATGCCAGAAAACGTCATGCAGGAACCTAGCATTTGTTGTGAGAAACATGCCTATTTAAATTACTGTTCTTCTCTACTTAAGTTGGGACACACACTGTTCTCTATCACTCCTTCCATGAAACTTGCTGAGAAGAGCATGTCTGCATCACAAATCATGTAAGGCACAAATGATATATTCACATCAGTACCTGAGCTCAAGAGTGGTGTAATGAAACAGCTCTTGCATTTCAAAGTAATATATTATGTGTACGTTACTGATCTGCTTTTTTATTTCTTTTGGTAACATGAAGGGTGTTTGATGATTACTGTGCCTTGATACAGACATGAAAAGCAAACCTTTTTTCAGAGGTGTAATCATCCTGTCTCTCAATTGAATTCATTCCACTTCTACTACTAGCAGAAAATTTTACTAGAACTCCCAAAATGTAATACCAGTACTTCAGGTTTAAGGATGAACTTGTTTGATGACATACCACATTATTATATAATAAATGAGCATATATGTCTTAGATCTTTGAGCCACAATTATTCAACATGCATAAAGGGTTTTTTTAGGAAGCTCCTCTGATATTCACACCTTAAGTGCACAATATCAGATGTATTTGCCCTCTGAGGTGTGTGAGAGATGACCACAACACATTTTGGCAGTACAGTCATACCGCGGGTTGCGAACGTGATCCGTGTAGGAGGCATGTTTGCAACCCGCAGCGTTCACAGCCTGAAGCACCGTGTCTGTGCACGTGCGTGGCGCAATTTGGCGCTTCTGTCCATGCACATGGTGTCATTTTGTGTTTCTACACATGTGCGAGCGCCAAAACCCAGAAGTAACCCGTTCCAGTACTTCCAGGTTCAGCACAGTCCGCAACCCACAGTGTTCGTAACCCGAGATATGACTGTACAGGAAGATAACGTGTGTTCTGCATCTGAACTCTTCTTCCATAGTGGGTAGGCTGGAAAAACTGAAATGAAATATCCTCTGCAGCTTCCAGTATAATACAGCTGCAAGTGACTTAAGTACCGTATTTTTCCATGTATAAGACTAGGTTTTTTTCCCTAAACTAGGGGGCACCTTATACATGGGGGCGTCTTGTAGACGGAAAAGTACGGTATTTAACAAGTTGCTTTTTTCAGGGAGTCTGAGAGAAGGGACAGCTGTTCCTCCCAGGAAGCTTGAATGTTACTAGAGCAAACAACAAAATGCGTAGTTCAGAGAGGAAAGGTTAGAGCTACCATGTTTTTGAGCACAAGGGGTCAAACTGTTTGAGATGTGTTTGAGATTTCCTTCCTTCAGCTTCTAGGACTGAAAGAGTTTGGGGAACTGAAGAAATGGATCTAGGCCAAGTACCATTCTGTTTCCTTTTAAGTCTGCAAAGGAAAAGTCATTGATATTGTTAACTAAACCACCACAGGGAGATGACTCACAGATATGCATGTAGCCATGGAAGTATCATTCCTCACTGGGCTTTAATCACTTCATTTTTCTAATATTAAAGTGGACATTTTATAGTTGCAATTTTGTGTGGAACACACTTTCTTCTTCTTTTTTCTAGGATGCCTCTGCATATGCTGTAACCTGGTTCCTGCTAGTCCTGAAGAAGTAACATACTCCGTGTCCTTTTTACATAAAGGTATGTTAATAGGGCACTCCTGTGCATGTCTACTTAGAAGTAAGCCCAACTGAGTTCAGTGAGGCTTCTCCAGGTATGTGTGGATAGGATGGCAGCCTAATGCATCTTGTCCAAACTTTGCTATTCTAGACTTTGTATTCTAGAAGGCCTAGAAAACTTTGTATTCTAGAAGGCCTCATTCTGTTACAGGATTTGTATTTATCTTAATCTCTGTCCCCTCAATCCTCCTTACCCCTTTGACACTTGCTTTTGTTTCATATCCAAATTTTCAAAAGCAAATACGTCTAATTTCAATTATTTAATTTTGTAAAGAATAAAGTAGATAGTGAAAGCACCAAAAGGAAAGAACTATTTAATAAAACTGTATGGAAAATATCTTCTTGAATTCATTGTTTTTGTTGATGTAAAATACAAGAATTCAAAAGTACTCTCTGCCCATCATAGAATTACAAATGTATGTGATCTGCCCATCATAGAATTTTGCATTGTCAACACAATCTAAGCTGTATTTCTACAACATTAATATTATGGTTTGCAAGAGGACTTTGGAATTTGCCTGCTTGAAATTTATTGTACTTATTTATTTAAACAAAGCTTTTTGGGGTTTTGCTTAGTAAATTTATTCAAGGCCTGCTCTTGGCTTCCTTGATTCATAAATGGGAACCACATTCCCCCAGACACGATTACCTGAATATCTGCACTTCAGTGAATAAACCAGAGGATTTTATCCAGTGCTGCACAAATGGAGTCTTGTTTGCGCAACAGAACTTCCCTTCTTTGCCTCTGCGTTTGTGCTCCCAGTATCTCCTCTCAAGGGTCCCTCAACCCTCAGGAACAGATTTTGAGGGTGCGAGGGAGAGGGGTTGCAGGCGAGAGGAGTTTTTGTGCAAGCAGAACAGCAACACCGGACACAACCCAAGAAGACTCAATTAATAATAATTTGCAGCTCAAAATTGAACTTTGTGATGCAAGCGGAAGCAGAAGAGTTGGTTCTGTAATGTTACACCCACTTATCTGAGAGAAACGACCAGGGAATTCAGTAGGCCTCATTTCTTAGTAGATATACATAGGCTCCAAAGCATTTAATCCACAACTTCCTCCGAGGCAGATTTCTGATGTTTAAGAAGCTTCTAGCAAAGGGGTGGGTAACCTTTCAGGCTGTAGGGTTGTATCCACACCATCACTGAACTCTCCCATTGGCCATGCATGGGAAGCAGATCACTTCCTCCTCATATGGTGGTCTAGACCTTGTGTATCAGCCCATCCTGTGTTCAGGAGTAACCTCTGCTATGAGGTGAGGCAGTGGTTTCTTTCTAATGCTGAATTAAGAAATTTTGGAGCTCTGGTACAGTTCAAACTAGGACGTCCCTCCCTTCCTAAAGGTACACATGAAATCAAGTACCACAACAACAACAAGGACTTTATTTGCGTAGCCAACAGGCCATAGCATCAAAGGACAAACACCGACAAAAATACATTACAAATATAGTTACCGTATAATCTTATGACCTATTAAAACCCTAGGTAGAAGCTGGATTATCATTCATCAATGACCCCCTGTCCCATGGGCAGCGGCCTTTTCTCTGGTAGATTGTTCCAGGTCGGTTAAGTAAATAGACCAGCCAAATTGAAAGATTATAAATATAAATATAACCTCGGAGGGATGGTCAGGACAGGGAGAAAGATAATAATAACCAGATGCAGATAAGTTAATAATCTCAGTACTTAAAACTTGGCAGAGATAATAAAATACTAATAATAAAACATAATGATAATAATGATAAGATCCTAGACGAGGAATCCGGGTGACGACACTGATGTCATTCAGATGGCAGCTCTCAATCTCATTGCTCTCTCGATAAATTTAGCAACCTTCTCTGTTGTCGAGCTGTTCTGGTCGGCTAGGAGTGAGAACAATTTGGCTTCACAAGAGCGGCCCAGGATGGCAGATAGGAGCGGCGTGTTGGTCTCGTCCCTCAAGTACCACAAAGGAAGCCTTGTGGTTTCTTAAAGAATAGCAAATTGATCATGGCATAAGTTTTCATGGACCAGAAGAAATACTCCTGAGCATGTGCAGATGGGGCAATAGAGTTAGGCTCTCACATGTCAAGTTTGTTGAATTACACCCTTCTTCCACCACAGCACGCAGAGGTGTGCATGTTCACACAGAGAGAGGCATATGTGCGACATTGGGAACGGCAGAGATGCAAATGAATGACAATTTCAAATTTAAGGTGGAAACCTAGCTGAGGTGGAACTTTCCAATTTCTATTTTTCTATTATTTGTTCAGGAATAGTTGTATAAAACTGACTTTGTGTCTGTGGTATACAAAAACACGCCCCCTCTTAATCCTTTGCAGGTTATAGTAAAATATACACTATTACTCTGGAAAGAGGGGATTCCTCAGAAGTGAAAGATCTTACTTTTTTAAATCTTGGTAAGTTTCTAACTTCCTCTTTCTCCTTCAGTACTTCCCTTGATTACATACAATTATGATCAAAAATCCTTAAGTGGTTTTTTTATTGTGAAAAGTGGAAATGTACATATTTTCCTTCCTTTGTCTTACATGAGTCTATTATGCTTTCCCAAGATGATTGCTAAATAAGCAAATCTTTCTGTATTGACCTTCATTTCGTTTGGCATTAGCAAGTAGCTTTAGTTGTCTACGGTCATGAGACCATAGCATGCTTTTTGGGGGAAATGAGAATAACCAGGCTGCTTATTTCCTGTGGCACGGCATGCATAAATCTTGCTGTCTTGTGTATTGTGCCTCTGAGACACAGGAGTGGTTTTTGCTGGCAAAGGAAACTAGGCTGGGAGTCATGTAGTTGGCACACATACAGGATACAAGTATTCTGGTTTTAATGAGATTAAACATACATAGAATATTGTTACAAAAGTTGGGTGCCTCTTTCTGCTGAGCAGCGGCAAGAGCCCATGGGGTCTATGGTCCTTTGGAGAATTGAGACATGGCAGAGGCTGTTGTAGCTTTAAAAAATATACAGTGGTACCTCTGGATACGCACACCCCTGGTTGCGTATCCTTCAGGATGCGAATGCAGCAAACCCGGAAGTATTTTTCTGGGTTTCGCTGTGCGCACATGCACAGAACAGGCGCCTCTGGTTGCGAATTCCTCCGGAACGGATCCTGTGCACAACTGGAGGTACCACTGTAGTTTATTCACCTATTTACATGTTCAGGCTGCGTGGTTATTTCAAGAGGGGCTTGTATTATTATTATTATTATTATTATTATTATTATTATTATTAAATTTGTATACAACCCTATACCTGCAGCAGTGCAGTCATCTTTCAGCCAGCCTGCCCAAGATGGCTGCTTTCTTCCTGCTTCTTATTCCCAGAACCCCTTGCTACTAGACACACAGTTACTCAGGCAACCTTCCATACCCCTGTCTCTGTTCACACCTGAAGGTGGGGAAAGCAGTTCTCTTGCATTGCCAATGGCCCTCAATGGCCTTTCATTGTTTCTTAATGGCCCTAGCTTGACCAGGTCGTTTTGCATAGGCTAGCCCAGGAATTCCTCTGCAGCTTGTATTCTCCCTGCAGATCCCAAATAATCAAAATCCTACCATTTATTAATTTCTAGGGTTTAGGGGGTCCCCCCTCCAAATCTATAACAATATTTTGAATACAATAGTTCTGAATAACTCATCTCTCAAATAAGCCTGAGCTGTAAGGATAATTAAGTGCTCAAAATTAACAATTCTCTCCTGTTTCCCCCCCCCAAAAAAAACGTCTGTATGTTTGGTTGTTGTGAAAACAACTACAGACTATTATGTGGCTGTCTACTTACCTGGACACTTCCTGCATCTTCTCAACACTCGGCATCCTGACTTGATGTGCTATAACTTCTTTCTAACAGGTACAGTGGATTCTTTAACAATTAGTTCTGCAGCAGCTTCTCTCAATAGAAAGTCCTTCTGTGTCCTTCAGGTGCCTCTACAGAAATGAAACCCACGTGGACAATGCAAAATAGAAAGAACAATGAACTTTAGAAAAATTTCAAAGCAAAGCCTCAGGCTCTCTAGCCAGTGTGTACTGTTGTGCTCTTTCCCAGTTTTCTGCACTGGCTCTTTAATGATGAAATTTCGGCAAATTGGCAAAGATGCCATTTACACCACTATGTACTCAGTGCACAGACAGATCATGCCCTGAGGGCATCTTCCACCAGCATATTTTCACCACATATGCCTTGGAGATAATGGGTGTTTGCACAGGAGAACATCATGCACTGTGCGCTCTTGCGCAGGCCCCATTAATTTCAAAAAGGGGTTTGTATGAGAACTACTGAGCTTGACCTTGCAATAATTTGAAAGCAGTGTCTGGGCACAAATTGCTGAAATGTCCATGAAAATTTAAACGTATGGCAAACCCATGTTGGATTTTGGCAAATTTCCAAAACAACGACAACAAAAAACTCAACAATTTTGGCTAAGTTTCACTTTTTGAAATAAGGCAACCCTAGCTTATTCCCAGATAAAATTGTGTCTAGAATTGCAGCCTCATTGTTTTATCTTCTCATTTTTACTGCATGCTTGCATGGTTCTAGTTTTCTTTTACTTGCTCCCACCCACCAAATACAAAACAAAAACAGGAATGTGATCCTACCTTTTCCTCTTCCAACTGTGAGACAAGCTAGGCAGTTTATGTGGGATATTTCCCCCCACTTTGAAAACATGATCCCATAGGAAGGTTTGAATGGGTTTATGACGAGACGGGAGCTTTAAGTTTCTCTCTCCATGTTGACATCCTGACAAAAATTACCTCTCCCACCCCCCACAAAACTGCTGTACCCCCTGAGGGGGGCTGTATTTGGGGGTTCTATGTCAGGTTTTAAATCCTTTTTCATTTGTTATTTGCTTGCCTGGACTTCTCCGTGAGTAAGAGTGGGATATCAATTTAAGAAATAAATATGTAATACCAAGCCATATAGGGACGCGGGTGGCGCTGTGGGTTAAACCACAAACCCTAGGACTTGCCGATCAGAAGGTTGGCGGTTCGAATCCCCGCGATGGGGTGAGCTCCCGTTGCTCGGTCCCAGCTCCTGCCAACCTAGCAGTTCAAAAGTACGTCAAAGTGCAAGTAGATAAATAGGTACCACTCTGGCGGGAAGGTAAACGGCGTTTCCGTGCGCTGCTCTGGTTCGCCAGAAGCGGCTTAGTCATGGTGGCCACATGACTCGGAAGCTGTACGCCGGCTCCCTCGGCCAATAAAGCGAGATGAGCGCCGCAACCCCAGAGTCGGCCACGACTGGACCTAATGGTCAGGGGCCCTTTACCTTTACCTTTACCTTTACCAAGCCATATAGTTGTTAGATTGGGTGATGTGGATGAGCATCCTCCATTGCCCTCCCTTCAAATCTGGTGAGCCCTTCATTAGTTTAGTGTAAATACTGTTCATGTGTCATGTGTCATTGCTAGCTTTCTTGGATCTCGTAGCACAGGAGCCACAACTTTCGAAAGCTCTTAGAATAAAGGCAAACATGTGATGCAGGAGGTTCCTTTCCTGCCTTGATTCATGTTTTCAGTCTCCTAAAGGCAAAAGCATTGCAGCCCTTCTAAGAAATGCCACCAACCTTACTCACCTGAAAAGCACGCCGTATATACCAGACATTAGTCATACACTGAAGCATGCAAAACGAAGGGTAAAAGTCACTGGTGTATTATAGGGCTTGTTCCTCATGGAAATTACACTGGGGCACGAGGGGATTTGTATATTTCAGTGTGCTGTGTGAAATGTAAACTACTTCTCCGCAACCCTGTGTTATTCAGGTGGGAATGCAAAAATTAATAGCTTGCACACGAACGCCCTCCTTTCCCCTCTCAAGTCGATGGTCTTGGATCGCGGCACAGGAAGCATATTTACCATTGCAATAAACAGGCAGGCCTTGCTGCAGTTTCTGTGGAACAGCAAGTCGGATAACGACAGACTGGCAGCACTTCACTGTTTACTTCTGCATATTGGAAGCACTAAGGAATTGGAAACCCAGGTGGGAAAAGGATTCATTTTTTTCATGCAGCACAAAGGTGGATGCCATTTTGTGTGTAAAACATAACAGCACAGTTCCTTTTATTAAGCAAATAGTTGCTAAAGCCATGTGTCCCAATATTAGCATTAAAAATATGCCGCAATCTGAAAGCAGGAGCCCAAATATATGTAGGAATTTTAACGCAGCTCCTACAGAAGTTTAGCTTCGCAACGAGTTTCACTGGCTTGCCCTAAAGTAGGTCAGAACAAAGCCACAATCTGGTTGGGATGGGTACAGTGGTAGAGAGTTGGGGAAACTAGAAAATGTTCCAGAGATAATCTGCACTCATTGTATAAATTTGCATGCAAAAAATTAGACGACCGTAAGATTCAGATGATTTGGGGAGACTTGATGGCCAATCAAAATGGCAGGAGGAAGAAGCTTTGTTGCTTGTAGGTTATTTGGAAGGTGGCATGTGTTTAGTCTTGACTCAGGAAAGCAAAGCACAGAGATTTAAAGTCCTTATATTTTTACTGTAAACCTTCACACCTCAATCTGTGCTGACCATTTTATATTCTTACTTTCACAGATTATCCAGTGGATTATAGAGAACGCAGCCACTTGTTTTACATTTGACCCCATACAGGAACTTCTCATTGGTAGGTGTTTCTCGGACTGGCATCAGACTGGAAGTAGTGTGGGGTCTGTACACATGAGTTTGTTTGCCTAAAAATTCAGAGGTCACGAATCATTGGAGGAGAAACCCATTGGGAGGGGAATTTAAGTCAGGCTGACTAGCCCAAGGTCACTCAGAGAACTTCATGGCTGAGAGAGAATTTGAACCATGGTCTTCCAGGGGCTGGTCCAGCTAATACACCGCACCTTCTGAGAAGCCCAAGGAAACCCATGCCGATTCTTCATATCTGATATATTCTTTGAACTCCTGGTATTTTTTGGAACACTTGCAGGAAATACGTTGACTTGGAGGTCGCCAAAAGCCTTCATTGAAATGTTCTTTCAATTTTCTCAGCTTCTTTGTACTGGAGAATGTGTCTGAAGGACAGCAAACTGGATAGTGTTTTACCATATACACCACTCCTGTACTGGAATGAGGTAAGACAAATGCAGAATTGAAGAACTTACCCTTTCTCTTCAGCTAGGATTTAATTAAGAGTCTGTAATCGCTCCTCTTTAATATGGCCCCATAATTGGAAACTGGGGGCGGTATCAGGCTGCCACTGTTCCTGTGTGGGATTCAGTCACAGACCAGCAAATTTAGGTTGTGCAGTTACAGAGGATGTGTTATTCTTGCACAACAAACCCACGGCCAAAATGGGACTTCCCAAAGTTACAGGAAAACGCACTGAAAAATGTGGGGCAACAGTTGGTTGACACAAAGTTGTCTAACCTCCCTGCAGTTTTTTTGCAAACAAATTGGGATGAATGCTTAATAAGCAGGTTGTCTTGAAGCAACCTTGAGCACAGAAGAGAAGACTATTACCCTTTTTTTCCATAGCCTGCTATCCAAGTCTGCAGGGGAAATTGGTGCCACATCCCTAGCCTAGATTAAGATCTTGTGTTCTTGTATTTGTAGGATATCCCTGGAATCGTATGCAGAACACACATTATCTCACTACCTGTGTTAAAGGTATGTCTGCATAAGAGACACTTGCTAGCAGGATAGTGAGTTGCATGTTTGTGGTTTTCAGAAATACTTACATAGGTTTATCTGTATGTGTAATTCATCATATTTTACAAAATTGCCACTAGGGGACACTATTGTTCCACATTGTTTTTCAACAGTTCTATCAAATACTGTTGCATACTTGCTGCAAGAGGCAATACCTGCAAACTCTGAGACTGAATGGTGCACTAAATGCCTTAAGCATCTGGATTTTGAAATGATTCCAACATTTACTGTTTTTCATAGAGTAATATCAGAATTCCACACCCTCATGGATTTTATATGGCAGATGTTTAAGCAGGAGCAGGCAGGATTCAAGGACTATTGTTTGACTTCATATTTCCTTCAGAATCCATGTGAATGTTTCATTCAACATAATCATTTTATGTTGTACTGATGTGAAAACGTTGAGCATGCGTTAAAATTACAAGCAAGGTCACTGCCAAATACTTCAACATGCAACTAAATTGTTGAAGTTAATATCTGAAGATTTAGTATAACCAAACCTACTCTCAAGATTCCCCATCTTCAGGAGAAAAATGATGGTTGCATGTATTTTGTTTCAGTGTATAAACATTTGAACTTAGCAGTTTTGAGGCTGTGCAACAGGTTAATGTCTGGGTGATGCAAAATTTCTCTATCACTCACTTTAAAGCTCTTTGCATACCAAAGCTGGACTCTGCATGTCTCATTATCTTCTTTTGCTTAACTTTTGTTTATAGGAGGAAATAACGTCTCTGCTCTCTCTCACTCTTAAGGTACAGAAGTGCAAAGGCTTCTGGGAAAAGCTAGGTTCAAGTTTGGAATGCTCCAGGTGTTTTGACCCACACATGTGTTTCAACAGCAAGCTGCTCAGGCTGGAACGGGATAAACTGCTTTCAGATGAGGTAAATGGATCTCAGTAATGAATATTATGGTTCAGACTTTCCATTTTGTCACAGCCAATTTATCTGTATACTGTGTTCCTCACAAGTACATTGTGCTCAAAGTGGTTCATAGGATATATAGAGTATAGTAACCACAATTATAATACATTACTATATAACAACCAGTGCAACAATTGCAGTTGATTTAAAAACATATGAGAAGATTAAGTGAATGTAATAGGACGTACCAGTAGACCACAAAACAATATCCAATATCAATGTTATAATCACATTAAGCAGTTCATTTAGTAGTTAATAATTCAAAGATCTAACAGTATGATACCACAACCACATCAAGCTAACAGAAAAAGAGGATAAGATAAAACAAAATAGCCACAAGACACTTTAGAGAACTCAAATGTGTAAGTGGATTTGCATGTTGATTAAATCACATGACTTTTTTTATGTGAATTGCTTGTTGGCAGAAGTAGTTTTGTAATATATGGTTGCTATATTAGAGAAATAACACATTTTTGCACACTCATTCATTTCTCTTTAACTAAAAAACACTGTTTATTGGTAATTGGTTCTGTGTTCATGAAGAAAGGTTTGTCCTACAGTGAAGAAATAACTGGGCCTTGCTGTGGATTCACGCATTCACTGGTAACTTTAAATGCTCATTTAGACATCTCTTTGTCTAATCCCATTTCGGTACTTCTTTTATCTTCCATCCAGACGGGTGTGAGTCAGCCTGGGGTGACCAGTGTAGGCTATGGATTTTGTACACGTGGCTTCTCCTAGTCAGTGCAAGGGCTGGTTCAGGTGTAATGAGCAACCGGTTTCCCATTCTGTGAATTAGCTTACATGAAACTCAGGTTCATGCATTTCCCACTATCCTACTGTTGTGAAGCCACAAGGAGATTAGCTCTCAGTTGTGTCCTGACTTAGAGTACTGTGGGTGGTTAAACTGCAGTTTGTTAGAACAAGACAGAATCAAAACATTGTGTAACATCCTTGCTTGTTCTGAGACAACGGTATAAACAAGAAGAGAGGTGGGAAGTGGGAAGGCCAAGGCAGGCTTATTCACATATCTGGAAACCATGTTTTTTGTAATCTCGGCCAGCTCAAAGAACATTCTGGGGAGCAGAGGACCCACTTTTATTCTGGGTCACATCCACTGTATTCTGGTTTTCTGGAACTTAACTGAGAACTTCTGAAGCTCTTGCTTGCACAGTTGGAGTACATAATTTGACAATGTAGGTTTCCTGTCTTCCTTCCTTCCTTTTATTTTGACTTAAAAATTCTTATTAGACATTGATAGAATAAAATTGACTGTATCTCATAATGTTCTTAATTCAAGTAATTTACACTTTGATTTAGAGAACTGAAGAGAGAACAATATATACGGAAAGCATGCTTGAAAACGCAAAGAAGTAAGTTGATTTCTGTAACGTTGCTGTTTCCAGAAAGTGAAAGACTGCATTTTAAAGGGTCTGTCCGTTTTTAGTGTGTTTGTGAAATTTAGCTGGAAAACAAGTTGCAGATGCCTCCAAAAAACACTTTAACTCCTCATGGCGAACAGTCAATGGTCCATTGGTAACTTCAAACCGTGTGGGTTTCTGCTATCAGGTTAAGCAGGGACACCATCTTGTTGGGACTGAGTTATGTTGGGCTTCCCCCAAAATTTGATCCCATCACTCATGTACCCCGGGGGACACATGACACCAATGCCCCCATTTGCAACAAAAGTTGGTGCCTCTGATGTTGAGTGTTCACCCCTCTTCACTTTCATCAGCACTGGCATTTATGTTGGAGTTCACAGTGTGATGGTAGAGATCCATGTGACAACTGCTTCTGTATTTTCTGACTGAGGCAGGCATCACCTGACACAGAAAGGCCACCCTCCCTGACATTTTCAGGCTGCCCCCAAGACAAAACAGCATGCCTTGCAGTACTGGAGTATCTGTGGCAGAGCAGCGCATGGAAACGCTGTTTACCTTCCCGCTGGAGCGGTACCTATTGCTCTACTTGCACTTTGATGTGCTTTTGAACTGCTAGGTTGGCAGGAGCAGGGACCGAGCAATGGGAGCTCACCCCGTCATGGGGATTCGAACTGCTGACCTTCTGATCGACAAGTCATAGGCTCTGTGGTTTAACCCACAGCGCCACCTGCGTCCCTGCGTTTGTGTTACTAGTATTCACTTAGTTATCCAGGTTTGGTGTGTGATATAATTCATACCTTATCCTGTTTGGGTTTGCATTTTTGCAAGCTTCTGCCTGTTCTATTTGTTGGTGTGTGAGCATCTACTCTTGGGTTTTCATTTCTTTCTGCAGCAGAGTTCCTTTTACAGAAAAGTTTTCTTGCATCTTTTAATTCTTTGCAGCAGCAGCAGCAGCATTCCAGCTGTCTCTTAGTGAAATTCCCATTACAAGAATAAACACCATTTGGTTCTGTTTCTCAGAGTCTTTATTATTTACAAAACGTTACACTGGTCATTAATAAAGAAAAAAACCAAATAAAGCAACATAATCTATTTCTCTTTTTAGCCATCTGGCCAGAGACCTAATCCTGACTCATTCACATACTCACTTACACTGACCCAATGCCTTGCTGGACACTGTTTTCAGTTTCTGTTGTGTTCTCATTTCAGAAATCAGTGATTGTTGTGTAGATTGTGTGTGTTTTCTACATATGTTGGAGCAATCCCCCCTTTGAAGCACATTAATAACATTCTTCTTTTCACTCAGAGTGTTTTCCAGCCTGAATAAATGGAACACAGGTAAGACTAGTATTCCCTGATACTAAATGGCTACAAATAGTGATATTTAAATTCCTTCCCAGTGTTCCCTGTAGACAGACATTTTTGTCATACAGGCAACTCCCAATTTACACGGGGGTTACGTTCCACACCGCCACATGTGTAGCTGAAATCATGTATATTGGGAGCACTTTGGAGACTCCTACTAGCTTGCAAGGAGACTCCATTGGGGGCTTTGTTGAGGCTGCTGAGCCTCCCTGCCTAACAGCCGACATGTGGGATAGTGCAGCTGCACCCCCTCCCGCTTCCCTGCATGTCAGCTGAGTGGGTAAAGGAAGTCACGCTGCCCCTCCGGCTTGTGTGGCTTGCAGAACTGACATGCAGGGAAGTAGCTGTGGCAGCTGCGCTACTCCACATGTCAGCTGTTAAGCGGGGACGCTCAGCAGCTCCACAAAGCCCTGCTGCCCCTCTGGCTCATGATGAGACACCCCCCCCCAAGCCCAAACAGGATGTCTACTTTGGGCTCTGGGGAGGGTCTCCTTGTGAGCCAGGAAGACTATTCAGGGTGCTCCCCATTTCCAGAATCCGCTTCCAGGTTCCTGGCACTACGAGTGTGTGGGGTTGCATGCAAATTGTGTGTGTGTAAATGGTGAGTTGCCTGGTATTGAAAATCACACAGATTTGCTGAAGACAAAGTGGGGGGGGCATTTAATTAAAATACAGGAACGCTGCTCTAGATTTCTTGGGAGGGGTACTTGGATGAAAAGATTGCTGTGGGAAATAAGTTTGCAGGCAAATATATTTGCTTCATTTCAGTAGCCGCCACTCTGTATTTTCCTAAATATGTTTATTTATCGTGGAACTTTTAGTAAAGTGTTCCAAGATCAGGGTGCAGATAACTTAGAGGTACCATTTGGAAGTACCCAATTCCTGTCTCAAAGGCATTTGCAAGTTAATTCTCATTAAGTTTGGGGGCCTAAAGCATGGGCTGGACTGCTCATTGTGCTTAAAGAAGCAAAGTGGCAAGTAAGCAATGTTTTGCTTCTAGGATCCCAACCTACACATCAATAATCATTTGCTCGCCTCTTCAAGGATCCTGTGCATGCTGTGAGCTATGAATGTCAACTTCAGAACAAAGAGCATTTTGTATTATTGTCCCTGATTTCTCTGGACCTGAGGGCTCTAAAGGGCTTGTGGTGGTTAGAAGGGCATCTTGTGTGTTCGCACCAGCCTGTTCCTATGTTAGGCTTCTCAGAACTCACTCCAAGTTTTCTCAGGCTTGGTGCGAAGGCAACCCTCAACTGAGCTTGCCTTACATAGCCATGCATGGATATTTTAAAAAATTGATAAGAAATTTATTTCCTTATGGAGAAAGACCATCACTCAGTGGTTGAGAACATAATTTGCTCGTAAATGGTCCTGGCTTCAGTGGCCAACATTGAAGGATCCCTCTTCTCCATTCCTGGCAAGCTATAGATGCATCAATGAGCTGAATCGGTTTAAGGCAGTTTCTGTGTTCCCTGATTATCAAAATGCAGGCAGCATGTTGGCACTACATTCAGAAGCTGCTCAAACATGTGCCCTGTTACCCAGAGGACTCTGATGTATAGCATAGTCCCTGCATAACAACAACATAATATGGCCTCTCCTTCTCTTGTCTAATTTCAGAAGAAAATATGGTTCCTCTCTTCCAGGAAGAAGATTACCAGCAACGGTTGCTAACAGGACTGGTATGTGTTGGCAATAGGTGGCACAAGTTAGTTAAGAAAGGATATTGGAAAATGTAAATGCAAATGTTAGCGTTCAACTTCTTCATGAAGCTCTGTTTTCTTTGGTCAGCAAAACTACTATACAGAAATGCTCACACATTTCCTCAGGTTGAATTTTTCGTTGTAAACGGCTCTTAGGTAATCTTCTGATGTTGAATATGAGCTTTTGGACTTCTGAGAAAATACCGTGTAATAGCCACTGGCAACCTCCTGCTAAGACCCTCTCTGTATAGAAGGCTCTAGACCCCAATTTTCACTTCTGGAATTTACATAATAAGTGGGAGTATGGGTTGCATGTGCAGAAAATAAATTGGTTCGCTTATTGTTTCCATGTCACAGGTATATGTGGAGGTCACAATAATACATAATAGTCTGAAATCTCATAAACCCATGTTTTTCTATACTTATACAGCATAAGATCATACAATGGGGGGGGGAGAGGAATGCATTAATTCATGCACTATGCTGTTGTGAGTCATATGACTTCAAGTGCTGCATCTGAACTCACCACAGATATCTTGTGATCCTACTGGACTTCTTTTGTTTTGGGATATTTTTGTACCCAATTTCTTATAGTGCTGCATTTGAAAAAGTACCGGTATATCCCAATTTTACTAAAACGCACATTGCCATATTTGTAATTTTTTTGTTGTTGAGAATTTTGATTAATGGTAATGAATTAAACAAAATAACGGTAATGAAAACAAAGAAAAGAAATACAACAAAGAACAACACTGAACCAGGAATAATTAATGTGAGACAAAGCATAGAGAGGACCATGGATCATAGAGTCCTAGATCATAGAATTGTAGAGTTGGAAGTGATCTCGAGGGTTGTCGCAATCCCCCATCCAATTACTACTTGTGGCTAAGGCATAGACAATTGTTTGCTTTATAAAACTAATCTTAACTGTCTAGGAGCACCCCTCCCCTTGTTCTTTTTAATATTATAATTGTAAGTTACTGGTTTGTATTTTCAGATGGTAGCACAGTTGAAAGATCATCTCACAAGGCACCTGCAGCATGTTGGCAAAAAGCAGATTGACCAAATAGCTGTGGATTATGTTTCGAAATCGGTTGGTTCTTTTTATGTATCTATGTATAAAAGTAAAACAATGTTTTACAGCAAGACATCATTTTGTCCCTTTAGAATGTGTGTGTTGCTGTCAGGCCTCACCATTTAGCCAGTGAAACTATTTCCCCCAAACAGCACTCACCTGCCCTGCACTCGACATCCCGTGTGATGGAGAAGCAACAGGATGGGCGCCAGCCCCTGTAGAAAGCAGGGGAGCATCATCTGATGGGCAGGAGAGCTCAGTCCTGCTTGGTTTGGCTGCACCAGACAGTTCCCTATAGAGAACTTATTGGCGCACCCAAACGTCGTGGAGAAAGCAGGATTGAACTCTCTGTTTAGCAGCTGATGTGTGGGGAATTCACTCCTCCTTGGTTCAGGTGCGTTGGCAAGCTCTTTGACCACATTGGCTGGGCCACCAACTCTACCCAGAAAGCTGCTTTCACACACAGCACATGTTGTTGGTGTAATTACAACGTAGTCCTATGAATGTTACTCAGAAATCACAGATAAGTTTCATTTTAGTTCAGTAGCGCTTACTCTGAAGTAATTGTTCATAGAACTAGTCCCCTGCAGTGGAATCCCTAAGCATGTTTACTCAGAATTAAATTAAACTATACTGTGCTAAACGAGGTTTCAGCCATAGTAAATGATTTTAATCTGCTGGTGAATAATTGTGAGAATTTTGAGAGTAAGTTAGAAAATTGAAAAGTTTGTACATAAGAATTCAAATATACCCCCCTCCCCTTTCTAGCTGGATCTAATATGCTTGATAATGGAGAATGTTTGGAAGAAATATGGTCTTGGTCCCTGGATCTTCTCATGGTAAGTAATTATTTTCAATTAAGACACAATAAGTTCAATAAAAAGAGAACCCCCACAAAAGCTGAAAAGAGTGTTGTGTTTTTTCTTTGGGGTGGTGAGATTGTGTCATGATTACCTGACTCCACACATGATAGACTTGCTAAGAACATTGATCAGAGTTTATATGCATAAAGGTTTATTTAATCTTTTGTTATTGCCTGTGACAAATTCATTCAACATGTTCAACAATGCTTATGAAACACCACAAAATGCAATTATGCTACAACTGTTGCTTTAATTTTTAGACTGTATTGTATTGTTTCATGTTTATGTTCCAGTTTAAGCAGCAGAAGGGTCATTTTAGACATAGCATTCCTTACTACGTAATACATGGTTTGTGAGGTCAGAAATGGGTGTCAAGTCTTGTATTGTATTAAGGGAAACTGAGGCACTTTAGTTACAGGTAGGTAGCCGTGTTGGTCTGCCGTAATCGAAACAAAATAAAAAAATTCCTTCCAGTAGCACCTTAAATGGTTTTATTATACTCTCTCCTGGGATTACTTGTCAAGGAAGAGGGGGCTAAAAGTATTTAAGATGCATAAACAAGTTTGCAAACTCCTTCATCCTTTGTTTCATTGTCTTGCCAGTGTGGCTTTGACATGGAGATTCTGACCTAATGTCCCGGCTAGTAAACTGATATTAAATTAAATCAGAGTTCCCTGTTTTGGAAAAACTGGTTAACAAAGCAGGTTCTCCAGATTGCATCTGGCTTGCGGGAGGAGGGGTGAGCATATGGCTTATGAAGCTGGACTATGAATAATGAAAGGAGTTCAGGGAAGTATGTGAATTTGCCGTTCTTACATTCCATGCTGTTCTTATCTTTTATGCAGTAGGCAGGAAGGAAGATTGGATGAGATGGTCGTATTCTGTATCATGTGTCAGATTCTACAGGCCACCAGTGGAATGTGCATGCCTTTGCCTCCTGGTAAGTCCTAGGACAGTCAAGCTGTGTGTTCCATTCATTTAGGCAGGGAGAGCCAAAATGCTGTAGTAATTATGGATGCACTGGACTGGAGACCTGCATTTGAAGTTCCCGCTCAACTGCATAGCTGTCAACTTTCAGATTTGAAAATAAGGGATCAGCAGCCTCACCTGTCCCGGGGACAGTCTACGGGATATCTAACAATCCGGGATAGCAGTGGGAAGCAGTGGGAAACGGCGCTAGAATAAGGGAATTTCACGCAAAAAAAGGGAAAGTTGACAGCTATGCTCAACTGTGAGGCTGATCATCTGAACTTTGGGCCAGTCTCTCTCTCTCTCTCTCTCTCTCTCTCTCTCTCTCTCTCTCTCATTCTGACATACCTCCATGGGGTTGTTGTCAGAGTGTAATTTTGTAGGAGAGAAAAGCCACGTATACCCTCAGTTTCTTGTAGGAAAGGGAGAAATATAAAAGTCATTGTGCCCATTTCTGGGGGCTAGCTTTCTTCAGTCCCCACCTGTGGCTGTATACAGAGGAAACTTTACTGAATTTTTTTACGTTGGTTGTTTAGTACAATAATTTATATCTTGCCCTTCAGGATACAGATCCTACCAAGGCAGTGATAAAATCCCAATAAAAAACCATAAGTCAGGATCTTTCCTACCAGGCAGTTGCAAGAGGGGACTCTGTGGGGCTGGCAGAGCTGGAACGGATGCTTGCATTATCTTTCCTTCCTCCTGTGCCTCCCCCCCCCCCCAGCCGCCTTCATGTCAAGATAAGGTGTTCTTATCTAGCAGTACAAAAAATCAAAACTAACAGGTGAGCATTGATTTGAATTTGTCCTGTGCCATCATCCACACACCATTCTAAGAAATATTCCTGATGTACAAATAATGTTGGCAAATTGCTGGTGACAAATGCTGCTTCCATAACCAATTCACCTTCATGAGCCACTGGGCGAATCATATTCTGAGCAGGGAAGATTCAGAGGAGTTATCCATGAAAAGAGGAATTGTGCTTATGAAGTTGACTGCACTGGAGCTTTCTGAGAAGTAGCTCTGGAGAAATTTCCTTGTTGCCCATGTTGCTGGGCAGTTTCCCAAAACAGCAAGGGGTTTCTCATCTGACCCAATAGACTTGGGCTGGTTTGCAATCCAATTAAGAATGTTTTTGCCAGAGAACGTGGCTAATCATCTTGTCACTTGTGAGGCCATTAGAGTAATGGTGTAACCCGTTGCTTATTTTTACTCAGAGTTGATCCATTGAAATTAATGTTGTTGTTTAGTCGTGTCTGACTCTTCGTGACCCCATGGACCAGAGCACGCCAGGCACTTCTGTCTTCCACTGCCTCCCACAGCTTGGTCAAACTCATGTTTGTAGCTTCGAGGACACTGTCCCACCATCTCGTCCTCTGTCGTCCCCTTCTCCTTGTGCCCTCCATCTTTCCCAACATCAGGGTCTTTTCCAGGGAGTCTTCTCTTCTCATGAGGTGGCCAAAGTATTGGAGCCTCAGCTTCAGGATCTGTCCTTCCAGTGAGCACTCAGGGCTGATTTCCTTAAGAATGGAGAGGTTTGTTCTTCTTGCAGTCCATGGGACTCTCAAGAGTCTCCTCCAGCACCAGAATTCAAAAGCATCAATTCTTTGGCAATCAGCCTTCTTTATGGTTCAGCTCTCACTTCCATACATCACTACTGGGAAAACCATAGCTTTAACTATACGGACCTTTGTTGGCAAGGTGATGTCTCTGCTTTTTAAGATGCTGTGTAGGTTTGTCATTGCTTTTCTCCCAAGAAGCAGGCGTCTTTTAATTTCGTGACTGCTGTCATCATCTGCAGTGATCATGGAGCCCAAGAAAGTAAAATCTCTCACTGCCTCCATTTCTTCCCCTTCTATTTGCCAGGAGGTGTTGGGAACAGTGGCCATGATCTTCGTTTTTTTAATGTTGAGCTTTTTGTTGATGTTGAGCTCTTTGATGTTGAAATTTTGATGTTGAAATTAATAGACATGACTAAATTAGGTCTATTAATTTCAGTAGGTCTGCTTAGTCGAACCTCACCCAGCAGTTCTGAATAGGGTGTTTGCTTTGCTTTTGCTGAGGAATATTTCTCTCTCTCTCAAACTGCAGGATTTCATACTCTGCATATAGCACTGGGCATCCGATGTCTCCCTTTGCATGCACTCTTGCATTACATTGACCATGGAGTGCTACATTTGACAGAGAAGTGCGTAATGAAACTTTTGAAAGGTAAGATGGATTTTCCATATCCCATCATTAACTATTTGCTAGCAGCTCTGAATAGAACACTAGAACAGTAACAACTGTTATTTGGAAATTAAGTCTCCCTGTCCTACACGAAAGTGACGGAAGCTGGCATCACGCCGTGTCCTAGTAAGTAGATTTGTTATTTGGGATGGCATGCAGGAGAGAGTCTTGAATTTCCACTGCCACATACATAGCACAAACGTCAGTATGAAATGAGGCCTGCAAGTATATCTCTCTCTCTCTCTCTCTCCCTCTCCCTCTCCCTCTCTCTCTCTCTCTCTCATATGTGTGTGTGTGTACGTAAATATATGCCCATATAAGTGGGTCTGTTGTTTTTTTTAAAAAAGAGGATGTGTACCAAAAAGAGTTGGGTTTTGGTTCACACTAAACTTTCCAGAGAGGCAGGACATGAGACTTAAGATTCACTCCAGTCTTTCGCTGCTCTTCATACTCTTGCGTTTATAGCATTGATAGAGAGATGGTTGGAAGGGTAGCATAAACAGAAGTGGCTTGCCTCACCTTTCATAGGTTGTGGTCCACAAAAGTTTATGCCTCATTAATTCGTTATTCTTTTAAGATGCCACAAGACAATTTATGTTATCTCTGTAATATATTCAAATATTATCTCTGTAATATATTCAAATGATATCTCTGTAATATATATTACATGATATCTCTGTAATATATCTCTGTAATATATACATTTTATGTTATCTCTGTAATATATTCAAATATTATCTCTGTAATATATTCAAATGATATCTCTGTAATATATATTACATTATATCTCTGTAATATATTCAAATATTGAAATGTATCAATTCAAATATTTTAGCTGCAACAAAGAACACCGTAAATTGTGGGCAGAAATATTTGATTTTACTGAATTCATGCTGATAGAAGAGCATATAAAGGAGAAATTTTTGTGTTAGAATGGTTTAATTACGTAAACAGTAGATCTAAAATAAATTGACATACATGGCAGTAATTGGGTGGAAGCCTTCTGCATGTAGGTTTTGATCCTACAATTCTGGGGCCCTTTTCAGTTACTGTGTTCCTTGCACAGGTCGTAATGTATTTACCTCGGAAATGGAAATACTGGAAAGGGACTTCACTTCCTCCAGAGTACTCGTTGCTACAGCTTTACAATAACACACCCACAGTGTTTCTCTGTCACCTCAATCGATTTTGCAAATCTCATCTCTTGTGCTTCTGCTTTATATAGCTCTGTTCAGCTGGCATTTATTAGGGGAGGAGGCATGGTTCCAACAACCATGAAACATCTAAGTTGACTGAACTAATCGTCTGTTCCGCCTTGGAAGTGTGGACTTCTAAACTGTGAAACAGCCTGGAGGGACTGATGTTTTGGTTTCTCATTAGGATTTTGAAGTAGTTTGGTTAACAAAATTCTCTCCTGAACAAGTTCACTCTCGTTAATGGTTGTGTTTTGCCATGATAAAGAGATGTTATGATTTGTAGAAAGAGCAAATATTCCAGTTTTTAAAAGCTTTATGTTTTATTATTCTGAAGGTCATCATACTTAAAGTGTTTGCATCGGACCAGAACTGTATGTGATGATGATCGAAACAGCACCCTCTTATTTCTGTAATTTGTTGTTAAGGAAATGTGTGACATCATGTGATTACATCATGTGTTTTTCCCTTAAACATTATGGGTTGCTGCTAGAGAAATGCACAGCCAATAGGTTGCAGCACATGTTTTTGCAGCTACACACTACAGGGAGAGCAGATGTACTTTTTCAGTGTCAACTGCGTTTGGCATTTAAGAAGCAGTTGTTTCAATGTAACTGGACTTTCTTTTTCTTTTTTCTTTAACTTTTTCTTGTAGCTGTATAAAAATTTGGTCCCAGCCACTTAACTTGAAAGTATTATTTTAATAAAAAGGTAAAGGTAAAGGTACCCCTGACCGTTAGGTCCAGTCACAGACGACTCTGGGGTTACGCGCTCATCTCGCTCTATAGGCTGAGGGAGCCGGCGTTTGTCCGCAGACAGCTTCTGGGTCATGTGGCCAGCATGACTAAGCCGCTTCTGGTGAACCAGAGCAGCGCACGGAAACGCCGCTTACCTTCCCGCCGGAGCGGTACCTATTTATCTACTTGCACTTTTTTGGCGTGTTTTCAAACTACTAGGTGGGCAGGAACTGGGACTGAACAATGGGAGCTCAGCCTGTCGCAGGGATTTGAACTGCTGACCTTCCGATCGGCAAGGCCTAGGCTCTGTGGTTTAGACCACAGCGCCACCTGCGTCCCTTATTTTAATAGTAATGCACAAATAGGGTTATATATTAGAAAGGCTATGGTAAAATCCTGTGTTCTTGAATTCATGCTAATATGCAATCAGGCAATTACATTAAAATTATATTTGAGAGCGGATTTGCTCAAACTTATTTAGATCGTGAGCTAAGGTAACTGAGATTTAAAACGTTGGTTTCATAAGTTGTCTTTCTTATAAGCTGTTTTGAGGGGGGCAGGGTTGATAGCTACAAATATACATTTGGATATGAATATGCATTAATAAAATCCCCATTAAGACACATTCTGCAAACTGTCATCAGTGCAATTCAAGGCCATCTTTTCTTAAAGAAATGGAGGGTATTTTTAGCCAGCACGACACTACATGAAAATCTGGATCAGTTTTCTATATAAATCTGGTTTATTTGTGGCACAGGCTTGGGTGTTCTGTTCGTTATGACGCGATACCTTGGTTTCCACCCTTTTGAAAAGCTAAGCTCTAGTTCTTTGTAGCTAATGCTCCAGATACTCTGGGATGAAACCAGTTTTCTGGATAACGTCAATTGGACGCCTGGGCTGGCTGCAGAGACTGACTTGGCTGCCCTGTATGAAGGAAGACCTGTGTTGGGAGACAGACAAAGGAATGTGATGCTGTTGGTTTTCTTTGATTTTGCAGCAGTATTTGATACTATCAACCATGGTACCTTCCTGGTTTGACTGCCAAAGCTAGGAGGGAGATTTAATGCCTTGTAGGAGTTCTGCTTCTCTTAATGCGCTTCCCCTACTTGGATAAGATTAATTGGTTAATTTTCACGAAGGAAAAAATGTGCAAGTTCGATGGCCTCTTTTATATTTATTGTTTAGAATTCCTGGTTGTAAGTGTAATTTTTAATCCTCTTTTCATTCCAAAAGTCTCACTGAGTGAAATATGTCTATGTGTGTTCATAATGCAAGTCACATTCTTTCTCGCTACTTTTATATGATAGCTGTAATTATCACTGCTGAATGAATACTATATATAGGCTAAGTGAATACAGGTGGGGTCCAGAGCCTGCCTTGCCCCACTTTCCCCATTGGGAGCAGTCCTACTGAGGACTAAGCAGGGAAGGGCTGGTTGCCAAAAAATAAGGTTCTGCTATGGCTGGCGGTAGGGACGCGGGTGGAGCTGTGGGTAAAACCTCAGTGCCTAGGACTTAGAATCATAGAATCATAGAGTTGGAAGAGACCACAAGGGCCATCGAGTCCAACCCCCTGCCAAGCAGGAAATACCATCAGAGCACTCCTGACATATGGTTGTCAAGCCTCTGCTTAAAGACCTCCAAAGAAGGAGATTCCACCACACTCCTTGGCAGCAAATTCCACTGTCAAACAGCTCTTACTGTCAGGAAGTTCTTCCTAATGTTTAGGTGGAATCTTCTTTCTTGTAGTTTGGATCCATTGCTCCGTGTCCGCTTCTCTGGAGCAGCAGAAAACAACCTTTCTTCCTCCTCTATGTGACATCCTTTTATATATTTGAACATGGCTATCATATCACCCCTTAACCTCCTCTTCTCCAGGCTAAACATGCCCAGCTCCCTTAGCCGTTCCTCATAAGGCATCGTTTCCAGGCTTTGGATCATTTTGGTTGCCCTCCTCTGGACACGTTCCAGTTTGTCAGTGTCCTTCTTGAACTGTGGTGCCCAGAACTGGACACAGTACTCCAGGTGAGGTCTGACCAGAGCAGAATACAGAGCAGAATACTTGCCGATCGTATGGTCGGCAGTTCGAATCCCCGCGGCGGGGTGAGCTCCCGTCTTTCGGTCCCAGCTCCTGCCCACCTAGCAGTTCGAAAGCACCCCTAAGTGCAAGTAGATAAATAGGTACCGCTTTATAGCGGCAAGGTAAACGGCGTTTCCATGTGCTGTGCTGGTGCCGGCTCGCCAGAGCAGCTTCGTCACGCTGGCCACGTGACCCGGAAGTGTCTTCGGACAGCGCTGGCTCCCGGCCTCTTAAGTGAGATGAGCGCACAACCCTAGAGTCGGACACGACTGGCCCGTACGGGCAGGGGTACCTTTACCTTTTTATGGCTGGCGGTGCCATCCCCAAAGAGGCTGACACAAAAGGGACACTCAGTCAGGATATTGATATAGGATGTTGTAAGCCAGGTGGGAAACAGTTCTCTAACCCTCACCCATGGTGACAGCCTGATATGTTGGGAATCTGAGGTGAGAGAGACATGTAGTGGATGTTTCCCCAAGTTCCAGTCACCACACAGAGGCATCTTAAGGTCCAAAATAGTTTACTGCTGCAGAAGATAAGGCTTCAATAAATACAATTCCAGTGATATGTGCATACAGCTTGTAGGCTTTGTAGCTACAGATACAGATATATACAAGTACAAAGTATCTCTGTTGTTCCAGCAGTTCAAGACATAACACACATGCATAACACTCATGCTTCCAGTCAGACTCACCCACTTCACAAGACTGAATGTGCCTCGATCACTTAGATAAGGGGCACTGGGCTGTTGCCATAGCAACTGGCTTGGCTAACCATGCACCTGTTGCCTTACCTTATTGATGGGGTGATTTGTTCTCATGAAGGAAATTAACCTCTTCCACCATGTCCAGTTCCTCCAACAGGGTAGAGGGTCAGTTTGGTTTGGTGGGATTCCCCCTTGAGTGATAGACAAAGGGAGAACTGTTGAAGTGGACTTATTGTTTTCCTCATGACTGTGTGGGATGTGCCCACTACTGGGATTTAGTTTATTATCTGTGGCCCCATTCTTCTAGTTTTATGTGGTGATATTGAATGATTGTACTGAAATGTGTCTGGGTGGGCAGGTAGCAGGGAGGTGCAAAAATGCTACAGTGATCCAGAGCCCACAGGCACAACATTGTATGAAATTTGTATATGCTAATTTATATGCATATATGCATATCGAGAAACAATTACTAGAACTCTATTTCATGAAAGGCAAGCTAGTTAATTTTCTGTCCTAATCACCAGATAATATCTTCACATGTCATCCAGATCTGTTCAATTAATTACCCCATTACCCACAATTAATTTTCTGTCCTGATCCTCCTCCAAAATCAAATTCTCTTCAGTTACCTCCATTTATCACATCATTATCCCTCTAAATTGAATGAAATACAGTTCAAAATAAGCAGGAGGCACATCATGGTTCCCTTTGGGTGGTGGGAGGCGGATGTGTACTGAGGTGAGGTGGCTACTGCTGCTCGCCATAGCTGTCAAGTGTCCCTTATTTGAAGGGACAGTCCCTTATTCCAGCGCCATGTCCCGCTGCTGTCCCTTATTGATGGATGTCCCTTAAATGTCCCTTAAATGATGTCCCTTAAATGTCAAAGGAAGCAGCTCCTCTCCCTCCCTCCCTGCCAGCCAGGGAGGAGGGAGGCTCCAACTGTGTTGCTTGGCTGTGTTGCTCACCCAATAAGAAGTCTAAGAACGACTGGGGGGTGGAGCTTGCATGCCTTGTGTGTGGCTAGTTAATGCAAGCTGAGGTGGTTTTTGAATGCTGGACGCCATTTTGTTGCACGTGCTGCTGCAAACTTTGCAGTGCAAAGCCAGGCCGGGGAGCCATCTTAAGTTGAGGCTGCATAGGCCTTGTGGTGCATGTGATTCATATTCTATTCAGTTGAACCTCTGGTTACAAAGTTGGTTGGGCAGTGTTCTCGAAGCTACCAGCATGAGTTTGACCAGACTGCAGGAGGACAGGAAGACTAGAGTGCTTGGAACAAGTGAGGCTGCAGGTCCCTTATTTTGGCTGCTGGTCCCTTATTTTCAAATCTGTAAGTTGACAGCTATGCTGCTTGCTCAGAATTTTTTTAACCTTGCTGAAGCCAAAAAGGCAAAGTGGCAGCTGGTCCACCATTGCTGCACCTCATGCGCTGTGATCCAAAACCACAAATGCTTCCATTTCCTCACAGAACTCTAGTCCAAAGGTTGCCATTCATTTGATTTTGAACTGATTTTAGAATGAATTGATTTTAGAATGCTGTATTACTTTACTGTTGTTAGCCTCTCTGAGCCTGGCTTCGGCTGGGGAGGGTGGGATATAAATAAATTATTATTATTATTACTATTTGCGTAAAAATGGCTATAAAAAAGAAAGGAAAAGCTTGCATAAGGGAATAGGATGTGATTAACTTTTTAACTTAGTGCCACTTGGAGTAATTGTAGCTGAATGAGGATTTGTATAGTCAGTGACCTTTTCCCTTTCTTTTTATCGTATCCTTTTGTTTTCAGAGCTGGATAACACCGAAAAGAATGAAAAGCTCAAACTGAGTATCCTTATAAGGCTTCCTGAGGTAACTGTGTGATTTATTTGTTTCGTATTAAATCTGTTTGTGGGGAACATACGTGTTTATTGATGAAGTCAGCCATACTACTTTTATTCCATTAAAAGGTTAGCAATTTCCCAATTTGGGAAGTGGAGCTTAGAGGAGAGTGATCTGAATAACTGTAAAATAGCCACTTGTAGAATGTGTGTCAAAAGCTTATCATGGCTTAAGGTTGGCACCTTACTGCTATAAGATAATGAGAAAACAACATTGAGTCCTGGTAATTAGCTTTTAACAGGGGAAATGTTTTAAAATGGCATGGACTGAAAGCCAGACAGTGTTGTCTCTGGCCATTGATTTACTTCTGCAGAGCCAGTGAGACAGGATCTTCATTTGAACGTTAAGCCAAGATTTAGTGTGGACAACCAAGGTGAGATTGTGACCGCTTTGCTTCTCTCCAGCGACTGCACTGAGCTCAGCCATCAGTCAGCTTTGTAGCTTTGTATGCTGTCTGAACTTGGGCTTGTAGTTTTGCATTCCTTTCTATAGGCTGCCATGTCTATTTCAAGAAACAAGAAGGGCTAATTGAACTTCCTTACAGAAAGGGGTTCTTTATTTGGCTGCATGGCAAAAACAAAGCTGGTTCTGTCCTTGCTACATTTTGTTTTAGGGAGTGGAAGGAGTCCACTGAATGGCATTCCTTCAGGGGCTGCAGTGTTGCATCTTAAATCCTCATCAGCCTTAGGGTCAGAACTCTTCAATTACACTTTAATTTAGGTTTGGAGCCAGAACTAATATTACTTTGCCTCTTTTGTTGTATGTAGCTTATTAGGAACATTAATCTTTTGTCCCTTTTTGACACTTGTCTCTTGATTCAGTTGCCCTGATGATTTTATTGGTGAATTGGTAGGGAAGAAGCCGTTATACAAAAAGTAACAAAAGCAGGATGCAGCTACCTGGCATTTAATAGGGCAGAGCTTTGTGGGATGGAAGCAGACCATTGCAGACCCTCTGCTAGGCTGCATTTGACCTTTTGGGCACTAGCTGAAGAATTCTGGCGTCTAAAGAATGCTGTTGACCACATTGTACAAGCAGGATTTTCACTATAGTGGAGAAAGCACGTCATTTGCTATTAGAGCTACATTTCTTGTAGCTTGATTCAACTGGTTCGTGTCCTACCCTCCCGATCAGGAGAAAACAAGCTTGCTCCATCTTCCATGTGACAGCCTTTTAGATATTTGAAGATGGCTATCATGAAGCCTACATCTGAAATTGTGGCTTGTGCTATTATTGTTTATTAATAATTATTATTTGGGCAGAATAAGGTTGCAGTCCTAACCCCAGTTACTTAGGAGTAAACAGCATTGAACTTGGTGTGACTCATATCTGAGTAGATGTGGTTTAGGACTGGACTGCAATGTAAATTAATCATCGTCCAAAAAGGAACAGATCAATACTGCTTAGCCCTTTAGATATCTAACCTTATTTTATTTTGTCTTATAGGCAATTGGTCGTAAGGTTAGTCAACTCTGGAATCACCCTGTAAGCACCAACAGTATTGCAAGGAACTATGTTAAACTCTTGCTTGAGAAACTCAGCAATAAACAGGTAAGCATTTTGGGATTAAACCTCAACTTGAAGTTGTTGTGATTCTTGTCCACATGGAAATTTGCAAACCTCCATTTGCTTGAGTGGAACACCAGATCAGAAGTTTGGAAGACAGGAGTGTCTGAGTCTAAATGGCGTAGCAGGAAAGCGGGGAAGAGAGATGAGGGGATCTGGATAAATTGAGTCTTAGAAGTTAAAGGGCTTTGCTGTTATTCCTAGTATTAACCCAATAATTAAAATGCATTTTCCTTCACAGTACAGTATGCTAGTTATGGAGAGTTTGTCACCTCAAATAGAGTTTCTTCCACTTAACTACTTGGTCAATATGCTGGCAGAGGTGGAGAGTCAAGGTAATTATACTCCTGCAGTTTTCTACCCAAGTTCCTTGATTGTTTAAAAATGCATCTCATCTTGCTATTGCCATGTTGTTCTGAGGTTCACATGTACCTTGCTGGAATATAGAATTATTAAGCCCCAATTTGCAGCTTCCTTAATGCTAATTAGTGGCAAAATTATCCTCCCCTCTCCTCCAAAAAAACACATTTTTATTGAATGTTGGTTACATACCGGAAAAGCAGGTAAGCAGCAAAACAAAATTATTGTGGTACGCTTGTTAAACACTTTATAAAATTCATCAGTACCTGATGCACCTAACACATTTCAGATGAGGCACTGTGTCTGCTGAGAAGCTCCTTCCAGATCACACTGGTTACTTACAGAACCTCACCTTCCTCTTTCGCGTCTGCTGCCGTGAGAAGCAACCATTGTGTTGCATGTGATGAGATTCCCATATGCCAGCCGTATGACATGAGTGGGTTTTTTTTAGGAGTGCTAAAAAATGCTTTTTTTGCATTCGTATCCACCAGCGTTAACTATAAGCCTCTCAAATTCACGCCCTTTGTATCCTTCCTAGGATGGATGACTTCTGTGGCACAGGAAAACATGAATGCAAGATGTGTGGAAGAGTTGGCACTGAAGCACACGACTCTGCTCTTAGGTCTTTAGTGAAACTTATCGAAAGCGACCTTCTTACCTCAGCTGCATCTCAGCCTTGCTATGTCTGTTAGTGACATGTACTGATTCAGGAGAACTACTAAAACTTCCGCTGACTACTTAGACAGAGTTCAGTATAATGACTTTCTCATTGTCACTACTTATTATTAGTAATGGGATACATGCCAAAGTTGCTGTGCCCAAAATGTGGTGACTTTCAGGTACCTACATGGAATTACGAACTTACGCTTAATTTGCCTGCTACTCCAGTTCAGATTCTGGCAAATAAATTCTGAATATGGAGTAACTATATAACAGATCAAAAAGAAACCGGCAGCTGTTGTACACTGATGTATAAGGGGATCAATTTATGAACTTGGGAAGTATGATTAAAATAGCTCTCTGTAAATAATGGGAATAAATGTATAATTTTGAAACTTAATATATCCTTGTTTATGTAAAATGTCATCTTTCTTTTGTATATCTTGCTACAATCACATGAAACTTCTGCAAGGCAACTAAATTTCAACTGGGGCATATTTATATCTGTATTCTCCCTTAGCAAAGTTAAGCATTATTAAAGCTTGTTGATATTGATGTGAGAGGTGATTTGCATTTAAATCAGTAAGACGGGAATGTTTCTCTTGCTGATAGATGTAGATTAAGTGTCAGTGTGAAAAGAAATAGTTGCTATCAAAAAAGTCATGCATCTCGCTCTTGCTTCTCACCTACTTTTGTAAAGCACTAGGCTTCTCTGTTTGTTTTCTTAGCTGTGAACAGCAACAGCAATAGAAAAGTTGGATTCCTATCAGGAACATTTTCAGTTTCCTACATGCTGGCATACCATTAAACTGATGTCATTTTCCTTGCAGCTACAAAAAACCCCCCTGTTATCTAAGTGTTTGACTTATAGTGAACAAAGACTTCTTCCACATATTTAAGTCAGACTCTGCATACTTGAATGTCCTATTCCAGTAGGATGGAACTATAATTAATTGTGGAAAAACTGCAGCTGAAATTTCTTCCATCAGAGTGCTGGGTACTAAAGTCTTTTTAGTCAGAGCATCATTTTAAACAGGTAACTGTTTTGCTATATAAGCCTAATGGGTGGTACCCAACTATGTCATGGTCTACCTAAGCCCATTACTTCATACTCAAGAGTAGTCCCACTGAAATTAGTCACAAACTATGCAACAGGATTAAAATATGTGTGGGATTCAGATCTAGTAAGTGGAGGAGTGCAAAATATTGTACAGGGTACTTCAAAGGGATGGGGGGCTTTTTCAGGGTTAACATGAATCAAAGTGGGAATGCTGGTCTTGTCTGGCTCAGAAATCCTGACATTTAAAAAAAGCTGTAGAAAAGTGAAACTGTGTCTCTAAGTTTAACCAGGATGGAGGAGTGGGGGAGGGAACAACATTGAAAAATTGCAACTTAAGTCTCTAGCTTAAGCGCCAGCAGCTGAAGAGGGGGCAGTGGTGGCTGGACTGGAAGGTAGAGAGGAGAACCGTAGCTGGAGTCAGGGACATTGACAGGCACAGGCAACTGACGCTACTTTCTCCCCTACCTCCTTCCTCCCGAGGCCTAAAATGCCAACCCTGAGGCTCGGGGAGAGGAAGCTGACAGCCGTGTCACCTTCTGGAATGGTTGTCTGTAAGAAGACAGGCAGGCAGGGCTGGCTGAGGGCAGACTGAATTTGGGGAGGGGGCAGTGCCTCATTTGGGGGATCTCCTTAATGGCCGACAGGTTTAGTCTGTAATTGATAACACACTCTAATCTTTGTGGCTTATGGCCCTCGTATTTACAGGACCGCCTCTCCTGGCATTCCCTGCAGAGGACCTTAAGAACCATGAATAATCATAGTTTAGAGGTCCCGGGCCCTGAGGAAGTCAGATTATCCTCCACCAGGGCCAGGGCCTTTTCAGTATTGGCTCTGACCTGGTGGAATGCTCTGTCCCATGAGAGCAGGGCCCTGCAGGATTTATCTTCCTTCCACAGAGCTATTCCGCCTGGCTTTCAATCTGAACTTAGCCTGATCTTTTATTCCCCTTCCTTCCCTTCCCTCCCCCTCCCCTTTTTATGAAGATTACCCGCTCTGGGATCCCACAGTTAATTCTCCCCTGGTTGCCTCGCTGGTCCAAATAGGACTAATTTAGCCAGCTAACCCTGGTGATCATTTAATGTTTATTGGATGGATTTCCCCCCTTAATTGATTTTTGAATTCTGAATTTATTGTTATTCATGTTTTATACTGTATTTTATGCTGTTTTTTTCTTGCATCAATTAAGTGTTTTAAATTTTTTGTTAGGCACCCTGAGCCCGGTTTTCTGAACCAGGAAAGGCAGGGTATAAATAAAAATTTATTATTATTATTATTATTATTATTATTATCCTGCTCTCGGCAGGATGCAAGTTTTCAAGAGCAATAGCTTGTCTCTTCCAAGCTTGAAGATAATGCCAGGATGGGGAGAGGGAAGTAGGAGCAATTCATTGTGACTTGACAGGTCAAGCTTTTAAGTGTCCAGCATAGGAGTGTCTGACCTTACTTGTCTACACAAATCAGCAGCTTTGTTACTCAGGCAGGGACACCTCTGTCATGTCTGCAGTGTTCAAAACATGTCTGCTGGCAAAACATTTGGGGGTAGGGATTCAGTAAAATCTTTTTAAAACCACCCCCAAAATAGTGAATGGGGGAAGGTAAATGAAATAGACTTGGGTGGACCAATTATATCAGGCAACCAATAAATTGCCTCCAACTAAGGTAGTTTGCTTTACAAAGTGCCAAACTGACTATTGGTGCACACCCTCACTAGAAAACATACCGTTTTTTTGTTTATCTAAGTGCAAGAATTTACTCCTTTCCTATTTTTGTGGTAATGCTTCCTTGCTACTGTAATGCAGATATCTAAAGTTACCAAACCATCTTCTTTGCCTTTTAAGAGGATGGAATGTAATCACAAATTTAAATAAGCACAACCACCTCATTTTATTTCAGTTACTTTATTTGAGCATAGAAAGAGTACTTCATACATCTGCAGAAAACAAGAAGGCACAGATAGTAAATGTTAATAACTGATTGGTAGCTTTATCTCCCATACTTTATACAAACTACTTGGCAGCCTCCAAACATTTCAAAATACTGCCTTAAATGTTTGGAAACTAACTGCATAAAGGTAATAGGATTGTACTGATGATGATCTATGTCTAATTTACTACTTGTGATTATTTAAAATATATATTTTTTTTGCAACACAAATATATGGGGAAATCTGCTTTATAGTTTTTAAATAAAAAATACTTAAGGGGCTACAATTTGCCATCCCTTACTGTACAACACCATTCATTTCATTAAGTGTTGTGTGACACTAGGGAATGTTTGTCAACAACACTGTGTGGTCTGTTATGCCCTAGTAATGGCATTGTGGGGAGTTCTGACTCTGAACTTAAGAGTAGGCCCTGAATTATAACTTCTGCAAGGTTCTGTCTCTTTAGACTTCAATTGGCTTCACAACTGGCTTCCTTATATGCCTCATATTTGCACTAGGCTCGCCTGGTTTGAAAGGAGCCAGTGCGCCATAGGGCCGTGGCAGAGGGAGAACATTTTCATCATCTGGGATGTAGGCATTGGGACGTTGCTCGGCTGTGGTGAATACAGAAGTTGGTAAGGAATATTGTTCCTCTTCTGTAGCACGCTGTAAAAACAGAATTTTTAACTGGTTAAATGCGGGCTATTAATTAAAACAGCTGTTATGAGTGCTATATGTTTCAAAAGAACCAGGACATTGGTGTGCACCAGGGATAAGCAAACCTGTCATTTTTTGGTTTCTCATTTTTCCCATCTGAAGTTCAGTTCTTCACAATTCCACATCTTTTTTTGTTGTTTCTTAATCAAGGTCCTTATGAAAATTAATCAGCATTTAAGTGCAAATCCCCCCCAACATACACATTTTACCAAGCTATTTTCCCTAATGTATTTTCATACACATTACTTGGCTGAATTGCAAAATTTGGAGAAGTGTTAATTTCGGGAGGATTTCTGTGTTTCGGTTCACACGGAATAAAATTTTGCACTTTAGTGTGCTTCAATAGTAGAATTATTGTACACAAGAGCACAGATAGGTAAGATATCAAGGATATCAAGCAAGTTGTACTATTGTGCATTTTTTCATTGTTTTGGCTGCTGAATTGAATGGGGAGGGGAAAACTTAGCCCTTTTCCACTGCATTGTTTTCTCCAACCTAATTTGTCACCTTCCTCTAAGCTACGGTTAGTACTGTTGAAAAAGATTGTCAATACAGTACCTGTCCTTATCACAAATCATCTACATTATGTCTAGCTTGGCCCCAAGCTTCAGTAAAGGAGCCTTTCTAGTGCTACGGCTCTGATATCTGGGTTCAGCAATGATAATAATATGAATATCAAGGCTGATAAGTTAAGTTCTACAGTTGCCTTCCATGGCTGACCTAGCAGCGACTGATGGGAGTAGAAATTCTAAAATCTAGACGCCACCAGATTGCAAGAGCCTGTTCTTCCGAGACAATATATCTGGCTGTAGTCTCACTCCACAGCTTATACTTTGAGTTGCCAGCTTCAACAGAACTTGGGCTCTCTCCTCGCTGTTCTCTTATTACTGAGATGCTATAACCGGAGCATTTTTTCAGCCTGAACTTAGTTCTGGCATCTCTCCAGAGCGTTCTGGCAGACCCTATCTGTGTCCATCATCGTCCTGGTGTTGCGGGCAGAAAGCACATTTTCTGGGTGGAGGAACTGGGATGGATTGGGAGTTGGCGTGTTGCGCGTTTTCGGCGCTTTGCTTCTCTTCCGAAAGAAGCTCGTTAAGGGAGGCAACGTGCCATGTGTTTTTGGAAGCTCCCTAGAAAAAGTTCAACAACTTTTGTGTCCTCCTGAAAGAAGCTCAACAACTTAAGCTTGTCAGTCAAAAAAAGTTGGGAGTTCCTGCACCTCCTGCACTGTCTATAACAATTACTTTAAATGATAAACGTGAGCTGCAGCAACCTCAAACGATCTCTTAGGTACCTTGCCTAAAGTGGGAAACCCTTGGGCAGACCCGCTCTGAAGAGCTGCTTAAGGATCTGAAGGGCTACAAGATGCAGCCAAGTAGAGATTCTGTCAGAATGGTGCTACCAATGCAACGTAGGCCTTTGACTACCACCTAGAAGTCCATGTCAAAAAGTTACCGAAACCTCTTCTTAAATCCACATTGGAGAAAACGCAAAATGAGCTTGCAAAGAGCAGTATCCCGGCAGAAACTCACTTTTGCTTTGGCTTCCATTGCTGCTTTATAGACTTCTTCATCACGCAACACCTTTAACCACTCAGTCTCTACATCCTTAGGAAGTGGGAGACCTTTTTCCAACCTGGAGGTGATGGTCATTAAAAACTGTTCTTTGTCTCTCATTTCTTGCTGCAGCTTAATGGCGTGTGCTTGTTTCATAGACAGCTCTGCAATAAGAGCCATCATTTTTTGGGTTGTACTTTTTATTTTCTCTTGTAGTCCATTCATCTGAAATGAGCAGCAAAAGCACAATGATATACCCAGTTCCCCAAAGCAGCCAGGAAGCTCTGCTGCTGCCTCATCTGAAGCAACTGAAAATGATCCATCTTGAGAGCATGTCAGACAGCTGCAGGATCCAAAGGTCCCCAGCTACTCTAACATGTCCCCAGGAAGGCCAACAAGCTGTGTCAGCCCTCGAGTCGCATACTTATTTCCCCTCCTATAAAAACATTAAAAATAACAATGGCTGACCTGGGGAGGGGCCCGGAAAGTCTGTCACTCCAACTTTCTGCCCTGGCAAAAATAAAAGCCACCCCATGTTTTCCCCTTCTGTGTACATAAGATTGCTTTGTTAACCCTTCTGTGTGCTTAGGCACAATTTGGCAAAAAATAATATGGGGCCACACTTTTCTCTAGAGAAATAATTTTATACTAGGACTCCTTTACAACTCAAGGTATTTACGCAAATCTAGCTGCATCAGAATGTGGACAAGGATGTGGATTTGAATTCTGTTCGTATTACAACTGGATGTGAATTAATGTTGCAATTTCAATCTCAATCTATTGAAATCAATATATGCAGCTCACAATTCTGTGTTCATAGAATTTCTTAGGAATAAGATAGAAGTCATTGGAGGTTAAATCACCTGGATTTTGGAATAAGAAAATGTAACCACCACTCCCATTTAAGCAGCCAACAGACACGTTGAAGGCTGTTGAAATGTGTGGATATCTGTATCTGAACTGGATAGTGGATGACTTTACCTTTTTTGCCAATATTAATGTGTCCTCCTTGCCATTTTCAGCCTTGGCATGTATTTTGTCCGTCAGCCGGGCAACTTGCTCAAAGATAAAGTCCTTCTCAAGCAATTTCTCTTCTTTTTGTGTCAACTTTATTTCTAACTATAGTGCAAACAGATTCATTAATGTATATAATTAATCATCAGGGACGAAGTCTACAAAAATCCATTTTATAAAGTTGATTATGCATTATATATTCTAAAGTAAAAGAGTGTTTCAGGGTTGGTTGGCAGTGGTTCAGGAGAATTTCATGGGTTTCAATTACCTGAATTAAAAATTAAATTTGCTCTTCTGACTGTAAACTCCCTGCGATACTTGGATGAAGGGTGGTATATAAATTTAATAAAATTAATCAAACAATAACCAGTTATTGTGAAGGCCAACACATTGAAACAACATCCTCGAGCAAGTTCTTGCCTCTACCCTCCACAATATGTAGTATTCCATGTCACTTGGCATAAGTGATGCTGAACATTTCTCCATTGGTGTTCAACATCACTGGGTGGTAGGGTGGGGTAAAGGACTTGTGACAATTTCAGGACATAGAATAAAGTGTTTTTACATAGAGCGCACTGGGGAGTTGGCAACATTAGGATGCTGTTTTTAGTAGAAACCTGTTTTTCACATTGTCTGGTTCTGCTCAAAGATGTCCCTTCTCAATCAACTTCAAGTTAACAGTGAAACGTAGTCACTTGTCCGCAATAGTCTTGTGGACATACAAATGATGTGATTACCTCATCTATTTTTTGGTACAACTCTTCTAGAGTGAGGTCCTTCCCTGGTAGTGCTCTTGCTCTGTTTTGTCCACTGGGGTCTATAAACAGTTTTTCCAGGCTTTTAATCTTGTCCTTGCATTGTGAAAACTGAGAGAGAAAGAGAGAAGAGTGACAAATAGGTTTGGTAACTCTCCCATAATTGTTATCTATCTATCTATCTATCTATCTATCTATCTATCTATCTATCTATCTCTATTCCAGGGAAACCAAACTCAGCACTGTTACACTTCCATTTCCACACACACACACAAAAGCCCCTATTCTGTGGAATAGAAACATCTGCTGATCTGAAATGGACAATCAGCAGGTGATTCACTCTGTGGAGTTCTTTTTTTCCCCTCTTACAAAGCTGAACCATCCAGTCCTTCCTGTTCTCAGAAGTCAGGTTGCATCACAGGAAAAAGGAAGGTTTTGGTTTCTTTAATGCACTAAAAGAACTTTTAAAAGGGGTGGGGGCGCTTTGATGCACAAAAACAAGGTAAAACTGCCCCACCCAGTTACACATTCTCCAACACATTAAAACTTGGGTTATATTGTGAAATGTCTGGAAACTGAGAAATGCTTGTTAATCAACATCAGAATATCAGAGTGTGTGCTCTGAAATGATTTTTTTTAAAAAAACACAAAACCACCACCGTACCTCATAAATAACAGGATGCGGGGAGTGTTCGCTTGAGCAGTCATGTAGGCAGCTCAGCACTATACAAAATGTACCCCTTTCTTTATACGATCTACCATGAGCCATTGCTGTACAAGTAGGGATGAGGGATGGACAAACCCCACCATTTTGGTTTCTCTCGGTTTCTAGTTTTTCCACTCTTAAATTCAGTTCTCCACATTCCCACATCAGTTAGCAATTTATTTTTTTAAAGCCCAGCATTTTAATGCAAATTTATCTTAAAAGGCACATTTTTGCAAAGCAATTTCCCCTGATATAATGCATTTTTGTAGGTTACTTTCACTACTGTATAGCGTTTTATGCACCATTACTTTGCATTGCAAAATTCAGAGAAATGTGAATTTCAAATGATGGCTGTGATTTGGTTTGCGTATTATTTTGCAAAGTGTGAATTTAGGTACGTTTGCCTTTAAATGTGAACTCAATTGAATTTCTCCCATCCTCCTATGTAGTGCCATTAAAATGAATGGAAGACACCAGCCATAGAGATACTCGCCCTAATCGTAAGTCAGCAGCAGCAGCAAAATGCTCCCCCTTCTGGTGGTTCCTTGCTGCAGTGCTGGCTAATTTTACACTAGCCTTGGTCTATGTGTGGACAAGCTACTGAGTGTATATTCATGACAGCACCACTCTGAGGATGTAGGGCAGGACTCTGCAGAGCCCACAAGACCCTTTGGCACGACACTTATACAGGCCTCCTGCCATTTTGTAATGGGAGAGCTTTCCATGATAGTCTTCAGCAAGTCTTCTCCGAATGATTTTGAAATATACTCAGAGTCGCAAAGTGATTTCATGCTCTTTTATTCAGCTCACAGTGGTGAGGAGGAATGAATGAAAGTCCCCTCAAAGTATCTGCTTTATATACATTATTTACACAATGGGCTGCACATGATTGGCTAATTCTGGAATTCTACTGTAAGCCAATCAGGTTGTGGATTCACTTATATCTGGAGCATGATTGGGTGGTTCCTGCCAACCAATCATACTGCTGCATTGTTCTAGGACCAATCAGACTGCTGCATTCTGAATCCTATTGTTCTAGGACCAATCAGACTGCTGCAATTTGGATCCTATTGTTCTAGGACCAATCAGACTGCTGCAGTTTGGATCCTATTCAACTCAGTACATAACAGATTTACAGTGGTACCTCGCAAGACGAATGCCTCGCAAGACGGAAAACTCGCAAAACGAAAGGATTTTTGGTTTTTTGAGTTGCTTCACAAGACGATTTTCCCTATGGGCTTGCTTCGCAAGACGGAAGCGTCTTGCAAGTTTGTTTCCTTTTTCTTAAAACCGTTAATACAGTTGCGACTTGACTTCGAGGAGCAACTCATAGCACGCGGTGTGGTAGCCTTTTTCGAGGTTTTTAAAGACTTTGGTGATTTTTGAAGCTTTTCCAAAACTTTTCCGACACCGTGCTTCGCAAGACGAAAAAAAACGCAAGACGAAAAAACTCGCGGAACGAATTAATTTCGTCTTGCGAGGCACCACTGTATGTTGGTCACTTGTTTACTCTCTTAAATGTCCAGAGAAGTAGCATGAAATGTGCTAGTTGCTTGTTTTGTCACTTTGGCTATTATTAAATGCTAGTCGCAAGGCTGGGCTTGGTTGTGGTGCTGTATATGAAGCAATCATCTTTACACTAAGGACACAAAAAGACTCCTCCCTACTGTGGTTGATGAGAGCGGAAACTCACCAGATCCACAACAAGTTATAGCACAGTACAGGAAAACCACAATGCATTGTGCAAAGGCTTTATCAAAATGCCATCTAACCCTGAAGATGTTTTTCACTATCCGTAGCGACCATATTGTTGTACTGACTTTGTAAACACATACTGTGTATCTTTCAGCAGGAAGTCTCACTGTGTTCAGTGAGACTGACCTAAGTTGTGTTTAAAGTTATGGCCTTGCTCTGTAACCATACTTACAAATGTAGCTAGAAACTGCATCCAAATACTTAGCTTTTGCATCAACATATGAATTTCAGCCATTCACCCCTCTTGCCAACAACACAGCCTCTCCTGACCCTGAGGCATGTGAGATATTTGTCTCCAGTCTACCCTGCCTTCTCAGCTGTCCTGCTGATTTGCTTATCAAATTTCTAGCCCACCTTTTCTCCTAAAAGAAACAATGCAAACAATGGACGAGCAAAATAAGACAAATGTGGTCCTTGAGCCACCTGCCTCCCAGCGCTTCCTGAAATATGCAGCTGGTCCTGATCCTGTAGTTCTGGTGCCCTCGCAGAAGCTGCCTTGATTCCATGACAGGAATGAACGTCCCCAACAGAGCAACTATCCTGCCATTTACCCCACCTAGCTCATGCAAATCTGTTCATCTGGGTATCCAAATTGTTGAGTGCAATTCTTCCCCCTCCAACCAGCCTAATTTTTTCAGTCATTTTTCTGGCTGTCCAAATTGTTTATGCATTCCTCGGGGGATGTGGAGAAACTAATTTCTCAAAATGAGTGGAGCCCAGAGCTGTAACTCAGTGTTATTCTACTGTGAACATAATAGCAGCCACATGTCAAAAGTTAAAATGTCCAAATAAGAGTCCATAGGGGTAGCCATTTTATCCCCCGGAATAAATGGAAGCAGCCACACATCATCATGGAACATCTTTTCCCCGTAGCAGACTTGGGGCTTTAATTTGTATAACAGCAGCAGGCCAGCAGTGCAGCAGGTGGTCCATTGCTAGATAACCCCATTCTACACACTGACATAGCTGTCATCATGCACCATCACTTCCAGGTGTGCAAAATTGTATTGCCAGCTGCCTAGTCCTGTCTCCCAGCTTACCAGCTTGAGCATCCTAAGACCTTATTTTGTAGGCCCAGGAGCCTCCTGCATCAGGTCTAATGCAATTTAGGAGTATTGTAAAATGGAAAGTTCTCCACTACAGGCCAACTACAGGTGCCTGCAGTGACTTCACATCTCCATAGTCCTGGCTTTCTTTCCTCTCTCCTTAAAATAAGAAATCCAGTTATGGAAAGGTAATATTTCCTGTCGCACCTACCTGAATCTGCAGGACGACCAGATCTGCATCCAGACCTCTTTTCAGAGGCAATGTTTTCAGGGACAACTCAATCTGCCTCTTTTTCTCCGTGAGCTTCAGCTTTAGAAAGCGGATCTTTTCATCCATCACATTAATCTCAGTATCACCATTTCGACTCATCATTTCCTGAATATTTATTTTTTCGTAAAAAATGCACACTTCTTCTTCACGCTCTATGAGCAGAACTCCACTACAAGGAACCCAAAGTGAAGACTTAATAGGCAGGTTGTAAAGAACATAATTTATTCACCTCGTCCATCCAGGAAGCATGGTGCTTGTTACAGATTAGGGGGGACCCCTAAACCCTAGAAGTTAATAAATGGTAGGATTTTGATTATTTGGAGTATTGAAGAGAAGACTGCAGGCCGGGGGGAAATACAGGCTAAGCTTCCTTTCCAAGCCTGGGATAGAGGCATTAACATGACAAAAGGGGTTGATGGCCCATCTAAGAGGAATCTTGGGCCTGGGCAGACAGAAGGCTGCCAGGGTAACTGGGTGAGAGGTGACAGGAAAAAAGTGTATTGAGCAAGGTGTGCTGGGAAGAAGATGGGAGAGAGAAAAGGACTGAGGCCTAAACTAGGTTAGTGATAAGAAGGAAGAGGAAGGAGGATACTAATTTCAGCTTATTATTTTTGAGTATCTGTCTTGGTTTGGAGCTCCATAATGACTGCCTCAGTGGTTTTAGCAATATAGTCAAAGGACAATTCAAAATTTTAGTCTTACAAGCAAAATAATAAGGCAAACTAATTAGGAACAGAGGACTGAGAAATGAACAAATTACACTTCCAGCAACCTGCAAGATGTTAAGTATAATTGTTTAATTGTACATTGAAATAAAAAATAACCCCGTATGTGTATTGCTCAAGGTTTAACATTGGAAAATTCCACTGAAGCCAAGTAAGCTCTCTGAGTGCCTAACAAGTTAATTATTAGCTGTTGAGGTATCTCTGCAGCTCTGTCATGTTTTTAACTTAGATCACATGAGAAAGGTATTCAGTTGCAAATCTCTATTTTGTTGAAAGAAAGAAGGACGTGTGCTAATTATTCTCTTTCTAAGATAATATAGCCTCGGGCTGGAATGCAGGCTGTGGGAGAGACAGAGCTGCTTTCAGCTCTAATTTAGTGTAGTTATATATTTCTAAGATGCTGTACCCTGTGCTTGGACAATTCCATGATATCATGCAACAATTTGGATGCAGTATAATTGTTTTGAGTATTTGTTTTAGAATAAGTTCTGTTAGTAAAGCTTTTGAACCATATTTTTGGAGTGGACAATTTTTATTTCAAGAGTCAGTTTCTAATTATCTGTTTGCTTCCATATCCACAATATTAATGACCACAAAAGAAGTTATCATTCCAATGAAATACTAGCAAATCTACAAAGTGTTTGAAGTTTGCTGTGCTCCCTACCTCTCATTTCGAAGCTGGACGGCCTTTTCATATTTCTTTCGCAACTGAACCATTTCATCCTCGATACGAGTCAGCAAGTTGGTGAGTCTTTCAACGTCCATCAGCTGCTGCTCTCGTTTTTCTTTCATCTCCACGAGTGTTTGATGAACTTTGCAAACATCACACTGGATGCTGTCTTTGACCGAAATGTTACTTGCATGTTTCATTTGGTATTTTTGCAATTTTCTGAATGGAAGGGAAATAAATGAAGATAAAATGGAGAATGAAACAGAGTTACATTTTTAGATGACCTTAGACTGCACAATCAGTCCTGATTTCTTGAGGATTAGTTATGTAGCATATGTGAAAGACTAAAGAACATTAATATTAAGCATTATTATTATTTTTAGTAGTATTTCTCTGAAATTTCTACAAATTCATCTTCCCTATCAATAGAAGATTGGAAAATGAAATGAAATATGTAGAAATAAAATAAATATGTATAATGAATAATAGTCAGCTAATCTTCTGAGAGAAGATGAATTGTATTTATTATGTTTATTTATGGATTTTACATCAGAGGCCTACATGCAGCATAAAAACATGAGGTTGAATCCAGACTGGCTTAGGCAGGAAGGCACAAAGCTCACATACGCAATGCCAGGGCATCACGACATTGCCACCCCCAATGACCTTCGCAAGCTGGCGCCTCTGGCCCTAATTGTTTCCTATGAAAAAATTCACCGCTTGCTATTTAAATGTGTATAATTTGTGCCTGCAGCACTTAATCCAGAAATGACACATGCACATAAGTTTGTTTCTGTATGACATCAAGAATGAAATAAGGTAACAAATATAAAAATAGAAATGATAATTTGCCACATAGTGAGAAATAAAAGCCAGTTCTAGAGCACAACAAGGATGATTGTCCTTCAAATAAATTATTAAGTGGGTGCTCACCTCTCTTTAATCACAGCATTGGTCCTTAAAATTTCCTTTTCATTATCTAGCATTTTGACTCTCTCTTTAATTTCATTTGTTTTTTGGCGAGCACAATGCAAAAGGTTGACCAGTTTGTTTCTCTCATGTCGCACAATGTCATACATTTTAGCAAATTCTTTCATTCTACAAACCAAAAATATTACAGGGAAAGATGTTACTTGTTTTAATGCATTAACTATCTCCTGCTATAGAAGGCGCTTCATCAAATCCTTTGCCAAAATTTCCTTACTGTCTCTGAATTGCTTTTTGCTTTTTCATATGTTCCCTTACTTCAAAGTCTTTTGTTTTTATATCTGCTTTAACATTATGCAGCCGTACCTGCAACAGAAATAGTAGTGAACAGACTGGTAATTGGAAGCGTTGCAAAGGCATTTCTGAAAAAAACACTTAGACAAAGACTACTCATAAGCATGCCATTTCTTCAAAAAGGTATTTCCCACCCACAAAGTGTAAACCCCACTAATAAATAACACCCATTCAAACCAGCAACATCTCAGCAGGAGCAGGCATCAGAAGAAAAATCAACTTACCCAGCTTCACAACGCAGTCCTAATTCTTGTGACTTCCCATGGGATGTGGGTGCAGAAGGGGAAGAAGAATAATTGTATCACAGGTAAATATAGCCTTGCCAGTGGTTTGGATTCGAAAGTGTGTTTTGTGCCATTTTCTAATTCTTAAAGTATTGACGCTAGAAGCGGCAAATAAAAGCTGACGACCACAGGCCCCTACTAATTCCAGGCAAGTACAAATATTGGATGTATCAAACTAGTCATCTGTTGGATTCCTCTTACCTGGGATTTTAAAAAATCCTTTGATTTTTGCTCCCTCTCATCAGCTTTGATCTGAGTCAAACGTATCAAGTTGTCTACTTCCTCTCTGTAGTGTTCCTGGGCCTTAAATAGTTGGTCTTCTTCAGCAATACACTGCTCAAGCATTCGTAGTTCAGCATCTGTTGATGTTTTCTAGATTGAAAACACCAAAGGCCATTTTAATGTTATGGGGGATGGGGACATCAGGTGTGGGGCAGGTCTAGGAGCCAACTCCTAGGGGCCAGGGTCCTTTTGGCCCCCCAAATAAAATATTTGAGGGGGCTGCCCCCCCCAAGTTGATGGGTATTCCCATTGAAGTGGTGTGCATGTGCTGTTTTGTGATCAATTATGTGGGACGGCGCTTATTTGGGCCCCCCAATATTTTATTCAAGTTGGCCCCCCTGGGGGCAGGTAAGCACTTGGATAAAATTGGCTGAGCTAGTGCCATGGCGCTGTCAGGCAAGGAATGGCCAGAGTGAGGAATTGAGTCTTTATTGTCAAAAGGACACTTACAGGTTAGGAAAAGGCAAGCCTCGACCAGCCTGACCTCTCTCTCACTCCTCCTACACTGATCCCTTATTACAAGTCCGCCTCCAACCCTACCCCTTCTCCTAGTGCCCATGCCTCAGGATCCAGCCACAAGTCCTCAGTGTCCAGCCAGTTCCGACAGCTGGTGCAGCTGACGGGCGCTGAGAGGAGGCACCTTTGAAGTCCAATGCATGCTTTCATCACAAACTGGAAAACAGTAAAACAGGTATCTATCTAGACAGTTGGCACCACTTGAGCAATTAATATTGGAAGGATCAGACTCCGTAAATGAGCCTCCCTGATCTGAAATTCTATCCAATACAGTGGATGCTCAGGTTGCAAATGTGATCCGTGTGGGATGCACGTTTGTAACCCACAGCATTCGCAAACTGCAGCAGTGTTTCTGCGCATGGGCGGTTGCGATTTGGCACTTCTGCACATGCGCAAAGCATGATTTAGTGCTTCTGTGCATGCACAACCACCAAAACCCGGAAGTAACCTGTTCCGGTACTTCTGGGTTTCGGCGGTCCGCAACCTGAAAAAACTCAACCTGAAGCGTCTGTAACCTGAGGTATGACTGTACACCACACTGAATCTTACCTTTGCAACTAGTACAACATTTAACCTAATAACCAGTAAACAAACTTTTTTACAAAGAAATGACACACGGAGAGAGGTTTTCAAATCTAGGACTCAACACCAAAAAGCAACAACTACATCTGCCCTATTTGCTATTGTAAGCAGCTATGCCAATTGTAAGCTGCCCCCTTGTACTCCTAAACAGCAATCCTGCCAGTTCTGATAAACTTCATTTTACTCCTATACCCACTCTGGCTAGCATCCTCCTCTAAAGGGTGTTAAGGAAACCCTGGCAGTCTGTGTTCTCTTCAAATCTCCTTAGAGAGGGTAAAGAAATTGCACCGGTCATAGATGTCAATGGAGAAAGCTGCCACTATTCCACCAGCTCAGTGAGGAGATGTTTGGATATTACATAAGCATAAACTTTACAAACTCCATGTTTATTAATGGTGCAATGCTCCTGTTACTCTATATTTCATTTTTATAAGTCCCCCCCTACAGCATTGCATTGTAAAGCATTGTGCACTTGAAGGTAAAATGAACTGGATAAAAACTCATCCAAACTCGGGAATACACAAATTTAAACTTCTGTACCCACAACACTCCACAGGCTGGAAGCAGAGTGGGTGAATGGCTAAAACTGTAGAATTGTTGAAGGTTGCTTGACTAGATTCCTTATGCATGTATGAAGATTTAACTGAATAAAAGGGTCCCCCCCACTTCATTTCAATAGTTTTCCTCTATCATATCTTGTTTATCACAAAGATGCCAAAAAGCGATCACTGGATGCTTTCATACAGCTGAAAGAAGAAAAGGAGTCTGATACAATGCCTGAACTACAACTGTTTGTAACGGCATGGCACACACAATGACTACACATACAGTACAACATTCTTTTGATGATCACACATTTGGTGCAATGTGACCTCAGCAATCTGTGTACTAAAACATTTTTACCCATTTCATGGCGATTTATGACAGTATTAGAGCTTTTAAACCAGGGGTAGTCAACCTACCGCCCACTAATGCATCTTTCTTGATGGTAAAATTTCCTTACCGCCCACCAGTGCTCAATAGGAGGAGGATTCAGCTTGTGCCGTAGAACCCCCTACCGCCCACCTAGAATCCTGAAACACCCACTAGTGGGCTGTAGGGACCAGGTTGACAACCCTTGTTTTAAACGGACACAGAGTTTTGCAAGACTTGTATCTTAAATATTGTAGAATGGAAAAGAACTAGAAAAACATAAAATATGGGTCATGGTAATAACATACCTCCTGGGCCAGATTTCTCTTAATCATTTCTACTTCCCTCTGGAGCTCCCTTCGTCTTTCTAGTAGTGTCCCATCATCTTTTGGAACAGCATCTAGCTAAGAAAGGGAAACCTGGCACAGTTAACATATGCAAAAGAAGGAAACAGTGGTATTTTAACATGGACAGTACTTAGCATCTTCCTTAAACATTAACTGAATTAAAGATTAAGATTTAGGAATGTAGGCACACATTCCAACTGCAGAACATGGTTTTTTTTTTAAGTTTGTTAAATGGCTTGCTAAAGGATGCTAGAAAAACAACCATCACAGCAGTTGATGTAGGTACTACAGCTGCAACCTGGAACCATGTAGACATGTTAAGCTCAGTGGGATTCCATATCAAGACACACAAGACAAGCGCTAACTGATCCGTAATAACCACCTGATCCATAATAATCTCAGTGCTGACATATGATATATAATGATGATAAGCTGCTATTGTAAGCAAACTTAAGTCATGCAGATGTGTGTTGGCATAATTTGTACTGTGGTGGCTGAAATACCTTTTGACGTGGCTTCTAGGTGTCCTAAACATGCCACACCCTTTCTCTGCCTATTTCTGTATTGTGTATCAGTTTTGGATGCTGCTGCCAGACTAGCATTCTCATGTGATGGTGATGCCAACTTATCAACTTGCAACATCACAGCATCATTGTACCCCATCACTTAAGGCACTTTTAAAAATATGATTGCCCTAATACGGATTTTTTGGAACTTGCTATCTGTGAATGCCCATCAGTTTGCGTGCACAGAAATATTTACAGAAGGGCAATTTTCCTAACAACTTCAGACCATTAGACAGTTAAGCAATGCTTTCCAGTATAAATTTAAAATGCCTGGCAGCTCCTGGGTTACTTTACACAACTGAGTAGAAGGCATGATAGAAGAAATATGGAGGTCTTGTAAAAGCTACTATTTCAACACTCCTCCGTTATTCCATTTCCACTGATAATGTTGTGGTTGGTTCTTTTGGCTTAACTGCAGCAAGATCATATAGCCCAAAATGTTACTGACACACACAATACACTTTACCCCTGTTGCCCTCTCTGCCTTGGATTGACACGTGGCTGGGAAAAGGCACAACTGCACAGTAAGCAGTTTCACAAGGGAATCTGGCGTGATGCTCTTGTGAAATAACTGGTTTGTAGGAAGTGCTTCTGTCACAACCTGTTTCCTGATTCTGTGAATGCTTATTCATACAATACTTCCCACAAAATTATATGCAATTGGGTAGAACACTGCCATAGCATCGAAGGGATTTGGGGGGGGGGGGGGACGAAGCATTTTCATATGCTTTGTTAGAGTTCCTTTCAAAAAGAATAACCTGGTGACGCAGTTGTAACATTACTGTAAGAATTAATCAGCAAAGCCGTCAGTTTTGTGTAGTTTCCTATATGTTACCCTCACAATAAGGCCTGGCTCGTTCCCCTCTGCATTCCGCCCTCTTGGCTTCTCGGTCAACCTTATGCCGAGCCTCCATAAATATCTCGAGTTATCTGGTTAGACTACATAAAAAAGTTATTATAACTCTATTCTTCCAGGCCTAACATATGGATTAACATTTACAGGTGAAACTCAGAAAATTAGAATATTGTGGAAAAGTTCATTTATTTCAGTAATGCAACTTAAAAGGTGAAACTAATATATGAGATAGACTCATGACATGCAAAGCGAGATATGTCAAGCCTTTATTTGTTATAATTGTGATGTTTATGGTGTACAGCTGATGAAAACCCCAAATTAACAATCTCAGAAAATTAGAATATTAAATGAAATCAGCAAAACAAGGACTGCAAATAGAGCAATATTGGACTTCTGAGAAGTAGAAGCATGCACATGTACTCAGTACTTGGTTTGGGCCCCTTTTGCATCAATTACTGCCTCAATGTGGCATGGCATGGATGCGATCAGCTTGTGGCACTGCTGAGGTGTTATGGAAGACCAGGAAGCTTCAATAGCAGCCTTCAGCTCTTCTACATTGCTCGGTCTCATATCTCTCATCTTTCTCTTGGCAATGCCCCATAGATTCTCTAAGGGGTTCAGGTCAGGCAAGTTTGCTGGCCAATCAATCACAGTGATCCCATGGGCATTGAACCAGGTTTTGGTACTTTTGGCAGTGTCGGTGGGTGACAAAGTCCTGCTGGAAAATGAAATCAGCATCCCCATAAAGCTCGTCTGCGGAAGGAAGCATGAAGTGCTCCAAAATCTCCTGGTAGACGGCTACGTTGACCCTGGACTTAATGAAGCACAGTGGACCAACACCAGCTGATGACATGGCTCCCCAAATCTCTTTTCTGATGAGAGCAGCTTTTGCATCTCACTTGGAAACCAAGGACCCAGGGTCTGGAGGAAGAATGGGGAGGCACACAATGCCAGATGCGTGAAGTCCAATGTGAAGTTTCCACAGTCTGTGTTGATTTGGGGAGCCATGTCATCAGCTGGTGTTGGTCCACTGTGCTTCATTAAGTCCAGGGTTCCCCCTACCAGTGGTTTACCCTTACCGGACTTCCTGCGCAGCGGGCAGGAGTCAGATATAGTCGGGTCCAATCAATGCCTAAGCCAATACCACTCACATTCTGTAATTCAATAAAGTTCTGGCCAAATTTGCCCAATAACATAAACCTAATATCCGTGTCCTTGCGTGAGTTATTTCCCAACGAGGGGGTGGCTACGGAGTCTCGACACGCAAGTCACAATTTGAAGTAGCAAGCAGTGTGGGGTGGGACAGAACATCTCTCTATGCAGCCAGGCACACAAAAGCACACTTGGGCCACTTGCCAGGGGTGGGGGGCTCCTCTGTGTATTCTGGCTCCTCTGTGAGGGGTCTGGGGCAGACCCCTGACTGAGGACTTCATGGGTCGGGTTGACTCCCAGGGTATAAAGGGAGGCTCATGCTTCCTTCCAGTCTGGTGTGCATCAGCCTTTAGGAATTTGCACGGTTTTAGCATCAAACTACAGTACAATCTAGGCTGGGTGGAGTGTGTGCCACAGTCTGAAACTGTGAAAAGCAGAATCTACAGATTTATCACGGGATGTTTTATTTCTCTCGAAAAGGAACATATCCTTCCTCTAAATACGGCATTCAGTAACCTTCAAAGCCAAACATAGCCAGATTCTCAGTTACCCGAGTTTTAGTTTTTTACTGCCATAGCTTGCTGATACAAATATTTTTGCTTTTTTGGTCTCCTGTTGCTGTTTGTTATTCTTTAGAATAGCAAGCCCTTGGTTGTTGTGGCTGCCTTCGTGCTGGAATTCCATGTCAACTGGCAAAAGCTGGATGTGTTAATGATTGTAGTATTCCAACGCTGCCACAACACTGTGCACACACAATCCTGTGTGTAGAAACATTTTCTCTTTTTTGTAATATATATTTTTTCTATATATAGAGTTACATTTGTGATTCAACAATTATATTCCAATTCAACAAAACTAGTGACTTTTTGCTCACCCATCACCCATGTTTATAACTCAAGTTACATACAACTGCATTTTAAGGTTCTGTCTTATCTGATTTCATCCCAACATGTTTCTTAATATATATAATATATTCTTAAGATATTTTGCTGTTTTCTTATACAGTGGTGCCCCGCAAAACGAATGCCTCGCAAGACGAAAAACTCGCTAGACGAAAGAGTTTTCCATTTTTTGAGTCGTTCCGCAAGACGAATTTCCCTATGGACTTGCTTCGCAAGACGAAACGTCTTGCGAGTTCGTTTCCTTTTTCTTAAAGCCGCTAAGCCGTTAATAGCCGCTAAGCCGCTAAGCCGTTAATAGCCGCTAAGCCGCTAATAGCCGCTAAGCCGCTAATAGCCGTGCTTCGCAAGATGAAAAAACCGCAAGACGAAGAGACTTGCGGAACGGATTAATTTCGTCTTGCGAGGCACCACTGTACTTCAAACCCAGCTAGGATCTTCACATATGGGAAATAACTTTTTATTTAGACTAGAAATGGTTTCCAGAGCTCTTTAAAAGGTTCTAAATTTGTATCTTTTATCAGTGCTTGCAGCTGTAGTCACGTACAAATACCATTAAGGCTTTCTTTGGGATTTCACTGTCTAGTTTCCCCAGCAGGGAGGACTGTGGTATCTTGGGAAAAGTCACTTTAAATCTTTTATTAATTTCATTATATATCATGTCCCAAAAGGCCTTTCACCTTCCTGCAGGTTCACCACGTATGATAGAATGACCCCTAACAAACTTTACATTTCCAACATTTGTTTAATACATTTTTGTACAATTGAGCTAGCTTCTTTGGGATTAGATCTTTACATCATTTTGTAATAGTTTTCTTTTAGGCCATAACATGCTGTAAATTTCCTTCCTGTTTTCCAAAGCTTTTCCCAGGCAGCCATATCTATATTATGTCCAACATCTTTAGCAAATCCATTATTTAAATCCTTTTTTATAGATTTTGTTTAATTGATGATATTGGAACCAGTTACCCACTAAGTTTTGTATTTTGTTGAATTTTTTAAGCTTACATTCATTATCCTGAAAGCTCAATAAATCTCTATATAAAGCCCATTTGGGTTGCATATTTGTTGATTTATGTGCACAGGCCTCCATTGGTGATAACCATAAAGGAGTCTTATGTTCCAGAAGGCTTTTAGTTCTCCTTCACACCTCCATCAGACCCCTACTTATATAATGGTTAGGAAAATCTTTATTTTTATTGACTTTGTCATACCACAGATATGAATGCCATCCATATCTTCTGTCAAATTGTTCCAAGTCTAATAATCTAGTATTTCTTAATGTTATCCACTCTTTTAAGCAAGTTAAACATGCTGCTTCATGATACAGTTTGAAATTAGGTAAGGCCAAACCTCCTCTTTTTTTAGCATCTGTGAAATTCTTAAAGTTTATTCTTGGTCTCTTTCCCTGCCAAATAAATATAGTTATGTCTCTTTGCCAATGTTTAAAACAGGTAACCGAATTAATTACTGGCACAGTCTGAAAGAGAAAACGGCATTGTGGACACATTTTCAAGCTAATTTTAACCAGGAAAAATATCTCTAATCAAACTTATTCATACAAACCTCTAATTGGATTCTCTCATGATAGGATCTGATTTGCTCCAAGCCCTCCTGAGCTATCTTCAACTGCATCTCCATCTTTTTAAAATTTCTGAAATCTTTCTCTCTCTCTCTTTGCATCCGACTCAAAGTGTCTTGCAGTTTTTGCTTTGTCACAATACAGTTACGAGAACCCATTTCTAAGATAGCCCTACAGAAGTGTACAGAAAGGAAACAAAATGTACAAAAGAAAGGAAAAGTAAAACTGGGCAAGGAATAGGTATAAACAAAATCAATGAATTCCTGTTATTTATAATGCTGTGATTTGTTTTGTTATTTTTTTGCGAAGTATTTTAAACTCTTGTGAGCTGCCCTGAGTGCATCTTGATGTAACATTTATAGGAATAAACAAAAAACAGTTAGGAACAGTGGGAGTAAAAACTATTGTTGAGCAGCAGTCAAAATATGAAACCAGCAATCACTTTCAAGGACACTGATTCAACTTTACCAGCATTCCAGCACTTTTTGTTCCACAAAAGAAGCTATGTCAGTCTGTTGCAACAAAACCAAAAGCCTTATGGAGATTAATGTTTTCCAACCATGCCACGTGATCCCTTGGGATTCCTAAGGAGTTTCTCAATGAGAAGATCATCCATGGCAGACAGGATATCCTGAAAGGCAACTTGCCCATCATTGCTACAGTGGTGCCTCGCAAGACGAAATTAATCCGATCCGCGAGTCTCTTCGTCTTGCGGTTTTTTCGTCTTGCAAAGCACGGCTATTAGCAGCTTAGCGGCTATTAACGGCTTAGCGGCTTAGCGGCTATTAACGGCTTAGCGGCTTTAAGAAAAAGGAAACAAACTCGCAAGAACTCGCAAGATGTTTCGTCTTGCGAAGCAAGCCCATAGGGAAATTCGTCTTGCGGAACGACTCAAAAAACGCAAAACCCTTTCGTCTAGCGAGGCATTCGTCTTGCGAGGCATTCGTCTTGCAGGGCACCACTGTACTTTTTCTTTGCAATATGGTGCACTGTAGAGCATATTACCAGTTTTCCAAGAATGTCAGTTAAGCCCCCACAGACCTAGTCACTGCTCTATATTTACTGAGAGCTTGTGGGCTAGAAACAGTCTTGAGATCCTCTGCAAAACAGAGGGATTCTATAGCAGATCTGCAATGGGAAACTGTTTCCTGAAGGTAGTAAGTTTGAAAATCACTGGGCTTGAGGTCACTTCACCAGATGCATGAAATAATTTAGAAAATTGGTAGGCTCATCTCACCGTATCTACCAGTTTGCTTGACCATATTATCGACTGACAAAGAAGCTGATCTGCTGATTTATGAGTCATTGAGAAGTTTCTGAAGATCCACAGGGCTCCCTGTAGCTGCTTGTTACAGCAATAAGCTGGAAAAACAGCATTCGCTCCCTTTTTGTTTCCAGGCCCAATTCAAAGGTGCGGAATAAGATATTTAAAACGATGTACAGTTTAGTACTGGAATATCTGAACAGGAGTCTTCTCCCATATACGCATCTTGGAAACACAACCTAGCAACCCAGTGGAATTTAGCTAGCAAAGCAGGTGGTGAAAGACAAATTCCTCCTGTGAATGCAAAACCTACCTTTCTGCTATGGCACTTCCTTCATTCTCTTTGTTCATTTCATGCATTTTAGTAAGAGAGATAAATTCTCGCTCCTTGCTTTCCAGTAAAGCCTTTTTCCCATCCACCTCTTTCAACACATCATCCTTTTCTTCTAGCGCCTCGTCATTTTTAGCCTCTATTTTTCTTAAGGATTCAAATATCTCTCGTGCTTCTTCCTGCATTGCCTTTCTCTTTTTCTCCGTTTCTCTGTAGACAATTGCAGGTGTTTATATTAGTAACAAAACAGGTCTCTGCTCACATCCTGTCATTATACCTGTTGTACTCCAGTAAAAACACAATAAAAATTAACGTAAGACTTAGACCCAAATTCCTATTCCAAAACCATGAGACCATGTTGAAGCAATTAAAGGTCCATAATGCACTGCCTGCTTTCATGTGACAGGGGGCAGGGAGTAGTAAATATTCCAAATAAATAAACATATTTATTTATAAAATATATATATTTATAAAAATATAGCTAACAGGAAACTGGTCTAAAATTTCTAGTAGATCTAGTGACAGAACAGTAATGAGACTTGGGTAGACCTGTGTCTGAGAATCTAGTTCTAGGAATATCCTTGTGCTGTTTTTCACTGGACAGATCTGGTGTTCATCTACAGACAGACCTAGCATCCATATTGTGTCTTCCCACCCTCAGCTGAAACCTTCAATGTTTTTTCTGGACCCCTTAAGCCTTTAATTAATTGCACTGCTACTACAATTAACTTAACAGCCCTGTTTAGGGAAGTTTTTTAATGACTGATGTTTTAATGTACCGGTATTTTTAATCTCCTGTTGGAAGCCGCCCAGAGTGGCTGGGGAAACCCAGCCAGATGGGTAGGTTATAAGTAATAAATTATTATTATTATTATTATTATTATTATTATTATTACAGCTTCCCCCTCCACTAAAAAAAAAAAAAAGAGGTTCCAGGATAAACACTAGAGTACATTTCAGGGTTGGCATTCCTGTTGTTTAGTCATTTAGTCGTGTCCGACTCTTCGTGACCCCATGGACCAGAGCATGGTTGGCATTACATTACTCTTAACTCCCACTCTTGAAAATGGAAATAACCCTGTGTTTAGAGCCAGTGTAATCCATGCTCTAAGGGACGCGGGTGGCGCTGTGGGTAAAACCTCAGCGCCTAGGGCTTGCCGATCGCATGGTCGGCAGTTCGAATCCCCGCGGTGGGGTGAGCTCCCGTCTTTCGGTCCCAGCTCCTACCCACCTAGCAGTTCGAAAGCACATCAAAGTGCAAGTAGATAAATAGGTACCGCTTTCTAGCGGGAAGGTAAACGGCGTTTCCGTGTACTGCTCTGGTTGCTGGTACACCAGAGCAGCTTAGTCACGCTGGCCACGTGACCCGGAAGTGTCTCCGGACAGCGCTGGCCCCCAGCCTCTTAAGTGAGATGGGCGCATAACCCTAGAGTCGGACACGACTGGCCCGTACGGGCAGGGGTACCTTTACCTTTAATCCATGCTCTAACTGCATTGGCAGGGCAACTTCTTTAATTTTTACAAGCTCCGTTATAATTTTGGGGGCTAAGCAATAATATCTGAGTTAGAAAGATCCAAAAAGTCCCACTTCTGCAGCAACCTTTTGTTTTTTGGGGGTAACTTTTGCCTAATCATAACCACACTAAAATCACGGATGCCTGAATTGTTTTCTATGGGGCGATGAGCACTTTGCCACGGAAAGCTTTAAAATGAGCCTAGTTCAATCTGTAGAAAATGGGTGTGTCACTCTAGACTTCTCACTATCTGAGTGGTTAGATTTGTTTTCATAAATGTCAATCAATGTTGTGATATCATTCATTGGCTAAAAACGCTGAAAGGTGGGAGCAGGCTAGGTAAAGGGACCCCTGACCATTAGGTCCAGTCGTGGCCAACTCTGGGGCTGCGGCGCTCATCTCGCTTTATTGGCCAAGGGAGCCGGCGTACAGCTTCTGGGTCATGTGGCCAGCATGACTAAGCCACTTCTGGTGAACCAGAGCAGCACACGGAAATGCCGTTTACCTTCCTGCCGGAGCGGTACCTATTTATCAACTTGCCCTTTGACGTGCTTTCGAACTGCTAGGTTGGCAGGAGCAGGGACCGAGCAATGGGAGCTCACCCCATCACGGGGATTCGAACTGCCGACCTTCTGATCGGCAAGCCCTAGACGCTGTGGTTTAACCCACAGGCTAGTTTCTTACAAAACAAATTAACAGAATAGTGCCTCCACATTTGACATCGTATATTAGTTTTCACAAGGGCTAGAGATGTAACTATTTTAAAAACAAACACTAGGAACCCGCAGATTATGCCAAACCACCACACTCCTTGTGCCTGCCCCAAAGATGCTCATGTCCCCCTCACAAGCGTCCCTTGGAAGTCTGAACAGCTCCATGTTGTTACTCATCTGTGCTCTGATAAAATCAGGAGCAAAGTCTTGAGGGCCTTACATTTTCTACCCAGGTGTTGATAAAACACTTACACTTTTAATCCAATTACTTTTTTAACTATGAAAAGGTGTACCTAATATGGCAGGTGCAAAGGATTTTTTATTATTATAAAAAACCCTTTTCAATAAGAACTCAGCTCCGTCTCTTTTAGAAACTGATTAAAAAAATTATACATTCCAAGGGTCATTTAGTCCAATCCCTGCAATGTAAGAATCTTAGCTAAAGCATCCATGACAGATGGACATCCAACCTCTGCTTTAAAATCTCCAAGGAAGGAGAGTCCACAATCTCGCGAGGGAGACTGCTGCACTGTCAAACAGCTCTTACTGCCACAAAGTTATTCCTGATGTTTAGTTGGAATCTCCTTTCTTGAAACTTGCAGCCATGCGTTCAAGTCCTACCCTCCAGAGCAGGAGAAAACAAGTTTGCTCCATCTTCCTTTGATGTTGTAGTTGACAGCATATGTTTAGATGGCTGTGCATCAGTTTAGTTTTACAGGATCCTGAAGACCTTTTGTCCATCTCAAAAGCTCTGAAGGAGATCCACAGAATACTAGCCTCTAAGGGCTTTGAAGCTTGAAAAGCTAATGGCAACAAGGGCCAAAGACCTATAAAGTAGCAGGAAATTAAAATGCAATCTCAAATACCGTATTTTTCGCCCTATAGGACGCACTTTTTCCCCTCCAAAAATGAAGGGGAAATGTGTGTGCGTCCTATGGGGCGAATGCAGGCTGTCGCTGAAGCCTGGAAAGCGAGAGGTGTCGGTGCGCACCGACCCCTCTCGCTCTCCAGGCTTCAGGAAGCTCTCCGCAAGCAGTGGGAGAGCTGTGCGAAGCCACGCAGCTCTCCCACCACTTGCGGAGAGCTGCCTGGACCTAGAAGCCTGGGGGGCGCTGAGCTCAGCTCCCCCCAGGCTTCGCGCAGCTCTCAGCAAGCATTGGGAGAGCTGCGCAAAGTCGCGCAGCTCTCCCACCGCTTTGCGGAGAGCTGCCTGTTCTGGGGGCTGGGGTCGGGGGAAGCCCCGTGCCTGGGGGGGAAATTATTTTTTCCCCTTATTTCCCCCCCAAAAAACTAGGTGCGTCCTATGGGCCGGTGCGCCCTATGGGACGAAAAATACGGTAACCATGTTTCAGAAATATCAGAATTTCTATGTTATTTCTGTAGCTTTTAAAAGTATGATTTAAAGCTGTTCACCATCTAACTGTAGAGTCACAACGTAATAACAGCACCAGATAAAACAAGCCATGCCTTCAGAAAAATAAAAAAAGAAAAAGAAAAAAGAAAGAAACATTTTCCATAGCAGCAGGAGGTTGCTATGCAGCACAGCATCGCTATACAGGTGCTTGCAGTGAGCGCCCATGTAATATGTTACATTATCAATTTGATGGAGATGAATATCTCTGCTATCACTAAAACAAGAGCTTCAGTCTAGGGCAGGTATGAGGAACCCGTGGCCATCTAGAGATTGTTGGGTTATAATACCCATCATACCAAACCACTGGCCATGCTGGCAGGGACTAATGGGAGTTAAGGTCCAACAACAGCTGAAGGATCACATGTTCCCCATTGCCTATGATTTTGTCAGGATTGGATTACAGTGGTACCTCGGGATGCGAACGGGATCCGTTCCGGAGCCTCGTTCGCATCCTGAAGTGAACGCAAGCCGTGTCCACGCGTCTGCACGTGCCACATTTCGGTGCTTCTGCGCATGCGTGTGACGTCATTTTGACGGTCTGCGCATGCGTGCGCGGCAAAACCCGGAAGTAACAACCCGAATTTGCCTAACCCAAAGCGTATTCATCCCGAGGTATGACTGTATGAATGTTGTGGAAGCCAGAAGAAGAGGACCCAGTTCAACAAACCAATCTGAAAGATGGGAAGAACCTACCGCTATGTAACCACAGCATTTGTCACACCAGCAAACAGACCAACACAAATATTTAGGATCAACGTTTAAGTGCCAGGTGACTTAAATTCAAGCAAACAGCAGCGGGCTTAGGACTGTCCACTGGGCTGCTAGCAATATGGGCTCCTTTGGGAGGAAGGGTAGAAAGTCAATAAATATACATAATACTGGGCAAACAAAAAACATTAAGGAAGAAACCCATACTGCATTCTGCGGTTTATTTTGTCCATATCCTTTCCGAGCTGAAGAGGAATGGCTTGAAGACGGACAAGGTCATCCTAGTGATAAAAATATAAACATTAGTCTACACAGACTGAGGTTTTATGGAAAGCTACAGAACTAATATTCAAGTTGTATCAATTGGGAGCACACAGTGGTGCACAGCTACACAGACTAATGAATATATTATTGAATTACTTTTATTTCTTCTTGCTTCCGAAATAGTTCCTCGAGTTCTTTCTGATCCTTAGTAAGGCGCTTGTGTCTTAAAGAAAGATCATCTTTCAGTGCTCTGATTTCTTGCCGCCTGTGTGTAGTTTCTTTACGAAGTTCTTCACAGCTTTCCCTCAGAGCCTTCATCCTCTTATCTGCATCCTTTAAAAAGCGAAAATTAGTCACTTCATGTTTGGAAAGTGGAATGCACGAATTAGGAAAACATTAAAACATGGTTATTCTAGAATGCATGTTAAAATAGTATTTTAGGGGCATGCATGTTATTTGACCTGCAATATTACTACCCATTTAGCTTCCCTATTACAAAATCTCTCAGTTGTGTTGTAGACTTGTTTTGTGGCAGTCCCTCATTAGGGTCAGGAATAAAAAGGGAGGGGACTGCGCCTGCCTCCCAGAGTTCTTTGCTCTCCTGCCTCCGTCCTGTCGGTCGTAACCCAACCCATTCAGTTCATCAGCAACCACCTTAAATTGGATGGGATTAGGAGATCTCCACCTCTGGGTTTCTAGGGATATATTTTAGATTAGGGACATATGGAGCAGGTCTCCTGAAGGCTAAGGCACAGGCAGTAGCAAAGAAGTCAGTGACTGCTGCTACTGTTAAGTGCTACCGTGTTTTTTTGGGGAAAGGGACAAAACATTTGAAATGAAACTTGTCACAAACTATAACTTTGGTGGTATTTGGCTGGATTATTTGGAAGATCATATAAATGCTTTTGCTCTTCTTGAAGCTTAGCTTTGTAGTTTTCTTTCACTTTCAAAATTGTTTGCCCTGCCGTACCTTGTTCTCTCACTGAAAAAGCCAAATGCAAATGAATAGAAGCAATGCAAGCTACCACAGGGCAGCTCCACATTTCTATGTTTCCCAACAATGACATACTAAGCCAAATTTTGGCTTAGTTTAGTGTGGCATGGCAGCAAAAAGGACCAGGGGATGCACAAAGTGGTATAAGCGCCTCTCCAGAAGCCAACAAGCTTGTGTGGTTTGGCTCAGGATGCCTACAACTCCCTGTAATCTGCAAAGTGCAAAGAAAATCTGTACACCCTGGTTTCAAACCCTGGTTAACCTTGGTACACATCTAATGCTATACATGGTTCAGAATTTTACATCTCGAAACAATAAGAAATGTCAAGGAAATTGGTAAGCATATCTATCAAAACTATCCCAGACAAATATGGAAATGGAGATAGGATAAAGTGCCATATTTTACATGATGTATGAACTTAAAATACTTTTCTCCCTTAACTACTCACAAGATGGTGGCTCAAACCAAAAGGACTGAACAATATATAGCCTAATTTACACAGCAAATGTTGGTGGTCATCTTTAAGGTGCCACATTATGCTTTGTTGTTTTTATCCAGCCAAATGGCACAACACTAGGCGTCACAGGTAACATGAACATCTTACTTACAGTAGCTTTTGGCATTCTTTTATACTCCCTTTCAATGAGATTCTTGTCTTCTCGTAAACTAAAGGAAAACAGCATAAAAGATCATTCAACTCATAATGTCAATAAGGTGATTTAAATATCAATTATTTGCAAGCACGTACCCTTGAAATGCTTCAATATACAGCTAAGGAAAACAAAAGGGGCCAAAATGAAAGGCTAAGTATTGGTTTTGTTAAAATAATTTAATAATACTGAAGTGTCACAATTTTGGATTTACTCACTCGTAAGATTAATATCTGCAACAACTAGTTTCCAACATTTTGTCTCTGGGATGGGGAACCCGGGCTCTTCAATCAGTTGCTAGACTCCAACTCCCATCAGATGTCTCAGGGCAAAATTATACATTACACTTAATGGGCATGTCTCCCCCACCTCTTTAATTAGCTGCAAATGTGGGGGGCAAATGTTATTGGGACTCTGGTGCATAGAGAAGTGAATTACATCCCTTCCACCCAAGTCATGCTCCCACAAAAAAACCCACTTCCTTTGTGGCTACAAGGCTTAGAAAAAAGTTCCCAGTAGCCCCCATGCAAACATTTTTCCTAAACCTCACAGCCATGCAGGGGGTGGGTATGGAATTTATCCCAGTAACAATTGCCCTCCACACCTGTAATTAATTTAAGGAAAACATGAGACATATCTGCATGCTACATACTAAGTGTAACCTGTAGTTTAGCCCTAACTTCAGCTGACTGCCTTATCTGATGCATCCACTTTTCGTGTCCTCACCAGGCAGTTAAAGTCCAGTGGCTCCATGCAGTTCCACTCTCCCTGCCCTAGCCTACGCAAACCAAGGGTTCCCCATTCGTCAATCAACTGGATAAGTGACAGTCATTACTCCTTGGTACATAGTTCGTATTGCAGATAGCCACTCCAATATTATCTACCTGTTCAACTTGTACTGAATTTCATACTCCCTTTCCTGAATCGCATTGTATTCATTGACATATCTCAGGTACTGCTGTCTCAGTTTGGTGACCTCTGAAGAATATCCCTCTGGAAACTGATCAGTAGTTTCTAGTATCTGCTCTTGCTGTTCTATTTCGACCGTGAAACGTTTGGCATCCTGTAGCAGCTGAATCTCTGCTTCCTGTAAGCTGAAGCAAAACAGCGATGTTGGGATAAAACACATATTTAGGAAACAAACCTTCAACTACTATAATGGAAAGTTATTGCAAATCACAAATATTATTTCATATCTTCGGAGCACCAAGTGACAAAGGCAAAGAAGTCAGATTAGATTATTGCTCTATACATCTAAGAATGTAAATTTTGACAGTAGGGAAAGACAACCAATAGGGAAAAAGGAGGAACAGATTTCTTATTATTTACTGCATGGCCAAAATTGGGAATCAAATGCTGAGATAAATCTTTGCTTTGTACTCTTTCTTCTGTGTACGCATTCAATAGAGTATTATTTCCATGCTTACAATATTAAAATTTTAATGAAATAATATCTGAAAGCAGGAAACTGTTGTCTGACTGTCTTTTACAACCTTGAAACACTTAGCCTTGAGGTCAATGATTCAACAAAACTAGTGCTTTGGTGAAAGAAATAATCTTCAATGCTGTTCAAATATTTACATAAATATATATGGAGCATTTCTGTAAGAATTTGACATTCATTCAGAACAGTTTAATAACTGGGCACAACCACCATACACAGTGTTTCCCGGCTTTTCCAGAAGACCTAACTTTGGAATGATGCTAGATATAGTGAACAGAAACACACTCTTTGTTCCCTTCTCCCATCTTTTAATTTGAACAATTTTTCTCAGTATATTTTATTTTATTTTTCTTGCTGAGTTACAAACACATAATTAGCACAAATATTTAATCACTAGAAATAGGTACTCACATTACATACAGAAAGGTCTACAAAGCCTACCTTACTAGAGTATCATGCAGAACAGTGTACTTTGCCTTCAATTCAGCCATTCTGGTTCCAGGGATTTTTCCATCATAAAACAACTAAGAAATGTAAGAGTGACAATTATGAATTTACTTGAATAATTATTATGAAACGAATCAGGCAACACTTTTATCTAACGTGAAAACAAATTAAACTTTTCACTGTATTTAGCAATACTCAGAAGTGATTACATGCCTGGGGTGATTTGTTTCACAACTTGTGGTATAAAGCTTCAGTATATAAAAAATTAGGTTCTGTTTGCTGGGATCTCAATATTGAGCAAATCCTCTTAGAAGGAATTTTATATCATTTTCAACACTCAAGTACTATTAGGTACCATTTTAAAATACAAAATTCTTAAATTTCAATTCCAGCGCAGTTTCCCCCGGTCATGGAAGCGTGTGAGAATTTGCTCTTCCATTTGTGAAATTTATTTCCAAGATATTCAAATTAGACCGGTATGTAATTTCTAGGATCCCCTCTGAATTTCTTTTTTAAAATTGATGTAATATTGGCTGCTTTCCTGTTTTCAAGTATGGTGGCTGATCTTAGGCACAAGTTACATATTTCTGATAGAAGATCAGCAATTTCATATTGGAATTCTTTAAGATCTTCCAGGTCAATCTCGTCCAGACATGGCAAGTTTTCATTTTTCATTCTGTCAATAAGAACTTCAACTCATGCCACCACTATTTGTCTCCGTTCCTCATTCTTCCAGTGGAAAACCTTCAGCTTTCTAAAGGAAACCTTATTGACTCCAATAGCTGTTTAGATTCTGCTCATTCACCACATTTGTATCCTCATGACCCTGGTTTTACCCTTCCTGATCTGTGACATACATTCTAGCAGAGCTTCTAATATTGTGGTTTTAAACAACTTTTAAGCCTTTTGGAGAGATTTGACCTTCCTGACTTTTCCTTTCAACTTCCTTTTTAACCAATTTCCTCATCTTTGGGAAGTTTCCTCTTTTGAAGTCAAATGTGATGGGGTTGGATTTTCTTGGCAATTGTCTATTTACATATATATTGAATTTGATAGCGCTGTGGTCACCGTTCCAAATCAGTGAATGAACTTTTACATCTTGCACCACTTAAGTTCAGTGTCACTGCCCCTCTGGTCAGCTCCATGGCAAACTGACCTACGGTATCTAGGGTAACTGTTTAGGGTATCTAGAAATTGTACTTGTTTGTTGCGACTGGGCCACAGAATCATAGACTCACAAAACATAGATGTAACCCAGTCTATGTGAGGGTAACTGAAGTCACCTACATCACACCCTTTTTTTGGATGCCTCCTTGAATTCATTCTCAATCAAAGGGAACGTTTCCTCCTTCCTTAGATTGAGGCCCTCTGTTGCCGTGGGAACAGGAGAGCTGTCAACCTGAGAGTGGGATGCAGCTATCACACCCACCAGCCAATCTCATCTCAGTTTCTCTAGGTCAGCCACCTTGGCCTCAAAGGAATTAACTTGTTCCCTGAGGGTGTGTGTGTGTGTGTGTGTATATATATATATATATATATATATGTATGTATATATATGTGTGTGTGTGTGTGTGTGTGTGTGTGTGTATATATATATATATATATATATATATATATATATATGGCATTCTATGCAATAAACTGGAAAGCCACACCACCCCAGATGGTTTTCTACGTGAATACTTATTTTATTTCCTTCTTACCCAACATAAACCAGCACTGCTAACAAATAAACGTAGTTACAGGAAAGTTTAAACTGGCACCAGACCTTCGCTAGCAGTTTTAATAGAGGTTAACGGTTTGACAATTCTCATGCATTACCAGTCGAAGTAAGCACAAATAAGTACTGTATCACTTTGATTTTTATTCAGATTTGCAGTAACTACTGTGCAAAATATACATGGCTGCATAAAGGTACATGGCAAAGGTACAGGAACTATTAAAATGATGATCAATTCTTCTTTGAATACGAAATGCAGAATGTGGCCTTTTGTCAGGAATGTATAGTTTTGCAATACAAAAGTTTTAAAACATGCATTGCAACACTACATACCAGGGACATAAGTCACCATCACAAGATACCCAAAGCTTGTAATGTGCCATTTTCCAAAATGTGTGCCATCTGACCAGCTGTATTGGGACACACACACACACACACACACACACACACACACACTGAATCTGAGAATCTGAGTCTGACTCACTTGTTTTCCCTTTTAAAGAAAACTAGGCAAAAGTACCATTTCCTTTACATAGGTTTGAGTAGTAACTCAATCTAAATGCCATGAAATTTGGGTTTTACAACATCCTGTGGCACTACTGATTCAGGGAACTATTCTGCACTGTGTGAACTGATTTGGGAACTGGAATTGCCTAGAAACGATGTAAGGTGAAAACTAAGAAGATTGTAATACAGTTGCAAAAAGAGGATAACTTATCCTCTCCTTGACTTATCCTCTCGTTAGTTTTGACTCTCTTCTCTTCACAGATGCACTCAATCCCCAGGTTTATAATAACATAGAGAACATCTGAGTTGCCTTTGATACAATGTGCGTTTGGCAAAATACACAACAAATTTCAGTTCTGACATTATCTTTGAAAGAATTACAAAATATGATTCAAATATGCCTCTCTGGATGACACCTTTGTATTTTTATCTATTACTTAAAAAATAAGCTTTCATTTCATCAGCTTTCTCCACCACTCAATCTGCATACCTTCCAAAGTTTAACAAATGAAAAATAGGAAGACTCTTCTTGCCCTCCACCCTCATTCCTGCAAATTTCAGCCAAACTTTCCTTTCCTTGAACCTGCCGGATTTTTTCTCATTCTCTGTACCCCACTTCAGGCAGCACAATGGAGGTCGGGGTGAAGGATGAAGGCAGGAATTTGTATCCGAGGGGTACAGCCAGTGGCGGACCTACATTTTCGCAACCAGCAACGAGACCTGGGTAACCAAACTGCTTCAGTGAAGTTGTTCCACGACAAATTACCACACCTTTACAACATCTGTGCTACTGTTGGTATTCTTGAAATACAGACAATAACAAAAAAATATCAAATTGACTCATGCAAATCAAATTGGGTCTCCTAGACCCAACATTTTAAAGCAATGTGAACTAAAGTTGCTTCTGGGGCCCCTCCAGCATTATGGACCCTGAAGCTTAAGCTTCAATAGTTTCATGGTAGATCTGCCCTCGGGTATAGCAAGAATCATGATGGGCACCATTTGAACTCTACTTTTGACTGAAAAATGTATTGGGCTGACACTTTCTCCAGTAAAAATAAAAAATAAAAAATCAGTGATCAAGGATCAAGGATAAGCAAAGAGAGCTAGCCAACAGAAAAGCATCTAATTATCACTTAGTACTGAGGCCTTGGAGATAAAATGTAGTTGGCAGTGAGCAGGAAATAGCCATCGCACTTGAAAACACATTTTATTGCAGTACTTTGCTTGCCTCAGTGAAAAAATATAATTACATAAGTAACAATAACAGCCTTTGACATCACCATATGGTAAGATAAGGAAAAATAAGATATTTATATCAAACTTCCACAGACATTACAACGTCTAGGTCTCTGGGCTTCCACCTTGGACTGTAATTCTATGCATGTTAACCCTGCAGTAAGAACCCTCAGTAAAAACATGATGACTTACTTCTGAGTAAATATGCATGGGATTACACGGCCGGCTAGCATGGGTGTGTTAATTTTGCAAATGGAAAAGGGACATGTTGATTCCTTGTTAAGATATAACAAGAATTCCAAAACATCTATTGTACTAAATGTCAGACACTATTTTTTTGGTTCAGCAATAGATTTATGACAATCAAAATACAGGATGCAGGTATTGTGGAAAGGTTCTGGTAACAGTGGCGGCACAAGAACAAAACTTCTGGGGTAAGCAGAAGAAGCAAAGTGTATTTCCAGGTGGGTGAGCAAGAAAAATAACAGCAAATATTAAGGACAAGAGTTCAGAAATGGGGGGTGAGTGAGGGTCAAGCTCCTTGTTTGAGGGGCTGCTTGCCCTCCCTCTGGTGCCAGCTATGTGTGATAAAGTTCTCCTGATCACATGTTTTGGTGTCACACATTGTTCATTGTGTCTAACACTATATTGTTCTTAATAAACATCAGATGACTCAGTAATAGAGTTTTTAAGCCTCTGAGAGGTGTCAGCAAACCAAACAAATATTGAACTAAGAAAAAAAAAGCCAACCCTGGAATATTTTTCCAAGATAATAAACTAAGTATCCCTGTCCCCAGTTCACGAGAAAACAATTCAATGTAGTCCCTTCCGTAGTTTTCAGGTCAGAATTTAATTTTAACATTTTCTTTTTATGATTGAATAGGCAATCCAGGGATCTAAGATTGAAATCTGTTTCTGCCCTTCCGATAGGAAAGTGTATCTAAGGAAACTTGAAGGAAGAAGTTCCTTAACCAAAGATTGCAGGAAGAACTTAGGAGACAGGGAACGTCTGTTCTAGATGGTCATTCAGAGAGGCCAATAATTTTTTCCACTGTCAAAAGATCAGGAGACAGTTTCATCTTTGTGAACAGCACATTCTACAGTAAGATTCGACAGCAATCACCATTTTTGAAGAATCGGTTGGTCTGAGGTAGGAACGATTTGTATCTTTACATTGGAGGAGGGGTCTCCTAGACACCTGATGAAATGAGAATTCCTGTTTCCCTTGCCCAGGAAGGGGCATGGAGGGTACATAGACAAGCAACAGCGTAACATTTTCACAATATTTCCTGAAATGTTGCTTCACAGGGGGAAGTGAACGACCTCCACAATGATGATGGAGGAGGAGGAGGAAATATTATTCACTGTGAGAAGCTCTCAAAAGGCTACTTCTAATGTTGATAGTTTTAGAATCATAGAATCATAGAGTTGGAAGAGACCACAAGGGCCATCGAGTCCAACCCCCTGCCAAGCAGGAAACACCATCAGAGCACTCCTGACATATGGTTGTCAAGCCTCTGCTTAAAGACCTCCAAAGAAGGAGACTCCACCACATTCCTTGGCAGCAAATTCCACTGTCAAACAGCTCTTACTGTCAGGAAGTTCTTCCTAATGTTTAGGTGGAATCTTCTTTCTTGTAGTTTGGATCCATTGCTCCGTGCCCGCTTCTCTGGAGCAGCAGAAAACAACCTTTCTCCCTCCCCTATGTGACATCCTTTTATATATTTGAACATGGCTATCATATCACCCCTTAACCTCCTCTTCTCCGGGCTAAACATGCCCAGCTCCCTTAGCCGTTCCTCATAAGACATCGTTTCCAAGCCTTTGACCATTTTGGTTGCCCTCCTCTGGGAAAGATTAAAGACCTGCGTAATGGATTCATTCCACAAGTCATATGCCCATAGAATATCCTATAGGACGACAGAATTGTAGAGTTGGAAGGCAGCCCAAGGATCATCTAGTCCAGGCTTCCTCAACCTCGGCCCTCCAGATGTTTTGGGACTACAGTTCCCATCATCCCTGACTACTGGTCCTGCTAGCTAGGGATCATGGGAGTTGTAGGCCAAAAACATCTGGAGGGCCGAGGCTGAGGAAGCCTGATCTAGTCCAACCCCTGCCATGCAGGAATATGCAGCTGTCCCATATGGGGATCAAACCTGCAACCTCGGCGTTATCAGCACCACATGCTAACCAACTGAGCTACCCATATGTGTAACTAGTCAAATGCTTCAGATTTTGCATGCATACAAAATAGGTCAGTGATACAAAGATTCTATACCTATAATGTGTGAAGTGATCCTGTGGTTGCAACCCTGAACATGCTTACTTGGAAATAGGTTCAACTCAAATAAAAAACATTTACTTCAAGTCAGTCCTATGTGATATAGATTCAAACTTTATGGGGAGGGGGGGCGCACAGGGGTGGTGTCACTCTGTATGTCAAAAATGGCATGTAGCAGTCTTTCCCAAGCTACTCTCATCAGCCCCAGCAAACATGGCCAATTCTCAGGGCAGTAGTCCAAAATATATGGGGGGCATCATCAGTTTGTGGAGAGTTGGCACAACCTCAAACACAAAAGGGGCAGACACCTCTGCAAAATCACTGTGGGTGTCAATACCAGACTCCTAAAATAATTCGGTACAGAGGACATACCAGTTTCCCCCTGATCAAAATATGGTAGTTTTGAGAATGCTCAAAGAAGACTTTCTACATCATTTTATTTGCTAGAAAACCTTCGCACATTTCTCCCAGAATTCACTGCAGAGGATTCCTCAGACTGTTCCAGAGTGCAGCCTTGGTTCATCCGGAGTGTTTGGTCAGGCTTCTTGAGCATAATGTTGCCAACACATGAATGCATCACAGAATACACCAAACATTCATACATAGCTTTGCATGACAGGAGACTGACAGTGGAAAAGCTGCCATTACAAATTTTCTTGCAGAAGAACTTATGCTGAGCTTCCAAGAAACCCTAAGGTTGTCCACTAAGCACACCCTGAGACTGTTGGCTGAAGTCTACCCTAATACTGTTTATATGCTAACAATGAACACATACAATTTCATTGCTAGTTGGGTTTTTTTTAATGAAAAGCATACCAAACACTAGCATGTTAAAAAACATACATTTGTTTTTGAAATGTAGTATTTGTTGTGTTGTGTATATATTTATTATTCTAAAATAAATACCTGGGTATAAGTATCTCTGTGTTTGATTATGCAGACAGGTGCCGGAGATAACATTTTGTAATGTGCAAGTCTGAGTAATTTCCCCATAGCTACCTACTTTACTCTTCTATTAATATCACTGCAGCTTGCTGTGATGCAATCAACTCCCACCCTTTTCCGAGAACAGTGCAGGCAGCCTCTCTGATAAGTCAGAGGCAGCAGTTAGCTGCTCTTTATAAAAATCCCTGAAACTTTGCACACTTCCTCACTGGGCTAGCAGCTCCTCAGAAACGATGAAGCTCGTTTACAGGATTTTGCTCCAGACAGCTCTGCTGCTATTTACAAATGGCTCTGCAGCGACAGATGATAGCACAGACAGCGCCAGAGAAGAAGAACTGATTGGTGCTTGTCCAATAAAGCTCAAAAGCAGCGGGGAATGTGATGGAGAGGAATGCCCGTATCGGATAACCTTGCCTCCAATGACCGTCCAGCTGCCCAAGCAGTTTCGGCTGATTGAGAGAACGCTCAAAGAAGTGCAGAACCTGAAGGAAGTTGTAAACAAGATGAAGAAGTCCTGCGAAGACTGCAAGCTGCAGGCAGATGAGAATCTAGAAAAAGACAGCAACGAATTCCTGCCACCTGGCACAGACGCTCCAGTCGACAACAGCAAAATACAAGATAACAGAGTAAAAGAATTGCAGAACAAGGTTTCCAGGCTGTCAGCCAGTCTGAAGAATGCAAAGAACCAAATCCATTCTTTACAGAATCAGCTGGAGCACATGAACCTCATAAACATGAACAACGTGGAAAGCTATGTGGACAGCAAAGTAGCCAACCTGACATTTGCTGTGAACAATCTGGATAATAAATGCTCTTCAAATTGCCCAGCCACACAACCACAACCAGGTAGGTCAGCTTTTACTATTTTACTAAAAGTATCAGAACAGCATTTCCTTACATACATCTATTAACTTTTTGCCACCTACCAAAAAAGTAAAAGTAAATACTAGGCGTTACTTGAACCATATTACTTTACAATTAGGGCATATCTGGATATTAAGGGGGAAAATTGCAGATAAAAGTAGGATTCAATGTGTTAGGATTCAATAGTAGGATTCAAAAGTAGGATTCAATAATGCTGTACTGTATTGTGTTTTTAATATTTGGTTGGGAGCTGCCCAGGGTGGCTGGGGAAACCCAGCCAGATGGGTGGGGTATAAATAATAAATTATTAGTAGTATTAGTAGTAGTAGTATTTAGTGAAACACAATAAAATATAACCATCTTGTTGGGCCAAGAAGACTTTTAGCTCAGCTGTGAGGGAAGTTACTGAAACGGATGAGAATCTAGCACCTCAGAACTTCATAATGGGTTTTTCTTTTCCTGCTAAAAGGATTTTGAACACCCCCACACTTTATTTTTGTCAGCGTTTGACACAGCAGTTAGTTACAGGCAAATTCTTACGTTCCTTTACTGAGCACGAGAATAAAGCTTATGAGAAGAAGAGTGTGCATCTCAACTTTCCACGGATGTAGCAGGTGGGGGGATGCACATCAGAAACCACACTGCAATGTTCATCGGCATCTCAGTGGGTTGGCTGGCTGCATCCTTTGAGGTGCAGGGGGATGTGTGTCCCTATTTGTAGCTACCAGTTGTTATGCACAACTATTTTGCCAGTGGACAGACCTGGATTCAGGCCAGAATCTTTAAGGATTTGGCCCTGTTAAAGTACAGAAAAATCAGGCTGTTAAAGGGCATTTTCCAATGTTACACGTGGGTAGCTGTCCAAACTCAGAGAAGCTTGCACTGGTGAAATAAGGACGCCCTTTTACTTTTATCACTTCTGTTCAGGTAGAAAGAATGGAAGAAATTGATTTCTCATATAGGTCCAAGGAAGTAATGGTTATATTGAGATTTTTAAAAATGAATTCCATTTATCCTGGAGTGTGGACATCTGAACAATGTTTTGGCTACATTTTGTTACTGCTGTGTGCTTAGCTTTTCTTCATACCACTTCCTAATGGAAGCATCAATTGTTTTATATTGGTGTGACTTAAAGCTTACAGTTACATAAATTTTAAAAACAAAAACGAAGAAACTCAAAAATCTTCCTTTGAATATTATTTTGAATTACACTTCAAAATGTTAATAAATAACTTGCCATATTACATACATTTGGGAACATAGAGGAAGGTGTAGTCTTACAGATGGATGACACGAATGATTATGTTTTACAGCTGCACATGTGTAAATCTGAGCAACTCTAATATATCCCAAATGAACAGCATGTGATATACTTAGAGTGGAATCTTGGCAATGTTACATGAAATAAACAATGTTACATGAAATATCATTTTGACTATTACTTTTCCCAACCCATCTATTTTTAGTGGTTGCACTTAAAAGAACATTATCCTGTTACAATAACAAGAAATAATTTTGTAATTCATAGCTCTTGCTAGAAAACAGTGCTTGGAATCAGTTCTTTAAAAAAAAAAAGTTCTCTGAAGTCATTCAACATTCTCTGAACTGCACTTAAAAGTAGTTCCCATAATTGCTGAGTGAACTGAATGCGAATTAAGTTCATTGTGAAGTAGAATTTCGAATGATGCCTACTTCACCTTCAAGTTCATTCTGGTACGTGACTCCTTTGGGCCTTGAAGCTTAATGGTTATATTTTGGGAGGAAATAAATCAAAACTATTCACATTCCACAGTGTGTGTTTTGATGTTTCCTTAGCCTTCTTAAGCATATTTATACCTCAGCACAACGGTCTGTAACATTCTGAATGTTGAAAAAAAGAACGCTGAAGCTCGTTTGGATAAATGTGAGCAGTGAGTGGAACATACATAATCTTTCTTCCTGAATAGGCTATTTTAAATCTCTATCCCTGAATAGTCTTGCAGCAGCAAGGGGAAGCAGCCTGCCTGATCTCTGCCTCTTGGCTCCCCTCTCCTCCAGCCTCCACTTCTCCCTCTGATTCTGGACTGCTCTCTGACACCACCTCTTTCCACTCACTAAACCTTGTTATTCCTACAGCTTCCGACACCTCCTCCTCCCAGTCCTTTCCCTCTTCTCCCTCTGACCACTCGTCATCATCCCATCACTTCTCCCCAGGCTCTGAGCCTTCTTCCCTCGGGGGTTCCCCAGCTGGTGCCTTCCACCACTCCTCTGCATCCAGCCAGTCCATGACAACGTGTCGGAGTCTTGGATTGCTTGAGAAGGACCCAAAGCAATATGGATTGCCAGAGAAGCAAAAATACACAATGATGGGCTGTATCCAACAAGTCATCCCATTAGTGCGAAGACTTCCTCTCCCCCTCCTGTTTCTGCAGAACCTCCATAACAGGTTGGGTGGGAGGTGTGGGGAACACACAGAGAGAAGAGAGGGAGAGGAAGTATTGTTGTACAAGTCCTTGCACTAGTGGGACAACTGTGTTAGATGCAACACAGTGTTCTCCAGGTGGGTGATCCATACGCACTACTGAATCTGTTATGACTTCTCCTAGTATCCACATTAGGTGGAGCTGGATCATGAGTGTATGTGAAAGTACATTAAAATTCACTACATTCTAATACAGTCGTACCTTGGTTGTCAAACGCCTTGGTACTCGTATGTTTCGGCTCCCAAATAATCGAAACCCAGAAGTGAGTGTTCCGGTTTTCTAAAGTTTTTTTGGAAGCTGAACGTCCGATGTGGCTTCCGCTATTGTTTCTAATGTGCCTGCACAATTGGAAGGCAATCGGAAGCCGCGCCTTGGTTTCCAAACGTTCCGGAAGTCAAATGGACTTCCGGAACGCATTCTGTTCGAAAACCAAGGTACGACTGTATTCAGCATAATTAAAAGAATAAGACTCTTGACTAATAGACAAACAATTTCTAGACTAAATGTCCCTGAAAAGTAATCCAACAGCATATGTATTGCTGGCTGCACTTCTCTAAAGCAACAACAGTATAAATGAATCAGAGTACATTGTATCTATTAGATGTATTAGAATGATAGTTTACACATATTCATATGGGGGTGGATACAAGGAGCAGACCTGTTGGGAGCATCTATGCACCTCTTAAAGTAAACTTGAGTCCTCTTCCTTTATCATCACTGCCCAAAAATCAATACTGATGCCTGATTATGAAAACTTCAAACTCTCTCAATAGCTTCACTTGTCTCTTTGCTGGGGTGACAAATATTTCCCCTCCCAGAATAATTTATAATAAGAATCAACATAACTCAGAAAACTTATTTCCTCATTCCAAATGATATTAATTGAATGCTGCTGTGTCAATAATTTCATGGGGGGAAATGTAAGAGCATTTCATTTGTAAAGTTTGTTAGGCTTCTATTATAACTGGCTTGGGAAATAAAATAGGCCATAATCTTCAGGAAACACCTGGAAGAAATACTTTATATCATAAAGTGTTGCATTCCTGCTTAGTATACTGTCCAAATTCATTTCCACTCTAAAATCCAGAGGTTACATAATAACACGTTTACAGGAAACCACCGTCATGCTCTTAAACGACATCTTTCTGAGTGTCAGTGTCAATTGTACACGATAGCCTGCAAATAGCTAGGAAAAAACAACAGGCGACACCAGCACTTTAGGCCAATCTTGTAAGAAATAAAACTATCCTGCTCTCCATAAGTGGTTAATGCAAAAGTTAACAAATGTCAAGTGGGGACTCGGCATTTGACCCTAGGTCAAATTGTCAACTGTCTCAAGATAATTGTTATGCAAAAATTATGTGGATAGTTCTATTGCACACTGAGGAGCACAACATAAAACATTCGGTGAAGAAAAAACGAGAGTTCTCACACAAAGCAATGAAATAATATAAAAGCTATGCCTCTGATGGTCCTCTAAGTTAGTTCATTAAATAGAACCAGTAATGGAGGTTTCTTCGTCTGGAGGCCCCCTATTGCTTCCCCCTCCCCTTTGACCTGAACAGGCTTCTGACCCCACAAGGATCAGTTGTGCATATGATATGAAATGATAGCTCATGTGGGAACAAGCAAACAAAAATCCAAGCAAGTTGTGGGCAACAGCAGAAGACACAACATACCCTTGTCAAGAAATTACTATTCCCAGTCCTCCCCGTGCCCAAATAAGGAGAGGCTGAGGCAGCAATTTACCTCAGCAGAAAGTCTTCTATAAGAAATAGAATTGGAATTGCAAAAGTTCTCAAGTGTCATCAAATCCAGCTCTAACCACATATTAAATTTAAACTAGTGCCAGCAGATGCTTCCCCTGTTTTCTTCGAGGGTCATTTCCTACATTACTGATATTATTATTATTATTATTATTATTGCAATGACTCACAGAAGCACAGAAAAAAGCTGTTCTCTGATATCATTGAGCTATGTGCATCATTTATTCTACCTCCATACACACTGCACAAATGGAAAGGTGACTAAAGGTGTATATTCCATTATGGATTTAGATTGCTTTCTATTATGCTATGCAAGTTAAAAATGGGTTGTAAATAACGCGGCTAACTTCCTCAACCCCCTTTCTCTGTCCAGTTATACAGATTCTGCAAGGAGACTGTTCCAATTATTATGCAGCAGGCAAACTGCGTAATGGAATCTACAGAATTAGTCCTGATCCAAGACATGACAGCTTTGATGTTTACTGTGAGATGGAATCTATGGGAGGCGGCTGGACAGTGTTCCAAATGCGTCAGGATGGCAGCACCAGCTTCAACAGAACATGGAAAGAATACAAGAATGGCTTCGGAAACCTGAGTAGAGAATACTGGCTAGGGAATGACAAAATTCACCTTCTGACCAAAAGCAAGGAGATGCAGCTCAGGATTGAACTTGAGGATTTCAACGGAGTCAAAGAATATGCAAAATACGAACAATTTTATGTGACCAATGAATTTCTCAAATACCGCTTAAGTATTGGCAGCTACAGTGGTACAGCTGGGAACGCCCTGCAATTCTCCAAACATTACAACCATGACCAAAGGTTCTTCACTACCCCAGATAGAGACAACGACAGGTATCCATCAGGAAACTGTGGAGCGTACTATAGCTCTGGGTGGTGGTTTGACGCATGCTTGGCGGCTAATCTCAATGGCGTATATTATCACAAAAAATACAAAGGTGTTCGCAATGGGATTTTCTGGGGCACCTGGCCTACAGCTTCGGATAACAATCTAAATGGTTACAGACAACCTTTCAAAAAGGTCAGAATGATGATGAGACCCAAAGTCTTTGTGCCATGAATTAGTAACTTCTCAATATTGACACTTTTCTCCAGTATCTGAGTGCAATTAAAAACAAACAAACTGTTATGTCCCATATTTAATTTTTTTTCTAGAGAAACGCCTCTTCCAAAGGCACCCAAATGTATCTCTCCTGATAAATTCTAAATGTACAGGGAACAATTCAATTTTTTGGTAGCAAATAATGTGTCAGCCTTATCCATTAACCTCTGTTAGGTCAGAAGCTGGGTGTAAGCTTATTTTGCCAAATTGACTTCAAAGGCATTCCACTATTGCCGTATCACAAAACAATGCCTCAGCCACCCACAGGCCAAAGCCAGATTTGTAGAGTTGGAGAGCAACAGTTTCAGACCCTTAGTGTACTGCTTCCTCATCATATTCCATAAATATCTCTGCAGAACCACCAACCTGCTGCAAAGCTAGTGAGCCCAAACTGGCTTAAACTCAAGTATTCCAAGACAACTAGATTTTTTCTATGTAAATAATAGATTCAGTATGTTATAGTTTAATAATTCATTGCCACTGTCAACTAGCTTTTTTTTTTTTACTATGTGACTGTACCAGAACAAAAACAAAGTATCTTAATCTAAAGGCTAATAAATGCTGTTAAGGAAGCATTTCTAATGATCTTGCTATTTTTATACATGACCAAACATTGCAATACTAAATCTCTAAAAATATTAATGAACATAATGTGGTGGTTTATTTATGTGCAACTAATTTTGTATGGATTCAACCAATATTTTCAGACCTCATTAGAAAATGTTGTCTGTACTCAAGAGACGAATAACTGAAAAAATATATATAAAGGCTTCAAGTTTACAGGGGGAATTCTGGGCTTTATATGCCAGTCGTATGATCCACTTATGCCAGCAGCCCCTACATCAGGGTTACAGCTGGTGTGACAGTCGCAATCCTACGTACTCCTATCAGCATAAGAATAGATATTGAAATAAGAGACGATATAGCAATGCCAAAAGACACATCTGCAACATCCCTGGCAACTATGCTACTACTAATCTAAGAAAATTTAACACTGCTGACATCTGCACATTAGTAGGGCATGGAAGGCATTTTGGGGGGAATGTCATGGGAGAAGATAACATGTGCCATTTTTCTCAAACAGATTTCTGGTATATTGTTGGAAATATTATTATTTTTAAAGAGCCACTTTAGGCAATTATGATCTAAGTGATATTGCTTCTTCAGTAGGCATTTCCAAAGATGGCTAATATAGGTGTATATATCTGTATATGCCACAGAAGGAACTTATAGGAGAGGCATCCTTACAATGCCTTATATTTGTGAACAGTAAAGAGAGAAATACATTTAGAATTTTCATTGTGTATTGTTGCTAATGACCAAAGTATGTGGATTTACACACGTGTGTGTGTGTGTGTGTGTGTGTGTGTGTGTGTGTTGTTAAAGGGGCTTTGCTAGATGGAACTATGCCCAATTGTGCCATGCAATTTGGCTATTTTTCTTCATAGTAAATGTCTCTTAACTGGTGAGGGAAACCAAATCTAATACTGAGAGATTCTATCACCTTCGCTGCAAAATGTTACGTATCATCATTAGAGGTTGTTGCTGGTGAGTTTTCTAGATGAAAAGATCCTTAAGTTACAGGATTGGGTCCAGTGTGTCCCGTCTGAAAATGGAAGGGTTCCTTCTGTTCACTGTTCACTTTTCATCTAATCCTCCTTCCAGGCTCCCATTTCACCTCTCATTCTTTTCCGGGGTTTCCTCAGTTATCTGAAGCAGCTTTACGGAAGGCTGCAGGGGAAAACAGACTCCTGGGGAACATCCTGTGAGTGAAGTTTGAACACAGGATTCAACCCAAAATGTAGAAATGAATGTAATCACTTGTTATGATGTGCAGTAAAAGATTTCCTCCAAACCATGTTGAAGTCAATAGAAGATAAGTATCTACTGTAATTTTGATTGGTTTTGGTTACTGCATTTACATACTGTACAGTGCTTAAAGATCTGCACAACAGACTACTAGTTTGCTTCTGGGCACAATTCTAATTGCTGGGGGTTTTTTGCCACTCAACTGTAGGTCTGGGATGAGGTGTATGAAACCCCCCATGAACTTGCCTATGTGCAGTGATTCTTGGCTTAGGCCCTGCTCCGAATACCTCTCCCCTTCTTCGGAGATGTGATGGGTGGCTTCTGGGGACAGTTCCTTTTCTGTGGTGGCACCCAGACTTAGAACTCCCTTCCCAAGCACAGTTCCAAAGCTTATATCACTATCTTTTAGGCAACAATAAAACCGTTGTAATTTGCCTGAATGTCTGGCAGCACCTTATTTGCAATGCTTTCTATCCATAATTTATTTGCTCATTTATTACTTTCATTTCATTGTTATGTATTAGGGATGGGAGACCTTTTCTTTCTAGTCTGAGGGTCACAAACCCCTCATGGGGGACCTTCCAAGGATGACATGTCAGGGGTGAGTGCAGCAGGTGCAAAAGTGCATTGAGCTATAGAAGCAACGTTTTTAACTTGGCACACAACAGTTACAGCTTCCTGCGTACAACCATATACACACCTCTCGATCTAGGCATTATTACCATTCACAGACCTAGCCAAGTAGGGCTGTTCAACAGAAGGCAGAGTAATTCACAACTAAAAGTATAGTTAGATGAATCAGAAGAATACAAACATTCAGGTTAAGCGTTTACTTCCGGGTTTCGTCGCTCGCACATGCGCAGACGGTCAAAAATAATGCCACGCGCATGCGCAGAAGCGGCACATCGCGACCCGCGCAGACACGGGTTGCATTCGCTTCAGGATGCGAACGGGGCTCCGGAACGGATCCTGTTCATATCCAGAGGTACCACTGTACTGTATTAAATTGTGTTGTTTTCAGTTCAGATCTTTGTGTAGATGTGCCCAACAATTTAAAACTTGTTTAGCTACCACAGCTTCATTCAAACTATCTAGGTGCTATAACTTTGTGAGAGTCCACATAATTTCTTGCCCATCACAGAATTAAAACTCTCAGTGTTCCCTAGATTGGACCACAGATACGCATTTTGTCCAAGACCACACACTTAAGTCCAAAATTAATCCTTGCTGTGAAGCTACCAGCTTTTTATTTATTTGAAATCCTTCCAATAAATAATGAAATTTTGAACACCAAGTTTTGAAGCAATTACCAATACTGTTCTTATTCACTAAATGCTTTTATACAAATGAAACTGTCATATATCATTTCCACAAAGGTTGGTTAAGTTGTATCTTTTCTTCTCCCTTCTCTTGAACCAAAAGCTGTTGGTTTGCAGAACTTTTGTAAATTAAGAATGATTACATCAGATCCTCCTGCAAATTCCCAATGGGTACACTCAGGACAAAATACACACTTGCCAGTTCAAAGTGCTCTTCCAAGCACACCCCGATCTCTTGGCATAAGTTGAACACACTCAAGGAAGCTGCTACAAAGCAAAAGCAGGAACCCTGGTGGCCCAGTGATTGACCTGCAGGGCTCCTGCCTGACAGCTGTTCACAACAGAGAAGTTTGGGGGGAGGTCGATTGCTCAGTGGAGAAAAGTCTGCGTTCTGCAAGAAGAAAGTGCCAAGTCCAGTCCCTAGCATCTCCATTTAAAAGACTCTCTGGTACCAAGGAAGTGAGGCCACGCTGGCTTGGATAGAGCAGAGTAGACCGTCGGCTGTCAGTCAGGAATAGACAGCCCTGGCTCTATCTCCAGTTTAAATGCTTCAAAAGGACTGTAATGAAAATGGGAGGAGGTGGGACTCAACAGCAGCCTTTAGAAAATCTAAAGAGAGCTTTCTCCACACTATCCAAAGCCATGCCTTTGTAAGATTCCTGAGCACATGGAGAGCATCTTCTCTGGGTACAGTTGAGCAAGGAGGCCGCTGATAGGGGAAAGGATCTGTCACATTTCATGTGCATTAATTATCCACACTTTTCTACTTCTAGAAAAGGGCTTGGATAAGGCAGTTTAATGTGGACATTTATTCAAAGCCTTATTAGTTTTGGATAGGCAATACTGTATTAACATATGTATTCTGGCAGAGAGAGTTTGGTTCAACAGGGACACTATAATCAAAGAAACTGGGGCCTTTTACAATTTCTTCAGAATTATCCTTAAGATGCAAAGCATTTCCTTCTATTAGAAGTGGGCTGCTTCTTCTGTGGAAAAGAACAGTTTCATGCATCTGCTACACTGCAAAGCGAGTTAAAATGTGATAACACTATTTGCAATAAAGCAACACCTAAAACAATATGTTTTGGATTAATGGCTTTAAATCCTTTTAAAAATGAAGGCATTTAGTAAGTATTATAGTCATGAAACCCATGTCTAACTCTATAAAGGAAAGCAGTAAATAGTAAATTTAAAATTTAGAAAACCCAAATATTGAAAAACAGCTCGACATTTCAAAATGAGAAATTATAGGCCATAGATAAGAACAAACAGAACAGGTTTCATCAAAGTGAGTTCTTGTAACCCTAAAAGAGTGGAAGAAGTTTATCTACAGGGAATACAGCATGGTGATTTGCACATTACTGAAGCTCTTGGTTGTTCCTACTGCACTAGACACCTACCTGGAAGTCTATGGATGAAATAGATTTTAAAAACCCAGCATTGGGTGCAAAGCAGGAGATCTAAGAGGACACCAAAGGTCAGGGGGTTCTACAGCAGGCCTATATCTCCAAGGTGTTATTAATAAAAGGAAATTTTAGAATCTTGACAACAGAGAACTCCACATCAGCACATTCAGTACAGTGTGATATACAAAATAAGGAAAGTATTCCACTGGCATCAAAGACGTTTTGATTTAATCCAGCAGTTTTAAATGCCTGCCATTTTTTAAAAAAAAATCCCAGCAGATTAATTAAGCACTTCCCTCTGACCTTGAAACCCTCATTTCTTATTTCCTCTATTTGACCCCTGATTTAAGAAAGGTAGGAAAATAAGGATAGTTATTTTAACACCTGCAATTAGTCCAATCGTATTCTGAAATGCATACAAAAGGCGAAAACACTTATATGCTTCTTACTGCCATAGTTAAATGCTGAACATAGTTTAACACTGAGGATTTGTCATTTAGAAAGTTAATAAAACTTCGTTACAACAAGGGGCTCATCCACACCTACCCTTTGCCCTGCACTTTCAAGACACAACGCCATACTTTAAAGCACTGTGTCCAAGCACACACACACACTCTTCTTTTTGCCAAGGTGCTTTCCCTGCGGAAATCGGCACTTTAACACTGAATCAGAACAAAAGGCAAGAAGGGGTTTTCTGTGGATTGCTGTTTGCTCTGATTCAGCGGTAAAAGCAGAGTGGGGCGGGAATGGTAGGACACAGCACTTTAAAGTGCGGACCTGTGCCTAGAAGCATAGCACAAAAGGAAGTCTGGACAAGCCCTCTGTGTCACATTTTGAACAACAGAACATTTACCCACACTGACATAAATAAGGTGTCAGCTAAGATGGCAAGCATGTGAGCAGCAAGGTCTTCAAAGGGTGTCAGATAATATGCATCTGGACTATGCTCTGTTAGGCATATTTTCTCCATAGCTGAAAATGCTACATTTATATTCATGCCCGGATAATAGCTGAATAAATAATCTACTCAAGACATATACTTGAGGAGAAGCCTCTTTAACACATAGAAACTTGCTTTTGCTAAAGTCTACTTCAAGTGCCACTACTCCTGCCAACCTAGCAGTTCGAAAGCACGTCAAAGTGCAAGGAGATAAATAGGTACCGCTCTGGCGGGAAGGTAAACGGCGTTTCCGTGTGCTGGTCTGGTTCGCCAGAAGCGGCTTAGTCATGCTGGCCACATGACCCGGAAGCTGTACGCCGGCTCCCTCAGCCAATAAAGCGAGATGAGTGCTGCAACCCCAGAGTCGGTCACGACTGGACCTAATGGTCAGGGGTCCCTTTACCTTTACCTTACTTCAAGTGCATTAGTATCAGTGTATCTTACCAGGGGTGGAGGAAGGGGGGTGCGGTGGAGGTGGACCACATCATGTGTCACCACTGAGGGGGGTGGCAAAATGCCATGCGGCACTCACCACAGGACCTGCAGTGCGCCTGACCCACACATCTCTCCTGTGAGCAGGGCGGCTGAGTGGGAGAAGGCAGGCAGACCCCTCAGAGAGCGTCCTGCCATGGCTGACATCACCCCCGCGGGCAGCTGGCCCCACCCCCGGGCACAGGGCACGCACGCCGCCCCAGGCGCCCAATCAGCTTGCTCCGCCGCTGATCTTACCATGCACCAAAATGAATTTTCTGCCCTGCTGTTGGCCTCATCAGAAGCTATCAGCATGTACTTTAACAGTTCCAGAACTGTTTGGATACATACACCTAGGTATTATATATCTTTCCTAGACTGACCATGTCAATGTTGGAAGACATACCTTCATTGTATTGCTGATTCCACATGCCTGCTAGCAGGTTCTGTAATAAACATTGGCATTCACAATGATAGTCACATTAGCACCACTGTCAATGATTTCCCCAGTGATAAGCCTGACAGGATAGAAACGGTTTGCCTAATTGCTGTTAAGAGCCTTTTGGCTGGAGGTGAAGGCAACATCTGTCTTATTTTTTATGCCAATGTAGTTATAGAGCTTTAATGTTGCTCCAAAAGCTTTGCAAGGTTTAGATTTAGTAAGATTTGGAATGCGCCACAATGTTTGGATAAGTAAATGCCTGAAAGTGTTTTCAAAACTGTTGCTGGGTGAACATTTTTATAGCTAACATTAGAAGTTTCACAAATTATGTGCACTTGATATATGGGGGGGGGGGGGGATACCTTAAAAAAGAAGCCAGTGAGCACATGTTTATAATTGGCACAGCAGCAGCTGTGAGAAAGGCAACTGAATCTGGAATACTTAGTACAGTTCTGGTTGCCTCACCTAAAAATGGATATTTTAGTTTTGGAAAATGCTCAGAAAAGGGCAACCAAAAATGATAAATGGGATGGAGCAGGGGCAAAACGAGGCTTTCTTTCACCCGGGTCAAAGATTCTGTTTGGCTCCCGTCCCACATGCATTTACTCATACACACACACACACACACACACACACCCCTCAACACATTTGTTTTTAAAGGGCATCAAAAGTCCAACAAAACTGTGAATCATAGAATTGTAGAGTTGGAAGGGACCCCAGCGGTCATCTATTCCAACCCCCTGCAATGCAGATATCTCACCTACCATATGTTCCGGTGTACAAGATGACTTTTTATCCCTGGGAAATCACCCCAAAAGTCGGGGGTCGTCTTATATGCCAGGTATATGCGTTGGGAAGGAAGAGAGGGAGCCGGTGAGCAGAGGCACCCCTTCTGCCGTCGCTGCTCCTCCCTCCCCACAGAAGGGGACACGGAAAGTCCTTCTGAGCGTGGCGCTCGCCCGCCAAACGCCTCACCTCGGGCTGCTGCTGCTGCGACGGCAGAGGCAGTGGGGGGTGCGCGCTCTGCCCCTGGTGGCACTCAAACTCTATAACTCTAAAACTCTAAAATTGAACAGCAAAAGTTGGGGGTCGTCTTATACTCCCAGTCGCCTAATATGCCGGAATCTGCAGCAGATCATACATGACAGGTGGCCATCCAAGCTCTGCTTACAAACCTCCAATGAAGGAGAGTCCACAACCTCAACCTCTGGTTCCTCCTAAGCAAGATTTCTAAAGAGGAAGGGAATTTGGGGAGTGGACACACACACAAGGTCGCCCACCCCCCATAGCAACCTGCAACTCATTTCCCCTAAGGTAATGCATTTGTTTTTGCTCTTTTCATTAATCAATGCATTTATATACAGACTTTAATGTAGTATATACCTTTCTGTATACATTACTTGGCTGGAGAACTGCACTGCAAAATTCAGAGAAGTAGAAAAGTTGCATGGTGGCTGTGTTTTGGCTTGCAAATTGTTTTGGAAAGTGCAATATAGGTAAATTTGCCTTTTAATGTGAACTGAATCAAATTTCTCCCCATACTTACATTTTGCACCATATCTTAGGTGCTATCTGGCTTTTGGGAGAAAAAAGACTTACAAAGCCTATTACACATGGAGAAATTTGGGATTGCTTACCCGATATCTGTTAACATGATCCAAGGAAAATTGAATGACCTATGAAGAGATTGTATCCTACATAGGAGAAATGGACTCAGAGAAGAATACTCAGGGCATCCACAAACAACTTCTCTTGAATAGTTTACTAAATCTACTTCAGATTAACAGACTAACATATTCCAGTGCTGTTCTCGTGCTAAAAAGGTTACAAGCCTGTCTGAAGGAAGAAGCAATTGCCCCTCTGATGGATCTGAAGAAAAAATGCTCAGCTCTATTGATTAGTGATCATTATTTATTTATTTTGTATCCCTCATTCCTTTATTTCAATAAGCAATTCCACCTTCCAATTGCCTTTTGGCCTCCTGAAGTACAGAGAGTGTATGTGCTTTCACTATCTCAGTACAAATACACTGCAGCTTCATGTCACACCTTGAGACTCTCAACATAATTCTATAAAACCTGGCTACAAATTCCTCCTAAAACAGGCATAGGCAAACTCGGGCCTCCAGATGTTTTTGAGACTACAACTCCCATCACCCCTGACCACTGGTCCTGTTACCTAGGGATCCTGGGAGTTGTAGTCCCAAAACATCTGGAGGGCTGAATTTGCCAATGCCTGTCCTAAAATCTGCATATATCACAGAATATGTACTTAGTCACATGAAAAACAAACTGTGAAAGAACAGGAACACAACTACATATTTTGCCTTAATGAGTACAATGTTGACAGCTTTACAGCAGTTAGGAAAGTGACATATTGCAAAATTGGCTTTGTCAACATTCCAGCATGTCTGTGGCATAAAAACAAAAAGCAAAACACAGAGATGGGTTGGGCTTCTGAAAAACAAGGTAATAGTCCAATACTGTCTTCCAGTTGCAATCACTTCCAAGTTACCCTTGCACAGGTGGAGTCAACCACTGACAGAACCTTTATGACAGAGGAATCCCAGCCAATCTTGCAGAATCAGAGAGAGGGCATATGCAGTAGAACCAACTGTCGTAAAACAAATGCAGCAATACTGCAATGAAGATGTAATGAGGTGAAAGATGCATGTATGACTCCACTCCATGCCGCTCCCTAAAGCGCTCAAGGGCCCTTCAAGAGCAAAAAGCTGGCAATCCCAGTCCTCTGTGATGCTTTCAGAACTCAGGCCACCACTGAGAGTGCTCAATAAATTTATTATTGCTTCATACATTATTCTTTTCTAATGCTACTTAGCAGCAGGTGTGCCCACAGGTATTGAGGGGGTGGGGGGGGGGAAGTAATAATAACTACGCTGACATAAATAGCATCAAAGAACAGGTCTTTTGCGATAGATCTCAGGACTAAATTGTGGTGAGGTCTGGGTAACTTTGGCTTCTGCAAAGATTATAGTTTACGTCTATTCCTTCGTTGTTTGTCTTTGAGTTGTCTCCCATCACCCCTTAGTTATTGCTACAATCAACCTCCTAGCCCCTCCTTGCAGTTCCCTGCAAAAAAACAAAAAAAAACCCCAACACACCAGGATAATTGCATGGTTGTCATACACTACTCTAATTTTCCCTCTTTTGCAAACCTACTCCTCTGTCTTTCTAAATGTTTGTCCTCTTCCCAATACAAAACATGCTGCAAGCAACACTCACATGTGTTGAAGCTTTGATCCTACAGCAGCTATCAAGCCATCCTAATGGGAGACAAGTTTTCTATTGTTCCTACCCGCTAAGTTATGGAGTATCCTAAGTGGAATAGCAGCCTCTCCTTTCCCAACTGACCCTAGAGTTTTCCTCCATCAAACACTTAAGAAACAGTATTTAAGTAATATATATGAATTACTGAAAAGCATTTTTAGCCATCTGTCAGAATCTGATGGGCAACAGATCTTGCCACTGCATGCCCTGATGACCTTTAGTGTCACTGACACGTATCATTGGTTTCCATTGTCTCTTGTATTGCAACAAGTGCTTAGCGATTGTGTTAGGTTTAGCACACTGATTCATGGGCTCAACTACATAACACTCTGTGAAGAAAACGTTTGGTTTTGCACATTTCCCAACAATTGCCACAGCATCTCCCAAGGACTTTTCACTTTTAGATATGCAGTAGCATGGTGCGGGATAGCTTAATTGCTCAATACCATAGTGAAACTTTACACTACATCTAAACAATATATCTATAAAGAACTCACAGAATACTGCTGCAACCCTGAGGTTCACCGTCCATAATCAGTTTATATCTAGAGCACAACAAACAATTTGTGGTGTGGAATCCCAACATCTTCTCAAGGCAGTATTCCTGTGGCAGGGATGTCAGATTTCCAGCAGCATTCAAACCACATTATTTTGTTGCATGGGAAAATCCCCCCCCCCCCAGTTAGTACCTGCACTGCTGTTCAGAGTGGTGCGAGAAATATGGTTGCAAGAATGTCAAGTGTACCTACTGGACAATGTAATACAGTGGTGCCTCGCAAGACGAAAAGAATCCGTTCTGCGAGTCTCTTTGTCTTGCGGTTTTTTCGTCTTGCGAAGCAAGCCCATTAGCGGTTTAGCGGATTAGCGCTATTAGTGGCTTAGCGGGCTTAGCGGATCAGCTGATAAGCGGCTTAGCGGCTTAGCGGATCAGCTGATAAGCGGTTTAGTGGCTTAACGGATCAGCTGTTAAGCGGCTTAGCGGATCAGCTGATAAGCGGCTTAGCGATCAGCTGTTAAGCGGCTTAGCGGATCAGCTGATAAGCGGCTTAGCGGCTTGGGAAAAGGGGGGGGGAACCCGCAGGAACTCGCAAGACATTTTCGTCTTGCGAAGCAAGCCCATAGGAAATTCGTTTTGCGAAGCACCTCCAAAACGGAAAACCCTTTCGTCTAGCGGGTTTTCCATCTTGCGAGGCATTCGTCTTGCGGGGCACCACTGTATCACCACTGATAAGCAATAACCACCCCAACCCCTTCAATGTCTATGTAATTTGGGATTTATTTATTTTTCTAATTTGACTTTTAACTTTTAAAATATCCGCAGTGGTTGTCTGGCACCCAAATACCCTAGAGCAGGGTTGCAGCACTCATCTAGTGCAAAGTTTCTGTTTCTTTGTTTTTAAAGGTCAAAATGGTACAACATTACTCTCCCCTTCCAGAATTTGCTCATGTCCTTAGTCGAATAGACAGTGGAAATGTTGAAGCATCTAATAGCTCAGCGGGAGGGAGACAGAGATACAAACAACATATCTTTACCCCACTTGCAACAATGCTATTTCTCAACAATTGCATAGGGATAAGATACTGAGGCACTAGACCTAGACTGGTTCTTTTATAATCCTATCAGTAAAATACTGAGCAGTATTCAACTAATCCATTCCAGCAGCAAAAGGATTTCCACTTGCACAAACCCTTTCCTATCCCAGCCACCCTCCCCAAATCTGCTGCAGAGGGGTAGCGGAATATTCATGTATAATTACAGTGGTGCCCCGCAAGACGAATGCCTCGCAAGACGGAAAACCCGCTAGACGAAAGGGTTTTCCGTTTTGGAGGTGCTTCATAAAGCAATTTCCTATGTGCTTGCTTCGCAAGACGAAAATGTCTTGCGAGTTCCTGCGGGTTTTTTTTCCTTTCCCCCCCCTTTTTCCCAAGCCGCTAAACCGCTTATCAGCTGATGGCTAAGCCGCTTATCAGCTGATCTTTAAGCCGCTTAACAGCTGATGGCTAAGCCGCTTATCAGCTGATCTTTAAGCCGGCTAAGCCGCTAATACTGTAGCGCTAAGCCGTTAAACCTCTAATGGGCTTGCTTCACAAGACGAAAGAACCCGCAAGACGAAGAGACTCGCGGAACGGATTCTTTTCGTCTTGCGAGGCACCACTGTATGTTGTATTCCACCCATTGTCTGGAGAAGTTATAAGAAGTCACACTGACTTCACTGGAAACAATCGTAAGTAGAGACTTCAGGAGGGTAGCTACAAAAAGAAGCAGCTGATTAATAAAAACCACAGAATTTAAACAGATCTCTGTTAAGAAGAGGATTTTATTCCAACCAAGGAGTGAAATCAATGAAACAGTCTGTTACACGTTGCTAAATTGACATGGAAATGTTTAGCCAAATTGAGGTCATTATGGAAATAACGACATGCTGAAATGGACCAGGACTAAGCGATCCTTATTCATTACTTCTACGTTTCTAAAGTTCCTAGCCTTTCCCTATAATGCTACATTGTTTTAGAAAAATAAGACACTTTGTGTAAGAGATGAGCCGTACGTCTATTATTTTCTTGTGAGAAGTCTGAAGGAGCTGAATGGTGACTATCAAACAAACAAATCCCAAATAAAAATGTTAAATACTACCATAAATTCTTACCAATATGGAATTATCTACTGGTACAACACAATGCTCAATTCAACAGGATTCTAGCTGAAGATGTAAACACTTCGAGAAACAGAAATGGATCATTGGTTCCAGCTTAAATGAAAATTGAAGACCATTGTTTTTATTGTACATTTTGTGTACCACATTGGACAATTCATTGGAATGTGGCATGAACCAAATATGTACATAATTGAGACAACAGTTCTATTCACCTATCATGAAAATTGTGTTGAATGAACACACGGTGGGGAAACAGGAAAGCTGGCAGCTCGCTTCAGTTAACTGGAACAGGATATAAAGGTGCATACAGTGGTGCCCCGCAAGACGAATGCCTCGCAAGACGGAAAAACCGCTAGACGAAAGGGTTTTCCGTTTTGAAGTTGCTTCGCAGGACGAATTCCCCTATGGGCTTGCTTCGCAAGACGAAAATGTCTTGCGAGTCTTGAGATTTTTTCGCTTTCCCCCTTTATCTAATCTGCTAAGCCTTTAATAGCCTTTAATAGCCTTTTAGCAGCTAATCCCTAAGCCTTTAAGCCTTTAATAGCCGCTAAACAGCTGATAGCGCTAATAGCGCTAATCCGTCAATGGGCTTGCTTCGCAAGACGAAAAAACCGCTAGACGAAGACTCTTGCGGAACGGATTAATTTTGTCTTGCGAGGCACCACTGTACATGTAAAAAGCCAAATGGAGGCAGTTCTGATCACCCGTGATCAATATCTAGCAAAACTAAGGAAACAGCAAGAAACACCAGTTATCAGGCTTTGCAACAGTTATGCAGTGGACTAGGTCTGAAGAGAATGCTTTGGATCTATACAGTTTGCCCAGTGTGTATGTAATGTATGGAAAGAACAAACTTGCACATATCTTCAGGAATTCTTGGCATATGAGACAACACATATCACTTCAGGAATGCCTAGCTAAGTAACGCTCTCCAGGGCTACTTTGGTCTTATGGCACACTAAAGTAAAGGGGATGCAAGCATTCCTGAGCTTCTACTGGACTGTGAATACTAGCTTTTGTCATGCCAGGGGTTCTATATAGCATGCAAGGGACTCACAGTCTCTCTCCCTTTCTTTTCCCCTGGATGCACTGGGAATTAGTTAATGCTGTGCATTTATTCAATCAGCAAAATCTGCAAAAAGGGTAAAGGAAAATGCCAATCACCCTCCAGGGTCTACTCCAGAGGTGACAAGGCCTCTTTGCAAAGGCTGTGTTCTTTGGCCCCAACAGTGCTGAACATGTCAATTTCCAGGATGTTGCTGAACAGAGATGGCAGCTGTAGGCAGTCAATAAGCCTGTTAAAATTCTTGTTTTTAAGAGGCAACAATGGTGGTAAACCTTCCCATGACACTGGGGCCTTGGCAGCTGCCCAGAGTTTTCAGGTATCGATGCTGGGCATGCTGCCTTGGTAAAAATCCATATCAGAGAAGGTCAGTTATACAGTGGTAGCTGTTTGGGGCTAGTTTACAGCAGTCTTTGCTATCAGCACTTTACATACTGATTGCCAGCACTGCCCAAAGGAAATAATGCTTTGTTAACATTTCATATGGTTGTTATGGTCAATCTAAAAAAGCTTCATGTTAACGAAGTCCAATAATGTAGGATGCGTTTTGTTAGGGACTTACTCTCATGGAAGTTTATGTGGCAAGTCATGCCACAGGTTTCCAATATAAAATTTATTTTCCCCTTGTGGTTGTTTTTTTAGCTATCTGTGCACATGCACTAAGAGTACTGCACAGTACAACAGCACAGCACATCATTTATTTATTTCTCTTTTTTAAAAAAACAAAACTTAACAGTTAATTTAAAGCACTGTGCCTGTGTTATAGAATGATCTTATTACAAAGCCAGTGGCATATGTACCTGACTTGATATATGAATATCTGAGAATGTTGGCATGGCTGAAATTTCCCACTGGGTCTTAGGAACAGAGCCAACCATAAGCAGAGGTCTTTGGGCGCTTGTTCCAACACTACGGTTTAGCTTGCAACGCACAGTGCTTTACATTTGTGTCTGCACCTTGCTAGTTTTGATTTAAGTTGGCTTCTGTGCAATGGAAGCCAACAGGGTTTTATATTATAGTCTCTCGTGTTTTAGTTTTGTGCCATTCTTAGTGCAATCCAGAGAAAGTTTTGTTTCAGCTCTTTCTCAAAAGTGTTAGGAAACTATTTTCTTCTTTGGCTAGGCCTTGGTGTGTTTGAACAGAAAATGTTTCGTAAATTTTATAAGCAAAAAGAATTTAAGAACATACTAATTTTACTTCACTGTTTCCTGTCAGACAAAACTAAAGACCAAATCCACAGGAGAAACAAATCCACAGGAAAAACAGAGGGGAAATATCTGAAAAGGTGCGGAAGAAAACAGGGGTATATGTTTTTTTAATTGCCCGATGCAGTTTGAACTTGCCATGCTCTCCTAAGTCTGTTCTCGTTCCCCCTTCGGAAAACTCTTTTTATGACAAAAAAGATAATTTTACAAATTAAAGTCACCAAGCAAACTTTTAATGCGTACTTCATACCGCTGGATAGCTGCCAAAACAATGGCAATCATTTGACAATGATTCTTGATATTGGCATGTTTGTGTATATTATTGCCCAATCCTTAAAGAGATTTATCCCGTATCTTAAGGAAAGCAGCAGCCAAAACAATAGTGAGGGAATAAGACTTGTTAGTATGGTCTTTCTGCTGCACAAAAACTTCATTTCACCCCACCACACATCTCCTTTTCCAAAGTTATGTCAACAGCATCTCCTTTGAGTGGCCCAGGGGTAGCCAACATGGCACCCTCCAGAAGTTGTTGAGCTACAACTCCCATCAGCCCCAGCCAGCATGGAAAATGCCAGGAATTATGGGAACTGTAGTCCAGAAATATTTCAAAGGCACCAGGCTGACTACCCCTGGAACAGATCACTATAAAGAGCAATCGTGTCAGCTCTGCAAAAGTAACAGATGTTTACATTTGACACATATTCTATGCCTTGCTGTTTCTTATGCAAAGCCTTGAAAGGCACTCTTAGGAATTCTGTTTAACATATTTGTGGAAAGGAGATAATGAACATTCCACCAAAGTCAAGAACATTACCCCAATAAGGCAAAGTGGTGTGCTTGGATAACAGTGCAGAGTTTTTCATTTGTTTTATTTCAGTTTGCATGCTTTTGACAAGATGGTTTCCTGTATCTTGTTTTCAGTTGCTGTTGTGATAGATCAATGCTGTTTTCACAATAGGTACTTAAAAGTTGCTTTGTTTTTAATTTCCTACAGAGGCAATTCAACTGAAAATAGTATCTATCATGCTGACATAAAGGAAACTAAGAGTACACTACCTCATCAAGGCACTCAAACGCAGGACATGTATGCACGTCAATGGAACCTTCATCCCGAATATTAACTGTTGGAGCTGTGGCATAAATAGGATCTTCAGGATCCTCTGGTTCCAATTCTGGTTCAGATTGTTCTTCTGACTGACTGGAAACATAATCTTCTTCTTCTTCTTCTTCAGAATCATTCCTTTTCCAAACATCTGCAAAAAGTACCAAAATCCACATATCAAATTTTGATCGTTATGCAAAATAAATTAGAAGCATAGCTGTCAACTTACAGATTTGAAAATAAGAGACGAGCAGCCTCAAAAATAAGGGATCAGCAGCCAAAATAAGGGATCAACAATTACTTTTATAAAACACATATTTTGTTGCGTGCAAATGGCTTTAGATACCTATTAGGTCCATAAATTACCATATAGCATATATTCAACACAAAAAACAGCAACAATTTGTTGTTGACAAAGCAAGCTGGACATATCAAGGGCCCCATTACCTTCAGTAGCTTATTTAAGAGATTTTCATCAATATGGGACAGCAGTGGGACATGGCGCTGGAATAAGGGACTGTCCCGCCAAATAAGGGACGCTTGACAGCTATGATTAGAAGATGAGAGCTGGAGATAAATCATGGGATGAGGTTACACATATCAATAATGGGGAACTCCAGAAGAAAGGGGAGGGGAAAGGGTGAGGGATAGCTGAATATAGTCAATATCTGTGCATAGCTGGGAAAGTTTTGTTAATGAATTAACAACTGAAATGCTTTGACTGTGCACTAGTAATACTAATAAAAGCAATGATTAGGAAAACTCTACTAAGGAATAACTCTACTAAGTGTCTGTCTTCAAAGACAGTCCTCAGAAGTATTCAGAGACTGCCATAGTGAAGTCCGTAACCCACTTCCCTATCCACAACTTCCAGGAATATCAGTGCAGTTAGATACATCCTTATAAATATTGCCATATGCAAGTCTAGCGCTGACCCAATTCAAGAAATCAAGGCAGATCTTAAACTCCCAGTACCTTCCAGTTGTCAGGGATCAGGACTATGTTATATGGAATCTACAATGCATCACACACTAAATAATTTGTGTTAGCCAATAACTAGATGGCATAGTAATTACCTTCAGAGCTCATTTTCCTTGCCTAAACAATTGCAGTCACTAGGACTGTGGAGTTCCAAACTGATCTGAAATTAAATCAAAGAATTTATCATTATACTTTTCCAAGTATATTTAAATTGGAATGCAGATGAATCAAAGCAGCATACATTAGTTAATTTACAAAGCATACCACAGCAATTTAGCATTAGGATGCAATCTTGCTACATCTGTGTGTGTTTTCTTTTTCAAAGAACACCATGGTCTATGGGTCAGCAAAATCTTTGAAGGCTACAAGTGTAAGCTGGCCTCTAGTGCTATTTGGATTTTCTTCAAGGACATTCTGCTTTACAGAGAAATTTCAGCAGCTGCATTTGCTCAGGAATTCAAAAAAACAAAATAAAATCTAACCCTGATGATGCCTCCTACAGAAATTAAAGCATTATGTAATCAGCTGCAATCAGCATAAATTTAATATATTACATAAACATGGGCATATAGTAATAATAATAATAAAAAAGATTTGAATACACATAATATGAGTTATAGTTACTAAATATTTATTTCAATTGTACCTCTATGGACATGTCGGTAAGCTTCATAGCTTCATGAAAAGATTTGTATCAAAACACACCCCACTCATCACAAATGCAAAAAGCAAGTGCAAGCTTAGGGTTGTCTATTGAACATTTGGGGCAGTATCCAACAAAGTAGTTCCATTAGTGGAAGGACTTCTGTTTGTGCAACAGAACTTTGCCTCCTTCTCTCCCCATGTGCACCCCATACTTTCTCCAAATCTGCTCCACTGCATTGAGGAGGGAAACCCAAAACAGATTTAGAGGGCACACAGGGCAAGAAGATAGAGGGGAAGTTCAATTGTACAAACAGAAATTGTTGCGCCAACCCAACTTTGTTGGATACCACCCTTCATGTCCAAGGTGTGGGTTCAATGCATGGCACGGGCAGCATGGGATTGGGGAATGCCTGGATAAGAAAATGTCCTCCCATAACCTGCACAAAAAAAGTATAATTAGTTTATTCAAAAGCAAATTTTATTTATCACTTAACTGGAATAAATTTGAAGACCCTTTTCTTCAACTGAACAATGTATTTTAAACATTCAACGGCAATAAGAAGAATACATTTCATTTTCAATTAATTCACATTACATGTTAATTGCCACACACCTTCACCATATTACATAATATGAATATATTATTTCTGCAAATTCCCCACATCTAACCCTGCAACCACCTCCCCTTATACCCAAATGCCCGTGTGACTTCCTTCACCCACATGAATGATATCCAACTTATTACTTAATAGAAACCTCTAACATTACTCATTACAATATTCATTCATCTATTAAAAAAAGAAAAGAAAGAGGAAAGCATAACTTCTTAATTTAATGGGTTCAGTCTATACTTATCCAGAGATTTCTAATAGAATGATTTTGTACAGTATATTCTTCAACACATTTCCATTCCTTTCTTAATTTTTGTTTTGATTGCAATCTGATTGATGCTGTCATCTTGGCTAGTTCAATATATTCGCAAAATTTAATTTGCCACTCTGAGATTGAAGGAGTCTCCTCACTCTTCCAATTTTTGGCCACCAGTATTCTAGCGGCCGCTGTAGCATACAAAAAAACTCTAAACTTATCCTTGGGAACGTCTTCTGAGACTAGTCCAAGAAGAAACGCCTCAGATCTTTTTTGGGAAGGTTATTTCAAAGATTTTTTTCAATTCATCGTAAATATTGTTCCAGAAGGACATAATCTTGACACAATTCCACCAAATGTGGTATAACGAGCCTTCAACCTTTTTACATCTCCAGTATAGATTTGAAGGTAATTTATAATTTTTTGCTAATTTAACTGGGGTCATGCCAGCCCTCTTCTGCCGTTATGTAAAAGGAAGTCCCTTTACACACTTTAGTGGGTTTGAGAGCAGAATGATAGTTTCAGCTGGGGAGGGTTAGCATTCTAGTTGTCATTTCATTGGGGCAGGGAGCCTGTTTATGAACTCAACAGGCATCCCAGGTTACGCATTTCAGCCTGCAATTGATGCCTAGCAATATTCTGTAACCATTTCATAGAAATCTAGTTATGTTATCAAATATTGTGAGGGGGTGTGCTACTGGTGAAGCAAGAGTAACCAATGAAGGCCTTTCCTGGGTTGCCTCTCACTGCCCTGAAATCAAGTTTGAAAAAAGCATTATATTGTAGCCAATACAGTGGTACCTCGCAAGACGAAAAACTCGCAAGACGAAAGAGTTTTTCGTCTTTTGAGTTGCTTCGCAAGACGAATTTCCCTATGGGCTTGCTTCGCAAGACGGAAACGTCTTGCAAGTTTGTTTCCTTTTGGATTTTCAATGCATTCCTATGGGAAACCGTGCTTCGCAAGACGAAAAATTCGCAAGACGAAGAAACTCGCAGAACGAATTAATTTTGTCTTGCGAGGCACCACTGTATAGTAAGCTGCAGCGTGTGCTAGGTTGCAGTCCTATTTTATACTCGGTTACAGAATGTATTGTATTTCTCCCTGTGTAAAAGTATTTTTTATATGCTCATTGCTAAGTAAGAACATACCCACACCCACTACAAACTACTTTTATAATCATCCCACCACTCTGGCAACTCTCAGAACTGTTCTGCGATGGGGCAGGGATTCTGTAGCAGAAATGTTGCCCATCTACAAAGTCTACAGGCCTATATTAGTCTACTCAGAAGTAAGTCCTGCTGAATTCACTGGGAATTACTCCCAACTAAAGTTGCAGTTGTATGCATGGTTACTTGGGAGCACATTTCATTAAACTGAATGGACCTTGCTTTTGAGTAGACACACACAGGATTGAGCTATTGAAGTAACAAATAACATTTAGGTTAGATATGTAACTATTGCACATATTTCATTTTTTCTGGAAAAACATCTAGAAGATGGCGCATCTCTATATTTGAATAGTAATAATGAATATTTATTTAACTTCATTAGTATATCGTTCCTCCTGGTTCAGCAATTGTAATCTGTGAGTGAAAAAAGGTTTTAAAAGGTCCTTCTGAATGTGAGCCCTAGAGGGTGCCACATGGATGAAAAGTTCTGAGTTTAGTAATCTGAACTAGGTTTTAAAAATAAATATAAATCCATCTACCCTCAGGACCACAAAGAGCATGCAGTGATTTGACAGTGTTGCTTATTAAAAGGAGTCAAATTATGCCCCCTCCTACACACATACACAAAATGTTACCAAAATAATTGGAAACTGAAAATGGTGATGGGGAGTGTTGAACTTTATGGAGCTCATGTTACATTTTTAAGCTTTATGTTTAGAAACTCAACTACAGAAAAATGAAAATGAATCACGACACTTTTCCATACTATTAATGGAAATTGTACTGTTGTCTTCTTTCTTCTCAAATTGTAGATCCTTAAGTTCAGCCTGACTTTTCATAAAAGCCTGCTATAATTCTTCATCTTTTCTGAAATGGTTGCCAAAGAAAGTAAAAAAAAACCACCTCAGGTTCCTCTAAATATTTAATGAAACATCACTCTCATACTGAAAGCAAAAGAATGCTAGATTCCAAACACACTACATTAAATGAAGATGTTCTTTTCTTTTTTAGGAACTTAACCTTGAATTAAAAACATGCCTCCAAGTTATTTACATATGAAAAGAAAGGGAAGGTTGGAGCAGCCTAAACCTGAATTCACTGGTAAGGTTTCTAATTTGCTTCAAATAATTGTGCAAGAACTATTCAGTACAATGAATCTGAAAGTCACAAAAACTTAAAAGGAACTGGTGTTGAACAAAAGTGTTGACAGTCTAATTTAGTCTTCTTTTTCCAGCAGCAGCCAGGAGGATCTTCTGGGAAGTACAAGGGGGTTTGGAGGTGATAGCCCCTCCTTTGTCCCAGCATCTTCCCATCTCCATCATTCGCTCTGGTTTCCGTCAGAAGCACCAGAAGTGGTTTAGTCCTGCTAGCCACTTGACTCAGAAAGCTGTCTGTGGACAAATGCCGGCTCCCTCGGACTGAAAGCGAGATGAGCGCCGCAACCCCATAGTTGCCTTTGACTGGACTTAACCGTCCAGGGATCCTTTACCTTTTAAAACGTTTTATTACCTATGAACATGGAGGTTTCATTTACCTATAATAACCAATACAGGTTAAGTCACTTCCTTGTAACTGGCCCAAAATTCTGGAACATAAAGGAAGATTGTATGCCTGTAAGATTGGAGTACACAGTTACACCTGCCTGGCTGATGTGATGGAGTAACACAAAGAGAAATTAGGAAGAAATTACACTCCATTTCCTGTTAAAGCATGCTTGCATTCCCTGGTAGCAACTAAAGTGTGCTTACTAAGAAACTAGACACAACTACATCAGTGAAACAACCATTCAAACAAAGGAGGAGACATGCAGTACACTCCTATACAAAGTAAAGGTAAAGGGACCCCTGACCATTAGGTCCAGTCGCGGACGACTCTGGGGTTGAACACTCATCTCGCTTTACTGGCCGGGGGAGCTGGTGTTTGCCCACAGACAGCTTCCGGCTCATGTGGCCAGCATGACTAAGCCACTTCTGGCGAACCAAAGCAGCGCACAGAAACGCCGTTTACCTTCCCGCCGGAGCAGTACCTATCTATCTACTTGCACTTTGACGTGCTTTCGAACTGCTAGGTGGGCAGGAGCAGGGACCAAGCAACGGGAGCTCACCCCATCGTGGGGATTCGAACAGCCAACCTTCTGATTGGCAAGCCCTAGGCTCAGTGGTTTACACCACAGTGCTACCCGTCCTTAAGCCACACTATATTCAGTGAGACCTACTCCAAGATAATAGCACTGCAGCCTTCATATGACAATGCAAAAGCTCAACTACTAGTATCGGAAAGCAAGGGGAATAGATCAACAACACTTTATTTGCAACCCAAGATTTCTTACTTGGTCAACACTTCATAAACAGAGAGAATAACATTAGGGGGGCCCGATGAAAAAGAGGCCAGGGCTCTTGCAGCTTTAAAAGTTGTGTAGGAGAGGAAATTGAATTGGGTGTCATTTGTCCCTTTTCCCATCTGGCCACCCAACTGCAAGTGCAGTCTTTGAGAAACCCTTTCTACTTCTATTTCCACTTTGTTTCCAAATGTTGGGGGGGGGATCTGCGAGAAAGGATGGGGGCCCAAAGGAAGTTATAGAAGAACCAGTCCACCCAGCCATCTTGCAATTACTTCAGCATGCTAAAGTCAGTTAGCTTCACTATGTGATAATTATAGAATCCTGACCCATGGAGCAGCCTCGTTTTGGCTAACACATATGCACACCTGGGAACTATACTCCCACCCACTAAAACCACCTTCTGCATTAGTGGCAGAAGAGCTGGCTAGCTTTTTATTTAAATACCTATGGGTCTGATGGGACACCCACTCTCTGGACTCAGAACAGTTGGCGATGGGGGGGTGGGGGTAGCACTTTGTTTCATTTTTATTTTTTTTTAAATGATATTTATTCCAAGTTTAAAATTGCAAAAAAGAAAAAAGAACAATACAAAATACAAAGAAAAATTTAACCATAACAAAGCAAAAAATAACAAGAAAAAAATAAACAATAAAATAGAGTAAAAAAGAAGACGAAACAAAAAATATAAAAATGCATTGAGTTAAAATAGAACAAAAACAGATTAAACCTTTACACAACCTTTTCCCTTTACTTATTTCCATGACCTCCTCTCACCTCCCAATTTTGTATTCTAGTTCAGATCGTATTTCCAGCAAATCCTTCTAACCTTATTTTCATTTGCGTGTTTTAATTTAAAATAATGTAGTTAAACATCCTCTGTTTCATCAATTTCATCAACTCATTTTTGCTTAATCCTTTATATCATATCTACCAAAACGACCTAATTTTCTTTTTCCCACATCTTCCTAACAGTCTTTTATATTACAATATTTTTGAAGATATATTTTGAATTTTTTCCAATCTTCTTCCATTGACCCTTCTCCCTGGTCTCGAATTCTGCCAGTCATCTCAGCCAGTTCCATGTAGTCCATCACTTTCATCTGCCATTCTTCTCGGGTGGGTAAGGGGGTAGCACTTTGTTTCAGATGGTGGCATGGGAGCCAATTCCTAGGGGCTGAGGCTCTTTTGCCCCCCCCATAAAATATTTGAGGGATGTGTGCCCCCCGCAAAGTTGATGGGGCATGTGTGTGTACTGCATCTTGTGGGGCAGGGCTTACCTGGGCAACCCCCAATATTTTATTCAAGCTGCCCCCGCAGGGGTGGTCTATATGCGGCTCCCAGCTAGTTACCTGTTCAGCCCCCGCCCCCCCCCAGGCATGTTTAGCTTCTCCGAGGTTTGGCCGCCCCCTGGGAGGAAGTGCTTTGGGAAGGAGGGGGATGTGGGGTTCTCTGGGCTGCTTGTGCCCTTGAAACACATTCTGGGGCGGACGAATCCAAGTTGCAGACGCCATTGCTCCGCTTCCTTCTCCCGCGTCATTGCACTGAAGGGGGTCGGTCTAGATGACCCTCGGGGACCCCTTCCATCTCTTCAAATCCCACGACTCCTCCCCTCGCGCCCAGAGCAGGCTTCCTTCCCTCCTTTCTAAAACCAGCTCGCGCCTGCTCCTTTACCTTCCCCGCGCGGCCCCGCTCCCTCCGGGGAAACCTCGACGCCGCCGCCGCCGCAGAGGCTGGAGCCCCGTCAGCGCCCTGCGTTGCCATGGAGACCGACTCTCCTCTTCCAGCCCCGCCCTCCACGCTTCCTATTGGGCAGCCGCGAGACTCCATCCTGTCCTGAGGGAGGCAGGGAGACATCCGCCTCCCCCCGCCGCTCATGGGCCAAAGCTTCCCCGAGAGACGCTCAGCTTCCCGGGACTTGTAGTTCGGCCTTCAGGCTCCGTCAACGCTCCGACGTCAGCAGAGAACCACAATTCCCAGCAGCCACCTCGGCGCCACTGGACTGGCCAATCGCTGCTAGTACAGCTCACCGGTTCTGCGCTTGTTGTTTTGAAACTTCCAGGATGGGTTTGTAAGTGGGCAGAGGGGGGGTCCCCGTAATGCAGATACCTCTGCCCTAAAGGGTCTTGGGGAGGGGGGGGGAAAGGGGGTGTCCCATGCCCAGCCCAGAGCCTGGAGCGCAAGTTCTCCCTTTGCACTTTCATTTTCTTCTTTGCAGGGCTGGGGTGTTGCGTGTCAGAAGGACCCCTTGAAGCAGCCTCAAGGCAGTGCAGGATGCGGCCTCTGGCCCCAAGAGGCTGGTGCACGGCAGCGAGGACAGTGGCCGGGAGCTGGCATCGGTTGCTGAAGGGCGAAGGCGTCACTGGGCGAAGGTCGTGGACTGGCAGCTGCCAGCAGCCTCGCTGGTTTGCTGCCAGTCCTTGTCGCTGCAGCAAGTCCGAAGCGAGCAAGCGGAAGGGCAGCAAGCCTCTCAAGGAGTGGACTCTGGTTGTCGGCCCCTATGGCCTCCTGAAGGCACGGCTCCCTTGCCACGTCTCTGTGCACCCTCTGGACCCACACAAGTACCCCCAAGCGGACAGGGTGTTCGTGACGGTGCGTGGGGCAACCGCTGGCCCCGTGCAGGGTGCAGATTTGGATAGTTTGCATGTGAAGTATGATGAGGTGCAAAAGGAGATTACGATCATCTCGGAAGACATGGACGGCGCAGCCTCTGTGGATGTGAGGACCCCCGTAAAATTTGGTATGTGCAGCAACTGGTCAAAAAGAGGCACTGCTGTGACATTTAAGAAGTGCCCCATGCTCTGTGGTGAGCGGTTAGGATGGCCGTTTCTTCAGCTGTGAATTTCAGTTTGGCATGCCATAGTAGATAATGTGGCCCATTCAAGTTGCTACTTCCCAGCTTTTGCAGATACAGTGGTACCTCAGGTTAAGAACTTAATTCGTTCTGGAGGTCTGTTCTTAACCTGTAACTGTTCTTAACGTGAGGCACCACTTTAGCTAATGGGGCCTCCCGCTGCCAACCATGCGATTTCTGTTCTCATCCTGAAGCAAAGTTCTTAACCCGAGGTACTATTTCTGGATTAGCGGAGTCTGTAACCTGAAGCGTATGTAACCCGAGGTACCACTGTACACCGATAAGAGACCCAGTGTTGCTATTGACAGGAGTCATAATGTTTACTACTGCAGCTCAAAAGCTTCTGCTGCAAGGCCAGAGTTCAGGAAGATGCCTTGGCAAAATTAGGAGCACTGGCTAAATCCCAGCTGTTTAGTCAGCTCAGCTTTTCTCTTTCCTGCTACTATCACCAGGACAAACCCTGAAAGCATCTTTCCTTTCTTTGACAGTTATTATGGTGAAGTCACTTGGTGGGTAGTCTGTTGGACTTGGATTGGGGAAACTTGCATTCCAATCCTGCCATTCGCAAAGCTCAACATGTAACCTTAGGCCAGTCACAGTCTTTATTAGTCTCACAGGGTTATTGTCAATAAAATCATTAGATAAGCTCCATATATGCTGTCCTTGGAGGAAGAGTAGCGTACACATGTCATAACAACAATCATAACTGCTAATAATTTGGCTCCGTAACCTGGGTATATTTTAAATATATTCCTTGTCCTTCCTACACATCACTGTAATATGTATTTTTTCCTTAACACTTCAGATGCTGACATGTGACACTAATTGTTTGTTTGGGGGACTCAGGACATTCTTTGAAAGTGGGGTGCTTCTTTTTTCACTCTGTTACATTGTTTTGCTAAAGGAAATCAAAATTTTAGATTGCTTTGCATTGAATTTGTTTCTATTTATCTCCACTATTTAAAATTGATTTTAGACTTGGATATCAAGACAACAGGGAATGGCTGTGTGAAGACTGAGAAAATTGAATGTAACAGCTGCAGAATAGAGACAGAAAAGGGAACGAGCATCTTGCGGTCAATAAAGGTACCAGTATAGATACAAGAGTACAAGAGTTGTGTTTTCTATCCTCTGGTATATATTTTTTGCAAGTCTTTTCTTGGGACCTCTCCTGCAACTGCATAATAAGTAGAAATTCAGACCTGGAACTCTTTTAGCCATGCAGATATAATTGTGGGTCCTGCAAGAATTAATTGACGTATCACTTTCCATAATAACAGCCAAGAGATGCAGGTGAAATCCTAGTTAGGGCCCATCATAACTGTCTTCAAAAAAATAAGAACTGAACTCTTTTAACATGTATACAATTCTGTTTCAGAGTCAGAAAATTGACATTCAAGCTAAAGGAGGGAAAGTTATCTGCCTGGGAACTCTACAAGGAAATGCTGATATTCATGTGTCACAAGAAAGTGTAAGCATTTTTAAAATGTGTGGACTACAATTATTTGGGTCACCTATAAAATACATTGAAGAAATACATTACAAAAATAACATTATGGGCTTTTAAAATCTTCGTGAGAATATGTGTCTTCACTTTTTCAAGTTCTGTGACTATTGCAGGTTTTTTTTCAGACAGAGGCTTTGTGTCTTTGACAGCTGTGGGGCAGGAAAAATTCAGCAAGTACCGTTCTCCTTTCATTGCCTCTCTGGACTGGGAAAACTGCACCTGCTTGCGTTGAAGTTAAAGTTATAGCGCCTACGTTGGATAGACCAGGGTGTGGAGTGGAAAACCTATTTGTAGAAACTAGCAATGCCTATTATAAAGCAAATATTATTACATTTAGCATCAAGGCCAGCCCTACTGTGAGACAGAGTGAGGCAGCTACCTCAGGTGGCAGATGCTGAGGGGTGTGGAGTGGACAGAACTGTGTGTGCTCTTCATGTCCTTCTCCACACCCCTTAAGAGACCCTGTTGTCTTCAGATGCAACGGTGGAATTCCGTCGCATTGCCAATCTTGAACTAAGGCCCCATCTGTGCTATACATTTAAAGCAGTATCATACCGCTGTAAATGGTAATGGCTTTCCCTTCAAAATCCTGGAAATTTTAGTTTGAGAGTGTTGTGAGTTGTAAGGAGGCCTTTATTCCCCTCACAGAACTGCTGTTCTCAGAGTCGTTTAACAATCCCTCTTCCCAGGAAACTCCGGGATCTGTAGTTCTGAGAGGGGAATGGGGTCTCTTAACAACTCTCAGCACCCTTAAAAAAACTACAATTTCCAAGGATTATTTGGGGGGAAAGCCAGGACTGATTAAATGCATGGTGCAGATGAGGCCAAAAATTCAACGGCCAGTCTGGGCAGCTTTTCTAAATGGAATGGTGTGTGTTTGTGTGTGTTGAACACAATCTTTCCCTTTGCCTCAGGCAGCAAAATGTCTTGGGCAAGCCCCATTTAGCATAATGCAACAACAAGTTGACTCTGTGAGAAGTGATTGCGATTCCAGCAACTGAATTTGAGCTGAACGTGCTTCTATTATAGGTCTCTGAAATTAGACACATACATTATGCTGTTGCTTCCTTTTTCTCTACAAATGTCAAATTGCTTTCAGTATAACTTCTTCGGCAAGTGGAAGTTAAACCCTGCAGAATGAATCCGCTTTTAGATTTGGATTTAATATCCCAGTCGTAGGCAAGCTATTCTCAAAATGTAGGGCCATAATTTTTAAATGGGCACATGGCTGAGATGGCATTCAATGGATGTTAATGCCCCCTAATTATCCCAAGGCAACAGTATTGTAAACACAACTGAAATTCACGTCTTCTGTGGAAATGCAGGTGAGGTGTTGAAACTTCAGTTAGTTCCAGGTATTTTCCAGAAGATGGCGCCTTTGGCTTGTTTGCTTTGTTATTGGAAAGTGTTATTGTTCCTTGAGATGTGTATAATGTGACCCTGACTTGAGCAGCACCGAGGGGTAAATAAATATCTCATGGGTAGACAGCAGAGAATTTTCCCATCCATTCAAGGCCTGCAAGAAAAGAGCGATATCTCAAGTGTGCTTAGTTTATTGCTGGAATTGCTTGCAGGAATAATAATTCCAGCTAGTTCCTTGGAAATAATTTAAAGTGAATTTGTAAGAGCATAGAGATTATTTGCGACCTCCTTTGGCTTACCTCAGCCAAGATGAATTGATCAGAGAGACTAAGGCTGCAATCCTAACTGCATTTACAAGGGAGTAAGCCCTGGCTATAGGACTTTTGCTTCATCTTACTTTGTTTAGAATACAGTGGAACCTCTACTTACAACCATAATCTGTTCCAGAGGTCCGGCCATAACTAGAAACATACATAAGTAGAGGCACGCTTTGCCATAGAAAGTAATGGAAAAGTGAATTGATCCGTTCAATTTAACACAGATTTTACTTTCTAACGAAACCATAGATCCATAAAATAAAGGCGATAATCAATGTACTGTACTATAAAATAAATAAGACAGTATTGTAGATGAAAAAAATTAACATTAATTTTTTTTCTTACGTGCACTGAGGGTGGGTGGGCTTATCTGGCTACAAGCTGGGGGTGGGGCAAGGGTCAGTAAGGACCTGATTCACTTTGGCCAGAGTCAGTTTTTTTTCTTGCCAGGCCAGGTTCTTCTCCGGACTTTCACAGGTTGGTTCCTCGGCAGGGTTTGGGGCCTCAGTGTGCCCTGCTGTGCCTCTTGCAGGCGGCACCTCTTCCACAGCTTTGGGGGTGGGATGGGGGCCCTCTCTCCAGCAACAGAGGCCTCAGCACTGCTCCACAGCTGGCGGGGTGAGCTCTGGGCTGCTAGCAAGGCCTCTGTTTGTATCTAGAGGAAAGTTCATAAGTCGAAGCACCTACTGAAGGTTGTAACTGGAATTGTATGTAAGTAGAGCCGTACATAAGTCGAGGTTCCACTGTACACTGGGTGAAGAACTCACTGTTGTGTTAACATACAGCTGTTTTAAAAGACAGCCGGGAGTTGTATTTCAGCATATCTAATAATCTCTGATAAAGCATGAAAGTACAATAAGTAGGGTTATTGCGGTGGCCATAAGAATCTTAATAGATAGTATAGGAAAATACACACTTCCAGTTCTGGCTGGGAGATACTAAAGTAGGGCTGCCATATTTCAGGAAGTGGAAATCAGGAAACAAAAGTGAATGGCGTGAAAAATTTCACATATCAAACTGGAAAAGTCTAGAAAATAAGAATTGGACATGATCCGTAGATAATTGCAAGCTGAAACATTGACCGTGCTAGGGAGTCATATTGAAATGCTATACATTTATGCTCAGAACGAAGCCCCATTGACTTCCTTTACTCCCAGGTAACTGCCTACTGCAGAAGCCTTCCCCAACATGGTGCTTCCCAGATATTTTGAAGTACAATTCCCACCAACTTTTACTTTTGCTAAACTGGCTGGAGCTGGTGGAGTCATGGTCCCAGGATGGAGACGTCTGGTGTATCAGATTGCTGCGAAGTCCTTTTTGAACTCAGTGCGACTTAATTTTAGTAAACTTGCTTAAGTTGTATAAATATATTTTAGTATACAAAGCAGTTTTAGCAGTGTTTGTAAGGCAATGTCATAGAAGTGTTGAGTTGGAAGGGACCCCAAGGCTCATCTAGTCCACCCCCTGCCCTGCAATGCAGGAGGTTGGCTGCATCAGGTCTTGGGTCCAAAGAGATATTCAGAGCTGATTTGCCTGCCCCCACTAGTCACTTCTGCAGCTGCCAGCGACATCATGTCAGCACTTAGCAGTGAGTGGCGCTAGACCAACCGTCCTCAACCTCAAGACGCTTTGGACGCTTTGGGATGCCCATCATCCCAAGTCAAGCATGAGCAATGGCTGGGGATTATGGGTGTTGTGGTAAAGAACATCTGAAGGGAACTGGATTGGGGAAGGCTCAGCTTGACTGGGGGACATTGCCAAACATTTGGCCCCATAGCATTTAGGCTCGTTTACCCTCCCGCACCAAGGACGCGGGCGGCGCTGTGGGTTAAACCACAGAGCCAGAAGGTCAGCGGTTCGAATCCCCATGGCGGGGTGAGCTCCCGTTGCTCGGTCCCTGCTCCTGCCAACCTAGCAGTTTGAAAGCACATCAAAGTGCAAGTAGATAAATAGGTACCACTCCGGCGGAAAGGTAAACGGTGCTTCCGTGTGCTGCTCTGATTCGCCAGAAGTGGCTTAGTCATGCTGGCCACATGATCCGGAAAGCTGTACACTGGCTCCCTTGGCCCATAAAGCGAGATGAGCGCCGCAACCCCAGAGTCTGCGACTGGACCTAATGGTTAGGGGTCCCTTTACCTTTACCTTTACCCTTCCTCACCAGTGATATGTTCATACATGAGGAAATGTACAATACAATGACAATGTAGCTAACAGTGCCTCAATATTGTAGGAGGAAAGAGGAAGAAATTGACAAAGGATTGCATTTTGCGCAGTAACCCTTCATTGAGTGTATTCTCACCCTTTGTTTACAGACCTGATTTGTATGCTAGTGATTAACTTCACATGTTCTTTTGAAGATTTTTTTTATCCAGATGAGAAACAGAGAATTTATAATATACTAATTTATCTTGCATGACATATAATGTTCTGTGGTGTGTGTCTCGGTGTGTAAACGCTACATATAAACCAGCAAAATCACAGCTGTAGAATTAAGCGTCAAAACTGACATGTATAACACTTATCTTCCAAGCACAATAGCAGAGCAGCCAACTTTTTGGAGGAAGAAGTTTGGCTTGCTTTCTCGAAGAGCCATTTCTGTTAGCAATCAGCCTGTATTTTATCTGCCGTGTGGGCTTTTATGACAATTTTGTTCCATCGACTACAGTCATCATTATGTAGCTAGGGCTCTGTCAGCGTTTCCAGTGTAAACCAAGACTGTCAGAGGTTTGTAGCTGTGCATTATAATTCCCCTGGCAATGAAACTGGACACTTTCTACTTCAGTCACTGGGGCAAATGCTTAAAACATTGAGACAGAGAGAGAGAGAGATTGGGATGAACATTTAAAAACCTGCAGAATAATTCAAATGGTTTGTTTTTAATTTTAAGAAATAAAATGGGGTTAACCCAACTAGCAGCTAAAAACAAGCAGCAACTGTTTCCTGGGGCTGCCTCTCTCCACAGAGAGGCTAGCCCAGGCTTCCTCAACCTCGGCCCTCCAGATGTTTTGGGACTACAACTCCCATGATCCCTAGCTAGCAGGACCAGTGGTCAGGGATGATGGGAATTGTAGTCTCAAAACATCTGGAGGGCCAAGGTTGAGGAAGCCTGGGCTAGACTAAAATCCCACTGGCATTTCAGATGTGGTTCCCCACCCAATTCTCCTTATCACATCGTACCTACTGGTGTGTGTACCCAACTGACCAAGTGATGGAAGCGCTAAACTGCCTTGTAGACAGTAATTGCATGATTTTTCAGTGCTGATGTCTGACCCCAGTTATCTGGCGTACGTACACATAAGCAGGCTGACATGGGGTCAAATTGATACCCGAGTCTTGCTTAACAGTGGTTGAAAGTAAGAGATACTGTGTTCCGTAGAGAGGTGTGATGCGTTGCTGAGCATCTGGTCGAGAGTCGTCTTTGTTTCGGAGGAATTGTCAGCAGCTTGACTACATCATACAGTTCTTCATTTTATAAGGCTGTGATAGATCGTGCTGAAATGCTAGAGCAGATTTTAAGCCAAATTAATACACAGCTTTAAATCAGATAGTATGCTGGGTCACAAAATTGCATATGAGACAGGACTGAACCGGAAAATTAAAAGCATCTGAATGTTTTACTGCAGCATAAGTCAAACCGAGCTTAGTAGAACACAATTAAATTTGATAAGGTATTAGTATCTATTATAGTCTTCGTGTTTACAATAGTTCCAGTGTGACTGTAGAAACTGTTCGTTTGGTAAAACATCTTTAGACTTTTATTATCCTGGCTCTTGCTCTGGCTGCCTGCTGTATCCTTCTTCGTCTCTTAAAAAATGGAGAATTTATCAGCTGATTCCATCCACATCTGCCTTGAGCCACCATTTGATCCTGCTGTGAGACTGGTGTTAATCTACTGACCCTCTTCTCCACTATTGGCAGCCTTCTACAGAGCATCAGTTTTAGGGAAACCCTAACATCATGAATGAGTGGGAGGGCTGAAATCATATGGTCATGATTTCAGATATTCTGTAGATGTTATTGTTCCTTTGCTTTTCCAGCCTTATTACACTTTTGCAACAATCAGGCATAATATATGTCTTCTTGTCAGGCACACTGACAAAACTCTGCTGTGGCCAGAGCCAAATCAAAACCAGATGGTGTGCCCAAGCACATCCAACAGCCTTGCAGAGTGATACTTTTGCCAGGGATTCCTGGGATAAGCCAATGCCAGACCATTTCTTGAATATAGCCCTTGTTCTCCAGAACAAGCAAACAAGCTAGGCAGAATACCAACCAGGTTAGGAAGGCAGTCCAGGGTACAACCATGGACTGCCAAGCTGGAAGACCAAAGACCTAAGCTAACAGCTCCAGTGTTGAGGCTCTTGAATTTTTGATGTAAATTGTGCTGATTTCCCAAGAGCTTGTTAATTTATTCCAGCTGCAGCCAATGAGGCAACTGGGGCTGAGCCATTAGTTTGGGTTTCCTCAACCTCGGCCCTCCAGATGTTTTTGAGACTACAATTCCCATCATCCCTGACCACTGGTCCTGCTAGCTAGGGATCATGGGAGTTGTAGGCCACAAACATCTGGAGGGCCGAGGTTGAGGAAGCCTGCATTAGTTTCTTTCCTCCATTTTAGCAGCAGTTTCAATGCAAACCGCTTGTTGCTTCAGGAGCAGCAAAGCCCCTTTCTCTGCAGTTCGCAAGCACCCAACAACCAGGTGGCTGTTGGACTCTTGGGAAGCGCTGCACCATGGACTGACAAGTAAGTGAGGCAACTCACCTGTCAGTCATATGATACCATAGTGATGCTAGGTGGTTGGCAGGTGGGTTATCCCACCCACCTGTTGAAATTGGGCCACAGGAGAATCTGGCCTACTGGGCCAAAAATACTCCCACCACTGCACTAGAGACAGAAATCCACACACCTGGGCCTTGATGGCGACACTGGGCTTTAGCAATCTTTAAAGCTGTACAGTGGTACCTCTGGTTACATATGCTTCAGGTTACAGACGCTTCAGGTTACAGACTCCGCTAACCCAGAAATAGTACCTCGGGTTAAGAACTTTGCTTCAGGATGAGAACAGAAATCGTCCTCTGGCAGCATGGCGGCAGCAGGAGGCCCCATTAGTTAAAGTGGTGCTTCAGGTTAAGAACAGTTTCAGGTTAAGTACTGACCTCCAGAATGAATTAAGTACTTAACCCGAGGTACCACTGTAGTTCCAGTCAAATGCTCTGCTGCAGGCAATGAGTTTTTCACTTTTTGCGACCAGCTGTTACATGAACGTGGCAGACTCTTCAAAAAAGTAGATGTTGCTTTACCTGTTTACTTGCAGTGCCATATATCTTCTAGCTTCTTACTCTCCTTTGTATACGTTATCCATGCCCACAACCACAGTTCTGGCCATTTGTCCCACCATCAAGGGAGTACTTCAACCTCTAATGCTAATTCAGTGTTATGAAATTTCACAGATTGTAATTTTGCAAATCAATGCACCTGTTTTCTGGTGCATAACTTCTAGCTGCAAGCTTTGTCTGTCTTTGTTGACAACGTGAAGAGCACCATAGGTATCAACTGCGGTAGCCAATTAAGTTTTACACAGAGTAGACCCATTGAAATTAGTGAACATGATGACGTTAGAGCCATTAATTTTACTTAATCTACTGAGTAAAATTTAGTTGACTAGCATCCCAGGTTTCCACATGGACAAGCCACATGGGACTGGTGCAGAGAGGAGCCAGACACAGAATCTCATGCTGTCTTCACCCTTCCCCTCAGCTTAGGTACAGCTTCACTTCTCCTCAGTCATTGGCACTGACATTATCAGGCATTTGCTTGTATATTGTGTATTTGATGTTCCTTTGTCACCGCTTTCTGAACTTCTGTGGTGGAAAAGTGACTGGATAACCTTCTTTCCTCCCTCTGCTTCAGTTTTCTGCTTGAACAGTAATTTCAACCTTTTATAGTTAATATCTTCTATGGGCTTCTCCAGACAATCTAGTTATTGAGCATTCATCCTGATTTGCTTGCACAAGACTTACATGGTTAGATAATACGCCATCTTTATTGAACAGTTATTCTGATTTGTTTGTGGGGCAGTTATATGACAATGAACGTTCACTCTGCATTTCCTGATTTGCTTGTGGGGTGTTTTTACGTCCTCTGGTTAGTCATTTGTTCATTCTAAACTTTTCAATGCATTTCCCCTTCACATGTCTATGTGAAAGATGTAGCTTAATATATCATTAAGATGAACTGATGTTTGTCTGTTTCTTGGCTGTAATGCTGTTATATTAATTTATTCATTTCCCCCCTTTTACAGAGTGTGAATATAGAAAAGCTACAAGGGTCATCTATTCACATTTCTACCAAAAATGGCTTATTAAAAGCCAAATATCTTTATGCAGAATCTTCATTGCTCTCTTCAACAGCTGGTGACATTCTGCTGGGGAATGTTCATGGTAAGATAGCAAATTGGTCTGCAATTAGAGCTACATTTTGTTTAGCAAATGCCTTTTTAAATATTTGTGATAGAAGGTCATCAATTTCACATTTGAGTTGTTTGAGAACTGTTGGGTGGATGCCAGCTAAATGCCACGATATGTCAGTTTTTATTTTTTCAATAAGGCCTGGAACTTTGTGTCTTGCCACCACTATCTGCCTCAGTTCCTCAGACTCCCTTTCTGCAAAAGTTACCGTATTTTTCGCACCATAGGACGCACCGGACAATAGGACGCACTTTGTTTTAGAGGGGGGAGAACAAGAAAAAAAATTCTCCCCCTCTCTGCCCAGCGCCCCTTCGGCGAAGTGGCAGGAGGCGCTGCGCAGAGAGGGGGAGAACTTTCCCCCTCTTGTTTTCCCGCTCTAAAACAAGGTGCCGTTTAAGGTGCGTTCAGGCGGCTACCTTGGAAGTCTGGAGAGCGAGAGGGGTCGGTGTGCACTGACCCCTCTCGCTCTCCAGGCTTCAGGTTCCTTTCGACCAGCTCTTTGGGGCTGGCGGGGGGAAGCCCACCACCAGCCCCAAAGAGCAGGTCAGGGAGCAGCGGAAAGGCGCAGCGGAGAGACTCCTGGCATAGCCGCCCGTCACCTCTCCAGCCGGGAGAGCGCGCACGGGGCTAAAGCAGCCCCCCGCACCCCTCTCCCGGCTGGAGAGGTGACGCGCGGCTATGGCAGGAGCCTCTATAGCCGCATGTCACCTCTCCAGCAGCCCCGCGCGCGCTCTCCCGGCTGGAGAGGTGACGCGCGGCTATTGAGGCTCTTGCCATAGCCGCCCGTCACCTCTCCAGCCGGGAGAGCGCGCGCGGGGCTATGGCGTCTTCGCTCCATAGGACGCACACACATTTTCCCTTCATTTTTGAAGGGAAAAAAGTGCGTCCTATAGAGCGAAAAATACGGTAGTTCAGGCACCAGGATCTGCCCTTTATCTTCCACTATGAAGACAAACACACACAAAAATTCACTTTCTGTGCAATCGCTTTATCCTCCTTTTCCACACCTCAGATTCCCTTATCATCCAAGGGCCCAACTGCTTCCCTAGCAGATGTCCTGCTACAACTGTAGTTGAAGAAATTCTTGTTGTTGGTTTTAGTATTTTTAGCAATGTGCTTCTCAAATTATTTTTAGCAATCTTTATTGTCTGCTTGCATTTTTTTGGCCAAAGTTTGTGTTCCTTTTGTTCTCTTTGTTTGGACAAGACTTCTGTTTTTTTAAAGGAGGCCTTCTTGCCTGTAATAGCTTCTTTGGCTCTGCTTGTTAAGCGTGCTGGCATCTTCTTGGCCAGGGTGATACCATTTCTGATCTGTGGTAAACAGCCAGTGGAACTCCCAGCTAAGTGTATATAGGATTGCAGCCATACCTAATTCCAGGCATGGCAGATTAATAAACCATACTCAAAACTATAAACTATTACACTGACAGCCACTATTAGCAAGCTATAGCTTTTTGGCTAAATGATTGCATTAAAATATTATATAGATAAAGTGGTATCTTAAGGGAAGTACCCTATAACTACACCAACAATAGGTGGAAAACGCAATACTCTTAGCTAGAGGAATTCCACTGGCATAACAATATTTTCTTCATAAACAGGATCTGTTCCTTCATTACTGTAATTATATGTGAATGCTGCTTCAGTATGGCCATTCTAGCAACGACAGGCAGTGGAAATATTTGGGCTAGGAAAATGTCATGCTTCTTTCTTGTGCCAGTGTTGCCCTTCCTGGGGCCATGTATATTCCCAGTTTGGGAAGGAACTTGGAGCTCTCCCTTATGAACTGGATCTAAATCTTTGCAGAAATCAGCGGGGTTAGTGTCTCTTGATACAAATTAGTGTCACGATGACTTGTGTTTGTGCTGATTTGTTGGAAACATTTCTCTGGGTCTTTGGGCTGGCATGGTGCACTCCAACCAAAGCACTGCCAATTCCATTCTTGGTCAAGAGCATCCTATGTGTTGGTCCAGTGGTTCTCATCTGTTCTTGGGCAGATGACTAATCCTTCATGTTGCTTAGGTTGGTGGTCAGAGTGTGGGTGTGCAGTTCCTCTAGTCATAATTTACCACTCCTGGTGTGCAGACTTTCCATGGGCTTGAGGTATTCAGCCTTGGTGATTCAGAAGCTTATACTGAATCTGAAAACTACCCATCTTTATAAGGCCACAGAAGTTCAACACTATGGCACCAAGCTGTCAGCTCCCAACAAGTGTCCATCTTGCTTCAAATGCCATTAGTCCTTTCTGCCCCACCCACCCCAGTCCCTAGATGTATGCCTCTCTTTATTTTTTCATAGTGAACTGGCTGCTAACTTAAACTCCTGGCTGTCATCCCAGCCTTCAGAATAGAGCCAGGCTGACTGGGCACACACAGTCTTGAATAAATAAATACAACTTGATTTTAAAAATTGTGGAAGTATGAACTATATTTAGCTGCCATGTAGTACACTGATGTAAATTTGCCAGTGTCCAATTCAAAGCTCCTAACTAATAGGTTCTTAATTTGTTCACAAAGGCCTATTATGGATGTTTTAAACTTGTTTTCGTACTTGTGTTGTGTGTGTTTTAGGTTACTTTTACAACACTTCCTATAAAAATATGTTGTATTTTTCTTCCAGGGTGCAGTAAAAAGGCAAATAGAGTTGTATCCAGTTTAAACAAGATAACCTTAACATTGCTCCATGCTTATTTTCAGAATGCTGTTAATGAAATGTTATTGGGACGTTCTGTTATTTTAAACAAGTGTTCTTTCTATAAAAAGTTTTAGAGTCATCCGAAATGAAACATACTTCTGACAGTACAATCCTATACATGCCTACTCAGAAGTAAGTCATATTGAAGTTGCAGTCATATACACCTCACTGAGAATATACTCCACTAAATGGAGTAGGACTTACTTCAGAGTTAATGTGTCAAGGAATGCACTGTGAATGTGTTTATTTTACTGTATTCATATTTTATGGGAAATTAAAACGCTGTAGAAAAAGCAAATAGAAAATGAATGAGTTTTGCAATGAGTGGTGATTCCTTCCAGATGGTGTCATGGGGCCTCTAATGGGCCACCCTAAATCTTTCTGGAAGTATCAACCAGTTTAGGCATATATTTTGGGGGTGGAGTAGGACAGGTATCTGGTAGCCACAGACCCATCTACATAGAACTGGGGGTGGGGAGGAACAACAACAACAAGCTCAGAGTCATCTCTCTGTGCTGTGCTTGCAACATAAATGGAAGGAAACCTAAGTATTTTCAGATGTCTCTGTTTTTGCTCATTAGTAGATATCTGTGGCTTCCCACATCATGGCTAAAAGCAATATGGATTATTGAGCTTGTATCTTGGAGCCTTCCTCTGTATTTAATCTTGCATCTGATGATGATCCTAAGTCAGAAACTCAAAGAATACAGTCGTACCTTGGAAGTCGAACGGAATCCGTTTGACTTCCAAAATGTTCGGAAACCAATGTGTGGCTTCTAATTGGCTGCAGGAAGCTCCTGCAGCCAATCAGAAGCCATGGAATCCACATCAGACATTCGGGTTCCAAAGAATGTTTGCAAACCAGAACACTCACTTCCGAGTTTGTGGCGTTTGGGAGCCAAAACGTTTGACTTGCAAGGTGTTTGGGATCCAAGGTACGACTGTATAGCACAGCGGAGACATAGTCATCAGGTTCTGGAACCAATATTGTCCCAGCCTGATCCTGAAACTTAGACTTGTAGCTTACTATGTACAGATAAACAAAATGTGGGCTTTATAAAAATGCTTCCAGTTTTCATAAAGAGCAAAAATGAAGAAAGCTTGAATTGCTTTTATCAATGATACATTGCCCAACCTCTGTAATTCGTGGATGTCAGCACTAGTTCAGAATAAACAATTTGGCTAGAATTTGACTTTTCCTTCTCCCCAGAATATCTCGATTTGAGGGTTGGTTAGCATAAAAATTATAGGCTTCATTAAGCACTGGTATTGGTTGCACTATTATATGACCACACAATTCTTCTAAAGCAGCATATTGAACTTGCTTCAGATAATGTGATTTGCGAGACCTTTGTTGATCTTAAAATGTTTCTCATTCTTTATGGGTATCTTTAGAAAGTCCATAAACCAAATGAGGGGGTAAATCTTATTTGAGAAGATCTGAATATTTTTACAAAACAATGTGGTTTTTGAAAGTGGAGAACAGAATACATGCCATTCTAAAAGACTGTCAGCAAATGGTCTGGCTTTGGGAATGAGCTGTAGGCATCAGCCTGAGATGAGCTGGGAGATGTGCTGGGGAATTGGAGCTGAAGAGCAAGGCAGGAATCAGAGAAGAGCAATTATCAGAAACCAAAATCAAGGAGTAGCCAGGAGTCAGAGCTGTAGGGTGAAGCCAGAAGTCAGGCCCAAAGAGGAAAGAGGGACAAATGAGTAGGCAGGCCCAAGGAGTAAGAATCAAGAGTCCGAATCGAAAGGTCACACAGTAATGCTTCGCTGCCCTGGAGGCTAGGACCCAAATCAGTGGATTCAAGTCAAGAAAGGAGATCCCAACTGAACATCAGGAAGAACTTTTCTGACAGTAAGAGCTGTTTGACAGTGGAACAGACTCCCACAGGAGTTGGGTGGACTCTCCTTCCTCAGAGGTTCTTAAGCAGAAGTTGAATGGCCATCTGTCATGTATGATCTGGTTTAGATTCCTGCAATCCAAGGGTTGGACTAGATCAGCATTTCCCAACCTTGGGCCTCCAGCTGTTTTGGACTACAACTCCCATAATCCTCAGCTAGCAAGACAAGTGGTCAGGGATGATGGGAATTGTAGTTCGAAAACAGCTAGAGGCCCAAGGTTGGGAAACACTGGACTAGATGACCCCCTGAGGTCCCTTCCAACTCTACTATTCTGTGATTCTATGAAACAGGAAGTCCTTCCTGTCTGGGAGAGTCCATTGGCCAGCCAGGATGGGCAGGGCCAGACTTGAGGATACTTGCTTCCTAGGCAGATACTGTAACTTGTAGTTCTGTGGCAGCTTAAATGAATCTGAAGGTCCTCTTATTTGAGCTCCTGACAGGGGCACAGTCTGCTTTTGGATCGCAGTCTGAATCTGAGACCTACATACAGGATGGGATCAGAAACTGAACTAATGTTCAGAAGAAACTGAAATGTTACATCCTACTCAAAACACTTCTGTGAAATAACTGTCCCTGAAGAGATTGTCAGGTCTTCTTAGTAGATGAAAGGCCCTGAATACAGATCATCTCCATACAAGTGTCAATATATGCATTTGTGTGTAGACCCTCCATGTGATCAGGAACATACGTGTCATGACCCTAGCATCAAGTAGTGACTAGAGCATGGACTGGGATGGAGGTTTCTAAAAGTCCCAGGGAGTGGACCTTGTGGCAAGGACTTCAGAGCTGTTGGGTAAATGCCTTGACACCTGTACACGATCTAATCACCTGACTTCCTGAGATAGTCCCCACCCTGCAAGATATAATTCCCTCTCCCCAAAGAGTGACTGTCGTTATCCCCAAGGACCTCATAAACTGTGCTCCAGTCTGGCCACAACTTGAATGCAGATGGTTAGACTTACCAGAGGAGTGAAGGAGTATGAATATCTAGGCCTCTAAAGCTTTCCACATGGCATAGATAGCCAGGCATAGTCGATGGGATATCTTCCATATGTTGCCATACTACACCTCCCATCATCCGTTATCATTGGCCATGCTGGTTGAGGCTGATGGGAGTTGGAGTCCAATAACATTTGGAAGGCACCAAGTTTGCTACTCCGGAGGAGTTAGTTGGGCACCAGACCTTATTGGAGGAGGTTGCAAACTTAGGGGTGGTTAGTATCCTGGCACTCCAATCCCACCAGCTACTCTGCCTGGCTGATTCAGGATTCTCATTCTTTTCCATACCTAAGGTTGTTTGCACCTCCCTGGGCAGGGCACCACGCATGGGAGGCACATTTGAATGCTTGTGACCCCAAGGTTGCACAATGTCACACAAAAACATCCCTCCCCCCCCCAGCAGCTTCCAAGTGGGGAGTGTTAAGCCGTAGAACGGAGTAAGAAACACATGGCAAGACCTTTTAAAATACTTTAAAGGTAAAAGCACTCCTGACAGTTAGGTCCAGTCGTGACCGACTCTGGGGTTGCGGTGCTCATCTCACTCTATGGGCCGAGGGAGCCGGCGTTTGTCCGCAGACAGCTTCCAGGTCATGTGGCCAGCATGACTAAGCCGCTTCTGGCGAACCAGAGCAGTGCACGGAAACGCCGTTTACCTTCCCGCCGGAGCGGTACCTATTTATCTACTTGCACTTTGACATGCTTTTGAACTGCTAGGTTGGCAGGAGCTGGGACCTAGCAACAGGAGCTCACCCCGTCGTGGGGATTCGAACCGCCGACCTTCTGATCAGCAAGTCTTAGGCTCTGTGGTTTAACCCACAGCGCCACCCACGTCCCCTTAAAATACTTTAGGAGGGCTCAAAACCACTGCTAGACCCTCAAAGTACAGGGCTACAAGAAGCCTTGAAATATTAAATGCATCACATCTTGGAAGTCTCTGGAAGGGGGGCGAGTTGTGCTTAAATTATAAAACCTAGTTGGAGGCTGGGATAGATCACAGTGTAATAACATAGCGAGAAAGTTTCGCAATAAGGAAGAACACAGGTGGGATCATAAATCAAGGAAGTAGAAGTAGAATTGGAAGGCAGATCAACGTAGTAGGGTCATTGGTGCAATCAGGAATCCTGCAAGAGTACAGCACTTCATTTTCTGCCTATAATAGGTAGATTTCTGGTAAGAGCTTTTCCAAGCTCCCTCCCTTTTATTTACAAGAAATCTCTGCAAACCAGAAGACAGGAGGAGATGGACTCTCTACTGAACGTACATAACCCTATCTCCTGTTTCCCAGAATCCCTTTATGTCCCAGAGCAGCTGTCAGACACCACTTTGTACCATGAAAGCAGAATACAGATTTGGCCAGCTCAGTGATACAAATCCATTAGCTCTGCTCCTGGTAAGACAAGATTCTGGACAGAATTGCAGATGAGCTAGTTACATGCCAAGCAAAGGCAGCTTTCAGTTCCGCTGGTTTTAATTGCTTGCTATTTTGAAGCATGAAATCTTGCCAGGATGATTAAAACTGACGATTTATAGCCATCTCACCAGATATCTGACACTGGTAACATCCAGCATTTACTTGGCACACATAAGCATTGCACTGAATTAATAGGAGTCGTGTGGGCAAGGCTCAGGGGCACAGCTGTGACTTATTTGGTTGATTCTAGAGACATCACCTTGCCAACAAAGGTCCGTATAGTTAAAGCTATGGTTTTCCCAGTAGTGATGTATGGAAGTGAGAGCTGGACCATCAAGAAGGCTGATCACCGAAGAATTGATGCTTTTGAATTATGGTGCTGGAGGAGACTCTTGAGAGTCCCATGGACTGCAAGAAGATCAAACCTCTCCATTCTGAAGGAAATCAGCCCTGAGTGCTCACTGGAAGGACAGATCCTGGAGCCGAGGCTCCAATACTTTGGCCACCTCATGAGAAGAGAAGACTCCCTGGAAAAGACCCTGATGTTGGGAAAGATGGAGGGCACAAGGAGAAGGGGACGACAGAGGACGAGATGGTGGGACAGTGTTCTCGAAGCTACCAGCATGGTTTGACCAAACTGTGGGAGGCAGTGGCAGACAGGAGTGCCTGGCATGCTCTGGTCCATGGGGTCACAAAGAGTCGGACACGACTAAACGACTAAACAACAACAACAAAGGCTGCAGATCTGGGCCTGCTCTCCCATTGCTTCATTCTAGGTGTCATAGTTTCATTTTAGGCTATTTGACTTGGTCGCAGTCGAGTTTTCTGTACCATGCAGAGCTCTATACTACAGTGGCACCTTGGAGATATTGTGGGCAAGGATGACCAGACTCCATTTCTCTCTATCACTAGCCAAGAGTATCAGAACAATTTCTACCCAGGATCTGCCAGGCAAATTGCAGAACTGCGATTCATCTTCAGATGGAAAGTTAACAAAATGCAGTTCTGCAGAATAACATGAAGGGACACAGATTGAGGTGGGGGAGTGGGAAAATGTCACCAACTCTGCATGTTCACAATCTAGAAAATATTTTCCATTATTTGCTGAGAGATGTATTTCTTGTAACTTGCTAGTAATCTGTTATGTACACTGTTTGGGACTATCCATAAAAAGGGTGGTATTGAAGTCATTCCAGTCACTATTCCCCCTCCATGTAAAACAATTGGGCAGGGGTGAGTGGGTTGGTCCAAAATGAAATAGTTACCAGCTCTGGATATTTTGGGGAACAGTATTCTTTGCTTTTTTTTTCATATAAGCCACCTCTGTAAAATGTTTAAAAAGACAGACTATAGATGGCATTAATTTCTGCTTTGGGTGTGTCAGCACATTGCAAATAAGAGGCGATTTATAGTTAGCAGGGCCGGCCCAAGACATTTTAGCACCTGAGGGAAAATGGTGCCTCCTTCCCTGCCAGGGAAGAAGGAGTGAGCGAAGATTTGCAACAGCAACAAGGGGGCAATAAAGATCTGCTTCAGGATCTGCTGCCTCTGTGGATCCTGTCACCTGAGGCAGTCGCCTCACCTTGCCTCATGGATGGGCTGGGCCTGATAATTGGCCTCAGGACCACTCAACATCTTGCTCATTCACTGTGTGAATTAAAACCGTCATACACCAAGCTTCAAACTACTGTTTTAATTTTTTTGCAGGAGACACAACCGTTAAAACAAAAACAGGAAACATCACAGTAGGTAAGTTGAAGGGTGTTTGTTTTTACCTGTGCAGATGTCACGTGTGGGCAGCTTTTCGGCCCCTGGGCAACTTTTAATTGTGTAGCTGCTGAACGATTATTATTATTATTATTATTATTATTTCATAAACGACATCAGGTATGGAGCAGGTAAAAACCCAGCTCAGCCAAAAGTGTGTTTGCAGACATTGTTGATCAGGGGAGCCTGAAAAGCTCCTTCAAAACTCTTCTTCTGAAGCTTTCCTCCGCTCACCTTAGACGTTCCCGAGCTCCACTGAAATCAGTGGTGCGAAAGAGAGTTAGATATTTAAGTTCCTTAGATTTCAGCATGACTGACTCCTGCTGTCTTGTGTCTGTTAACTCTTTAACACTGTGGTCTGGAACTCTTTTGGAACAGCCGTGAACTTATATATATTGTCTTAGCGGGGGAATAAGATACAGCATAAATTAAAAGTTTAAGAACATCTCATAAAAGGAGATGTTCTTAAATGAATACATTTTTGTCTTGGGATGTAGCGACCATATAGGCATCTAAAGAGTGTAATCAATAGGGAAGACAAAGCATTGCGACTCAAAAAATGAAAGACGATCCTTGTGTAATATACATTCCAGGCATCTGGTGTGTAACAAGACACTCAACCATAATTCTATCCAGATTGTTCAACCTCATGCAGGCAATAATTTCCATTCAGCTGGGCTATCAAAATGAATTTGTAATACTTTTTCCAGCCTTGATGGCATGTATTTCATTCAGCATCAATGCCTGCTATTTTTACCCAGGACACCTAATGAATAGGAACCTTGAATTTGTGCTTTGCATCCTGGCAAGATTTGCCCTAAATTCAGAATCAATAATTTATAAAACCTGCACAGTAACCCCACTGGAATGAATAAAGTCTTGGGAGGCTGAAAATCCATAATTTTCCTTATTTTAATGATCATTAAAATGGGGTGGGGAAGGTTCTCTCTGATTACACCAGAAGTTGGCTGTAGAATGTACTGATTGGCTGGGGGTTATGACATCACAATAAAGTAAGTTAGACCCCTTAAAACTTCATTGACTATCATCTTGAAGACCCAATATTTGTTGAAGGTAGGTAGAAGCTGGACTTGCTTGGGGGTGGGAATAATCCCACCCACACACACAGTGTAGTCAGTTTTTAAAGGCATGTATGAAGACGCTGTTGTTTGTGGTGGTTCATTCTTGTATCTGCTTCTTGTATTTATTGAGATCCATATGATGTCTCATCACTCCCTTAGCAGAGAGATTATCTCTTCACTCGTTGGAGGTGCACAATTGTGCCGTATCTTCTTTGGGCACACAATTGTATAAAGCTAAAGGTAAAGGGACCCCTGACCATTAGGTCCAGTCGTGGCCGACTGGGTTGCGGCACTCATCTCGTTTTATTGGGCGAGGGAGCCAGCATACAGCTTCCGGGTCATGTGGCCAGCATGACTAAGCCACTTCTGGCGAACCAGAGCAGCGCACGGAAACACCATTTACCTTCCCGCTGGAGTGGTACCTATTTATCTACTTGCACTTTGACGTGCTTTTGAACTGCTAGGTTGGCAGGAGCTGGGACCGAGCTCACCCAATTGCGGGGATTCGAACTGCCGACCTTCTGATTGGCAAGTCCTAAGTTCTGTGGTTTAACCCACAGTGCCACCTGCATCCCTAACAATTGTATATAGGCATTTAAAAAGAAGAAGGCAGTAGAGGAGTTTCCCAGGAACAACACTTTCCCCTGGGCCCTTCTGTACAACCACTCAAAACAGCCACTGAAGCAATAACATTTGATGCTGGGGCATTTTCTCCTCAAGAAAGCTGCTCTTTTACTTCATCTCCTATATCAGCTTTGATTTTGAATATCAGAAATCAGACTGGGGAAATGGCTTCTTGAAAGAGGTAGAAAACTTCCCACTCCCTGGTAAATATTCTGCTTTAAAGACCAAACACAATTTATTGTAACATTTTCATGGCAGAAATGGCGTATCTGGGGGCTGGGGGTGGGGATTGATTGTCAGGACTGTATATTCCCTCCTGAGATGCAAAACATTCCAAATTTTCATAAAGCGTTTCATTCTGTGCTGACTTCATGGCTGTGGTTTATATTCTGTTCTTGTATCAGTTTCCCAGACCTAGTGAGGTTCATATGGCTCACTGCTCTGTAGAATATTTGCCAAGCTTCAAATAATGTGATCCAGAAGGACGCTCACGTCAGATTGGCTTTCCCCCCTATACGCACGTTCAGCAACTTTCCTCTCAGTTTGTGAACCCAGAATCTCCAGAGTTTTTTTGTTTGTTTTTAAGCAGATCCGTGTAGTTGTTGGGTGTCCTGGCACTGACTGAAAGCGAAATGGGAAACTTTGGCACAAAAATAATGCTAAGAAGAAAGCCCAAAGTGTGTTTTGTGTTTCTAATTTATGATTTATGGATCCTGCTGCCTTTTAAAAAAAATATTCTGGGTGATAAATATGCAAACCTGTGAGTGAGCAATTAGCGGTGAATAGTAAGATAGCCAAATTTGCTGCTGACACCATTTTTTTCAGGGCAGGAACAAAAAAAAGATTGCAAAGAGCTCTAAAAGCATCACTCCAAACTTGGTGAATGGGCATTAGATGTGATTCAGTGTAAGCAAGTGTAAAGTAATGCACGTTGGGGCAAAACCCTGAACTTCACTTATGTGCTAATGGGATCTGAACTGGTGATGGAGCCTAGGGAAGCTCAGTTGGCATGAGACTCTTAATCTCAGGCCCCACGCTGGGCAAAAGAGTCATGCATTGCAGGGGTTGGACTAGATGACTCTGGGGGTCCCTTCCAACTTTACAATTCTATGAAATAAAAAAGGAATTCGATGAATTCGCACGGACAGAAACAGGGTCCAATCATGTGGGTCAGGAAAGGCCTGGGCAAAAAGATAAAGTCCTTATAAGATGTCTGATGCAGCTGATGAATGCCATTTATTGTAGAGGGAAGGGCATCCCATAATAGAGGAGTGAGAGCAGGAAATGCCTGTTTTATGGTCACCGCTCTATAACAGTTTGTAAGGTACAGCACTATAAGTAGAATTTCTGCAGGTGTTCTTAGTGATCTTACAGGCGGTAGAGGGGCAGGCAAAATGCAACTCTTTGCAAACTGCAACTCTTTTAAAATGCAACATCTGGATCCCAATGTAAGTCAGAAATAAAACACAGAGGGAGAGAGGTGGGATCTTCTCATTAGCATACTCCAGCTGCAATTTCCAGCATGGCTCACTTCCTTGAGACTCTTTTGTAACCCTGCTCTTGCCCACAGGTAGAAGTGAGGGGCCACATGGGGTGGGGGTGGCAAGAGTTATTGGAAACACGAAACAGTTATAGCCCAGTTCTCAAGAGTAGCAACAGCATTTCAGATTCCTAGAGCCTGGAACTCATATCTTTATTACCTCACAGTGTGATTCAGTAAGTCCCAGTGCTGTTTCTGACCACTAATGTGCCCAGTTACCAGCATTGTTGTCGCCGCCCCCTGGCCAGCATCTAAATCAGTTCAACAGCTGTGGCTGTTAAAACAAAAAACAAAAGCCCTGCTCTCGCCAAAGGTTTGCAAGATCATGCTGAGAAACTCTGGTCATATTAAACTGATTTGCTACACTTGATTTCCTCTTAATTCGATGACGGCTGCATCTGATGTGTCTCACCAGTGGAAACAGGGAAGCAGGAAGAAACAGATCAACTGGAATCCTATTTATGATTGGGAAAGGAGCCCTCTTTCTCATTATTCTGAGTGCTCAACTCATACATTGGTCTCTTTCCTTAGCATATCAAACCCTAAATAGCTCTTGATCAGAGAACCCTAAGCTTCCTTACCAACTTAAATTTAATTCATTTTAAAGGCTGCTGTGATTAAAAATCCAAAAACAACCACTGCAAGTGGTCTGCAGATTATTTCCCCCTTTTCTCCATAAACCTTAGCTTCCTTTGTTACAACTTAGAAAGCTGAACAAAAATGGGCTTTGCATCAGTTGTGTGTTTAGCCCCAGAAATCTGTCTTTCATAAACTGAAGCAAATCTATCAAAACTGTTCCTTCCACTTCATCTTCTGTGCTCGTCAAAACCAAGTTTGCTGAAATATCTCAGGAGCATCACATCGTTTATCACAGCCATCTGTACCTTTTAGTTTTGCTCTCTGCCTTCCCTAGAGGGCTGCCCTAAAAACGGTTAAATTTAAGCTCGTCTCATTTTATTCACAATCAATGCAATGCAGCTAAGCTTAGTTGCAAGTTAGACTCATGGAAAGGTATGGAACCAGGACGGTGATTAAGTTCTTTTGATTCCAGTGGGAATTAACTAACCTTTTGGCTAGATTGTGCCCAGTGTCCTCTATTTGCAGCTACAGTTTCAAGGTTGACATGCAAACATAGTATATATCCCCTCCAACATGGAGCAGGTGCTGAAGCTGAGGCTGCAAGTTCCAGAGCTCTTTTTTGGGACAAAACGCACTTAGATCCTACCCGGCTCTTCAACAGGAAAGAAGAGGGCCATTCTTCTTTGGGGGTCAAAATAGTAGATCTTTGTTTTTAAAAAACGAACAGCTCCATGTGTACAGCCTTAACTGTTGGATTGGGGAGGGGAACAACGCATGCCCTCCCCTTGTAGCAGAGCAATCTTGAGGCTTTGCAGAGGTGTGGAGTTGTAAGTGCATCCCTAGCCCAGAAGCGGAAGGGGGGGAGAGAGAAGATTGGGCCTGATCCCTGTGCCTTCTTTAGGCTTCTGTAGCAGTTGGGCCTGGATCAGGGCTTCTGCTGGCTGACACCAGCAGCGAGAGCAGCTTGGAATCTAGCTGATCCCAGGCCGGTTCAGAATGTCCTGTTTCTGGGCCTTTTGTTAGGCTCCACTGGTGGGAATATGGCTGGCAAGCTCCACACCTGCATGTTCAACAGGTGGATGGGGAAGGCTTGTGCCAGCAAGGTGATACGAGCATCACTATGGCAGCTGGTGAGAGGCTGCAGCTCACATAAGGCAGGTTTGGATTGCAGTGTAGCTAAAACTGTGGATGTAAAACTTCCACATGCGTTGTCCCAGGACTGGGTTGATAGTATCTTTGATCTTTCGTATATATTGGATCCTCTGTGTCCACAATGAATCTCTGGGACAGGACAAGGAAAGGAAACTAAGAAAGCATATTTCCTGTCCCTCTTTCGTTCCGGGTTCTCTGATAACACCTGTAAGAAGCTGCACATCCCAAATGCTGACTTTATAAATGTATTCTAATTTAAATTCCTGTCCTGGAAATGTAGTTGTCCAGCTTTAGGAAACGCTCCCAACAGCATTCCAGATGGGAGACGCCCTATTAATCTGAAGACTGGGAACGCAGTCATTTTCTGACTTAATTCATCATTTATCATGGCCTGAGCGTATTTCAAAGTTTTGCACAGCAACAGCCACCTTCAGTAATCTGGCTACTCCATTTAAGCTCCTTCTATGTTTTCTACAGATACTGACTAAAAAACCCCAACCCCAAATCCCGTTGTTTTTTTCCAACCGATGAACCAGAGTGGCTGCGTTCCAGTCTCTCTCACAGGCCGACGTATCAAAACTCCTTTCAGGCTGGGTGGGACAAGGAAGCTGTCTTCTCATCATTGGTTGTTTACCATTTTTCAAAGCCAAAAAGATGCTGTCACTTTTTCAAATGACCTGAGCTGGCAGCTCTGCTTTTCTTCTCAGGAAGAGATTGTGTTCCCTTATTTCATTCACATTCCTTGGCATATTATCCAGCTGTGTTGTCATGCACCCCTGGAACTGAAAGCGCATGAAATTGTGTGAGCAACTTCCAGTGCATCAGTTAAGAACAGAGTGCCTTTCTGAATGGTGCAGCTTGCATTTAAGGCTGCAGTTCTACATGGAACCCTGACACTTTTATAGGATCTTTTGACATAGAGAGCTGAGCACACTCCAAGAGTAAATTATGACATCAAAGGTAATTCTAATATATCAAAAGGGAATTAGCATACATATTGAATATACGTGAAGAGATGTGAATTGACACAGACCTTCCTAAACTGTACACTAACAACAGGCTAAGTTTCATAGAATTGTAGAGTTGGAAGGGACCTCAAGGGACATCTAGTTCAAACTCTTTCAATGCAAGAATCTCACCTAAAGCATCCATGACAGATGACCATCCAACCTCTGCTTAGAAACCTCCAAGGAAGGAGAGTCCACTACTCCAAGGAAGTCTGTTCCACTGTTGAACAGTTCTTACTTTCAGAAAGTTCTTCCTGATGTTTGGTCAGAATCTCTTGTAACTTGAAGCCAAAAGAGCTTACAGTGAATAAGCAAGTTAAAACTAATTATCTGAGCTCGCGGTTCTAAAGCATGCCTGAAAACACATGGAAGAACTAGGATGCAGTAAAACTGGGCAGGGCAATGAGAGAGTGACAAATGTTGGCTGAAGGAGTAAAGGTGGTAAAACAAGGAGGCTTGGACCACTCGCTTTAGAGAGAAAAGGGCAAGATGTCGGAGGTGGAAGGGAGTTTGCATGGTGTCAGGAGCTGGAGTCAGCGATAAAACAATCAAGCACCCAATGGCAGTGAAGTTAACTCTTTATTCAAAGAACAAAACAGCTCAGTCATAGTGATCCCAGCAACTCTGCCAACAAGGCAGTTGCAAGGACTGGAGGTCCCTGCCTTCCCACCGCTCTCCTTCCCCAGTACCCTGAGGCTTCATCATCTTGCCTCTTGTTGTTCCTCCCTCTTCATTTCTCTGCGTGTTCTGGGAGACCAGGGGGAGGGGAGCTGGTTGCAGCAAGAGGGAGAGACTCCCTGGATTCTTCAGCAGCCTGCCTCATTTCTGCCTCCTGTAACTTCTTCATTAGCCATTTAGGGAAGAAGCAAGGAGTGACACGTTGGGTGATCACATGTTGGCTTAATGCTTCCAGAAGGAGTCTGATGCTCTTTTGTTTACTTTTGACATGGCAAAGATTTACAGTGAAAAGAGGTGGCAATTAGTGGATTATGCAAGAGGTGCTTGCTTGAACATACTTTACCTGAGTTGCTAGTAATGGAGGGTCTTTCCTTGCCTCTGCAGGTCAAAACAGAACTTCCCTTCTTAGGTGCAGGCTCCTGTAATTCTAGCAAAAGCTGGATTTTAGGGGTACTTCATAACAGTGGACATACAAGGCCAGGATCCTACTCTGAAATGGCCGATGCAGTGATACAGTCCAAACATCCGTTGCCGGCTTCTACAGTGGTAGCATTTTCTGAAGAAATGATTGCCGCAAAAGTTGGTTGGGAATAAAAAACGGAATGTTTGGTGCAGCGAGCTTTCAAGCCTAATTGCAAGAACAAATTGTTCTCAAAGACCAAGTGATAGACATGATGAGAGATTATCATGACAAAAGTGGTCACTGGGGGGAGGGGCACAGTGGTGGTGGTGTTCATTCAATTTATATATCTCCCTTTATGCAGGCGGCATGCAAAGAAAGGCCTCAAATGGTGATCACAGGGTCTAGCTCAGTTCATATAGGGAAAGGCAGTCCTTGAGGTATGTAAAGCCATTTAAAGCTTTACAGCCAGCACTTTGAATTGGGCCCAAGAACTGCTTAGCAGCCGGTGCAGTTGAGCCAGGATTGGTGCTACATGTTCAAACCATCTTGCCTCAGTGAGCAGCCTGGCCACTAAGTTTCTGAAACATATTCAAAAGCAGCCCCACATATAACATGTTGCAGTAATCTAGCCTAGAGGTTGCCAGAGCATAGAGAACAGTAGCTGAAGCTGGTTGAAGGCATTCTGCGCCACCAAAGCCACCTGAGGCTCAAGTGACAGCAATGGATCCAGGAGTACACCCCAAGCTGCATACCTGCTCCTTCAGAGGGAGTGTTACCCCATCAAGAGCAGGCCGCCTCCCATCCATCTGTTCAAGCAAGCTACCCACTAACAGTGCCTCAGTTTTATCTGGGTTGAGCTTCAGTTTGTTGGCTCTCATCCATTTCATTACGGAGGTAAGACAACGGTCTGGCACAATTGCCAACCGCCATACCTGCAGATGTAAAGGAGAAATAGAGCTTTGTCCCATCAGCATATGGCTGATAACAGCGCACTCCAAAACTCTGGATGACCCCACTCAGTGGTTTCAAGTAGATGTTAAGCAGCATGGGGGATAATATTGAACCCTGAGGAACCCCAAGCATCACCCTGGAAATGACTATCCAAGTAGGATCAGAACCACCACAAAGCCCACTCCCAACTTGGATAGCCGTTCCAGAAGGATATCATGGCCGATGGTATCTCAAACCACTGAGAGGTCAAGAAGGATTAGCAGGGACACATTGCTCATGTCTCTCTTCTGAGGCAACCAGGGCAGTTTCTGTGCCAAAAACTGGGCCTAAACTCTGCTTGGATCAGTTTCCTCCATGTGCACCTGGATGGGGTCCACATTGATGTGTGTGTAGCAAACACAGGCTATAATAGCACATTCTTGCTCTTTTTCTGGGAGGGGTGATCTGTCACATACATGGCCCAAGAGCTTTGTTAAAAGAAAAACTATGAACAAGTTAAATGCATTTATCATTGCTACAGGACAAACCCTGGAAACCTGAGGAACAAACCTGAATCAAGCTTTTGGTTTCCACTAGTTAAAAAACTCTTTCAAATAGCTCTTTCTTTTTTTGTCTAGTTGCCTGGTTATCTCTGAGATTTAGCTTTCAAACCGCCATGACGTTTTCTGTTCCTTGTTAATAAATCCTTTGGATAAAATAAGTACATGTTGGGGAAAAATACTGGCAATTCAGCCATAGTCTGCAAAGATTTTTAGAGCATTTCCTGTTGTTTAGCTTCTGGGTTCAGCTTCAGATGTAAACTCTCTTAATATAGGGTTTAATTTTTTTTACAAAAAATAACAAGCAACCTTTGTTCCCTAGAGTTTGTGCAAATTAGCTTTTGAACAACTTTTAAATGCAAGCTTTTCTTTCAGTGTATGTATGTAGGGGGAAACATTTATCAAAAGCCTGGATAGCATGCAGAGACAGTTTAGAAAACAATGTTAGGTTTGTTATCTTTGTATCTTTGAAAACATGCTCCTTTTAGAATCATCCATACATCATTTTGCTTTTGGTGAACCCTTCTTCCTGTTTTCCTAGAGGAGGAAAAATGAAAATGTCTGGTGAAAAATATCTACGTGGTTATCATGAACATTTTGAGAAGAACTAAGCTATGTTACCATCTCTGAACAACTGCAGATGTTCTTTCTATGTAGATGTTCAGTGAGTCTCAAACTATCTATTAAAGTTTAAATATAGAGAGAACATTGTGTCCCTTCTTCTCTCTTCCCCCACAAAAACTCCACGGCACTGCTTTCGCCCTAGGAGCAAACATTTCAGAAACAGCCTTTTAATATGGGACTCACAAAATATACATACTATTTCATTGGAACCCACACGGCTCAAAATATTTTCATTCTTTTGTTCTTTAGATTCCTCCGAAGGATTCCTGAAAGCTTCTACACATCATGGGGAGATAGATGTTTACATTATCAATCAAAAGGGGGAAGTGGATCTGAAATCTCAGGAAGGTTAGTAAATAGTAATTTTGTATGTGAAGCTCTTACAGCTGAAGCACTTTTACTCAACAGCAGGTTCTTCTGATTTCAATGGGATTTGGGGCCAAACGAAATGTAGCATTATGTGTAAATAACCAATATGCAAAGTTCTTGAAATTTGCACTTCAACTCTGTGGAAAATATGATTTCTGCTCCCTCTCGTTCTTTCTTACATTTGTGCTGAGTGAGTCACTTAAATTACTATGGCAGAAATGAAGTTAACCTCCCTCTCAAACTGTAGAGCTCAATCAGGGCTTCCCGATAAAGTATGAAGAGAGTAACCCTTTCCAACAAGAAAAAGCAGAGGTGGCATGAGGATCATCATGCTATTAACTTCTTAGGTGTTCACTGCAACATCCAGACTTCGCACACACAAACAGTATACAGTCAAGATTTGTTTTCCAATATGGGCTGTGAGTCCTGGAAGATCTGATCCCTGCTTTAGTAGCCACTTTCCACTTGGCCTAGGAGAGTGGAGCTCTGCCCGCTTGCTTGTCTGACTCCAGCTACAAAAGCTGAGGCTGCTGAAGAGGCCCGGCAGCATCTTGGCTGTGAGTCCTGGGGGACCTGCTCACTGCCTTGCAGGTCTTTTCCCACCTGGCCTGGGAGGGAGGAGAGATGACTGACTCCAGCTATGAAAGCTGAGAATGTTGAACAGACTCTTGGGCAGGGGATTGCTTAGGGGGTCTTGTTGCTATTGTTGCTATTAATTATATTTGCACCTTTAATTTTTAGATGTTATGATTTGTGTGGAAATGGTTTATGTAGTTTTTGATGTGTTTTATTTCTTATGGCTACTTTTGTTTTGTTGGTAATTACATAAAGATTTTCATGTTGTAAGCCGCCTTGAGCATGGTTTTAACTATGGAAAGGCAGCATACTAATACAGTGGTACCTCGGGTTAAGTACTTAATTCGTTCTGGAGGTCTGTCCTTAACCTGAAACTGTTCTTAACCTGAAGCACCACTTTAGCTAATGGGGCCTCCTGCTGCTGCCGCGCTGCCGGAGCACGATTTCTGTTCTCATCCTGAAGCAAAGTTCTTAACCTGAAGCACTATTTCTGGGTTAGCAGAGCCCGTAACCTGAAGCGTATGTAACCTGAAGCGTATGTAACCTGAGGTACCACTGTATGTTGATGAAAGCAGCCAGCACATCGCTTTGGAACAGGGGCATCCAATTCTGCCCTCCAGATGTTGTGGACTCTAGCTTCCATCGTCCCTGACCATTGCCTATACTGGCTGGGGAAGATGGGCTCTGGAGTCTAAAAGATCTGGAGCTGCCATATTGATTTCCTTTTGCTGGGTAAAAACAGGAAGCCCACTTTTCTCATGGAACTCTGTTTAAATTTTTTTTGGGGGGGGGGTTCTCTGACCCATTGTGGCTTATGCCTGTCACCTTGAATTGTCTTAACACAAATCCTTTTGTTCTTGTGTATAATAGGCTCCATTACTGTCAAGGTACCTGCAACTCTTCAAGCTTATCTGCAGTTATCTGGGAGCAAGGTTGAGGTGAGCCCAGAGATCCAGTTACAGGAGACTCAGAATGCCTCCAGGGAGGACCGCATAACAGTTACAGGTGAGTCTTGTCTTGTAGACACTCTCCCCATAAAACTTTGCTTTTAGGTATGAATCAAATTACTCTGTTAATTAAGTGTATGCAGTCAGGTTTGCAACCCTTTGCATGGGTGCAAATTATGTTTGTATCAGATTTCTCCCCATCATTTTTAGCCTAAACTGTAGTTAATGCCAGTGCCTAGGCAATGCTTAAGTGGGGTTAACCTAGGAGGAAGGGATGTGGTGGGGAGAAGCAATCTTGTTGTCCACTCTAGAGCTTTTAGTCATGGGATATCTGCACCGGGACTGTGATGGACAATTCTAAGTACAGAGAGCATAAATTCATGCTTGAACTGCACAAAACATCATGAGATTCAGTGGTGGGGGAGGGGGAGCTACCCTACTTTGCTAAATGGAAAATTCTCACAGAGAGCTGCACATTGTCTCTATTTTAGTCTTCTGAAGTAAGAGCTTGCTTCACAAATAAGCGGCTCCTTGGAGAATGGCTCAAATGATGTGTATCTTGGGGGTGATTGATTTTTTTCTGCCGGGAAGAAGGAAAGAATAGATAAGTTCTGGTTTAGACTTGCCAGATGTAATTACTGTGTTTCTCAATACCCTTTGCTGATGTAGCACTTTAGAAACAAAAGGAATGCTAGCATAAATCCAAAGTTTGCCTTGCTTGCTATAGGCGAAGAATACATGGGAGACATGGAAGGTTGATTTACTTTTATAAACCTCAGTTATTTTCAGTCAAACATAATAAAATAATACACCTTCAGTACAGCTTTCAAGTCCTAGGGACAAACATCCCTTTGATACTCTGTTTTTTCCCCTTTAGATTACTGGTATAGGTTATTTCCTTTTGTTAGCAGTCCAATAACTTGTTCCCTGGCAAACTGCAGGAAAGAGTGATTTGTTACCATTGAGTCAAGAATGCTCGTTTGGGTTTTGCTTCGTCATATCCATGGACCACATCAAGGGCCTTTATATATCCAAGGGCTGGCACCAGTTTTGCTTGGACAGTCAAAGCATAACTGAGGAGGCTGCTCCAAACTGCACTTCCAAGCTACGCACTTGTGTTTTGTTCCTCTAATCTAAACAGCCTTTGATGACACAAATATACACAGACACAGCCCAATACACAATTATCTGAGCTCAGGCAAGGTCATAGGAGAGTCAGAAAGGATACCTGATGAAGAATCAATGTTAGGGAAGTCCACCTGGCCAGTTTTCTTCTTACATCATTGCCTCTCTATCCTAGTCTATCAAAGACCTTCTTATTTAAGAAGCCACTTAGGTTGATGGAAGAGATTGAAACTAATTTTGTTGTTCTTGTCCAGGCTTTTCTCTGCTGCGGGTTAGAATAGATGTAATAATTGCATGCCCATGTTTGTAACTTTTCATCGAAACACAAATTTGATTGCTTCGTTGGTTCAGAAGCAAGCCATGCTCTTCTTAACAACGCAAGATAATCCCAGTATGTGGGAAGGAGAACTGAAGTAAAAAATAAAACTTGCAGAACTTTGTAGGGAAAATATTTTAGTGGCTCACCAGTTGGAGACTGAGTCAGTGACCCATACTCAGTGGAATACTACAAATTGTGAACTATGTGAAACAGTTGTCTTCTGTGAAACTACTGGAGGCCCCAAAACAGGGTGAAACAATGGGGGTAGCAGCCAAGGATCTGCTGGATTTTAAATTAATTTTAATTTAATTTAATTAAATTAATTCTTCGTCATCCTTCACTATATTTAGTGAGCAAGCCAGGAATATAAACCACGATTGATCTCTCTTTCTTTGAATGGACAACAGTTGAAGCTATCCAGCATTCGCTGCATTCAGATGTAACAGGGAACTTTCGTTAATTTAAAACTGGAAGTGGTAGCTTTCAGTCTCCTGTGGCAGGTGGAAGGGAATGGGGAAGTGTGGGAGCCCGTGGGTTGTTTACACAGCACTGAACTATGACTTAGAGTTGCATATGAAGTGGTCTATAGAGAGAGCATTTGAATATTTTAGGCAATGTTGACATCATTCTCATTGTATTATTAACTTGTTGGATCAAATGGTTGATCACTTAATACATTTGATATATTTATCTAATTGAATAAAAGAAAAGGCATGTTTATGTCAAGGCAAGTCTTCAGCAGCTTTTACATGACTTAGCTATTTCCCACCAGCCTTTAACTTCTATATGTAGTGTTTTCCAGCCAAGTAATTTTGCTTCCCTATTAAAACAAGCTCCTGTGGGATTTTCCTCACAATTTCATTTAAAGGGTCGTGGAGTGAGTTCTCCACCTCTGGTGTTTCTCATGAAGCCCATTATATTTGCACAAGTTGTGATGATTAAAATATCTCGACCCTTTGTGTCACTGAGAAGGAATGTCCCTGTTAAGAGCAAGGGAGCAACTTTGCCTTCTCTTGGTTTTGGAAGGATGGCCCTGAAGTGCAGCTAAGTATTCTGTAGCCTTCATATCAACAAAGAAAAACTTTGTTTTGGAAAATGAATGTAGCAAACGTAAAAATAAACCAGCCGCAGGAGAAGACCCTTAGGACAGTTGAGCAAAGAGGCTTCCCAGACGCAACTGCAAGAAGCTAGCCAGGGCATGTGGCATTCTTTCCCCCAAAAGATCTGGGGCAAAGATGCTGTATATCTTAGACTCCATTTATTAATATGGAGTCAGGCTGTGTAAATTACAAGCTTGGCAGCTACATTTGGAGTGGGCAGAACAAGCAAAGGAGCCATTTACAACGTTTTTAATGCTCCCCCTATAAATCTCAGTGCTGTAGTAACTGCAAATTAAAAAAATAGATTCCCCCATCTATATTTAGCACCCTGCTCATATATTCCAAAGAAAACAGGAGGTGAGCCAAGGCATTTTCAAAGATGGAGAGTCTAGCCAGTCTATCAACGGAACCCAGCAAGCATGCAGCAGCCATATTGCTAAATAGTTTGTTTTGCAAAATGACTCACATTTTAATCGTGTTAGAAATGGACCTTTAAACTCCACTAGTTGTATAAACATCCCATAGTATGATCTCCTGTACCTGTTTCAGGCATTTTGCAGACCCATTGCAGTGGGAATGTTTTCCAACCCTGGGATTTTTTGGCCATCAGTATTGATCAAAGCATGGTGAGATTTCCACACACAACCCACCGCGGTGTGAATTCTAATGCATGCTAAAGGCTGGGTGGTTTATCAGGTGATAAGGCCTTTTAATAAGGTATTTTAATATATAACATTCATGATTTTTATTCCATACTAAGATGGTCATTTACTGTTTGAATACACTGGGCAGAAATAGAGAGAGCGAAAAGTGTGGAGTCTTGTTCCAGCTCACAGTGATAGGAGGGTACCATGTTGGTCAGATTACTGTAGTGTGCTTTAGGGTTTTAAAAATTATTATTGAGAAAATGTAGCCATACCTTGGAGATGAGGGGGCTAGGTGAGGTGTGAGCATTATAGATCTCAATGGCATCAAAGACCTAAAGGCACTTTTTGAAACAGGCAAATGTTTTTCCTAAGAAAAAGAGAATAAATTCAAAGAAAGCAGAAAATGTTTTATAGACTTCTTTGAATAAACTTTTAAGACTGTGAGAACAGATGAATCATTTATTTCTCCAAATGACAAAGCAAAATAACAGTGTATTGAGTGTATTGAGGAAGAGGTCTTCCTTCAGTAACAGCCGAGTGACTAGGAGTGAAGCAACAACATCAGAATAGAAATAATCTGGCCACAGTGGTCTGTATGGATGCACTTTGCCACACCTGATAGCACACATTTAAGAAGTAAGCAAACTTTCACACATTAACCACTTCATAAGCTGGTGATTTATATTCACCCATTATATGTCTGGTGCCAGCCTTAGTGCCGTATCTAGCACAAAATTTGGCACTACGGGACACAGAGATACAAAATATGGCAACTGTGTGCTTATAGCATAGATGACTGGCAGTAATTCAGAAGACTGAATAAGGGGTCCAGATGTTGGTTTTGGTATCACCAGGATTCTAGTGCTCTTGAAAGGTAACGGCGCTTGAAATGTGTATGTAATAGTAGCTCAACTTCTTCAGAGGTCTCACATGCGCTAGATCTCTTTACACATTTATACTTGGGGTAGGACCAGCCAATGTGGGTGCCTTCCAGATGTTATTGGACTCCCGATCCCATCAGCAACAGCTAACATGGCAAATGGAGATGCATCATGGGAGTTGTAGTTCAGCTCATCTGGAGGCTACCACTACTCCTGACCTGGAGCATGATCCTGCACCACCACAGAGGGATTGTCATTGGAGCTCAGTAGAGTCCCTGTGCACTTTCCTGTCTTCTTCTTGCTCTCCTCCCCATCCAAGTGCAAATCTGAACCCAGCATAAAAAAATGATGTGGTATTAATGTAACATAAAGGAGGCAATAATACGTTACCACTTAAGAAGGGTTTCAGTCTTCACCAGAGCCTGTTGCCTTTTCTCTTGTGGATTAAATTCTTGAAGTGACTCCAAAACATGTAGAATCGAATAACTCAAGTGTAGATGCTAAACGGCCACAGCTGAAAGAAGGCCTTTCTAGAAAGCTATGCGTTTTTCATTCACCGTGTGTTTTGGATGGAGAGAGCCAGGTCCTGAGTACATAAATTGTGCTGAATTTTAAAGAGGAAATAGACCTTCAGGTGTAAAAATAAAACGAACAGTCATGAGTTTGAGAAGTGTTCTGTACACTATGAGACTCTGTCACTGGCACCTGGTTTATATAGTGGCAGAGAAAACCTTAAATCCATCAGGAAAAAGATCGGTATTGCTTCAAATACAGTAGGCCTCCTTATACTGTTTTTAGTTGTACATTTTGTGACTTAAGTAAATAATTTTGGCCATTTTTCCTGTGAGTGGTATGCTAACTTTTACTTCCTCCAAGGACAGTCCACTGTAGTTCGCACTTATGAGATATGACTAATTTCAACAGAATATTCTTAGGGGAAGGAACAGATGCCTAAACTAAATGCTTTCCCATAAATCATTTGAGTTCAAACAAAGGCGCTAAATTGTTTTATGCACATAATATCCTTCCAACTTAGCTACTCGTTCATTTTCATCTTTTGGAGGCTTACCCAGGTTACCTCTGGAATACAGTTCTGCTTTGTTTTCTAAACCCAGAGGCTGAAAATAGATTTTGGAGCATAGCTTAGCCTTGGAAGATAAGATTAAAGCATAGAAGTCCACGGATTCTAGTTTGCATGGAGTGGCAAGAAAGTGATTCATTCAGCCTGCTACAGCAGTACTCAGCTTATGGCCAGCAACAGAGACTGAGTCCCAAACTAGGAATTGTGACAAAGCCTTTCCTCCTCCCAGGAGGGGAGGGGTTGTGAGCGGGAGACAATTCCCGCGTCATGCAGGGGGCGCTCCGCCCCCTGCCTCAACTCCAGGGCTGGCGCCACGCCCCTCCCCAGTTGGGCACCCAATAGGGAAGCTCAGCGGGGGTGTGGCTTGCTGCTCAAACGCAGCCGCGCCAGCCATCCCCACCATTGCACACACATTTTCTTTGAGTCACCCACCCTCCACTCCCTTTAGATTAGCTGTTCCTGAGACTTTGCTATGGACCTCTGGTTGGTCGCCCTGTTTAACCAGGGGGCCTGGTAGGAGTTTTTTCCAATTGGCTAAATTGGCCCAGCCTCTTGGTTTTTTTTCACCTACCTCGTAGCAACCATCACAACTTTCGTGGTATTTGGCGGTTAGGCATTGGAATGTGTTGTTGGTGTTTCAGGGAGCAAGGTGTGGCCATCGCCTTCCCCGACAATTTTGGGTATTCCGCTAAAGGAATCCTGCGGTCGTGGATCCTGTCCGATGCCCGTGTGGCGGGGGGCCATGGCACGACCCTCGGTGACATCAGGAAAAGAGCCTATAGTTGGATTAGCATCAACAGGCTTCCCCTACTGGTGGTTAACCCCTCCTCAGATTCACCCCTCTACAAGTGGGTGGAGTCTAATGTTCCGTGGTCCAATGCCTAAGCCAATACCTTCTCACATGCTGTAATCAATAAAGTTGTGGCCTTTACCTTACCCATTAACCTTACATTCTGTGTCCACATGTCTTTATTCCCCAAGCGGGAATCGGGTCCTCGAATCACAACCTGAATTTAAGAGCTAGCTTTCTGCACCCACAGGGTTTGCATTGGGAAAACATGTTTCTATAATCATGGACTATCAGTAGGCTTGATTTAAAATCAACATAATGCAAAGACACATTATTCTTCCCCAAATCTATTCTGCTGGGGCTTTGCTGCGATGAGTCATGGTATGATGTCAAGGAAGAAACCAAGCCGCAGGACATGATTTATTCCAGTAAAAATTTCCATGAAGGTAAAAATGAATCTGCTTGGGAAAAGGTCCCAGAATCAATTTGTGAAATTAACTACCATAATTTTTCTTTTGTCCATTTAGGCCATATGAATCAACAGGATAAACAAGGAAAATATATTAAAGCAGAGACAGAAAATGGCACAGTTCATCTCAAAAGTCAAACCTGGTTCCAGTCTGTGAAACTGAAGGCCTCATGATGGAGTGAATAATCTTTACTTAATCAAGAAACAATGCAGAAAGTTTACTGTAAATCTTGCCCATTGTTTGCATATAAAATGCACTGAGGCATGTTTTAGTGTTTCTGGTGTCTTTGGCTTCAAATGCTCAGAAATCAATGGAAACAACCTTTCCCCCCTAACTTTTTTATTGATCACTTTAAGCAGCCAAACTTTCAACAAATACCCTGAAGATTAAAATGCTTAATCCTTTGTTGTTTTTTGCTTTCCTCCACCTTTCTTCTAGGGGGTTAGCCCCAGTTCTCTCCCTCACTGCTTCTGACACCATGGCGGAGCAAGGTCTCTCCCCACACTGGTCCCCCACCTTTTTATAGGAATATTGGATAGCAAGTCACTGAGGACGATGCAGTGCAAGAAAGCCTCCACTCAATGCAGGTTTGAGTAGAGCCAGAATAACGCAGTGGAGGCCAGAGGTGTTCCCAGCAGACCTTGGGAGTCATCACCACCTCTCCTCACCCATAGGATAGACGGTTGGCGTTAGATCAGATCTCCCCAGTGTGCACTCACACCCACAGGGTAACCCAAGTGACAGAAAGAATGAAGGCCCACGTTTGCCAGCCTACAAGGATGGCCTCGGTCATCTGGAGGGGGTGAGTCACGCAGCTCCCAATCTGCTGTGAGGGTCTCCTAAATCTCCAGAGCAGATTTTGGTGGCTCACAGGAGGAAAAGAAGGCTCAGTTGCCCAAGCAATAGTCTGTTGCACTCATGCACCGACTCCCTCAATTATTTATTTACTAAAAATACTGATATATCACTTTGTAGCCCCCCCCCCATTCTCTCAAAATAGCTTTAAAAAGCTTTGTACGATACAATCACATAAACAACAGTATCAGAACGTGTGAAGCAAGACTATCCTTTCCAAAGCTGCATGGCATAAGGCACATGATACAGCTAAGCAGCTCTGCCTTTAGTCAGTGAATGTGAAATACTACCATGTTGGGTTCCATTATTGAAGAAAGGCAGGACACCTATGTAATAAGTAAACAATAAAGAATGTTTATTATTTGAGGAATGTGTGTTTCACTAGTGCATTTTAGGTAACGTGTGGGTGAAACTGATTGGCATACAAACTATCTCAATGCAAGATACACTTAATACTCCATACATAAAATGCTGTGCTGCGCCTTTTTTTCTTTTTAAGGCCTCCTTAGTTGGAATGACAGCTGGAGAATTCTGAGCTTACTAAGGGGCAGAATGCTGTCTTCAACAACCAGAAAAATACGAACTTAATTTTCTTAAATGTACATAGCACTAAACTGTACACAAATTATGTTAATTATTTGTAGAGAAAACTAAGCTCTTTGTTGACTGGTGTTCAAAGAAGAACTGAACAAAATAACATTTATTTGACTGAACTAATTAGGAAAGACAGTAACAATGTTTTCTAGGATGACTTGTACTAGCTATCAAACTAAAAACAATCTTAAGACAATGTATCATTATCTTCTTAAACAAAACAAAATTGAGTTTCCATTTCAATTCTTTGTGCTTAAGGCTATTAAACATATATGATTACCAGTATTCTGTGGAGGTTCTATTGTGGGGGGAGACTGAATTCCACACTTTTTTCTGCTGAAGGGGATAGCATGGAGGGTGTACTGGACTCTATACTTGGTTCTATGCTTGGCCGAGGTTTTTTATGTTTCTTTGGAATGGGTGTGTCATCCTTGGTATCATAACCAAACCACTGAGGAGGTTCTTCATCGTTGTATTCGTATTTCTGGAGCCTTGGTGCAAATTTTGAAACTGCATGTCTGAAATAGATAGATGGACAGACACTATTAATGTACATACAGTGGTACCTCAGGTTGAGTACTTAATTCGTTCCAGAGGTCCATTCTTAACCTGAAACTGTTCTTAACCTGAAGCACCACTTTAGCTAATGGGGCCTACTGCTGCCGCTGCGCTGCCACCGCACGATTTCTGTTCTCATCCAGAAGCAAAGTTCTTAACCTGAAGCATTATTTCTGGGTTAGTGGAGTCTGTAACCTGAAGCGTATGTAACCCGAGGTATCACTGTATAAGTCTTTCCTCTGAAGGAATCTCTTGTGTAAAACATAAATAATATAGCAAAAAACTAGAGGACCCTAAAACCAGCTGTGTGTCTGAGCTTCTAACCCACTTTCAGGACTGTGTCATAGAATATTCACAAACACTGTAATTGTTCGTAGTGACTATGACAGCAGCAATAATTTAGAAAAATTGTATAGGTTCGGAGGGCCAAACAACTTGGCACTCATTCAATGAATACAATTTAACATACACTAATACTTGTAACACAACTTCCAGGTGGTATGCTTCTTGAAGAGGTCAACAAAAATAATGAAACCATTACATATACACATACTTGAAGTTGTCTATAGAATAAATAACAGGTTTTTAAAGAACACCACCATCGTTAAGTATTACAGATGCGAAATGGCAAGATCCAGCAACTCCTGCAGCAAAGCTGGTGCCAAACCTATCGGTCCACTTTCCTTTGGATCACATCAGCGAGGCTGAGGTGGGGGGGATGTCCTCACAACTATGGAACACCCTCCCATCAGACGTCAAGGAAATTAGCAACTATCTGACTTTTAGAAGACATCTGAAGACAGCCCTGTTTAGGGAAGTTTTTAATGTTTGATGTTTTAATTTGTTGGAAGCCGCCCAGAGTGGCTGAGCAACCCAGTCAGATGGGCAGCATGTAAATAATAATTTATTATTGTTATTATACACTGCCTGGGCTTGCACCCCAGGGTCGTCACTGGTGCACCACCCCCCGGAGACACAAGGGTGCCCACAAGTGGAAAGAGGTGTGTGGTTTTGTTATGAATATATGCATTTTTTTGAAAATAGCCCTGGGGCAGCTGAAGCATCCACCAGACCATAGTCAGAACAACAAAAATCCTCTCCAAATATGCTGCTTGCTTTCCAAGGGAACTTCCTATTTGTCCTGATGGAAGCTTCCCATGAAATGTAAATAGTGTGCCAGGAGATGCAATTTTAGCTGAGACTTTGGCAGTGAAAAAAAGATTTGCTTTTCTCCTTCACCCCATGTCCCTGAGCAACTCAAGCTTTACGGCCGGAGGGAGTGGGATTAATATAACAAAACATGCATATAATGGCAAGAACAATTTGGCCGGAGAGGACAGTAAAAGCTGGACTATACAATATGCTGTTCATATAAATTGCAACTGAGTGATTGGCTTTTAGAAAGCAAATAGCGCTAATGGGTGCTTGTGGGTTCTTACCTTTCAACCCTGCTGAACTCAGAAGGTACATCATATGCACAATCTTCGTTCATTTTAATAAGATTTAGTTAGAAGTAGTTCTTCACAGAATGTAGCTTTGTTTTCCCCCAATAAGATGGATGTGTCTATGAAGCCCTAGTGGTCGGGGTCAGACATTGTGTTTGATGGGACTTAATTCCCAGAAAAGTGTGTATAGGTTTGCACCTAAGTTTGGTTGGTTGACATCTGTCTGTCTTGGGAGACAATGGAAGAGTGTGCCTTCAGGGGTGAAATCAAACCCCTGGAGAGTTACAGCGCCTGCTGTGGCTGTAGGAACATGTTTTGTTGCAGCTGGGGTAGATGAAGGCATCTGGTTGATCATTGGGACTATTTTGTTAACAAGAATGCTATTGCGATGACTCTTTTGGTACATGATGTATACATTTATTAAGTAGCTTATGTGGTGATCTGCAAACAGATTAGTCCACAAGAAGACCAAGCTCATCCACAACTTGATTGTTGACATGAATCAGACACCTTCACTGTACACTAAAAACATGTTTGTTTAGGGAAGCGTATTCAGACTTGTAGAATGTTGACGTTTTACAATCTGTTTTTACAATCTGTTATCATTGATTTTAATTAACTCTGAATGATTTAAATAGTAGTTTTTAACTGGGCTGGGTTTTTTTTACTAATAATTTTATTCTTTTTGTACACCACCTTGAGGTTTTTATTACAATCAAGGGGTATATAAATCTTGTGAAATAAATAAAAACTAGACTTCTAAAGAACAACTTACCTGGTAATATTTGGGCAGTACAGCATCTTAAGAATTCGAAGTTGAAGGCAACCTTTCCACAGACACTTCAGTGTTCTGTCAGTAATACACATGCAGCCTGAAATATCCAAATAGTGCAGAAAAGGGCATTCTGCCGCCACAAACTGAATGCCGGTATCAGTGACCTGTCAATGAAGCAAAAAAGATACGTTTTTTGGGGGGAATAAGGAATTATTAGCGACAGCCAAGAGAAGTAAAGTTTTAGTAAGCTCATAAAATAGTTAAGGTATATTTAAGGCATTACAGTGGTGCCTCGCAAGATGAAATTAATCCGTTCCACGAGTCTCTTCGTCTAGCGGTTTTTTCGTCTTGCAAAGCAACCCTATTAGCGGCTTAGCGGATTAGCGCTATTAGCGGTTTAGCGGCTATTAAAGGCTTAGCGGCTAAAAGGCTATTAGCGACTTAGCGGCTTAGAAAAAGGGGGGGGGAAAGGGGGAAAAATCGCAAGACTCGCAAGACTTTTTCGTTTTGCGAAGCAAGCCCATAGGGAAATTCGTCTTGCGAAGCGCATCGAAAAACGGAAAACCCTTTCGTCTAGCGGGTTTTTCGTCTTGCGAGGCATTTGTCTTGCGGGGCACCACTGTACCACCAAAGCCTTTAGCACTAATACTAGCAACACTGACAATGATTTTAACAGAACAATGTCTACAAGTTCAGTAACAGAGTTTCTAATACAAGTTGTCTTTCTTTTCATACATACCTTGGGACAACCAGTCACACTTAGAATTGTAATTCTGTGGCAGTTGAATGCCAAATTTTTTAATGAATTATTTGTTAACTGCTGGTTATAAGATAAATCAATGTGGTCTAGGCGTCTTAAATCAAGGCAGAATCTCTGGAACAGAAGTCACAAATCAATCAATCAATCAATCAATCAATCATTCTCAAATTTACCCAGAGCACTTAGATTTAAGGTTTCACAATGCACTCATGCTGAAGATAATCTGCTAATCTTCTCCAAACACTTGACGCACTTTTTCTCTCATCAAATGGCTGGAAAAAATATTAAAAGGAACATAGGAAGCTGCTTTATACTGAGCTAGACCATAGGCCCAGTGCTATTTTTCTAGAAAAAAAGGTGCTGGAACTCACCATGAACACCTCCCTCTTCTCTTAGAATGGCAATGGAGCCTACCAGAGAGGTGCTGAAACTGCCAGAACCCACCTGAGAGGTGCTGGAACTGAGTTCCTGTGAGTCCCTCCTAAAAAAGCCCTGCATAGGCCCATCTAGCCCAGCCATCATTGGCACAGATGGACATTGGCTCTCCAGGGTTTCAGATATGAGTTTTTTCCTAATCACACCTGGGACATTCTGCTTGCAAAGTATGAGCTGTGGAACTGAGCTGCTTCCCTCCCCTAATGAGTTAAGTTATCTACTGACTGCAGTCAGGAAAAGCTCATTTGAATGATCTGTACATGCTTCTGTGCTCTTTCAAGCCTCCAAACTGCTCTTGGATTTGATTTATTAATTTTTCATAGTGGTAAGAACAAAAAGGGACTGCAAGGAAAGAAAGAATTGCTTCAAGCTTGGTGAAAGGGCATAAAATGTGATTCAGTGTAAACAAGTGTTAGGTGATGCACACAAGGACAAAAATATATATGATAACAGGGTCTGAACTTGGTGGTGACTGACCAGAGAAAGAACTTAGTGGACTGATCAAGTATAAAATGAAATGGATGTGTGCAAATCTGAATAAAATTTTGTAAAACCTAAATGAAAAAATATATAAAACAAACATAAATTTCTAAATCTCCCTGATAAGACACAACATTCTCTCTCAAGAAATTACTCCTCTCATCAGATACTGCAGATAGAAAATGTGCAGTCTTCACAACTGTATTTTTATCTTGACCACCCAGTATGTGTATATTAGTAAATAAATTTCAATATTGCAAATTGACATAAGTTTCCAGAGATCCTTTCTTCCAAAGGAAACCAAACACTGTGAAGCACTTAGACCCCTGGAATGTCTCACTGCTTGAGAAAAAGGTGCTCATTTGAGACTCTTAAACTTACTAAACTGATGATGAACAGTTTTAAACCTCAAAAGATCATATCCGTAGTTCTTCCTGCTTTCAAAAAGTACTTGTGCTAATTAATCACATTGTCTCAAACTTGTATTTTTATAGCTGATCAGTTTGTAGAGGGAAAATAATTCAGTGAAACTGCCTTGGCAACACTGGTGAACCAAACATAATCTGGCAATCTTAACACATAAAAGTGATAGAAAACAGCTGTTGTATACTTTTTTCAAATAACACTCTTATTTAGTAAGCTGGTTATTTTTAGAATATACTCTAGACAAGGCTTCAAAGCCCATCTCACAATGTAGGAGCTAATTCAGCCTGGAAATATAGGTCCAAACTTGACGACCAGATTTCCCTTCTTTTTAAAGCATCCCTGAATTGAGTTGGGACAACTACTCTGGAAGAGAAGTGTTAATCTTATCTTAGCCACTGTGTCCCCCATGTAAACCAGCTCCTTCAAGTTTCTATTTGCTCAGTTAAGAGAGGCATACAAAAATAGGGGTTTTTTTCATTCTTGTTTATTTAAGCGGAACGTATCCTCCAATAATGTACAAGAAGAAAGAATTAAAATTACACACACAAAAATACAATCCCTGGGGAAAATAATGATGATTATTGGTGTTGGGAGGTAGTAATTTTCTAAAGAAGATTTGGTTTGTTTATAAATATCAGGATATTCTTGGAGCGAGGACTTATCTCTTTGAGAAGGAATTGAGAAAGAGAAACGCAGCACATGCTGTTGGTGTGTTCCCCGCAAAATGTTAAAATCATCGTATTGGCTCACATGGCCCCTAGCAGATGGATCCAAGTTGCATCCTATATGAAGATGTTACACCACTTATAAAGAAGTGATTAAAGTCACTGTAGCAAGCAAAAAAGACATGTTCCTTGGAAATTTTGATTAGCTTTAAGGAATTGACTTTGTGGAAGAGAAATTGTTAATCCCATTTAAATAAAGTTTCAGTTCCACACAGCTTTCTCTAAATGCTTTTCCTGATGTCTGTATGAAAGCCCAGATGACTACATAATGGCTTTCCATAAATTAGACAGGATATCTGTACTTTTAACACAGTTGCTCTTTACATTACAATAAACTAGGAACATGGAGGCACACTGGAAACTCCATTCATAACTATTCTCCAAAGAATATATTATTCTGTCAAATGTGTGCTTGTGCATTATCACATGCATACAGAGCAGCAAAATTCAAACCAACTCTGTGTGGCTGTAGATAATGAATGATACATATATACAACAATAGATTGATGGATGCTCAAATTTTACGACAGAAAGGTACTAATTCATAGGATAGCATAGTCATTATTTTCATAGTCGTTACTTGATAAAATGTGATGATCACTGTGATTTCTGTGCAAGATTTTTGGGCATTTTTCGGAATATAGATTGAAAAATATAACAACTGTATAAGTTTGTAGTGAAACCATGTTATTGCTAATGCAGGGTTTATATTTTGCTAGATTAATTCACCAAAGAGTCTTTCTATGCTTGCACAAGTCGTTCTCCTCAACTACTAACATTATAGGTGTTTAAGAGTTCCTCCTGTTCTTGAAATAGTTACTTCCTTTGTGATGGTCGTTTCAGCTTCCTTCTGCTGAGTTCCCCCCAGGAATCTGTCCTCAGTCCTTTCTCTCTCTTTTTAGCATACACCAGACACAAAGGATGGGACACCATTTTTATTGCAAAGCTGCAGTTTTCTATCCACAATCTGTTTTCTGTCTCAGCCATCTTATCAGAATCCCGTGAGGGCTGCATAGCAGCCACTGCCAAAAACACATCCTGTTTTAAATAAGCCCTGCTAAAAAGTAAAGGCAAAACTGCCATTGTTTGCTGTGCAGAGACATTTTTCACTTCTTAAAATGTTCTAGTTAAATCTCCCTTCCTGGGGTGAATATTATCTCTTTCCACATTCCAAAACTCTCAGTCACTGTAGCTTCACTTGCCCACATTTGCTCAGGAGTTCAGAGCGGGAGCAGCGCAGTGGTTAACAATATGAGCTAAGAAACTGAAACCGCCAATTCAAATCTCAACTCATCCTTAAATTTCCTGGAACACTCGACGCAAGCCACTATTTATTTATGTAAAGTGGTTTTACAGCCCTTCAATTATATTTCCAGGGCAGTTTACAAAAAGAATAAAACAATGAAAATGTAAATACACAATATATCAAACGCTAAAAGCTATGAAAATAATAAAAGTAGCACACAATAATGTGCAATATAAAAACTGTTGTAAAATAAAAAGGTCATAATGGTCTGGAGCTGAAAGGACAATTAAACAGCCCATGCTGGCGTGTAAAGGAAAACAGCCATAGCTTGAGCACATTTTCCTAATGGCAACATGTTTCAACAATTTTAAGAAAAAACCTCAGCATATTTACTATTTCATTGTAAATCAGATGTGTTCAAGAGTGACATACATGTACTGATGCTTGTAACATACATAACATAGGATCTTATTTTACCTTAATTCCTGTATCAGTTAACAGCCTGCATTCTGATATAATAATCTCCTTAATTTTCCAGAGTTTGCCAAGAGCATCCAAAGCCTAAAAATATTTTAGACAAATATTAGTTTATTGGCACACATATGTAAAAAAACCTGTTGTACTACATAATGTATTTATTTTGCTTTGCTGTTATTCAGTGCTGTTATTCAGTAGGTCCCCGCCCCCCATTACCTTTTAAAACATGTATTCTTTTACCAAAACAAAACATAGCTGGAAACTTAGGAACATGCCATGGGTTTGTGCATTCGCTTGTTTGTATATCCTTCCCCCTACAATTTGCATAATCCTAGTCTGCTATAACTGCCCCAGTTGAAACAAAAAGTAATGAAAACATCACAAAACACCATAGGAGTTGTTCAGCAAAACCGGAGCGTGTGTGGTCAGGGGCGTAGGAAGGGGGGGGCGGCCCGCCCTGGGTGTCTTCCCTGAGGGGGTGTGACAAAAAGGCACACCGCAGGGGGCTTACCCAGCTGTCCTTTGAGCGGCAGATCGCACCACCTTCATGCGCAGTGGATCACCCTGCCGCAGCAGTGGATCGTGTTGCCCCCCTGCACAGCTCCCCCCGAGTGCACAGAATGGGCTCTGGGCACCCATACAGCTAACTCCGCCACTTTCTCTGCCTTAGCTGGAGACGGACAAGAGGGGGAGAACAGGACCCTTTGGTTTGATCAGGCAAGGCTATTCTTACGTAGAAGGATATTTACAAAAAAGCTACCAAGACATTTACCCCCCGCTTTTCTATGTCCATTTGATTATTGCGGTCCATGTGTGCCAGGTATTCAGCAACTAATAATAAAAATAATAAACAAGCATTTCTTTCAAACACAGAAGCTGGATGATGTGTTCTCAGTTTGATTCAGCCAAGAAGTACATCAGTGCCTAACACCCCAAAGAAACACAAGTTAAGATCCATACATCACCATTTCAGGAGAGAATTAATATAAGAATATATTCATGTTAGCATGAAAATTGTTTCTCGTTGTTCAGTGAGCTCCTGAGACGGTGCTTAAACAACTGTGCCCTCCTTTCCATGTCTACTTAGAAGTAAGCTGCACTGAGTTCCATGGGAATTCATCCCAGGAAAGAAGGTGTAGAACTGCAGCCTAAGAACATCCGTTTCTTTTTGAAATGGTCCGTTTAATTAAAACAACAACAACAGCCCAATAGTTGAAGTTGAACAATACTTTATTAGGACTAACTCAAATGTCTCAAAAGAATGAGCAAGCGTTTGAGTTGCAGAGTTGTTCAGGACAGATACTAAGAAAAAACACAAGGAGGAGGAGAGGAAAATGACCGCTCCCTGCATAAAACGGGGGGCGCCCTTTGCGTGGACGCGCGCAGCCCCTGGATCTGGAGCGGCTCCATCAGCATACGCTTGGCTTCGCCTTCTCTCAGGTGGGATACTTGGAGGTCTCCACCTACCCCAGTCAGTTGTCCAATCCCACCTGGGGGAAGCGTGCCAAGGAGATCAGGCCAGGTAGGGGAGGGATCACCTGCCCACACAATAGAGGGAGGATCTTACCTGGGAATCCTCACTTGGCTCCAGAGCTTGGGCGAACGCCCAATGCCTGAGCCAAGGTCTACCCACATTTGAAATTTAATAAAGTTGTGGCCAATTTAATCCCATAGCACGTTGTCTTGAGTCGTTATTCCACATGACGGGGGGACCGCTTGGGATCTGGGGACTCCGCCTGTCCACGCAATGGCCCCTTGAAAGGGATTTGTGCTTGTGATATGGTGCATTACATGGTCAGCTTTAAAACAGGGGGCTGGGGAGCTAGTCTGTGTCCCTCCAGATGTTGCTGGACTACGTCCCCCACTGGTCCCAGCTAGTATGGCCAATAGGAATGATGGGTGTTGTAGTCCAGCAACACCTGGAGGGACACAGATTAGCCACCTGTTTTAAATGGCATTGTAAAAGTAAAGGGAGCCTCACCGAATCGTAAGGAAAACACACATCCTTATTAGGGCAATTCCATTATTAGGCCTACCTATTGCAAAATAGTGTGCAAGGTTCAAGTTCTACCATCAGGCCAGTGAACAGAGCAATGGGGTGGTGGGTTAGAAGAAATTTGTTTCTGGCTGATATTGAAGCCACAGAGTCTGCAGGGGTTTTAAGTGCTTATGCTCACAATGTTAAGCAAATAAACCAGAAAATAACACTTGCAACTGTAAGTATCTTACTTCTTTTAATAATTTCAAATTGGGGGGTTGACAAAAAAAATTCTGCGCCAGGTACCAGCTGACCTTGCTACGCCTCTCTGCATGGTTACATAGTTCCCAAACTTGTCTAGCATGATACTTTGTGAATTGCCTGCCTCAAACCGCCATTCATATTCAGACACATTTTATTTACCTCTCCAGCCATTTTAACTACCCATCTCCTTCTCCCTCCCAGATATATTCTTCTTGGTCTTGCTCCAATTCCGCTGCTTGGCAGTTCCTGTCTTCTACTGACAAGCAACCCCCTGACACATTCATAGCCCGATGAGTAGTTTCCAACTTTCCTGTCTACTGACTTTGGAGGTGGCTGCTGGGGTGAAATATGAGCAAAACACTACTCTCCTGCCCACCTTCTGGTTCACTGTATCATTTGACATGAGTTTCATTCATAAAACACGGTTTTCCATTCACAAAACATAGTTATGAAGTTATCCTTTCCAGGCAGTGTGTGTGTAAGACACGTGTATGGTGCATGCCCTCAATTTACAGCAGAACCCATTAATCTGCCTGGCGTGGGCCTTATGGGAGGCACTGAATTAGGTCTCTGCATGGCTCTGCAAGGCGCTCACTATTGCAAGGAAGAGGTTGCTGTAGAAGAAGAAGAAGAAGAAGAAGAAGAAGAAGAAGAAGAAGAAGAATATATTATTTATACCCCGCCCATCTGGCTGAGTTTCCCCAGCCACTCTGGGCGGCTTCCAATCAAGTGTTAAAAACAATACAGCGTTACATATTAAAAACTTCCCTGAACAGGGCTGCCTTAAGATGTCTTCTGAATGTCAGGTAGTTGTTTATCTCTTTGACATCTGATGGGAGGGCGTTCCACAGGGCGGGCACCACTACCGAGAAGGCCCTCTGTCTGGTTCCCTGTAGCCTCACTTCTCATAGAAGGGAAAGGCGCTAGTTTGTAAAGGGAAAAAGTGGGTTTTTCAAGGGACGCCTATGTCTCTGAACTCCTGCTACAATTTCTGTGACACTTATCTTCAACAGAGAGGAAGCTACTGCATTATCAGCGAGTTAAATTGTGAATTCCAAGTATATCTGTAAACACCCACTCACATCTGTAAATAAGCAAGCGTATTGCTTTTGTACTAATTCCTTGAATCCAACCAAGAGAGAAAAACGTGTTGTGAAAATGCTCATGAAATGGTTAGCTGAAAGAACAAAATGTAGTGCATGCTAATAACATTATTACGTGGAAAAAGTAGGACATGTTCATGGTATATGCGTAAAATTTTACTGCATAATAAAAGGTCTTTTGACAGCTTTTCATGTTTGAAGGAAACAAAGTATGAATGAAAAAGCAGAAGAAAACAGCCTGTTTTCATAATTCAATCCATAAACACACACACACACACACACACACACACACAGAGGATAAGGACTCCCTACTTACTACCAACTTCTGTAGAATACATAACTATTAAACCTTGACTAAATCATTTGGGATACAGGGCAAATGGCCTTATGTCAAAGGAATCCTTGGACTTTCAGTTATGGCAGTTTTCACCATTTGGGAGTGTGGAGAGAGTAAAAGAATTTATGCATTCTCCACTAAAAAGGCCAATGCCAAATCTGTACTGGTTTACTGTTTACTTCCACTTTGCCAAACCTTTACTAGGCATTACAAATATAGGCCATCATAAAACATCCATATATAAAATTTTAAAATATATACAAATAAACAGTCATGTAAATATATGTAATAGCGAGGATTTTCATTCGAGTTTCTTCCTGCTAAACAGTGCCATTCACCACTCTAAGAGATACTATTGATAAAAACTCAGCCACCCTTACAGTTAGGTTTACTGTATGTCTGAGATAAGCGTACCCTCCAGCACGCCACAAATGACATTAGGGACATGCTTCTAACGCTTACGGTACTGAATATTACTCCTCCTCAAACATTACACTTTGCTTAAGGCTCTACTGTGTTTTATGTGCTTTTCAATAGCAAGTCTTCAGGTGATTTAAAAGTCAATATGGCGTTTGTTCTTTAACCAAAAGAACAAGCTTGGTCTTGCCTTTTAAATTAGAAAACATAAATGAGATGACTGGCATGTGGGGAGGAAGCAGATCTGGAAGAAAGACAAGTCTCACAATTCACACCTCTTGTTGGCATCCATTTGTCTTGAGAGACAATGGAGTGCGCCTCCGGGGGTGAAGTCAAACTGCTGCATTAGCAGCACCCTGGGGTGCAAGCCTGGGCAGTGTATATGGAGGTTCTGGGATGCCCAGATGACAAGACACACACCCTGCCTCATTGATGTGGTCCAAAGGAAAGCAGAGCAATACATTTGGCAGCAGCTTGGCTGCAGGAGTTGCCAGAAGAAGGGGTCCAAGGACCCATACAACCATCTTAGGGACTCTACTCCAAATTTGTGTAGGGCTTCCTCCTTAGGCTTTTCCACCGGTCTTGAAAGACCTACATTGGCTCCCAGTACGTTTCCGAGCACAATTCAAAGTGTTGGTGCTGACCTTTAAAGCCCTAAACGGCCTTGGTCCAGTATACCTGAAGAAGCGTCTCCACCCCCATTGTTCTGCCCGGACGCTGAGGTCCAGCGCCGAGGGCCTTCTGGCAGTTCCCTCATTGCGAGAAGCAAAGCTACAGGGAACCAGGCAGAGGGCCTTCTCGGTAGTGGCGCCCGCCCTGTGGAACGCCCTTCCAGCAGATGTCAAAGCGATAAACAACTACCTGACATTCAGAAGACATCTTAAGGCAGCCCTGTTCAGGGAAGTTTTTAACGTGTGATATTTTACTGTATTTTTGGTTTCTATGGAAGCCGCCCAGAGTGGCTGGGGAAACCCAGCCAGATGGGCGGGGTACAAATAATAAATTATTATTATTATTATTATTCTCCAAAATATGTCCCACAAGGCTATGTGAGTCCCCTTACTTGTATTACATATCTTTACTTTATTGCCTTGGGCAACAATGAGTCTCCAAATTTGATTCAGATGTTGTGCTTTATTAAAATTAGCAGCTCAATTTTTCACAGGATATAAGATCAAAGGAAAGCTTACGTGTTCAGTACATCTGGACGTCAATCCCTATGTTTTGATACATCAGTACAAGTTTAGATGCCTAAAGATAGGGCATTCAGGTTAAAAATACTGACCACTATGATTTCTCTCAACTCAGAAAGGAAATTAAAGCCACAGCCAGGAAGAAAATGTATAGTTTCACACACACTCCAAATAATTGGTTTGAAGTAAATAATTAAAATGACACTCTCAGGCAATCACTTCAGCAGTCACACCGTGCACAAAGGTAATTGAAAATATGAAATTGATTAAATTACTGAAATTATTGAAATTGATGAAATTATTGGCTAGAATGCAGATCGCGAGAGCTGGGCTAATGTAATACTATGTCAAACTAGGCAGTAAAAATGAACTGCCACTCCAAGGGAGGGGGCAAACAGATTCCATTGGAGTGGTGACATTTTCCTGCCTTGCGAAATGGGAGTAACTTAATATTCCATTTGGGGATGTCCTACTGTCCACTGGAGAATGTACAATATAAATATAAAGAGATCCTGTGATGAAATATGGCAACCAAACTTTCCAAGCAAGGATCCTATCAGAGTGCCTCTGAAGATAAGAGGTTCTGAGAATCTTTGGGACCTTTGGCAGGGCCATCTTGACAAGTGTGTTCCTAAATACTGTATATTGTTAAGAATTTTTTAAAAGACATATGAAAAAGAAAAAGGTCAGCAGTGTTGGAAGACTAGCCAGTTGAAAATGATTAGGGGAGGGGTAGATTTTGAATACGGCTGGATAATTAATTTTTCCAAAGGCAAACAATATTGCGATATGATTGTGTTAAAATATACAGCCTCCACTGTGACAATTACGACAATGACATCCATTCTGAGCCCTTTGCTTTTAGTAATGTATCAGTTCTTGTATTTCACTGTGTCTTTGATTATAAGCCAAAATAAAAGTGCAGTAAACACTGAATAAATGTAGTACAGTTATTTTTTCAAGAAAAAGGGTCATGGCAAAATATTAATTTCCACATAGCAAGAATATTTCTTATCTTTAGTATCTCATATGTTGCATATTATTCAAATTATAAACATTGTTTCTTGTTTAAGTCAACAAAGTATGCTAGAAAGTTATTAGTATGTAGGATGTATTTTTTTCCAAAACTTATTTTTAGATATTTATGCTCCCAGAGCCCTCAGGACGATATCTTTCTGAACTGAAGCATGCTTGCCACTAGAAAGATCAAACATCCTTACATCCATTTTAATGAAAAACTTAAGGCACAAGAATGTTAGAAAAGAGCTTACATGACCTTTGCATGACAGGTATAAAAAGACACCCTAAATGCAATACAGCTTTCCATCTCCCACAAGGGAAAGAGAAAACTAAGAGAAATGGCTGTTTTTAAAAGTAAAACAGACTTGTTCTAAAAACACAGATGATAGATAGATAGATAGATAGATAGATAGATGATAGATAGATAGATAGATAGATGATAGATAGATGATAGATAGATAGATGATAGATAGATAGATAGACAGATAGATAGAGATAGATAGACAGATAAAGTGCTTCACTGAGCTGGTTCATACATCACAATAAGGCATGGTTTGTGGCTTACTATGATTGAACAGATTTGTTCTTGGCTCACAGCTCAAGGTTTGTCTGGAAAGAGACCAATCACAAGTGCTGGTTTGCACATAACACTAGAATGAATCACACCCTCCATTTATTAACTGCAACTAAATATGTGATTGCAAAAGGGGGGAGGGAGAAAACTTTAAATGCAAATCTTTTGAAGCCTGGATTTTGCAAGTATGGGGCATTATGCTTATGGACAAAGTGGCCATTTCACAAAAGGGTGCCGGAGGAGCTAGCTACGCCCCTGGACTTACCCCTTCTATACGACATGGTATCATTTTATCAACTTTGTTAAGACAATTGAACATGGTTTCCCATATATCCAGTTAACATATATGGTTTTTAAAATGTAAACAGTGTACATCAGACCCTCAGGTGGTGGGGAGGACAGTAACCAAAAATAAACTCCCCTCTGAATGCAAATAGCAATTTCGAAAGGGAGGGTGTTTCACAGGAGAAGGAGAAAACACCTACCTCCTACAGTCCCAATGCTACTCAGGACACCGCATGACTGTAATCTATATTTTAAAATATGTTCACATTGTTGCATTCATACAATTAACATCACATCTAGTTTAGCCATTGACTGTACTTCCTTGTCGCCATATGCTGCTATCTGTACTTTCAATAGTTTCTCGAACTATTGAAATAAGCTTTAAAATGGCTGTATTAAGCCTCTGGGGTAACAGATATCAATATTTCAATACTGTAAGTCATGAACTAGTCTTAGTTCCATGATCTTCCATGCCTTGCACTCCAAAGAGACTCTGTTTTGCTACTGCTGTGTATACTTGGTCTCAAACCTTTATAAGTCAACAGTGAACATGTAAGAAAGATTGGTTGTGTTAACTGAAGAACCTTAGCATGAACATTATTAGATTAATAAAAAACAATTTCCCCAGTTATCTCATGTTTCAATAACCCAACCCACAAACTTTACAGTTTATCCTATTTAGCTCATATTATTATCTTGAGGTAATCCCTTATTTTTGAATGCTGTTCTATTTCTTGTTCCTTCCAATGTGCTACAGTGACCAAAAGGCAAAGAGGATGTTAAGAATTAAGAAAAGAAATTGAGAATAATACAGAAAATATCACTGTGACTCACAGAAATTGCTGGCACAGCAATATTAAGAGCATACAGGAACACATTGCCATGCTTTTGTGTTTTCATTTTTACCTGGTCTGTGACATTAATTCCAGAAATATTAAGATATGCAAGTGAGGAGATCTGTGTTAAAGCATCAATTCCAGCATCCGTCACAGATTGGCAATAACGCAGATTCAGATAAATCAGATTGTGGCACCTTAAAAAACAATAGATCTTGTTATTTCTTTTCTTATTATGCCATACCTGTGCAACTTTTGGCTTAGGTTTTCATAGGACACTTCCAAAATTACAATAAAAATGTTCATTTGCCTGCTCACAAAACAGGATACCCTAAGATACTAACTAAGACCATCCTATAAATATTGTTTTAAATTAGTTATTGGGCACTTCAGTGTTAGGCTGTATAGTAGCCTGCCTCACTATTCCTGTTCAGTATTTTAAAAACATGTAAAATGTTTTTTCAAGCTTTTCTCATTTCCTCTTTTGACAGTTTTGTTCATGTCAGGCATTCTCAGCTTCAAAATAAAATATGGAACATTCGCAGGAACAAATTAGCCAAAGGAGACCAGTAAGTAGATCCTTTTTCAATAAATAGAAATTGTCATTATTATTAGGTACTAGAACACAGACACTGATTGTAAAAAAGCAACTTCAGGTATGCCTGGGACTTGCATATACCCAGTGGAATTTTTCTCTTTTCCCTTTGAGTAATAACCCCCACTCCCACCCCACCTGCCCTTCCAACTGTTTTGAGACGTTCTCAGAGTTTCAAAAGTAGTTTGCCATGTATACTCAAAGAACATAAGCCCAAAGCCTATTTGATACATAGAATTTATATGGCCTTTTGGATCCCCAAAACAAAACTTCTGTGTTTTGATTATCTGATAATTATAACGAAAAACAAATTATGCATAAATATAGATACACACACACAGCCATATAAAAACCAGCAATAAATAAAATTATCTACAGGTATTAGGGAAGAAAAATAATTTTCTAAACACTTGTAGAATATCAGAAATTTTGAACACTGAATCCTATGAATCATTTTTAAGTTGTCAGTTTTGCAAAAAGTGACAGAAAAAAATAGCTGAGACATTAATGGGTATGTGATTCACGGTTAAATTATTTATAGTCCTGTGCTTGTCTATTCAGAAGTAAGATTCGCTGAGTTCAATGGGGCTTATTCACAGGTGATTATTGGATTCCAACCTAAATTCTATGAACAGTTCTTAAGAAGCTCCATTGAAATGACTCCTAAAACATTACAACTGAGCTGTGAATTCCATTGATTTCAACAGGGCTTAGTCACAACAACTCACTTTGCTGTATGTACTATGCACAACATCTTTTCCTAAGCTAGATATCAGAAACAAGATTGATTTTAACAAGAATTTTGAAGCAACATTCCTGAAACGTATCTGTTACGTTTCACCAAACAAATAATATATATGGCATTATGGTACCTGTGGGCTATTTTTGTGATAGCACTGTCAGTGATATAGGAACAATTGGCCAAGCTGAGTTCTCGTATATTTGAGCCTGAAGCACCATCAGTAAATGCTTTTAGTCCTCCATCACTGATTCTAAAACAAATAGAAAATAAGTTATCTGATATATGTCACAATTCTAATAATGTCCTAAAAACTAGCATCTGAATGCAAGATCATCTATAACTAAACTATGCAGCAGTCAATATTTGTCTCTGCATCTATTACAAAAGTGGGTGCTACAATGCTAGTTTTTTTCAGAACTACAAGCTAAACAATGAGATTGTTGGAAACCTGCTTCCATCTGGTAGCTAAATGGCACCAGCCTGAATGAACCATGTTCTCTGAGAATGAAGTCTTATTAAAATGAATTGGACTTACTTCCAAAACTTGACTCTCACCAGGAGTGCCAACTTGGCTCCATGACCGTGGGTGCCTGGGGCCGTGGGTGCCATGCAGCTTGCATGGCCCTGGCACTGAAAGTTGTGGGTACTCAGGCACCCAGGCTCTGGGGAGTTGACACCTATGACTCTCACTGTGGGTGAGAGTCAAGATAGTGTGAGCAGTAATCCATTCATTCAACAGGACTTCCATTTCCTCCCCACTGCCTCCCGCAGTCCCTCCACTCCATATGGTCAGAAGCACACAGGAGACTGAAAGAGAGAAGAGAATCCCAAAATCCCACTACACAAGTAGATTTCTATTGCAAACACAAGGATGGTATGTATGGAATAAGGTAAAGGTAAAGGGACCCCTGACCATTAGGTCCAGTCGTGGCCGACTCTGGGGTTGTGGCACTCATCTTGCTTTATTGGCCAAGGGAGCTGGCGTACAGCTTCGGGTCATGAGGCCAGCATGACTAAGCTGCTTCTGGCGAACCAGAGCAGCGCATGGAAATGCCGTTTACCTTCCCACCGGAGTGGTACCTATTTATCTAATTGCACTTTGACGTGCTTTCAAACTGCTAGGTTGGCAGGAGCAGGGACCGAGCAACGGGAGCTCACCCCATCGCAGGGATTCAAACCGCCAACCTTCTGATCGGCAAGTCCTAGGCTCTGTGGTTTAACCCACAGCGCCACCCGCGTCCCATGTATGGAATGTCACCCACTAAATTGAAATAATTTACTGAACAGTAGTCCACTAACTTCAGTAGGACTACACAAAAATAAGTGGTTCTTGTTGTCTCACTCAAATGGGTAGCTTTATGATGCTTTTACTAGAGTGGTCCTGTAATGCATTTAACTGGTAGACACTTGCCCACACCACCCCCAGTCTTGTTGTCTCTGCCATGTCCTCTGTTGAAGTCTACATTTTATCACTGTTCCTGCACTACATCTAGGGAAGGAAGCTGTTGATGTCCTGTTCTACAAATATAATGTGCTGGTTGGTCTAGCACAGGGGTAGGCAACCTAAGGCCCATGGGCCACAAGCGGCCCATGGGGGTCGTTTAACCGACCCACGAGCCACCCCCGAACTGAGCCACCCACTCGGTGAGTCCCCGCATGCTGCGCTAAACCAGCGCAGTGCGGAGCGGGGACTCGCTTTTGTGCTGCCGGAAATCGTGTCTGCGCAGACGCCGGAAATCGCGGGTGCAATCCGGCCCACGGAGGGATCTCCGCTGGAGTGAACTGGTCCAGGCGAGGTAAACCTTGCCAACCCCTGGTCTGGCATATTGTGGTGTTACAGTGGGGCACAGACCTTTTCTCTGTTCTGTGTGCATGGAGGCTAACACATTTTTTTGCTAATTTGCAATTTTGTTAAAATGAATAACCCACACAGTCATTTGAATGTAACGCAATACCTTATGCAATCTGATAATTTCAGTACAACAATATCAGGCAGCGGTGCAATCATCTTGAGACTCAAATCTGTTATCTTCTGGCAGTCAGACACACAAAGGTGTTTCATATGAGGCCAGGATTTGCTTATGAGTTTGAAAGTTAGGTCAGTAATCTGATTACTCCCTATTGAAATCACAAAACAACAATTAGGTTACATTTGGCCTGAAGTCAATAGCTTTTTCAGTCACAAAAAGCGTGTCTACTTATGCACACGTCTATTTATGTCAAAGAGCCAACACCATGGTAAAAAGGTAGCACATACAACTATTTTGCAGGAACTATTATATTATGTCATCACTAACCTTGTATTTTCATCTTGACAAGTTTACATTTACCAAGTGCTTTAAAAGCTGCATCAGAAACATGTGGGGATTCATTAAATTCAACAGACACAATCTGATGGCATTTTTCAGCTAAAGCCTTTAAGAGAAAATACGCAGGTTTCAAATGCATTGTATTTTATGTGGAAAATATACATTTTATAATAACAAATGCTGGAGTTTCTATCCTCTCATATCCAACTGAATACTAATAACTGAAGAAGTAAAAATGGCACATCAATTCTGATATTGTTCTTAGTAGCTACTGTTAGACTACTGCTGCAAAATTGAAACATATCTCTGCATAAAGTTAAACGTTTGATAAAAATGACACACCCATTAGTTTATATATATATATATATATATATATTGCATTACTGAGTGCTTAACAATCTGATTCAAATTGGATTGTAGGTAAATTCATCTGAAATCATCTTCTGATTAAATATGTACAGTACAGTAATAGGTTATTAGCTGTTATGGATTACTGGGGGATTGGACTCATACAATATACCATAATCTCATATCATTCAGATGTCAAATATCGCTATCCAAATTCATTCCTAAATAAAAATAAGTAAAATAATATTGTTATGAGTATGGGGGAAAGATTCAGTAAAGAGCTAGAATTTAATCAAACTTATAAATTCATGAAGCAAAGTTTGATTAATTAAAACTAAACCAAGGGCTGTTGCATTCAGTTTAGGATCACAAGCTGAGGCAGCGTCACATAGCTAGCCAGGGATAAGCCAAGCCGCTATCATGAAAAAAGGGGTTGATGGCCCATCTAAGAAGAAGAGTCTAAAAAGAGTCTGCCAAAGTGAATGGGTTAGTGTGGCAGGTGGCAGGAAAACAGTGTCTTTAGCAAGGTGTACTAGAGAGAAGAAGGGAGAGAGAAAAGAGAGAGGTCCATCTTGGGCAGGCTGGCTGAAGGCAGGCTGGGAGAGATGCCTTGGACTCCAGTGCTGCACTGGTGCAGGGAATAAGCCCTTCTTGAGATGACCATGCTGTAAGATCTGGACTCCCTCCATCTAAATTCAGGTGTAAATATGTGAATAAAACATATTTCTTAAAGCTACGACAGTCTCCACTGTGTCTTCAGTGCCCCAAAGGAGCACAGACCCTGGTTGAGGGCAAAGACCCCCGCAATCCTGTGCATGGCTTGGTTAGGATTGAGCGGGCCTGTAACAATACGGAAATCCCCATGAGGCTCTGTGTAAAGTGAAAATGGAGGTAGAGAGCTTTATCCGTTTGTTTCATGCAAGGCTCCCAAAAAAGAAGGAAGCAGTGCAGTCATCCTATGTAAAGGGGAGCACTTTTTTATATCTCCTTCCCAGCCAGATGAAGCAGGGGTGGAACAGTGATTTCAAAGAGTAAACTTCCACCCTCTTTCATTGTATCTGCTGCCTGGCAAAACAAAAAAAAGTAAGGGAATGGGGAAAGGGAATTTTCCTTTCTTTCAGCAGGAAAATTAGACTGTATCGCCTGCCCTACATGGCGCATAGCATTCTAGTGGAGGGAAGAGGACCCTGATCCTCAGATGCTTCATTCTTTTCCAGGTGGTAGATGCAGAGTCCCTATCTAATATGCCAGTTGTGGGACTGCTCGGTTGTGGGGTCATTCCAAAAGAAGAACATTGTTACTTTACCAGTAAAAAGCCATTGTGGCTTCTATTGTTTTTAATCTGGCTAGGAACGAAACCAAGATAGAGCTAACTTCTAGAATAGTTTTCTTTAGTTTTGCTGTAAAATGCCGGATTTTTCATGTCTGGAAATTAACAGAATATATGTTTACAAAACAAATATATGTCCGTTTCGGTTTCTTACCTGAATACATCTGTCTGATAGAGTGGGCATTTCATTAATAATCAAGTGTTTGATACCACTGCAGCTGTCAGCAATATTCCTGAAGCCTTCCACTGTGAGCTGATTTTTAAAAACATTTTTAATAGAAAACATGAACTGTATGCCAGTACTGAAAATCATTATTAACATCTATATTATGAGAAAATTATTATACATTATTTTCAAGCTAGTAAAGGAAAACTACAAAATATATTATCTGGAACAAAAGAAGATTTGTTTCAAGAGAATCTATAAGAAAACAGTCTGTCTGAAAATGTCTGATTCCAGATTCACAGTATTTCCCAGCTTCATAAATACTGGGTATATGTGTACATGTCAAACGTGTTTTTCCATTTAAATATTAATTTTGGAAAGTTAATCCTATACATAGCAATGCCTTTATGAATGCATGCTATTTCTGGTTAAGAAGTCTAGGAAAATTAATAAAAATTTAAAGTTCAAATGAAGCCTATGTTAAATAAATAGGTCCTATAGAGAATGCCCTTCTATGTTCTTCCCACTAAAGGCTCATTCAGATATAACACAAAATTATAGTTTGGAGCTAAATGAGTGGACCTTGGGCTTGCATAATCCACTCCTCCCCAAACTTTCCCTGCCTTCCAATATCATGGCAAGACATCGTTTGTTGCTACATGGGAAATCAGTGGCCCTTAGATATTGCTGGAATACATCACCCACTGGCAATGCTGACTGGGGCTGATGTGACTGGAGTCCAATAACATATGGAAAGCCATGGAAAGCTGTGAAGGTGTTGGACCAGTGTTTAGAGGCAGAGAAGGGCTGGATGGGGGCTAATCAACTGAGGCTGAGACCTGATAATCTGTAAGTGCTGTGAATGGGTGGTTCCCACACCAAGAATTTAGGTGTATGACATGTCCTGGGAGGGATTGCACTCCTTTGGAAGGAACGGGTTTGTAGTCTGGGAGGACTCTTGGATTCAGACTTATCCCTGGAGTGGCTTCTGTGGTTAAGAGCGCTTATGCTGAGCTAAGGCTGATTTGCCAGCTTTGACCGTTCCTAGCTCAGGATGGCCTGGCCTCAGTTGTCCATGCACTGCTGCCCTCCCATCTGGACTAATGTAATGTGCTGTATGTGGAGCAGCCCTTGAAGAGCACCAGAGAGCGATTAGGGCAGGATGCAGCAGCTACTAGGGCTAGTAAGTAAGTAGGGCAGCTGATAGGACCATGTGTCACTGGCCCTGAAAGCACTGCATTGTCTGCCAGTGAGCTGCCAGGCCAAATTGCTCTTAATACTAGCATATAACTCTTTTAAAACTGTTTTTAGAATGTTTTATAACTGTTTTAAGATTAATATGATTAGTATGTTTGCTGCCCTGGGCTTCTTAGGAAGGAAGGATAGGATGTAAATGAATAAAAAAGGATATAGTAATATGAATATTCAGTGGGACTTACTCACCAGTAAGCGTGCTTAGAACTGTAGCTTTAGTATCACTGCAGCTGAGAGATAGATCACTTTCCTCCCAGCACCAATTTTTAAATTCAATAATTCTAGATCGGGCAGCACCAATACAATTCTTCCAAGTTTTTGAAGGTCTATAAGTCAACTTCATATTTAACAACTGATAGACGTAGGTGACCAGGAAGTCACTGCCAGTGAGTGAATGAAATTCCATGCTGGCAAGTGAGCAGGGCAGGTAGATAAGCAACAGGTGGCACTTTGTCTCCTCTGCCAGCTCATTTGGTTTCTGAATTGGTCATGGAGGAAGAACAAGCCCTTCTTCTGCAACCAACATGGAAACTAAGTAAGCATGTGGAGACGGAATGGGATGGCTTGATACCTTCAATCAGCTTGGAAGAAGATATTGTTGCTGCTGTTGTTACTAGCCTGTCAAGATGCTGACAGCCTGTATTTCCATGCAAGCCACAAAGGAGGAGGGGGGTACCTTCTCTCCTTTGCTGCCTGAATGGACATTCAGGACACTAGCCTCTTAGCCAGCTACTAACATCCATGGGCTTATTTTCAATGTCAACATGAACACTAAAATAAGTATGCTAGGACTCCAAATTTTAAAAACAGCTCAGAAAAGAAGAGTAAGCTTAATGCCATAAGTAGAAGCTTACTTGAAAGTAGCCAGTAACATTGAATTTTAGAATTTATTTTAGACATGGAAGGAAGAAGTAAATTTAGAATGATAAATGTGGGGGACCGGCTAGAGAAGACACAAAAATATAAACTTATTTAAGGCACAAACTCCACAGTTCTTATTTTCAAATGACATATAGCAAATAAATATGTGATACCCATCGTTTTAACTTCTGCCTCTCTGCTTCCCCACCAATTGCTCAAGAATATCTATAGTATGCCTACAAAGATGCCTAAATATCCAGCTTAAAAGGCTTCCATATAGCTTTGCTCTACTGTACTGAATTCACGCTGCATACAAAATATCTTAGTTGCATGCATTTCTAATTTATGGACTATTAACAATAGCTAGTTTGCTTCCATAAATAACTTGCCTTAGGTAACACATTCTTTCTTGGTTTTGTTCTCTCTGGGCTGCCTGAATGATGCAAATCTAGTGGAATGTAAGAACCACTGCCAAATTGCAAATTTATTAAATAAAGATAACATATCATCTTTCACATGGTATAAGAATTAGATGCCAGCTTTTGTGCCATTTTCTATCTCGGCATAGGAAACAGTTCACAAGAGGACAGAAGGTCATGTTGAACAATTCCCAGGGGGTGAATGCTCCTTGAGAAAGTACATTCAGATGTTATTAATTTAAACACAGCATTCCTAATTCATGCTGCGAAAAGATAACTAATCACTATAGAAAATGTATGAAGAACTGCAACAAGCTCCTCAAAATATCAGTTTCCGGACTTTTCCTGAAATGTAAGCTTAGAAACTCTTGAGGACTGGGAAAATCTGGAGCCATGTTTCCTTATGTTATCTTTCTTCCCTTTTAAATTGAAACTGTTTCCAAGAAGTCGGCAAGAAACTAGTTGAAAATCTGATTATTGTTTTCTGATACATTGTAATTATTACACACAAAAAGACCACTGTTCTTATTGGGAGTATTAACAATTTATTTTTTTCATGGCTGGGACTTCCCAATCCCAACCTATTTTATTATTTTAGAAAGCACATTTGACTTGATATTTACTGGTAACAACCATCCTTTAATTCATATTCATATCCTTTGAGAGTTGGCAAAAAACTGTATTGTAGCTGCTTTGGAACAAACAAAATCAATATAATTGTCACTTTCAATATTTGCTTTTTCAACAACTGTTCCCTGTACTATTTCATGAAGTACTTCTGAAACTCCACAGTATTCTAAAAGCAGTTGGCTTTGTAGTATATGTGGGGTTGTGGTGGTAGTGGAAAAAACTCAAGTCCAAATCCCCTCTGGATATGTGGAACTAATTGGGCAATGTCTAGTCAGTTGGACTAAGACTGGTGTCCTATCAACAGCTATTAACATATACAATGGATTTTGCTACAGAATTGTGTATATATCATGTGTGTATATCATGGGTATGCACAAATTGCAGCCCAAGTTGTACATTATAATACATCTTTTTGGCTTGAATGAAAATATTTCTGTTAAACATAAAATGGACCACATATTGGAATTATTGCCATTTAGGGCCTCCTAGCTTTGAACGAAGCTTAATTTATAGATAAGAATAGGCAGAACACTCCATAATGTTACTCCTACTCCCCTACATAGATTTTCTAATTTTTGGATTAGTGCCGCTAGAAGAGCCATCATGCCAGGTGTTCAAATCAGTCTGGCAGATATGCCCGCAGAGGCATTGCTGTGATGACACTTTGCCTCCTACAGCCTCCAGGAAATGTGAGGTGGCCTGAACATTGCCAGCTGACTCTGTCTTGGGGCGAGCCAACCCTATCTGCGAATAACAACTATATTCTGGAACATAGCACAGTATTAAGTCTCTCTCCAGGCTGCTTTGACCCCCGTTAAATCAGTAGGGTATTTTCCTCCTATGCTGGAAATAGATATATGGAAATTATAGTGTACAAAATTTTAGAAACTTATCAGCTGGGTTTTCAACTAGGCTGGAAACAATTTGCTTCCGTGATTACACTACGCCTAGTATTAGCAACATCTCTCAGTTGCCCACAATTGTAGACTTGCTGGAGCTTTTTGTGGTTTGGCAGTAGAGCTGAGCAAACTAAAGGAGCTCCTGGCCTTCAGTGGTGCTTTTGCATCACTGAAGGATTTTAGGTTGAGAGTAAGGAGTGCTAGTCTCCGGCAACCCCCTTCAGCAGTGCCATAGCGGTGGTTTTTGCCCCAGGTGAAGCCTCCAGAGGGGTTGAAGCTCTCAGTCTGTGTGTGTATGTACAAAATGCTTGTGTGCGTGCCAAACTGGCTTCAGAGAGTCGCCTTAAAGGGTCAGAGGCTTGGGGGAAATCAGCCTGCTTTGAAGATTAGTTGGAAATTGGGAGGGGGGAAGAGGTGAATATGAGATTGACCTGCATAGCCTGCAGTCATAAGACTGGTCACCTCAGCTCAAAAATGGATATTGAAGAGCTGGAAAAAAAGTTCAGAAAAGGGCAGCCAAAAAGATCAAGAGGCTGGAGCAACTACTCCAAGAGGAAAGGTTGCAATGTTTGGGCCTTTTTAGTTTAGAAGAAAATAATAAGGGGGGCATGACATACTTATATAAGATTATGCGTGGTGTGGACCGAGAGATGTTTTTCTCCTTCTCTAATACCAGAACCTGAGGGCATCCAATGAAGTGAAATGTTGCAAGATTCAGGACAGACTAAATAAAGTACTTGTTCACACAGCACATAGTAACTATATAATTTGTTATCTGGAGTTGTAATGACAGCTGCCAACTTGGACGGCTTTCAAGAGATTTAGACAAATCCATGGAAGACAAGACTGTAAGTGGCTACTAGCCATGATGGCTACATTCTACCTCCAGTGTTGGGGCACTGTGCCTCTGAATGCCAGTGGCCGGGAATCACAAGTAGGGAGAGTGCTGCTGCGCTCAGGTCTGCATGGGGGCTTCCTATAGGCAACTGCTTGGTGATTATGAGAACAGGATGCTGGACTGGATGGGTCTTTGGTCTGATCCAGTACAGCTGTTACATTAAGTCACCCCTTAATAGAGTTTCCCAATCTGGGTATTTCATTGGTGACAAGCTGGCTGGCTATTCTGCCTGCAGTCAGATGGTCAGCAACAACTGCCTGTTTCCCGACCACTTTACATCAACTTTTGGAAGTTCTCACTTCAACAAAATTGTGTTTACCACCAGCAATGTACTGTATTTTTCGCTCTATAAGACGCACCAGACCATAAGATGCACCTAGTTTTTGGAGGAGGAAAACAAGAAAAAAATATATTCTGAATTTCAGAAGCCAGAACAACAAGAGGGATCGCTGCGCAGCGAAAGCAGCGATCCCTCTTGCTGTTCTGGCTTCTGGGATAGCTACGCAGCCTGCATTCTCTCCATAAGACACACACACATTTCCCCTTATTTTTAGGAGGGAAAAAGTGAGTCTTATAGAGCAAAAAATACGGTAAATTATTATTCTATCTCCTGGGTCTCATGTCTCACTGCAGGCCAATAAAATTTATTAGATTATTAAGCCATTCTTCACCCTAGTTCTGAAATATGTCCATATTTTCTGCTAAAAATCAATACAATGAGAGAGAAAGCAATCAGTTGCAAGTACACCCAACAAAAGAAATCTGGCATGTGAAGCATAAGCAGAGCTTTTTCTGTGACAGTCTAATACTCACTGGTATGGAGTACTGGCATCTTCCCCTCCCCCCCTTTTTTGCTGTCCATTTTGTGCTGGCACCCACAGCAGAAGGCCTTCTCGGTAGTGGCGCCCGCCCTGTGGAACGCCTTCCCATCAGATGTCAAGGAAATAAACAACAATCTGACTTTTAGAAGACATCTGAAGGCAGGCCTGTTTAGGGAAGTTTTTAATGATTGATTTTTTTATTGTGTTTTTAACATCCTATTGGATGATGTTGATGATTATTATTATTACATTATCAATATATCAGTAACAGTACCTCATTTTTTATCCAAAAACACACTGACTAGAAATTAAAATAAGTGGAGCACAGCTACAACTTGATGTTTCATTATAATGCAAAGTTCTTCTAAGACTTCAACCAGCTTGAAACAGGAACCCTGTAGTGTTGTCTGGGATTTGCAGAGGGTGGGGGAAGTTTCACTAAGAGGAAAAGGACACCTGTTTTCTTGCCCGTCTTTCTGCAACCTTCTGCCATTGTGCTATATAGTTCTAAAGGGCCCAGAGGCATGCTAGAAGACAGTGCACTTCCCTCAGCACTGGTATTACAAGCCATGCCACCTCATTCTGAACTAGTTTCAGCTTCCAGACCCAGTGTAAGGAAAGTCCTTCATGGACTACTGTAGCTAAGTGGTCCCTGTTTAAAAATCACCATAGCTGGTAAAAACTGCTTATTCTACTTTCAGATTCATGTGCTAATGGTGGAATATATGACCCTTGATGACGAAATATGCACATGATTCTCTCCCCCCCCCCATAAAGAGAATACCCCTATGGAGAAAAGTGGCAAATATGAAGTAGCCTTCAAGCTTTTGAAGTGAATCCAGTGACACTGATTTAAGTGATCCATGTTGTGATGGTTAAGGAAGGGAGACTGCAATTCTGATAGACAGGATGGGTCTATCCAAGGAGTATTCAGCTCAAACCTCTATAAGTCAATGCTTCTTAACTGATAAGAACCACATACTGCTTGTATTCATACGATGTGCATTTTAATTTTGAAATTATTATACTGAAATTATTTTTATTATGAGGCAAATGAAGGGCCCTTGAAACTTCACAGATGGGGTTCATAGATGTTTTTCAAGCAGGATATATTTTAAAGCTCTTTCCTCTACCATTACCTCCCCACTAGCTTCCTTGTGTTGGCCTTTCACCCAGTCTGTATCTCCATTTCCTAACTTCACTCAATTAACACCCTCATTCCTGCCCCTTTACATTTCACCATAGCTTCTATAGTCTGGTAAGTATGTAGGTTTTCTGCCTTTTACACTTTGTTTAGATTTGTTCTGTTTGTATTTTGTTGATTTATTGTATCCTGTTTCGGGGTAGAAGAAAAATATTAACAAATAAATAACAGGAACAGGCCTGTTGCAAAAGCCTCAGTAGCAGATAGGAAACCAAGGAGGTCTCAGATCCTTCTCTAGGCTCTCAACTACTCCAGCAACCACTGAGGCTGTTGCTTCAGTTTTAACACAGAGGCAAATTCTTTAGGAAAGGGTTGTTTGGTATGTGAACTTGTCAATGAAGTCTCACCTGATCCCAGATGAGGGACATGGAAATGGAAAGGAGTGACCTACCATTGCTGATAGGACAGAGGGGGACCTGGAAGGGTGTGCAATAGGTCTCTATATCCTAAACAGGGTGGCTGGAAATTGGGAAATAACGCGCAAAGTGAGTGCATGGCTGGGCAGCTTTCTTTCTTCTGCAGAGAACTTCACCTGCTTTTACTACTTGATTTATGTCTTTTGCATGCATATGTGGTGCTAGTGGGAAGGGATCGAATAAGGGAATATCCAATGCTTATTTATTTATTTATTAAATTTATTTTCCCCTCTTCTTCCCAAGGAATCCAATTTTCTGCAGTAGCTCTTGCAATTCATTCCTAGATGCTTTTATATTTCACCTTTATGTCTGCACTAGTGAGAATGGAGCAAGGTTCAAAGTGTGCCTTGGCATCACCTGCAGGATCCTTCTATGGTTTCCAATTATTGTTTTATGAATTTGAAGTTATGTTACGATGGTACAGGATGTCCCCACTGTATAGATTCTTACACATACGACAGTGGGCTGCCTAAATGAAGCAGTTTGAAAGAATAGCTGTACACATCCCTGCAACAACAACAAAAAAGACTGTTGGGGGCTGGGGGCCAAGAGAGAGAGAAAGAGTGTGTAACACTCTCTCTATATATTTCCTTCTCTCTCTCTTAGTGGAAGGGTGGTAGTATGTTACAATGCTACATACTTACACTTTACAAAAGAAGGAAAGTGATATTAGAAAGCTCGCTGACAATCTGATTTCCTTTTCAGGAAATCCTGTCCCTTTCAAGGAGCTTTATTTCTGTTTGCTCAGCAGAGGACCCTTGAGTATTGTTAATGTCTGCAAATTGTACTTATGGAAGTAAAAGCACAAAGCAAGCATGTTTTAAGTCCACCTCCAACAGCAATGCATGCTTTCATTATGCAATAAGGACTGGCTGTTTATAGTTAAAGACGCCCACTGGACAAAAGCCAAAAGCCTATAGTGCTATTCCTCAGGAAAATTTAAGCAGCTGTGGTAATGTAATTTAAAACCTCTCAAAACTTTGCTGCAGTGCCTGTACTACTTGATTATACCATGAGTGCTTGGTGCCGTCAGTTCTCTAAAGGAATCACTTCGCTACAATATGAAAAAGAAAACTGAAATGCAAACCTGGAGGCAGCCTGAAATATCCAAGTAGATGAGCTTGTGACACCCTCTTCCAGAGCCGAGGTACAGTAAGCCATTGTCTGTGAATTTTCTGCAATAAGCTAAACTTAAATACTGTAAATTGGGGCATCCCCTGTGCCAGATAAAAGAAGAAGTCAGTTACTAAGATGTTGCATACAGATTTCTGGTGCAATTTGATACTGTAGCTAAAAAGCTTTCTAAGAACATGGGTGGATACTGGAATTTAATGGGAATATTCACTTTGCCTGAATACAAAAAAAACTGTGTTTCATTTTTCTTTGTTGCATGTACTTTACACTGTTTAATAAGATTATTCACGAACCAAAGTCATCTTAAATGAAACCTGATTTTAAAATGATTTTCCTTGGTTGTAAACTCAAACGTTTGCACTAAATTAGAAATATATGACTCTCAACCATTTTAAGGACCAAGTTGTAACGTTAACTGCACATTGTTTTTTAAGCTTTTTGTGTTCAAAATGAAAACCAGAACTCTATCAAAGGATATTAAAAGCATAAAAAATTAAACATAATGTTAAACCATCCCTGCTTGTGTAATTGTTTCCATTAAGGTTTGACACAGCTATTCTAACAAAACAAAAATACAAAATAGTTGTGTGCTCATATAACAACCTAAAGCTGTAATACTTTGCTATATCTGGAAGTAAGCCTCATTGAGCATGGTGGCACTTTTTGAGTAAATATGCACAGGACTGCACTGTGTGACTTATTAATAGGAAACCTTTATAACATATCCAGTGACAGACAAAGGAAGTTGGTTAGACAATATACACAGCAAATGAATACTCTGAAACTGAACTCTCTACAACTTCATTTTTATAATACATATTCAGGCATTATCATACTGAAGAGTATTAATTTTATACAACTATAAAGCAGTTGAACTAAAATAAGAGATGCAATGCCACAATTACCACAAATGAAAGCTTGCAGAAGAAAAAATACACTGTATGATTAGGAGTAGACAACATGCTCCGCAACAAATTTTAGTTCAGGAAAACATTTAAGGCAACTTCACAAGTCAGCAAAAGCTAAGCTGGGAACACCCACCATGATGAAAGTATGACATCATGACCACTGCTTGTAAGACTTGGACTTTTGTGTTCTTAATGAATAAGAGAGGGAAAACTTTGCAGATAATAAGGGTTAAATTTAAAGACATATGGAAAGAAATATAAACAGTAAATATTTATTTTTGTATTAAGACAAAAAGGCAGGTAAAGCATTCAGATAAACTTTTCTGTGAGAAGATAAACACCTAAGATCTTCCAGTAATAGCACATTAATTTTTAGGGGTACAAACTGTGGATTATATTCTCAGTATGTACATCATTATGACAAGTAACAATGAATGGTAACAGACTTCATCTTCTCTCGCCAAAGTTAAAATGCTTCAGCTTGTATTAGTCAGGATCTAATATTCTTTATGGCAAGAATGGGAAGCTGTGGTCCCACAGATGTTGCTGGACTCCCAGCTCCCATCAGTCTCAGCCAAGCGCAGCCAATGGTCACAGATGATGGGAGTTGTACCACAGCAACATCTGGAGGGTCATAGGGCCAATCCCTGCAATGGGTTTTAATTATACTTTGTTCTTCTAGACTTCAGATGTCTGTTAATATAACCATGTAATAAACAAATGAGTATTCAGAAGTCCCAAATGCATGGCTGAATTGAAACAAGCTTTTTACAACAATATATTTCTATGAAATTGTGTGAGTGCATACCTTTCAAAGAGAAGGGAGATTAGGTTACCTTTTAGGTCATTTTATTTCCCTTGGAGGGATGCTCTATTAGGTGTCTCAACATACGGGATGTATTGCATTCCCTATACTTGGCATTCACGTGGCAGTGCTTTTTGTGTGAATCTCTCCAAAGCCCTGACTGAGTGTAGCCAATCAGACCGACAGCAAAGGAGGGTTCAAAGTGGGGATAATGTTTATTAAGGAAGTGCAGGCTCACAATGAATGAGCTTTGTTTGGCCCAGCAACATCATAACATAACCAACTGTATGATTTATAAATGTTACTGAAGAATTGTGTTAAAATATAACATAGTACGTAAGCTGCACCTAGTTGAGACTGCCAACAACAGGAAACTGGTGCAAAAACTAAGGGTTTTGTGGGAGGGGTCTTAAAGGAAATTTCAATCTGAGCTGTTTGCTTGTTTTCTTTTTTGTGGTTGCAGGAGATAATATGATTAGGACAACATAGCTTGGCAGGCGATAGAACTTTTGCAAAGTTCATATAGGAAAACTACAATATGGTATGCTGGAAACAGAAAGTTCATTCATACTGGTCCAAACACATTAGTGCTGAGACAGAGAAGCAAAAGATGATTTAGCTATATTTAAATGGAATATTATTTTTGCAGGGGGGGAAATGTCAGCATTTGAAAAGGCTTTATGAACTTGGAGGCTACTTTGAAAATACCACTAGGCCACATTGGACACTAGAAATAGGCATAAGGATATAAAACTATACAGATCAGACATTTAAGGAGATTGTCCTACTAGAGCTGATTCTAGCTCACAGGAAGAATTAACCCAGCTTTCATTTGCTGATGTACACACAGGAACATGAGCACAAAGAACAAATTAGCTATTTAACAAACTGCCTATATAACATACAGTGGTACCTCGGGTTAAGTACTTAATTCGTTCCGGAGGTCCGTTCTTAACCTGAAACTGTTCTTAACCTGAAGCACCACTTTAGCTAATGGGGCCTGCTGCTGCCGCTGCACCGCCGCTGCACGATTTCTGTTCTCATCTTGAAGTAAAGTTCTTAACCCGAGGTACTATTTATGGGTTAGCAGATTCTGTAACCTGAAGCGTATGTTACCTGAAGCATATGTAACCCGAGGTACCACTGTACTTTATTTCATTCAAGCAAATTATGACCAGTTGAGATGCATAAGGAAGGAGTCCAGGCAAAACATACTGAAGGCTTGGTTTCTAGATGTTTGATCATATTGGTTGCCTCCTCTGCACACGTTCCAGCTTGTCAATATCTTTCTTAAATTGTGATGCCCAGAACTGAACGCATTACTCCAGGTGTGGTCTGATCAAGGCAGAATAGAGCAGTACTATGACTTTCTCGTGATTGGGACATTATATTTCTGTTGATGCAATCTAGAATAGCATTAGCTTCTTTGCTGCTACATTACACCGTTGACTGTTAAGCTTGTAGCCTACTAAGACCCCTAGACCTTTTCTCATGTGCTACTGACAGACCAGGTGTCCCCCATCTTATATTTGTGCAGCTGGTTCTTCCTGTCTAAGTGTAGAACCTTACATTTATCCCTATTGAAATTCATTTTGGTAGTTTGGGCCCAGTTCTCCATTCTGTTAAGGTAATCTCCAATCCTGATTCTGTCTTCAACACTTCTACAGCATTAGATACCCCTCCCAGTTTGGGTGTCATCCGCAAATTTGATGATGATCTTCTGTTTCATTATCCAAGTTGTTTATAAAAATGTTTATCAACAAATGCCTCCCATTTTTCTTGTTAGAATCATCTGCACTTGTGCCTTCAATATTTCACCTTTAAGAAATTTCCATCCATCTTGGATTCCCTTCTCTGAGTATTTCTGATATACAGTGGGATCTCACACAGTAGTTCCTCAAGTTTGTTAAGGAAATCAGCCTTCTTAAAGTCCACAGTGCATGTCCAACTACACTCAGGTTTCCCTTGCCTCTATATAATGAAACCCAAGAGGACATTATTGTTTCCTCTCAATGTTCACCGTACTTCCACTTTGTTGATCAGTTCCTGACTGCTGGTGAAGCCTAGGTGCAAGATAGGTATGTGGAACTTGAAGAGAAAACATGTGGCCCTCCATATGTTGTTAGACTGCAGCTGTCATCAGCCCTAGTGAACATGGCCCATTATCAGAGATGATGGTAGTTATAGTCCAACAACATCTGGAAGACTGCAAGTTCCCAATACAAGAAGTCTCATTGAACTCAGGGAGCCTTATGCTTCACAACTGGTAGGGAGCTTCAGACATAAGATTTAGACTAGCTTGTGTTGTGTCTATGATTCTTAAAGTATATGCATAGTACAGAAGGGAGCAGGGAAGCAGCTAGAAGATGTTTCACAAGGGTTGACTTGTCAGTATTTTTGAAATTCCTGCCAAGAACCTTTTAGAAGTCCAGTATCTCACACTTTCCTATTATAGCCTTCCCTCATTGTGTCTTACCATACATCCACATATTAGGGGATTAATCAGGTACATTGTGAGCTTCAGGGAAAGTAATAGAGAACTGGATTTAATGGCCTATTTTAATTAAATTCATTGCAATTTACCTTTAGAAGATGTAAACTGCCTCCTTCAATTTGATTACCCTGGTATATGATAAGCATTTAATTTGCCAGTATAGCCTTGCAACCACTGGCATAGAGGATTTGTTCTGCCAATCTCCTCCTGCATGGTCCTGTTTCCCTTGACCTATTCATGGTCATCATTAGGTGAGGTGCTTTGAAGTGCATCACCCCCATGCAATGCATGGTGAGAGGGCTTTCTCAACTACAGCAGCTACTTTACATTTGTCATAACCTCAGTAATTCTATACAGCTTCATCTCTACCTCCTGAAAACTTTTGTGTTTAGGCAATTCTTTTTGCTGATTATCCACTTAAGTTTTTGTTTTGTTTTGTTTGTTGTTATATTTTAACTGTCCATCATTTGTTGAATTTTAAAATGTTGTTGTTGTGGCTGTATTTTTAAATAGCTGTCTTTGTTAGCTGCCTTAACTGATTGAACTAGAAAGGTGAGCTATAACTATTCCAAATAAATGAATAACTAGCTAACTAACTAGAACGTCTTGGGGTAAACTGCAGTAAAATCAAACATGCCATTAACACAGTTCTCTTTCATTGTCCAAATAGCTCCAAAGTGCCTAATCAGATCTTTAGCATGCAGGTGTATAATAAGGTAATCATGGTGCTCTGTTCAGCTCTAACCAAATTTATTTCATGGTCCTTTCCCAATCTGTTGTTTAGAAGTACAAATAACTGAGGCTTTACATACATACCTGGGAGAAAGTCAATAGGACTTATTTTTGAGTGCATCTATAGGATCGGGCTGTGAACATGTCATTTTCAGCCCCCTTATCTGTCAGACTCAGAGGGTATCTTGTGTTTGTGGGCACGAAGGGGAGATTAGCAACTGGCCGGTAATGACTTTCTGACTTTCAGATTTTCTGAATCCAGGGAGAGTTTCGTGAGGAGTGGTTTTACCACTGCCTCCTTCAAGCAGGGAAGGACCACCCCCTCTTGCAAGGAGGCAATAATAACCTCCCTGGCCCAGCTACTTGTCCCCTCTCTGCAAGTTTTTGTCAGTCCATATTCTCAAGCCTTACTACTGTCAGTTCCACCACAGCCATGAAGTCCTCAGCCACCCCAGAGCCAGTTGCCTTGGCAGGGATGTTGAAGTCTCTCAAAACCAGTGGTCAATGTCTTATTGGAGGGAGGGTGTTGCCCCTGCTTTTTGATCACTGTTTTATTTGGGAAAGGGTTGTAGTAGTTTGCCCCCCCCCTTTTTTTTTTGAGGGGGGTGCTCAGCACTGCCAACTTTTCTGCTGTGAAATTGTTGTTGTTTTCTGGCACCCACAGCAGTTTCCTACAATTTCAAATGTGTCTCTTGGTCCAAAAAGTTGGGGGACACTTGTTTCCATATTACAGTGATAGTCAGCGAGAGAGAGCAGCTGATCTTTATAAAGGTGGAATCTTTCTTCTACTGTTACACAAAAATTCAGAATTTATTTATAAAACAGATTGTTTTTACCTTGACAGAAGTCTTAGTGTTCCATTTGTGATATCTGTGTGAGATAAATTTAAGTAAAGGATTGCTGGGCAACCTTCTGTTACAAGCCTTATTAGTTCATCCTGTTCAATAAAGAAAATCATAAATGAAATTGGCTTCATTTTTTAAAGTAAATAATATGGCTCTATATCAGATGCATTTTTTCAGCTCACACTATACTTCAACAGCACACCTAGACATCTGATAATAAATTGGACATGCAATAATAATAATATTTAGCATCATCTACTGTAACCACATTCTTAACATAATACAACATATAAATGTAACTAAGATAACCAGAATCTTTAGGTAGAATAAATGACCTCTTTCGGTTTGAAAATGGCCTCCTTAAATTGTTGTTTCTGGTCCATATTTGGCCCATGGTCTGGAGGCTCCTCACACCAGTGTAGACTGAAGCTGGAAGTCTATACAGCTTTTCCTTGATTACAAACCATGAAATCAGATGGGTTTCCTATTCAAACTTAGTAATATTTGGACTTTAGCCATATTATGCTACATAAATAGAGCACAGCTTTTCATTTTAAAAATGTTGTGTCTTCTCTAGAAATCAAAATTAGAACTAAAATTTCCTATATCTGAATTACATTAAGGCTATTTCAAATTTGTTGTATGAATACTTACATTTAACCCTTGGCATTCAGTGACATTTAAGTCTTGCAAATTCTTACAGTGAGCTAAAATAAATATAACACCAAATCAGTATCTTGCATTACTTGAAAACATCAGCTAATATCTAGCAGTTTTCAGTAACATAAACCCAAAATGGGAAAGAATGAAATATATTTTATACCAATGGTCAGTAACACTGGAGATATGTCATTTCATTGGGATTACACAATGTTTTCATTGTTAAAAGATAGTTTTGCTTTTTCCAGGGACACCCCCCCGACACACACACATCACCAAAGGAATATAGTTATTGCTCTGTTAGCACACATTCTCAAACAGTAAGATAAGCCACCCTGCTGAGGCTTGGACAAGCTGCCTGTGACAGCATGTCACTCCTCTGACAGCTCCTAGACTTGATTGGGTCAAGAATGTAAACTTAATGAGTGTTGATACTATGAGTGAATAGGGACATTATAAGCCTTTTTCTTAACTAAGATTTTGTCCTGTGACATCTCAGCCCATGCTATGGGGCCATCTTGTTTAATGGCCTCACTTTCCTATGATCCCCTTGCCTCCAGGATGAAAAGATAATGCAGACTACTGGGCAAACCTCTTTGTCCATTTAGTTTTAGAACTAGATCATATTACTATAACACTGGAACCTAGAGGTGAATGGGGCTCTCTCCCAGGTAAATTTGTATAGGATTGCAGCCTACATGTACAGGACAGAGTGAATCAGCATCTTATCCTGTACACCAGGGATAAGAAACCTGTGATCTCCAGATACTGCTTGAACATGACTCCCATCACCTCTGACCACTGATTGTGTTAGCAAACACTGAAATGGAGTCCAATGACATCTGGAGGGCCACTTTCCCACCCATGCTGTTAGGCTGCAATCCCAGACAGTATTTTCATAGAACATGGTATTGTACCAGACAAGGCAGTAGAGCAAATATTTAGAAGCAGGCTAAGAAGAATCATAATATCATGAGAGGGCAAAGCTCAGTGGTAGAACATCTGCTCTGCATGTGTACAGAAAGTCCCATGTCCAATCCCCAGCATCTCTAGGTTGAGCTAGGAAAAAATATGAAACCGTGGAGACTCTGAAACTCTGCTGTCAGTCAGTGTTCACCAGAGCTGGAAAACTTCTGGCCTATGGAAAGCCAGAGGTTCAAGAGCAGCATTGGCAGTAGACAGGCTGGGCAGGTCCACCTTCTATGTTCCAAGGGCGGACCAAACCTTCATAATCTTTTCTCTGGCCTGCCCCGGAAGCCCTTCTCCCTGGGAACCAGACAATATGACTCCCATCAACTCTGGCCATTGATGGTGCTAGCTAACTCCAGTTCCACTGCCAGACTCCGCCCTCCTGCCCAGCCACATCAGGTAGATTCCTGATGCTTCCCACTCCTTGCCCAACAGTCATGTCAGGCCACAACGACCACCAGGTAAACCAGTAACAGGGTATTATTATCTTTAATGTGGAATTCACCTTTTTCAAAGGTGCCACACACTGGGTCAACATTTTAATTAATCTATCCACAAAGACCCAAGGTCTCTTTCCTGTGTAGTCACTGTTAATTCAGACTATTAACATATACAGGAAGGTAGGATTTCTTTTCCCAGTGTCCATCACTTAACACTTGCTTAAAAGGGCAAATGAAATTCAATGTAATTCCCATTCACTCGCTTTCATTTCAAGAAGAAATACAAGGCAGTTCACAAACAAACGTCAACAGCAAAATAACAAGAATAAAAATATAGCTACCAAAAATAAAAATACACTGTAAAACAGCTACATTAAAATACCCATAATTAAAATATATGATAAACCTCTTAAAACAGCGTAAGAGTTACAACAACAATTACCACCAAACACAACCAAGCAAGCTTGGGAACCCCTAACCTTCCACAATATCAATAAAAATAAATAAATAAATAAATACACAAAGGACCTACCCATGTGATGCTGACGCAACCCCCCCTACACTAAGAATAGGCAACAGAATGAAAGAACAATATATTCATCTCTTTCCTCACCTCTCCTTTCTCCCAACTGCAAGATGTCTGACAAAAATGTCTCTCACCAAACGTAAACGAGCTGTGAAAAAGACTATGAATTGACTTGGAGAAAACAAATGTACAGTTCCCTGTTTTTCCATTTGCTTTGTACCACAACCCCCCTAATAAAAACTAATAAAATAAAATAAAATAACCTGAGCCATCCTAAAAACAAATTACTACAAGAGACGAAAGTCAGGAGATCAGGGAAATGCTTTTTAAGCAGGGGTATCTGGGCTGGATGAATCCCAAGCCGGAATTAAGATTGCTGGAAGAAATATCAACAACCTCAGATATGCAGATGACACAACCTTGATGGCAGAAAGTGAAGAGGAATTAAAGAAACTTTTAATGAGGGTGAAAGAGCAGAGCGCAAAATATGGTCTGAAGCTCAACATCAAAAAACTAAGATCATGGCCACTGGGCCCATCACCTCCTGGCAAATAGAAGGGGAAGAAATGGAGGCAGTGAGAGATTTTACTTTCTTGGGCTCCATGATCACTGCAGATGGTGACAGCAGTCCCGAAATTAAAAGACGCCTGCTCCTTGGGAGAAAGGCGATGGCAAACCTAGACAACATCTTAAAAAGCAGAGACATCACCTTGCCAACAAAGGTCCGTATAGTAAAAGCCATGGTTTTCCCAGTAGTGATGTATGGAAGTGAGAGCTGGACCATAAAGAAGGCTGATCGCCGAAGAATTGATGCTTTTGAATTATGGTGCTGGAGGAGACTCTTGAGAGTCCCATGGACTGCAAGAAGATCAAACCTCTCCATTCTGAAGGAAATCAGCCCTGAGTGCTCACTGGAAGGACAGATCCTGAAGCTGAGGCTCCAATACTTTGGCCACCTCATGAGAAGAAGACTCCCTGGAAAAGACCCTGATGTTGGGAAAGATGGAGGGCACAAGGAGAAGGGACGACAGAGAATGAGATGGTTGGATGGTGTTCTTGAAGCTACCAGCATGAGTTTGATCAAACTGTGGGAGGCAGTGGAGGACAGAAGTGCCTGGCGTGCTCTGGTCCATGGGGTCACGAAGAGTCGGACACGACTAAACGACTAAACAACAACAACAACAACAAATCTTCAGGAGTTAATGGAATGCCAATACAGATGGGGCATTGCATATTTCAGCCATGCTTCCATGTTTACTACAAGCCAATAATCATCAGACGATGGCAAAACTAATTGGGTTCCATTTGTTGACCTAAATGCCCTTACAAATTCATTCCCTGAGTCCCCTGTATCAGGTGATACTGTATCAGGTATAAAGGTGTGTGACATCATCATTATTTGATAATAAATAAATTATTTATATCTCCATTTAGGAGGGAAGCTCACCATTATTATCACAGCCAAAATTATTTTCAATGTGCTGATTATTATGGAAAATATATTCAAATGTCAGCTTTAATTCATTATAATTTAGGACACCAGTTGTGAAAGACCTACATTGACTCCCAGTACAATTCTGAGCACAATTCAAAGTGCTGGTGCTGACCTTTAAAGCCCTAAATGGCCTCGGCCCAGTATACCTGAAGGAGCATCTCCATCCCCATTGTTCATCCTGGGCACTGAGGTCCAGCTCCGAGGGCCTTCTGGCAGTTCCCTCACTGCAAGAAGTGAAGTTACAGGGAACCAGGCAGAGTGCCTTCTCGGTAGTGGCACCTGCCCTGTGGAATACCCTCCCATCAGATGTCAAGGAAATAAACAACTGAACTTTAGAAGACATCTGCAGGCAGCCCTGTATCAGGAAATTTTTAATGTCTGATGTTTTACAGTTTTTTATATATGCTGTAAGCCACCCAGAGTGGCTGGGGAAACCCAGCCAGATAGGCAGAGTATAAATCATAAAATTATTATTATTATATTTTATTATTAATTCTAGGGTAATATCTCACTAATATTCTGCTTTTCTTCCAACAGAGCGATTCCTCAAACCCTTGCTGTGCCTCCTTGATTCAGAACCACGCTAGTTAAAGGCTTCCAAACTCAGATTTCAAAGGAATACTCTGACTGTTCCAGCTGTTGTACAAAATAATTGGGACCAGCTGGATGTCAGGATGCAAGTGGTTACAATTATAATACTACTTTTCTTTTGTAAAGCAGCTGACTTTAGGAAGACAAGAAATGGAAGTTCAAGAAACAAAGCAAATAATGGAAAGTCAAACGGCTTAAGAAGAGCATCCGGCACTGTCAAGCGCTACACCCCAGGCCCCCCATGTGATGTGTACACCTATCTTCATGACAAATACTTAGATTGCCAAGAAAGGAAACTGACATTTGTATTGTCTGATTGGCCTGAAGATTTAAAACACATGCTCCTAGCAAGAAATAGAATTCGCAAGCTGAAGAACAACATGTTTTCCAAGTTCACAAAATTAAAAAGTCTAGATTTACAACAGAATGAGATATCAAAAATTGAGGATGAAGCTTTTTTTGGTTTAAATAAACTCACTACACTTTTACTGCAGCACAACAAGTTGAAAATCCTGTCTGAGGAGGTGTTTATTTACATGCCTCTTTTAATTTATTTACGCCTGTATGATAATCCATGGGACTGCAACTGTCAGATTGAAACTCTTATAACGATGCTGCAGCTTCCCAGAAACAGGAACTTGGGAAACTATGCTAAATGTGTGCACCCAACAAAACTAAAAGGTCAAAAGCTCAAGCAAGTAAAATCAGAGCAGCTGTGCACTGAAGGAGAAAGACCAGACCCTCCTATTCCAAAACCTAAACCCATCAGACCTGAATTTGACTCTTCTCTCTGCCACATTTACATGTTTCCTGTACAGACACTGGACTGCAGAAGAAAAGGTTTGTATAAGCCAAATGCATGTTACTTTTTAGCTGCTCATTAATGACCATTAAAATTGTCATTTTGAAACTTTACCCAAGGTAATGGAAAGGTGGGGTATAGTTTAAAAAATATTTTAGGCTGTAAGCCTTTTGACTTTTACCTGAGAGATAGCCAAATTGAATTCAAGGAATTACTTGTCAGTAGACATGCAGAAGATTACAGTTGGTGGTTATCTAGCCCAAGCGGTGGAATTTTTCACCTATCCATTATCCATTATTATTAGTATCCATAACAATCAATAGACTTATGATAAAAACTTATAGCATCCTGATTACAAAATAACAAAAGTGGGCATATGTGCCTTACTTGTCAGACGCAAGCAGCCTGGAAGTAGGATGAGCGTGTAGCCCTATAATACATTTAGCATAATAATATTCGTGATTTAATCAAACAAATTGTGCCATCCTATAGAGAAGCCTGCATCTACCTACCACCCATGACTACAAGAATAATAATTTAGAATAAAAATAATTTAGAGTAATTTATCTTTCAAGCCCCATGTCTTGTAACTGACCCATGTCTACTCAGAAATAAACCTCATTGTTTTCAGTGATGGGCTCCAAGTAAGTGGAATTAGGACTGAGGCCTTAATTTGTTTCTACTTGAATTTTAAAAACCAATGAACTGCATTGTTCATTATTGCTATTTTCAAATGGAAAGAAGTTATCTCTTTTGTTACCTGTAGACTTTATCTGTACTCCTCAGTTACATTCCAAAGCTCTTTAGCAAAGTAGGAAGAAACATCTGAATTCAACTGCTAAAAATGTTTAAAATATTCTAGATATTTTCCCATTTCTATTTCATCTTCTTCTTCTCTTTTATATAGGTTTTCATAGAATTTAAGGAAGCTCTTTTTTATTTCATTAGGGTCTTCCAAGATTTGGTCTTCTACTTTTATTTTATTAATAAGATTTTGTTTTCTTCTTTTCCTCAACTGCCACGCCAGGAACTTTCCAGTTTTATTTGCAGATGCAGAAAATTTTTGTTTCATTAACTTAATTCCCATTCTACCTCTTGATTTATTAATGTTGAATATTGTGCTTGTATCATCTTATACAGTTGCTTGTTCCCTTCATCGCTCGGCTTTTCTATCAAATTCTTTTCACATTCTCTCAATTGAGTGATTAGCTCTTCCTTTTTTTGTTCTCTCTCCTTTCTTCTTTGACTATTTTGTTGTATCAAAAAAACCTCTTAACACTGCCTTGCTGGCATCCCAAACTATATCCATGTTAGTCTCCTTATTAATATTTAAATCAAAATAGTCTTTTAAAGTAATTTTAGCCTTATCAATCACTTCTTCTTTTCAAATAAATAATCATTCATTCTCCATCTGTAGATACCCTGGGTCTTCCAGTTTAAGTGTAATATTATTGGGTTGTGATCAGATAGTGTTCTGGGTAGTATCTCACATTTCGACACTCTTATTCTCTTGATATCCATATCTCTTCTCTTGATATCCATATCTGATCCAATCTACTCCAGCTCTGATGCGGCTCTGAGAAATGTGTGAATTGTTTGGTCATGGGGTTTTTGAATCTCCATATATCTATTAAATCTAAGTTTTCCTCAAGGTCAATAAACGATCTTGGAAGTTTCCCTTGATTTAAGTTCTTCCTTTTCGAGCTTCTATCTAATTCCGGTGTTGGCACTCCATTTAAATCTCCAAGTAGAATCAATTTGTGATTCTCTAGATCTAATAAAACTTGTTCCAATTTTTTGAAAACTCCATTTTGTTTGTATTTGGCGCATAGACCGTTACCACATTAAGTTTTTCTCCTGGTAGTTGATTTGTACTCCTAGAATTCTTCCTTCCTCATCCTTACATATCAGTTTAGGTTCCAATTTCTCTTTCACATAAGTTACCACCCCTCTTTTCTTCTTTGAGTCTGAATTGATAAATTCTATTCCCAACTTTTTATTTATTAAAATATGTTTGTGTTTTTTGGCAACATGTGTTTCCTGGCAACAAATCACATCAATATTTTTTTTCCTTATGATTTTCTCAAATTTATTTCTCTTGGACTTTTCATTAAAACCATTCACATTCCACGACAGAAATTTAAGGGTCATTTCGACTAATTGCACTTTATCCTAATTTCCGATTTAAATTCTGGTGCCTCTATTTCCAATAGTTTCCACCTCTTCCTCCTCCTCCTCCTCTCCCGATCCCGCGTCCTCCGCTTCCTCCTCTGCTTCTACTTCACCCCCCTCCGCTCCCCCGGCCTCCTTCTCTCCCCTCCCTCCCACCTCCCACGTTTTTTCCTCTCCTCCAGATCTTTCTTTTCTTTACCCAGGTCTTTTTCGTATCTTCTCAAAAACTTTCCCGCTTCTTGTGTATCTATCAGTTTGAACTTTCTATTCTTGTAGAAAAAGGAAATCCCTTCTGGGAATTCCCATTTATACTGTATTGTATTTCTCTTTAGGACATTTGTTAATTGTCTATATCCTTCCCTTTTGCGCAGAATCCTAATTGGAATTTCTTTAAAGACAATAATTGGACAGCCTCCAATCATTAACTTTCTTCTGTAGCTTGTTCTTAGTATAGTGTTCCTCATTTCCAATGAGTTAAATATTACTAAACAGTCACCAGGGATTTTTTTGATTTAATTCGTTGCGATTTCCCTCTTATTCTAAACGCACTTTCTATCGTGTACGCAACTTGTTCTTCTTTTATTTCCAACCACTTTGCGAGTTCTTTAACCATTTTCCTCTTATATCCTCGTTTACCTCTTCCACCACTCTCGGAATTTTAAATTAAGTTGTTTCTGACGGAGTTCTGTCATGGCTAAATTGTCCAACAATTGATCTTGCATTTTATTTAAATCTTTTACTTCTTCCTTTAATTTTTCTGTTTCTTTCTTTTGGTCTCTCAGATCTTTTTGGGTTCTTTTATTGATTTCCTCAATTATTTTTGACTTGGTTGTCAGATCTTGTACCTTTCTGGAGAGTTCTCCTACCGCACTTTCTATTTTCTTATCTATCTGTTCCTGTATTTCTCCTAATTTACTTTCCATGTGTAATTCATTTTGCTTAAATTCCTCTTTGATCTTTAACCATAAAATGTCTAAATCTCTAATTTCCTCCTGTCGGGAGGAAAAGAGAAGAAGAAGATGAAATAGAAATGGGAAAATATCTAGAAGAAAACAGAATCAACAGTATATCGGAAGAGGAAAGAAATTTATTAAATAAACCCATAAAAACAGAGGAAATTCAAGAGGCGATAAAGAGGATGAAACTGGGGAAAGCCCCAGGCCCAGATGGATTGTCAGCCAAGTATTATAAAGTCTTAGAAGAACTTATTACACCAGTGCTATGTGAAGTAATGAACGAGATTTTAAGAGAAGGAAGAACACCAGCGTCATGGAAAGAGGCATACATTACGCTGATACCGAAACCTGACTCGGATAGGCTGGAATATTAAGAATTACAGACCGATTTCACTATTGAATAATGATTATAAGATCTATGCAGATATAATGGCGACTCGACTTAAAAAATGCCTAGTTAATCTTATCCATACCGACCAGGCTGGTTTTTTTACCCAATAGGCAAATAAAAGACAACATAAGACATACAATAAATATCATTGAGTACTTAGAATGCAAAAACGAAATCCCTGCAGCTTTACTGTTTATTGATGCCGAAAAGGCATTCGATAACGTATCCTGGCGTTTTCTATAAAATGTTTGGAAATGACAGGGATAGAGGGCACATTCCTGGAAGGAATAAAAGCAATTTACTCACAGCAAAGTGCTAAACCAATTATTAATAATAACTTAACAGAACCCTTTGAAATCTCGAAGGGTACTAGGCAGGGGTGCCCTCTGTCACCTCTTTCTGTTTATTATGATGTTAGAGATAATTACAAATAAGATAAAAAAAACTTCAGAGATACGCGGAATAAAAATAGGAGTGAAAGAATACAAATTGAAAGCTTATGCTGACGACCTTATGTTGTCTTTTGGAGGATCCAGAAGAGAGTGTCAGTAAGGTGTTAGATCTGTTAGAAGAATTCAGAAAACTATCCGGTTTTAAACTAAACAGAACAAAAACTAAAATGTTGATTAAAAATGTAGAAGAGACCGGAAAAAATCACCTTGAATCTCAGACTGGAAATAAAGTAACCAAAAACGTAAAATCCCTAGGAATCTGGTTAACGACAAAGAACATTAATTTGATGGAAGACAATTATACAACCGCATGGAAAGAAACAAGGAAGGACTTAGATACCTGGAATAGAATAAAGCTATCCTGGTCGGGGAGAATGGCGGCAATAAAAATGAGTCTATTACCGAAACTGCTATTCTTATTTCAGAATATACCAATAATCAGGGGAACATCAATATTCAAGGGCTGGCAGAAAATACTTTCTAAATTCATCTGGCAAGGAAAAAGGCCGAGAATCAGATTCAAATTACTCACAGACCAAAGAGATAGAGGAGGATTCGCAGTCCCAAATTTAAAGTTATATTATGAAGCCTCATGCCTCTGTTGGGTCAAGGATTGGATTATTATAAAAATAAAGATCTGCTAGATTTAGAAGGATTTGATTTAAGATTCGGTTGGCACGCTTACCTATGGCGTAATAAGGGAAAGATCCATAAAGGATTTTCTAACCATATCTTCAGAGGGCCATTACTGGAGGTGTGGGAAAGAAATAAAAAATTACAGTGGTGCCCCGCAAGACGAATGCCTCGCAAGACGGAAAACCCGCTAGACGAAAGGGTTTTCCGTTTTTGAGTTGCTTCGCAGGACGAATTTCCCTATGGGCTTGCTTCGCAAGACGAAATTGTCTTGCGATTCTAGCGATTTTTTTCGCTTTTCCGTCTTTATCTAATCTGCTAAGCCTTTAATAGCCTTTAATAGCCTTTTAGCAGCTAATCCCCTAAGCCTTTAAGCCTTTAATAGCCGCTAAACCGCTAATAGCGCTAATCCGTTAAGCCGCTAATAGGGTTGCTTCGCAAGACGAAAAAACCGCTAGACGAAGACTCCCGCGGAACGGATTAATTTCGTCTTGCGAGGCACCACTGTATTGGAACAGAATACCCCTTGGTGGCTTTCGCCAATCGATATCCTGACAATAAAAAAAACAAATATCGAAGGAGAAAGATGGACCTATGAAGATTTATTAGTAAAAACAGAGACCGGTTGGAGGATTAGGCCATATGAAGAAATAAAGAACAAATTGACAGGTTGGATCCAATTTCATCAAATCAACTCTATCTGGACCGAGGATAAAAAAATGGGATAAGTGAGAAAAATCTAGATTCCAGATTGAAATATTAGAAAGTAAAACAAAACTCCTATCGAAAATGTATAGCCTGTTGCTCGAATGGGACACCAAAGATGAAGAAGTAAAGGAGGCAATGGTGAGATGGGCAATGGACTTTGGGTATAACATAGAGTTTGATAAATGGCAGGCACTATGGAATAAAGGTATGAGATTCTCGGCATGCACAACACTCAGGGAAAATATGTACAAAATGATGTACAGGTGGTACGTAACGCCCGTAAAACTGGGAAAAATATATAAAACTGGTCATAAATTATGCTGGAAGTGCAGGTTTCCAGGTGGAAAAATCGAAACTAGAGACAGAATTGTTGGAACCAAAGACCAAGGTACTCTCGAGAATGTATATCTTGCTGCTTAAATGGAACACTCAGGATGAGACAGTCAAATCAGCCATGATAAAATGGGCTCAGGACATTGGGTACAACATTATGTTTGAAGACTGGGAAAGGTTATGGACCACTGGTATGAAATTCACGGCATGTAATGCCTTGAAAGAGAATATTATGAAAATGATATACAGGTGGTACATGACCCCAGTCAAGCTTGCTAAGATATATCATTTGTCTGATAATAAATGTTGGAAATGTAAGGAGGCTGAAGGGACATTCTTTCACCTCTGGTGGACTTGCCCAAAAGTGAAGGCCTTCTGGGAAATGATCTATAATGAGTTAAAAAAGTGTTTAAGTACACTTTTCCCAAGAAACCAGAGGCCTTCCTACTGGGCATTGTCGGTCAGAAGGTGTTAAAGAAGGATAGAACCTTTTTATGTATGCAACTACAGCAGCAAGAATTCTTATCGCAAAATACTGGAAGACTCAAGATTTACCCACACTGGAAGAGTGGCAGACGCAATTGATGGGCTACATGGAATTGGCCGAGATGACTGCCAGGATCCGAGATTTGGAGGAAGAAGCAATGGAGGAGGATTGGAAAAAATTTAAAGATTATTTACAAAAATTTTATAAGTTATATGAATGTTAAGAATTCGCATGATTAGGGAAATTCAGCTCCAGCAATAAGATTAAGGTATGGGAAACTAAGCTATATTAATGAAAGGACTAACGTTTAAAAGAACATTATATATATTATTAGTGTAAATTGACAATAAGCATTTTAAACGTAAATCACAAGTATTTGAAAGAACAAAAGAATGCACGAAATAAGGTTATAATTTGCTGAAAAATTTTATTGTAAAGAACGCAAGGTGAGGGGGACGGGGGTATGTCCGGTTGTTTCTGTAAAAATGCTTTTAAAATATGATTTTCTTCTTTTTCTTTCTCTTTTCTGTTATTTCTTTGTATATCTGACCTTGTATTTCTATCTGGAAAAATGCAATAAAAAATATTATAAAAAAAAAAAAAATAAATTATGCTGGAAGTGCAAGATTAAGGAGGGCGATTTTTATCATATGTGGTGGTTGTCTGAGCCTATTAGAAAATTTTGGGAATCTATTTACAATGAACTAAAAAAAATCTTTAAATATACCTTTATAAAGAGACCTGAAGCCTTTTTGCTGGGGATAATTGGAGAGGAAATCAAAAGGAAGATCAAACACTCTTTCAGTACGCGACAGTGGCCGCCAGAACTCTAATAGCGCAGAATTGGAAGACACCAAGAATCCCAACCATAAATGAATGGCAATCGAAACTACTCGACTATCTAGAATTGGCAAAAATGACACAGAAAATAAGAAATCAAAAAGACACAAAGTTTAATAAAGATTGGAATAAATTCATGGCATACATGGAAACAGAGGTAAAAAAAACTAAAAAACACAGTAGGTGCGATATAACACTTGTGATGTAAAGAATTTTTTTAGGAAAAGAAACTGCAGATAGAAAATTTTATAACACATTCAGAAACCGAGATGAAGGAAGTCAGTCAGTGTTGTGTGTTAAGTAGTTAATGTAGTTAATTCGTTGTTGTCTTATGTCAGGAGTATGTATATGTATGTATATGTTTTTTTTGGTGTGAATGTGTTGTGTTTGTCTTTTTTGTTTGTATGGTGTTATAAAATAAAATTTATATTAAAAAAAATAATAATAATAAAATATTCATATATTGGCATTAGCAGATTATTAAATGGAAAAAAAGATTTGTGCAAAATAAACCAATGGCAGCAGAACATAAAATACTAGATGAAAGTTTGAATGAATTTTGGATTGGATTTAGGGATGTTTGTACACCCCTAGGTTCCCTGCCTAGACAAATTTAAAAACAATAGAAATTAGGGAATAATATCTGGAAGGCAGCAAAATGTTATCCACATTCAAATTCCTGCTCTAAAAGACCATCCATCCACCAACCTGTCAAACTGCAACCCCCACACCTGACAACCACACAAGCTATCTTCAAACTAAATAGCACCAGATGAGTTTTTAAAAGTGACCCAAGCCACAAAGTGCAGAGGAAGACAAACTTCTCAATGTTGTTTTGACAGAAAGACAATATGTGAATTGGTGGATCAATAGCAACATTCTTCATAAAAAGTAATTCAATAAGGCAGCCAGAAAACAATGCTCTACATTGTCTACAACATGGAAATGACACTTTTTGGCACAATCTGTACTACTTGTAGATTTTTAAGATGGCTTCTTTAGCACCTCAGTTGGTTTACCTTGTTTCAAACTCTCAGTGGGTACATTGATTCTCAGAAGTTGGTGATACACAAACTAAAGGAGTAATGGGCAATGTATTTGGGAATAGGATATGCACACCAGGCTACCACCTTACTGAAGCTAAGTAGGTCTGAGTCTGGTCAGTGTTGGATGAGAGACCATGTAGGAACCACATGTATGCTCCCTGGGATTCCATAATGGAAGAAAGGTGGGGTATAAATAGAAGACAATAACTTTTAAAAGCTGTCTTAAAAACAAAAGAAGACTTAAGAATGCACATGAGTAGTCTATGTTGGTATATGGATAGATGGGAAACTGTGTTGTGGCGGGGCCTATGGCTTTCCATAATATATATGTATATATATTTCTTCTTTCCTTCTCAAGAATTAAAGAAAGTTCCCGGTAACATCCCTCCAGATGCAGTTAAACTTGATCTATCTAACAATAAAATCAACCAGCTACGACCCAAGGAATTTGAAGACATGAATGACCTGAAGGTATTAAACCTCAGTAGTAATGGAATAGTTCACATAGACCCAGGTGAGTAAACTTTATTATGATATATCAAACTATAGTGAGTTTTAATAAATGCTTTCATGATACAAAAGGTGGCTCATTTCCTCAAAATGTCATTTTTAATAATTATGAAATAGTAAGAAATAGCAGTTGAATATCTATCAAATCTAAGAGAATTCCACCTACGGGAAGCAACAACAGTCACTGATTAATCAGATTGTTTTAGAGTGCAATATTATGCATGTCTTCTCAGAAGCAAGCCCACTGAATTCAATACAACTTACTCCTAGATAAATTTGTATAGGATTACACTATTAATCTCTATTTTGGGTCTGGTACAGAAGACTCACAATAATGTTCAGAACATTGTGCCTCTCTTGTTTCTTTAAAACACAACCACAGTGAATCTCAGCCAACGTTTAATGGTACTAACACATATCTCTATGGTTGTTGTTATTTCTACGCAGTAGATATGTAATCCTAGTGTTTACATTTTTTGAACAGCTGCATTTGCAGGACTCATGAACCTGGAAGAATTGGATTTATCAAACAACTCCCTGCAAAATTTCGAATATGGAGTATTAGAAGATTTGTACTTTTTGAAAATACTGTGGCTTAGAGAAAATCCTTGGAGATGTGACTACAACATTCATTATCTTTTCTACTGGTTGAAGCACCACTACAGTGTTCACTACCATGGTTTAGAATGTAGAAAACCTGAGGAATTCAAAGGCTGGTTTGTCGGGAAATATGTCAGAAGCTATTACGAAGAGTGTCCCAAAGATAAGCTCCCTATTTACCCAGAAACATTTGAACAGGATACCGACGATGAAGAATGGGAAAAGCACAAAGAATATCCAGTTCAAACAGGAAAGAAACATGGGGTAATTGTCACTGTAATAGGTTAATTTGATCACCGCCACATTCCATCCTTTAATATTTTTGTAAGAAAAGATGGTAGTTTATATTTTTGTTAAATGCAGTGTATGTTCATGAGGGATTATCTGTTAAAATATTTTTGGTACTAATCACATGATGACATTACCTGTTTCCTTATAAACTTACTCTTTTTAATCTGTTTTGTGTCATTTTTGCCTAACTAGTAACCATTTGCAAATTTTTAACGCAAAGGCATATGATTTATTGCAGTGTAATAAACTAAACCTCTTTAGAGAGTTGGGCTTAAACATCCTAAAACTTGAAATCCATGTTTAACCAGAAGTAAGTTGTACTATGGGACACGGGTGGCACTGTGGGTAAAACCTCAGTGCCTAGGACTTGCCGATCGCATGGTTGGCGGTTCGAATCCCCGCGGCGGGGTGAGCTCCCGTCCTTCGGTCCCAGCTCCTGTCCACCTAGCAGTTCGAAAGCACCCCTAAGTGCAAGTAGATAAATAGGTATCGCTTTCTAGCGGGACGGTAAACGGCGTTTCCGTGTGCTGCGCTGGTGCTGGCTCGCCAGAGCAGCTTTGTCACACTGGCCACGTGACCCGGAAGTGTCTCCGGACAGCGCTGGCCCCTGGCCTCTTAAGTGAGATGGGCGCACAACCCTAGAGTCGGACACGACTGGCCCATACGGGCAGGGGTACCTTTTTACCTTTAAGTTGTACTATGTTCAGTGGAGCCTACTCCCAGTTAAGTGTGCACAGAACTACTGTCATCCACTGCAATCTGTTGAATATTGTAACTGTAACAGAAGGCACACACATCCAACTTTCTAATGAGGCACAAATAGGCAAACACCAATTTATCCTTCCTAAGTGCCTAGATCTGGACAAGGGCAAAGTCATCTGAGTCAGGGGATAGGCAGCCAAAGTCCAATTTGTAATTACTGGATCCTTCCCAACTACTCTATTCTGAACTTAAAAATGGAAAGCATAATGCTGGTGGTCAACAAAAGAGGTTTAAAGACTGTCTCGAGGCAAATCTAAAAAAATGTAGTATAAACATCAACAATTGGGATACTTGCCTGCGAGTGCTCCAATTGGAGAACAGCCTTTACCAAAGGTGTCATGGGCTTTGAAGACACTCAAACTCAGGACACAAGGGAGAAACGTGCTAAGAGGAAGGCACGCTTGGCAAATTCACACCATGATCAACTCCCACCCGGTAACCTATGTCCCCGCTGTGGAAGGACATGTGGATCCAGAATTGGCCTCCACAGTTACTTACAGACTCATTGTTAAAACCGTGTTTAGGGAAGACAATCTTAGTCAGCTACGAGCGATTGCCAGAGAGATAGTAGAAGGGTTAAAGCAGGTGGATGAGACCTGACTCTATTTAGACATAATACTACTCAGTTTTGGGTTTCGAGTTTTCAGAATGATTTGGTTCAGAAGGGGATAAACAATCACATAAAAAGAAAATAAATCAGATGTTCTACAGTCACTCACAAATGGAGTATCTTCAGCTGATGTGCTCCTAACATAGGACGTGTTTTGGCATGGAATGGCAGAGCTTCCCCAAGGTAATGAAAGATTGTGACAAAAAAAATCTCAATACCACCCTATTTGATGTAGGGTGTCAGAAGGGTGCAATCCAGACTAATCTGTATCATAGGGTTGTTGAGAGGTTAAAATAGAAAGGGGAAGAACAATGTGCGCCACCTCGCAGTCCTTGGAAGAAAAGAGGGATATCAATGTAATAAACCAATAAAATTATTGACTTGTAAAAAGAAGGAAAATATTGAAACATCAGTACTGATCAGTCATGACATTTGTCCCACAGTACAAAACTGGTGACTGACAAACCAATGATGTAAATTCAAATTCAGGGAAAATCCACTATCTTTCCTACATCAATGAAACTATCAAAGCGTGAGCCAAGCATAGGATTAAGATCAACTTCAGCTTTAATCTGTAGCCTCATACTTTGTGAGAAACTATTAAGAAAATCATAGCTGCAAGAATGCTTTGAATTGAAAAAAGCTGCTTGTAAACTCTAGCAGTTCTTCACAAACTGAAAATACTCCTCCAATAACCCTAAAGGTTCACATGTGTTATTTGGCTTGAAAATCATTTTCTGGAATCCAAAGAGCCTACATGAATTATACCCGGGGGCTGATTTATCTTTATAGCTATAGCCCCTGGAATATTGCTCTGGAGGATCCTCATTCCTTCCTTCAGGAACACCTTCGGGTGGGGCACAAGGAGCTCTGGCAGGAAGAGGGAACAGCTAGCTAGGGTTGTGTGTGTAACACTTACACTCCCTCCCTCACCACTCCAAATTAAAATGAAATAGATGGAAAACTGGCAACTTACCTTTAAATTTTCTGTAAAGTTGTCCAGGAACGCCTCCTGTTTTTTTACTTTTATTCCTTTACACTGTAATCCTATACACATATATTCAGAAGTCCCCATGAGTTCAGTGGGGTATACTCCTAGATATGTGGCACAGGATTGCAGCCACAGAATTATTTTCTACAGTGATCTCAAGTATTGAAGAACTGACTACTTGAGAGGGAAAGACCTTCCTGTGGGTCCAAAGTAAGATGCAGGTGTCTGGCTAAATTTTAAAAGTTGAAACTTACAAAATTCCTCACTTTAAATATCCATTATGATTCCCCCCCCCCCCCCGCAAACGGTCTTAGTTATTCACAGTATAGAAAGACAGGAAAGGATGACAAGGCAGATATTGGACTCAGAATAACACAGCTGTTGTTGGGGGGGGGGGCTGGATTTACAGGCAACTTGAAGCCAGTTGCTGCAGGAAGAGAGTCTGCAACATTACAGAGTAAAAGAAAAATGGGAGGGATCTAATGGTTGACATTTGAAGCTGCAGCCCAAAAGCCAAACAAGTTCCAGGGGAATAAAGTGTTACTTCAGTGGCTAATAAAGTCTAAAACTGCTGAAACAGAAAAATGAGTGAACCCTGAATGGCCCCACAGAATTGCTAGAACAGGAAATGGGAACCTAAAACAGGCAGCAGAATTGTGTTAAAGCAGCAGTGCATTTTTTTATTTACTAGAAAGATTCATGGCTAAATTGGTAAATAATTATTCTTCCTAATTGGCCAAAGAAAAGTTCAGAAACTGGAATTTAGCATGAGGAAAAGATAACTAGCTCTGTAAGTAATCGTCTTCAACTGCCACGTCATGGATGAATAATTAATTACAATATGCCCACGAAAGTGGGAACATCAAAAAGGGTATATATAGACCTGAATTGTAGCAGTAGTACTAGTGGTGGTCGTGACTCAAAATGAAATCTGAAAAATAACTTAAAATAGGGAAATGTTTCGCTTTGTTCCTAAATTATTATTTTTTTAAAACCTACCTCAATGATACAGTTTATTGGCACAAAAACTTAATCATCAAGGGAAAGGGGAGGATGCACAATTCTCAGCTACACAAAGGATAAAATGATTTACATGTCCAAGTATTTTTAAACTTTTCAGATACAAAGTTTATCATACTCATATATTAAACTGGAAACAAATATTGCACTGTATTCATCGGCATTATAGTCTTAAATGCAGGAGTATGTATAATGTTTGTAATTTTATATTGTTTTGGTTAACATTTCATCATCATAGAACCTTAATTTTAAAATGTGTGTCTTCCAGAACAATAACAAAAAGGCCATAGTGTCTGAATTACCTTCATTATTTTACCAATAATGTGAAAGGAAGACTGATTCAACTCAAAAGCTCCAAAGAGTTTAAATGTACTGTAAAATTTCCAATGAACGAAAAAGAAATAGGTATGGAACACCTAAGACAGATCAAAGATTTGAAACAAGAGAAACCAAGAAAAAAAGAAAATACTTGGCCCAAGGCAGAGTAGAATGGAGTGTGTTCATTCAGCAGTACAGCCTTAAAATTTTAATAAATAAAAAAATCTGGTAATTTACTTTAGTGTCCTTGAAACAAGCTTAACAAGCTGAAACAAGCTTCTAGCAGCTTTATGCTGTGTAATGAGCCTGAACAAGAGATAAAATAAGAGATACTATTGTCCACTTTTCAGCTGATTGCACAGAGGATGGAAAAATTAGCATGTGTAGGACAATCTTTAAGAGGAAGTGAAAACAATGAGTAGTATACAGCTAACTTGTATCAGTGCAAGGATTTTCACTTGTGCAATTGAACTCCCTGCCTCCCCATGCCCCTCCCCAATTCGCTCCAGAAGTTTGGGGGAACCTCCAGAACACATTTGTGTGCTCATGTAATGATAAAGCTATGGAATCTATGGAAGTGTTTCCTGTTTCAGACTTGTGTGTCCTGTTCCTACCTTGTCTCAACCTTGACTACAATGTCTGGAACATGTAGGCAGGGTCAATCTTCATCCTTCTCCAGTGGGAGGACCACCCTACTCTCCCATGTTGGCTCTCCATAGTGAGCTACACAGACCTAAGAGACCAATCCTAGCTAGCTAATTAGAAGTTGTTGATGGTCTGTTTAATAGCAGACTTCTTATATTCTCAGAGGAATTGGAGGATATGGCTTAAGCTGCCTGCAGTAAATAACTTGGAGGTGCAGTTGGCTGCCAACCTATCTAGTGAACATAGGAACTAGCCTGTAAGTCCTTATCCCCAGGGCTTCTTAAGAAAGTCCCATGGAATTTTGCTTGGCATCCACCTTTGCTTACTCTTGACTATGGTTCCAGTCTGAGGTCCAATCTAGTTATGAGAACTGAAAATGTAAAAATAAACTCCCACAAACAACCACAGAGCATAAGAAGAAGAATTTGCTACAAGGACAGCAAAACCCCAAAACTGAGTAAGATTGTCAGGTAGGAAGAAAAACAACTACTAAGCTTTCACTTGGATTATTTACTCTATCTGCACTTTGCCCTTGCTGCTTATTCTCCAGGCCAACCAACACTGAGATGACTGGCTGAAGCATCTGCAGCTGAAAGTGTGGTTGTCTCACAAGTCTCAAGCTGAGTGATCTCCAGCAGTGCTGGCCTACAGCTAGCTTGGTTCCTTCTCCTTACCCCTTGCTAGTTACAAAAGGATAACCCTCATCTGGGAACTTCATTTGGGGCCTCAAAGTACAGTGGTACCTCGGGTTAAGTACTTAATTCGTTCTGGAGGTCCGTTCTTAACCTGAAAATGTTCTTAACCTGAAGCACCACTTTAGCTAATGGGGCCTCGTGCTGCCACTGCGCCGCCAGAGCACGATTTCTGTTCTCATCCTGAGGCAAAGTTCTTAACCCGAGGTAATATTTCTGGGTTAGCAGAGTTTGTAACCTGAAGTGTATGTAACCTGAAGTGTATGTAACCCGAGGTACCACTGTATGTGAATTTACATAATTGTAAACCTATTATACATTTTTCTGAATACAGTGGTACCTCTGGATGCGAATGGGATCCGTTCAGGATGTTTGCATCTTGAAGCGAACGCAACCCGCATCTGCGGGTCACAATTCGCCATTTCCACGCATGCGCGTGATGTCATTTTGAGCATCTGCGCATGCGCAAGTGGCGAAACCCAGAAGTAACGTGTTCCGTTACTTCCAGGTCGCCGCGGAGCCCAACCCAAAAATGCTCAACCTGAAACATATTCAACCCGAGGTATGACTGTATTTCAAAAAGATAGACACATTAACAGCAAGACAATTTTAAAAAATTAGAAATTTAATAAAATGCTTACCAATATTTTTAAAAGTAAGCCAATAAAGGGTAGAACAACCACGAAGATTCAAATTCAGCACATTAGTATGCCACTTCAGCAAAATATTTCCGGCTATGTTATCTTTAATCTTCTCTTTTACTGCAGAAAAATTAATCTAAACAGAAAATATATTCCGATATAATTAACAACGAGGAGTTCTATACATTACAAATGTTAAGGTTCATTAAATCTGTCATCCTGAAAATACAAACAATTGTTTCACTTCTGGAAGGTGAGTAGTTCAGGAGAATCAAATGAAAATACATTGAAGTCCAATGACAACAGGATATGGGTAGAGATGTACAGGATAATATCTATGCTAAATCTAGGAATCTTCCCAATACAGAGGCAGAAATTATGTGCTTCGTATGCCTACAAATGCCTAGTACTGAGGTAAAGTTTTCAGCCCGCAATATTGTGGCACATTGGGATAGTACTTTTGGGGGGGTTGGGTGTAATCTTTCAATGAGATTGACACAAGATTTGATTTCTTCTTAATTTAAAACAAAGCTGAGTCACTACTCCAAGTCAGCTGCACTTGATGTCATTTCCATGAAACATTCTGGCCCCAATTTCCAAAGTGCTTGGCAGCCTAGCTACTGAGCACAGCTAAGCAGCCACTTGAAGAAGCAGCTTAGCTTAGTTTTAAGCTTGGAGAAAGAAATTCTCCCAAACTTGTGAAAGATGATATTCTAGGGAAAGAGGTGGGGATTATGGAGAGCCCTTCAAATGTTCATTGTTAGGAATCATTCACATTTTCCATATTTACTATTCATAAATTATTCATCTGTCTTTCACCGTTTTTCTAATCACTTTTGGTTTTTTTTACAGTCTTCTATTTATTTAATTGTGGGCCAGATTCAACTAATGAGTCCTACTATTACAACAATGTACCAGTCATAATGCTCTTTGCCTTCTTGGGCTTCCCACAGCTAATTTGTAATGTTGAGGCTTGCTTTTGCACAGTGGTAGCGTATTCCTCCTGCACAGCCAATGAATGCTGATTCCCACCCAGGAATCTTCAGCACCTGCTAAAGCAGCAGTGGTCCCCCTACCCCTTGACTGAGATCTAGGGTTCTGCACAAAAGATTTTGGGCTCAGACCTCATGCTTTTCCTTGACACTCCTGTCTGAACAGCCCTGGAAAAGGCATGGGAGGCTGCATGGGGAAGGGAGAATTGGATAAAAATCTATCTCCAGCCTCTGTTGGATTGAAGCCCTTTTTCAAGAGCAAAGGGGGCCCTTAGATTCTAAAACTTTGGCACCAATTTAATTAACATTAATCCCTCAAACATATGGGAAATACAATTTTTGATTAATTGTAATTGGAATATTAGATAGCCAAATCAAAATTAGTTTATCTCTATCCAAAATATGTATGTTTAAATAAGAGACTATAAGAAAATTACGTCTGTGCAACAATTCTAGCCAAAGCAATGATTATCATATGATACATAACTATCCTCTGACAGCACTATTAAATTTGAAGGACAATAGGCTAATTTAACAAGGAGAACCATTATTTATTGGGTTTTCTCTTCAATTCTTTTTTTTTTTAATTGGTACTAAATCTTGGTTTCGAGCATCTGTACTTACATTACTCCATACTGAACCCATTTGTGTCATTGCTTTCCAATTTCGGTTAACCTGAGCACATCTTGCCAAATCGATTATAGTTAAATAATGGAAGACCTAATTTCAAAACACAAAAACACAGTAACATGCAAAGCATTACTTAAGCTTAAAACTTGTCCACTGTTGATCTTTAGCTTTTAGATTTCTTCTGGTTCAAAAAATATAGCTGCTGCATAGTGCTCTGCAATCCATGCCCATTTCCTGCATGTAACATTTCTCCCACCACTGATATGTCTTTTGGAGCAGCACTGTATCCGAGTATTCCTTTTTCAGATGTCTCATCACTCTAAAGTGTGACTAGGATATCTAATCCTATGACATTTAGGGTAACTACTCGGAGTGATTCACCTCTTGTCATTTTACAGTGAATATCCTTCCCCCAACCACCCCAACTCACATTTTCTCCACAAGATCAACACTTGAAGGGATTCCTCTGTCTTAATGACCCCCCCAACTTGAGCAGGGGGTCACTTCTACCTCTCCAACCTGGTGGGAGTGCACAGGGTGAATGCTTGCCATCGAGAAACCCAATGAACAGTAGGAAATATATATATATGTTCATTTCACTCCCCACCCCACCCACTGCCCCTGCTGCTTTGGGATAAAGTATACATAAGTGGCAGCTTAGTACTGTTTAAAAACTTAATAATGCAGATAGAACATTCTAACTGGAGAGTGTCCATAACAGATAAAAAGAACTATGTCTGAGGCTCCACTAATTGGGGCTCAAATGGCTCCAAAAACTTGGTCAAAACTCCTGCCCTGCACTTTTCCAGGTTCTGGCAAACCTACTATATCTGCAGTGGGAAGCTGGCATCTGCTAGTCAATTTTGTGCCTTTTGCTGCCTTCAGGCTTCTCCCTTGTGGACATACCTGAGCCTTCAGAGAAGCTTGAATTAAACCTATTAAACTGTGCTTACTAACCTGGGCCACTGCTCTTTCTGGCAGTTTTGTCATATGATCTCTGCCTGATTTTATAGGTGGTGCTGATATATAATCTTCATGTGAATGTCTTAAAGAGTGACTTTTTTCTTTATCCTGTTTTTCATGCTTTTCATGTCTTTCATGCCTTTCACGTTTTTCACGTTTTTCACCATGATAGTCAACACTGAGAAAATCTTCAGAATCTTCTACTATTTGCTGCCAAATGTACACAAAAAGGACAACAAAGTTAACATTTTCTTTATTCAAACTACAGTCTGGTTTTGACAAATGTAAGAAATCAGTTCTCAAACTACATGAGACTTTAAATGTGTCTTTGCATCTAACATGATTTTTTTTAAATGTAAATTGCATCAGTTAAGGGAGGTGATAATTAATGGGCACAGAACAGGCCTCAAAGGTAAATGTAACTTTCCTCCCCTACAGTGGTCCTGAGGAAAATCGCTTTTTTGAAGCTGTCACTTCCACTACAGCTTGGATCCCATTAGTTGTCATATCTCTCAGCTAATACAATTTGAACTGGAAAAAAGGCGTTCACATGAAAACACATGGGCACAGCAAACCCGAACTATTTTTATTTACAACTTTGAAACTGTGAAGGGTTAGGATTAACCAACTTTTTAAGCCAAATTAAATCTTCTACCCTTCCAGTTTTGTAGACTAGTACAGAACCGAAGAGTAGTAAACCCTGCCGCATGGTCTTATATCAAAACAAAGTGGTTTCAGAATGAGATATCATGGTGGCCATTTTTTTTCTGTGTAAACTGCCCCATCTGTGCTGAACCTGTAAATCTCCTAATCTATGGACTACTGGGCAGTCATGAGGCACAAAGTTTCTATGGAAACGAATCAGTATTTGCTCACTTGCATTTTTAATTCCATACTTGCACCGTGCATACTCACTCAGATTAGAGCAGCTGGCAAAATGTAGTAAATAGAAGGGGAAGAAATGGAGGCAGTGAGAGATTTTACTTTATTGGGTTCCATGATCACTGCAGATGGTGACAGAAGTCACGAAATTAAAAGATGCCTGCTTCTTGGGAGAAAAGCAATGACAAACCTAGACAGCATCTTAGAAAGCAGAGACATCACCTTGCCGACGAAGGTCCGTATAGTTAAAGCTATGGTTTTCCCAGTAGTGATGTATGGAAGTGAGAGCTGGACCATAAAGAAGGCTGATCGCCGAAGAATGGATGCTTTTGAATTATGGTGCTGGAGGAGACTCTTGAGAGTCCCATGGACTGCAAGAAGATCAAACCTATCCAATCTTAAGGAAATCAGCCCTGAGTGCTCACTGGAAGGACAGATCCTGAAGCTGAGGCTCCAATACTTTGGCCACCTCATGAGAAGAGAAGACTCCCTGGAAAAGACCCTGATGTTGGGAAAGATTGAGGGCACAAGGAGAAGGGGACGACAGAGGACGAGATGGTGGGACAGTGTTCTCGAAGTTACCAATATGAGTTTGACCAAACTGCAGGAGGCAGTGGAAGACAGGAGTGCCTGGCGTGCTCCGGGCCATGGGGTCACAAAGAGTCAGACACGACTAAACAACAACAAAAATGAATTTCTAAACATGTATTGGAAGAGCACAGAGGTAATCAAAACATCATAGAAAACATACCTCACTGTATTTTTTAGCTTTTTTAGTAAAGCCAGTCTGTTTTCGCCAAGCCTTTAAGACAATCATCTGTAAAGAGAAATCAAAGATTCTCCCAAGCCTCCTTGCTGCTGCTGGATAAACAACATAAATGGAAAAGCAGGAACTTTATTAACAAGCAATAATTTCCATTGCCTTTTGACTGAAGCAAGGAATTGGTTGACTCTCAAAGCTGGTTCAGATAGTGATCTGAACCAGCAGTCTCCAAACTTTTCGAGTTTGGGGGCTGTTGTGGGAATTCTAAAATATCAGTTTCATCGACAAAAAAACTGGTGATGTTCAGAACCCATCTACTCACAAATAACCAGGTAAAAGACATAAATATACTCGGAAACAAATAAACAGAACCAAAAATAAGCAGGCCACGCCTCCCCCAAAAGCAGGCAACCCCCAACAAATAAACAGTCAAATAAACACATTTTTTTTAAAAAAATAGTAGTGGGGCCTTGGCATTTACAAAGAGGAGAGGTGTCCAAGGGCACTATGGTGCCACAGGCATTCCATTAGGGACCCTGAGCAAACCACAGTTTTATCCTGGCCTGTTTTAACTAACCATAATAAAGATGGCTACCGTATTTTTCGCTCTGTAAGACGCACTTTTCCCCTCCTAAAAATTAAGGGGAAATGTGTGTGTGTCTTACGGAGCGAATGCAGGCAGGAGGCTCTGCTCAGCACTCCCTTTAATGAGCTGCGTGGAGCGTATGTGCGGCTCTTTGGGGCTTTTCCCCGAGGAGGGAGAAGGGCTGCCCTCCTCGGGGAAAAGCCCCCAAGAACCGCACACACACTCCGTGTGCTCTTTAAAGGGAGTGCTGAGCAGAGCCTCCTGCCTGCATTCGCTCCATAAGACACACACACATTTCCCCTTAATTTTTAGGGGAGCCTTAGCCACACGCAGCCTCTCCCGGGCAGGGGATGAAGGCTCCCCTTGCCCGGGACAGGCTGCGCGCAGCTATCCTATACGCCAGGACAGCCAGCGGGATCCCTGCACAGCGATCCCGCTTGCTGTTCTGGCTTATGGGATTCAGAATATTTTTTCCTTGTTTTCCTCTTCCAAAAACTAGGTGCGCCTTATGGTCTGGCGCGTCTTATGGAGCGAAAAATACGGCAATTTGATCTTCTGAACCAGGCCTCAAAGGAAATTGATGAAAAATTGGGTATTATTTCCTTCTTTTTTAACAAAATGGATTCAGACTTACGGTACTGTAATTTGCCTACTCATACACGTAGATATGAAAGAAGGGTTTATATCAGTGGTATTCTCACTCAACCAATGTTTTATCATATTTATCATATTGGTGAAGATGCTTGGAGACATGTTCTGTTGCATATGCTGACTGTTTGTGTGTGTGTGGAATACACACACACACATATACATATCTATACAATATAAAATATAAAAAACTGATGTCAGTTGATAGAAATCTCATCTTTAACCGTTGCCTGATATACAATGTAGGATAAGTAAACAGTTACTAGTAAAAGCAGCTATATCTTTAAGGTAAAATAACAGAAGGTTTTTCAGCCTAGTGAAGTAGATATAAGAACCATTGGGGGGGGGGGGGAATTATACTAATACATTTTTGAATGACCCTGGGCAAGCTGTAATAAATAAAAATGAAATATGCTTTTGGGACTTTGTAGCAGTCAAATAAAACCAATTATAGTGAGTCAAATTCCACTGTCAAAATGAATCTCACATTTTGAAAATACATCTAATGGTACTGTTCAAGAGGCCCAAGCAGCACCTGTTGTGATCTATGAGATAGTAAATAGTTGTAACCAAACTGGCCACCTGTTAGTGCTAGACTTACTTTTGTGTTGTTCATGGCGAAACTTCACCCAATCTCTCCACTGCTGTAACTTTAATTTTAATTGTTTTTGTTCATAGAAGTGTTTTGCAAAAGCCATCTTTCTCTGAAAAATTTCCCTAGAAATTTTCCTCATAGAACAATACTCTATCCAGGCACTGCAATTATTAAGCCACAATAAACAATATATTAATGAAGTTTTTACCTGAATGAAAGAAAATGGGAAAATGTAATTTCATAGGAAGTATATGGGGAATATATACATCAATATATATATATTAATTCAAACAAAATTTAAGGAGCAAATCAAAGGAACAATATATTTTTTCTAACATTTTTCTTAAAATGCCATGACTACCCAATATGTGACTTTGCACTAAATAGCCTATTTAGCATGTGATCATGTTGAATTGGAAATGAAGTACATGTAATGTTTTTATATGCTAAAGGTAACCAAATACTTACTCAAAGCACATTCTCTTTAAGTTAATGCTATAAAAGTCCCATGCTTTATCACATAAATCCTCAGTCATCTAAAATGTAAATGCATAAATAAAATTGCATCAAAATGGAGAATATGTACACAAATAAAACTTTCTATGTTGGTATTGTCATATAATTAATTGTAAAATGTAATTGTACATTTGTTGACAGTTATGTTAAGAGATTGAACACTAGATTCGGCCCCCTCCAGATAATTATAACTAACTTCACTTCCATCGTCAGCTGTTACAATATTCTGATTGCATGAAATCAAACAATAATGCAACCAATGCAACTGAAATAGTTTAGATTGTGGAGTAAAAGGAAATTCAGCCATTGTTAAAGCAGTTCATTGTTTGAGGAAGTAATACTTATGAGCCTATGCATTTGTAATAACAGTAATAACCACAGCTGCAGTTACTTCTTGTCCTTTTACACCAGGGTGGGCAGATCAAGATCTACTGGTAGATCTCTTGGGTAACTTGCAGTAGATCAGCAAGGATTCAGACTCCAAATTGCTTAACTATAAAGGTAAAGGCAAAGGGACCCCTGACCATTAGGTTCAGTCGTGACCGACTCTGGGATTGCGGCGCTCATCTCGCTTTACTGACCGAGGGAGCCGGTGTACAGCTTCCGGGTCATGTGGCCAGCATGACTAAGCTGCTTCTGGTGAACACACACAAAAAGGCTTCCCTCCTCTAAATTAGGTGGTTGAGATGAAAAAAGCTTTGGGGTGGAGTGGGGTAGAACAGAAATAGATTTTTGTGTGACAGGACTTTGAAGTTAGCTTTGGTATAGAAAATAAAATCCTGGACTAAGCTGAGAATGAGCTTGCTCGGAAACATCCTGCCTTTTAGTTCAAAGTATGCTGCCCTCTTTCCTGCCACTATTTTGCACTTTGCTCTGGTCAATGGATCTCAGAGTTATAGTAAAATAACTAGGTTGAACCTGAAAGTCCGATGTCTGCCCATGATTGTTTTACAAAAACAAAAAATAAAAGCCATCTGCCTCTACTCTCTTTTAGGCACGCTTTCCCCTCCAATCACTTAATTCTAATTGAGATTATGAAAGGGTTAAACTGCCCTCCACAATACTGATTTGCTCAAAAGGTCCATATGAGACACCAAAAGAGGACCGGAAAGCCCAAATTATTGGTGGCACATTTTAGCACATCAGGGGAACCATACTGGCCACATGACCCAGAAACCTGTCTGCGGGCAAACTCTGGCTCCTCAGCCTGAAGTAAGATGAATGCTGTGCCCCATAGTCAAGTTTGACGGGACTTTACCGTCCAGGGGTCCTTTAGCTTTAGCTTTACTGTTCCAATTGCACAATCCATTTTCAGAACCTAAAATGAAAAGGATGCCAACAATCTGGAGGACCAACTGTAAGATTTAACTTGAAATTTTATTAAATTATTTCCTTATGCCATGTTTTCTGGCAGCACAATCTTAATCATGTTTATCCAGATGTCCCTCTGAGTTTAATGGGTACAGAGTAACTGTGCTAAGGACTGCTGCTTTATATTATGAGGTCTTTGGGAGTAGGGATTTTTTTTTCTCAATACTTTCAGACAAAGCAGAGTATGAATCCAAAAAAAGTATAATTCTTTGTAAAATACATTTGAGGATAGCAACTGTTCTTACTCCACTCAGAGTAAGCCAAAAAGGTTTAGTAATACTTACCAGTTGATCATCATCCAGTCCCAAAAGGGTATGTAAATATGTATCTGAAATCGCTTTCAGTCTTAGACTTAGGTCTGGATCGATACATGTGTCCCTGGCGGGGGATATAATAATATTAGTTTTTGTATGCATCACATGATTACATAACAGCTTCCATTTTCCGTTAACACTAATAGCACCACTATTAAATTATATTAGTGAACCATAGTTTTAAAGGTGATTTCCAGATGATCTGTTTATTGAGCATTCATTCTGATTTGTTTGCAGGGAGACTAGATGATGTTAGCTATTTATTGAGCATTCATTTTGATTTATTTGCAATTAGATGATGTTATCCCACACTTTCCAGTGCATTTCCCCATGTCATTTTCCTTGTTAATGGTTTGAATGGGGGGAAAGGGGAAGCAGATTTGTTGTGCAAATGAACCCAATCAATTTTGTGCAACCTGATTCTGCTAGTATGTGACTGAATCCTAACCTGAAAGTGTGTGTTTGGAAGTGCCCAAAACAATTTTTGAGGTAACTAACATTTAATGTTGTGTTCAGAGACACTGGCCACATTTGTATGTAATTATAGGCCAAACTTTTGCTGTTTACCAGGAATAAACAGCATGCTGGTGCATACCACCCTTGGTGTGAGTGGGATAAAAGGTAAAGGTAAAGGGACCCCTGACCATTAGGTCCAGTCATGACCGACTCTGGGATTGCTCATCTCGCTTTATTGGCCGAGGGAGCTGGCGTTTGTCTGCAGACAGCTTCCGGGTCATGTGGCCAGCATGACTAAGCCACTTCTGGAGAACCAGAGCAGCGCACGGAAACGCCGTTTACCTTCCCGCTGGAAGTAGATACCTATTTATCTACTTGCACTTTGACGTGTTTTCGAACTGCTAGGTTGGCAGGAGCAGGGACCGGACAACGGGAGCTCACCCCGTCATGGGGATTTGAACCGCCGACCTTCTGATCGGCAAGTCCTAGGCCCTGTGGTTTAACCCACAGCGCCACCCGCGTCCCTTGGTGTGAGTGGGATAGACAAACCTAAAAGCTTTGGTCCTCTGTTACATCCTAACCAGCCTGAAGCCCTGGAGCAACAAATAATGATGCTTCCTGGTTTGTTTGCTTGGACTCTTGCCAGAGGAGCAACGAATAGGCAGCATTCACCAGCACACTGCTTATTCCTAATAAACTGCAATAAGCCAGAAAGTCTGGAATATCATTACACATGAATGCAGCCACTGTTAAATATTTATGGAATGAAATAAAAACAATAAATGTTACTACACCATGGGAAACAGTGTTTTTCAAAAATCCAACTTTACTGCTGATATATTTTAAACAGTCCATTATTTTGACAATTCTAATTCTTCTATGGTAATGTTGAAAAAAGTTTTTCGTATAGATAAAATGTAAAGCCTCTGTCTGCATATCCTTGCCAGGGGGCAGAGGAATGAGGCAAATTGGACAGAAACGTTCCAAATATTGCTCATTTCTGAACAATTCTGAAACACATTCAAGCACTCTCCAAGAATAACTTGCAGAAATAACTTTTAAATTATCGCTTTTGTTGCTTGGCACAAAACCAATTAAAAACTGAAACAATTCAGAAATTGAACTACAGTTCGTCATTGCTATTTCCCCTATCTGGTTTCTTTCATCTTATCTCAAACTTTAACACATGGGCTGCCAACGTAAAGACTCAAAGTATACATTTATTTTAGTTACTATTTTAAGACATCTATATACTACTTAATTTGCATTTCTAAGCAGAAAATTCAGAAATAAAACATGTCCCTGGAGGGGCCTTCCAACAAGGTCCCATCTACATGGAAATTATGCTTAAACCAGTGGGTCAAGAGCACTTCACGGTACTAGTACTGCAGGGGGAAGTAGATGCCAAAATTTTAAACCTCACCTAGAAGTGACCTGATCATGACAATGATGGTCACAGAGATGCCCCTTACATTCAGACAACCATCTCACCATACAGAACAATGACATATGCTCTGTCTTGTATGTTGGGAGCACTGGCAACTTGAAACTGTCTTATGGTTGCCATGGAAGTAATGAGATTTGAAGTAGAACTAGAGGTGGTCTCACCATGGATGCTGAAGTTAACCAGAACTACTTTTCCTGGGTTCCTCCGACCCCAAACTCAAGGACAGTTAGAGTGAAAAATGTAAGAAAAATATTAACACAAAACAGAAAGAACAGAAAAGCATTCCTCTGCCTTCACTTCATCTCTGCAGTAGAGTAGGATAAAGCTGTAGAACTTTTTTGTATTCCCACTCACTTCAGGATTGAACCCTAAATAACATTTCCCCATATTTCAGTACAGTGGTGCCCCGCAAGACGAATGCCTCGCAAGACGAAAAACTCGCTAGACGAAAGGGTTTTGCGTTTTTTGAGTCGTTCCGCAAGACGAATTTCCCTATGGGCTTGCTTCGCAAGACGAAACGTCTTGCGAGTTCTTGCGAGTTTGTTTCCTTTTTCTTAAAGCCGCTAAGCCGTTAATAGCCGCTAAGCCGTTAATAGCCATTAATAGCCGCTAAGCCGCTAATAGCCATGCTTCGCAAGACGAAAAAACCGCAAGACGAAGAGACTCGCAGAACGGATTAATTTCGTCTTGCGAGGCACCACTGTATTCTACAGCTTGCCACACTATTTATAGTCTACACAGACAAAATATCATACATACCATAAAATACTATATAGACCTTTTTCCATTACTTCTTTGAGCTTTTCTTCTAAAAACCTGAGTGGATCATCTGGACGCATAGCTAGCAGACCACACAACAGGGCCTGCAATGAAAAATCCACATTTGGAATTGTAATAAATATAACAAATATACTTGTATAAAAGTATAAGACAAACTTTTAAATATTATTACCTTTATACATTCTTCTGAAAGCATTATGAGTGGCTGGGGCAACCCAACCAGATTGGTGGGGTACAAATAAAATAAAATAAAAGTAAAATGATATAAAAATATTTTGTCCCTATTTAAATTGAATAGACAATATTTTTCCAAGTCATTTCATTTTGGTAAACAAATGAAAATGTCTTTATTTTACAGCTGCTGTCTTCAGAATACAATGGTACCTCGAGTTAAGTACTTAATTTGTTCCAGAGGTCCGTACTTAACCTGAAACTGTTCTTAACCTGAAGCACCACTTTAGCTAATGGGGCCTCCTGCCGCCGCCGCCGCCGGAGCCCGATTTCTGTTCTTATCCTGAAGCAAAGTTCTTAACCTGAAGTACTATTTCTAGGTTAGCGGACTGTGTAACCTGAAGCGTATGTAACCTGAAGCATATGTAACCTGAGGTACCACTGTAGTTCCCTCATCCAGCTCCTCTCATCAAAGCTATCATACAAACTAAACCAGTTACACTATGATTTCAACTAACATGCAGCTCCATGATCCTCAGATGCCTGCTTCATTGATTTATAAAAGCTAGTCTGTAAATTGTGTTCTTTAATCATAATTGATTTTTACTGGACATGTCTTTTTTGTGGAATCAATATCAGCCTCAAATAACCAGCCTCAAATAACCAGCATGCTTAGCTCTAGTTAACGGTTGAGGCCATGGAGTAAACAATCCTCCCAGGCTTAGCTAGGTCCCACCCCCACATCTTGACAGAAAAGGTTAGCAAAACCTTTGTTCATTCTCTTCCACCATGTGAATCCAACCAGAAAGGGCCCCTGGGCTGATCACTTGAAGCCCAGACCACATGACTTAAGCAAGCCATATTTGTGTTTCTATCAAATAATTTAGAAACACTTAGCAATTTTGAAACTAAATTGTACCATGTGTTTCCTTGCTGCTCTTTGGAAAAGCACATAAATTTGACCTTTAAAGAGTTTGTAAGTAAACCAATTTTTAATTTACCAAACCTGTAGTCTCTTTGACAGCTAAGGGAAAGAAAATTAGAAGGGGGAATAATAATAATAATATTAATAATAATAATACCTGGCTTTATATCTGGCTGAGTTAAAAGGTCTAGCAGCCTATATTTCTATGCTTTATTTTGCTGTAAGTTTTGTAATTATAAATCTCTACTGGGGCTCTTTCACCAGGAGTATTTGTCCCAAAACCTGGATCTAAACATTCTGGAAATTCTTCTTTTATTTTTATTTTAAACCAGTTACAAAAAGCATATTTCAAAAAACCAACATATACCCTTTCTCACAAACTGAACATTTCAGTTACCAAAGATATATTTTTCATTTCATGAAATGTTACACTATTTTTTTTTAATTTAGAGCCAGTATGAGGAATCCAGTGCAAAATCACAAGCTTGTAAAAGGAGAGTAGCTACAGTAGTGGTGAGATTTTAAATGTTAGGAAGCTCTCTTCTTGGAGAGAGGCCAAATGCAGCGCTCCAGGCCCCGCTATCCAGCTTTTTGTTCCTTCCCCAGTCACATCTCCCACCAGCTCTGCTCTGCATCAGCCTCAAATGCTTTTGCCTGTTTGGAATGTGTCCTTGAAATGTGATAATGCCTCTTGCTTGTCTGCATCAACTATGGAGTGTTGTGTGGGTAGAAACTTGTGATGTGTGACTGGAATGTAGCCTTCTGTCCAAAGGTAAGAGTCACATCCATTGAGCTACCTGCTTTTGTCTCTGGCCAAATCCACATGGCCTCACCTACTACTGGCTGGAAAGTTGCCTGTGAGGGAATGCTGGGGAAAGCCCCCATCCCTGATCTTTACCCGTTGCCACAGGCGCAACATCAAGCTCGTAACTAAAACTCAGTCAAGTGCTCAACTAACTGTGGTCAAAAACTGAAAGGTGAGTTGAGAGCATTGTGTCTGTGTTATGCACTCCACATCTTAGTCAACCTTTGGGGAGACACGCAGCAAGCTTACAACTCAGCTCTAAACTTCCATTCTGACAAAATAACAGATCCACCTATCAACCTTTGGAAGAGAGCAACTCTTATTCAATCAGAGCACATAATTCTTTAGTTATACTTTCCAGTTCCCTATCTCATCATCTTTAAGCTCATGTTTGACAATGTAGTACTCTAAGTCTGTAACTGCCACCTACTGCCTATATATTAAACTGCACTCTCTATTCTCTCCCTGGCTACCCCTCGTCACGTGAACCCAATCCCAAATAGATGTTAACTGGGTATCAAATAAGATTACCCCACTTGGGTTTGTGCTGTATTCTTATATTTTCATAAGAATATATGGCTGCTCACACACTTGGTATTCCGATTTTAACACTGAAGAGGCTTTTCAAGAGAGTAATTAAACAGAAAGCTGTTTTTTTCTGAGGGATTAAAAATACATTGTTTTTCCAATTTAAAAGCAGAATTTAACATTAACATCTTCCTGTTTTGGCCCCAAGTCATATTACTTGAATTTCAAATTTCATTTGCATTAAATTAATTATTTTAGTCTTCCCAGATTCTGCCTATATATGCCACTTTATTGGCCAGCACTACCGTGTCCATGGTGTGATAACAAAAATCCCTACTTGTATCACATGTACAAATACTATCTTCCCAACAATTCATTGGTATTTGACTTGGTAGTCCAAATTAGTGCCCAATATTACTCTTAACACCTTAGAGAACATCTTTCAGAATTGTCCAGGAAAAGTTTCTACTGTTTGGCAGAATATGAACTGATACCCTTTGTATAATAAAATAAAAGGCTTACTACTAAGGAATTCAGAAATTGAAGAACTTCTTCTAGTCTAACCTGAATCTTATTTCAACATGAATATCTGAAATCTACCCAAAACACCCCTTTTGTGGGGGCAGATGCACATAAAATGCTCCCAAACTTCAATGCTCCAAGGAAGCATAATCAAAATGCAAGGCAATTATTGACAAGTGTCTATCATAATTCCCTATCTCCCCTTGAGATTACATTTTCTCCAGGCATTAGTATGACATGATATGGTTGAAGCATTATGGAAAGGCAGTTGAGGAACACTTACAGAAGAACTAAGGAAAGAGCTTCCTAGAAAAGTTTAAGCCAGAGAATAAGCACTTTTCTAAAACCTAACTTACAGCACAGTTCTAATAATGTCTACTCAGAAGTAATTCCTACTGAATTAAATGGGGCTTAGTCCCAGATAAGTGGTGTTAGGATTGCAGGCTTAATATCATAGGGTGATATCCACCCTAGATAAATCTGTGGATTTCAATGGGACTACTTTTTCATGGGTCTATCCTTTAGGCAAACACTATACTGAACGGGTTTTCGAAAGACAGCTCATTTTGCCTGTAATCCTATGGATGCTGATCCAAAACTAAGCCCCAAAGGGCCTTACTCTATAATAAATATGTTTGGGGTTCTAGCCCTTATCTTGAAAGCTTTTGATAGTAATATTTTAATGATGGTTTTATATTGCTTTTAGATGTATCTTTATGATGCAACCTGAAGCTTTGTGAGAGGGGTGTGTGTGTGTGTGTGTGTGTGTGTGTGTGTGCGCACACTGTAATAAACAAGCAGGCAGGCAGACAGATTTTGTGACCTAAAAGAGGATTTAGTATAGATGGAGTTAGCTTTTCTACCCTCGTGATTACAGTTTAAGTGATGCCACCCCGCAACACCCTAGTGAAAAGAGAAATGAAGATCTCCTAAACTGCAGTGCTTGCCCGAAACTAAATTCTCTATATATTCTATATCTTGCCAGTTTTCTGCAACGAAAGCATTTTTATGATATGGGTTCGTTCGTCTTCTCTCGTTCCAGCTTTGTTCTTCTTAAGTTACCCCTGGGTCCCTGGACGACGTGTGCACCGAAACTCAGGTCGATTAGAGAGACGGGATGAGGCAGGGAGTATCACTAGCGTCTAACGGGACCAGAGGTGAGTAATTCAGAGCAGAGCAGGAGGCAGAGGGCCAGTCCCCCTCGGAAACCCCCATTCACACGCACACCCGTGTTCACCGCCACTGTGACCCAACGGCCCTTTACCTCATAGATGTCGGGTATGGAGTGTTTCTTGAAATAGGCCCTAAGCGAGGGGTCCACGCTGTGAAACACGGCCGTGGTCTTCATCGCCTCCATGGTCGGGAAGGGGCCCTCCGTCCAACGGCCGCTCTCCGGACCCCGGCAGTGACCGCTTCGCGGTTGCCTAGCGACCGGGCCACCACTGCCCCCTGGACAGGCCGTCACGCGGTCGGTCAGCGCGCGCTCTGGCCAACGGCCGCCTCTTGGGACGCGGGCGGGAGGGAGAACATTCGCCTCAGCTCGCCAACGGCCGGCGGCTGAAGGAAGGCCCCACACCCGCCCCACGTCCCCTCCATGAACGGGCAGCGGGCCTCACAACCCACGCGCGGCAGCCCAGGCACCGAGGGCTGCCAGCCGACCTCGTGCGCCGTCGCCTCTGGTCGGTGGCAGCGGGCCTGCCGAGTTTGCGGGGCTGCAGCCTTCCCCCTGAGGGCAAACTGAGGGGCGAGGCGTCTTCTTCAGCATCTAGGCCGCAGCGCGCCGCCTTCGTGGGTTTTGGATTTGCGTGGAGAAGGAGAGTCGGTGGAAGAAGATTGGAAGAAATTCAAAGATTACTTACAGAAATATTGCAAAATTAAAGAATGTTAGAGTGATGTTGGATTGAAATTAAGTGGCTTCTAGCTGTACAGGCTTTAAAGTTATATATAGATCAAGATTAAGGATTAGGATTAAAAGGTTAAAAGAATGGAAAATTGGTTTTTAATAGGTAAAAATTTAATGTTATAGTATATTAAGATTAAGGATTGGGATTAAAAAGGAGGGAAAGGAATTGCTGGACAAACAAACTGAATTGGAATACAAAAGAGGGAGGTATGAGGAGGTCCGGGAAATAAGTAAATGTAAAAGTAGTGATGAAAAGATGGAATTGTTTTTAACTGTTTTTTCTTTTTTCTTTTTGTATTCTGTATTGTGTATTTTTCTTTTTATTTTTAAATTCCTTTTTTTTATTAATGTGTCTCTTTTCATGTGAAACTTTAATAAATATCATAAAAAAAAAAAAGGATTTGCGTGGACAAGGCCTGGGCGAAGGCTGCCCCCCGCCCCGTTTTGTTCATTGTAGAGCGGGAAGGGGGACGCGAGGGTCATCTAGTCCAACCCCTAGCAATGCCAAGAATCTCTTGCCCAACGTGGGGCAGCTCGACCCGCAGCCCTGAGCTCGAGAGTCTCCAGTGCTCTGCACTGTCTTGCACAGCTTGGGAAGGCGAAGTGACCAATGTTTTTGGAAGCTCCGCTCTTAGGCTTGGCTCTCCGATGCTTCTCTCCTGCCTGGCGCGCTGAGTTTTGCTCGCTTTCCTCGGTCTCCTCACCCCCTTTTCGGACAGGGCAACCCTAATTCCCTGGATCTGCCAGGGGCGAGGCGCGGCCGATTCCGCGAAGGGCCGGTTCTCAAGAACTTCCCACCTTCCCTCCGGCTCACTTTCCTCCCAGACAGCCGCCCTCCCGGGTCACGGCGGGCTCCGGAGAGCCAGACTCCTCCACCTGGCCGAGCAGACCTTAGACTTAACACTCCTGCTTAAATTTATGAAAGTCAAAAGTGTCTAAATAAATGGTTGAAACTTAGCTCCTCTCTGTCATCTGAAGTTGGTTGAAAGGACATCCTGTTGTGTTGTTTATTAAGAGATGGAGTATTATCAGCCCAAGTGATGCAGCCTTGGCAACTCCAAGCGAGGTTAACTTTTCCAGATCCTTTATTTCCCTGGTAGGTACTTTGGGTAGAAATGCCCTTATGGAAACTAGCATATATCATCTGAAGTTGGTTGAAAGGACCTTTCTTTCTTCAACTTCATACCTTAAGGTTTATAATGAAGCTACCAGGTGAGAACAGTCCTGGTATAACTCTTTCCATTGAAATACCTCACAATAAGTGTAGGTGCAACATGTACAGATGCAGCAATGAATCAGAATTTTAGAAATGGAAGGGATCCCATGGTTATCTAGTCCAACCCCCTGCAATGCAGGAATATACGGCTGTCCCATATGAGGATCAAACCTGCCACATTGGCGTTATCAGCACTGTGCTCTAACCAACTGAGCTAAGCTGTTGAACAACTTCTTGGATCAGACCAACGGACCATGTACTCTAGCATCCTGTTCTCACAGCGGCCAACCAAATGACTGTGGGAAAACCACAAGTAGGATTTGAACGCAGGAGCCCTAAGGCATTTTTCAGAAGTCTATAACTGCTATAACAGACAGAACCACCACAGAAATGGCAATAAGCATCTCTTTTTATTTACAGCCATAAGTTTCACACAACTTCTTCTTGATAGTTACAAGACTTAAAATGTCCTATTAATTTTTTTAATAATTTTTTAGGAATGCAGATATATGGAAGCATGGATAGGACAAGTTTACTCTGTAGCATTTGTAAGTCTTCCTATAAACAAAGCTGAACCTGTAAAAATTGAAAAGAAATTATTATTATTTATTCAACTTCATTTTATAAATGATGACACTGATGTAACTTAAATATTATTATTTTTATAGAACAGGGTGGGGAGGCGATGTGGAGATGATTGATGAAAGTCACATATGGAAAGTGGAAATGGGAAAGATGTTCATTAGCAGCCTTCACGGGTAGACAAAAATTATAAAACTTTATATTTATATTCAGGTAGGTAGCCGTTATATTTATATAACTGGGTTAACAGAAGGAGGAACTGCTAATCCAGGTACCGCCCTGAGATCTAAGGAATCAAGGGTGGTCTAAAAATTTAAAAGGAAGAAAATGGTTTTGAATAGGGCATTCTCTAGCCTGCTGTAAAAAGGAAAATACAATCAATTTATTTGTTAAGGGAAAAGGGTATATACATATATGCTTTCTTTATTACAGTCGTACCTTGGTTGTCAATCCGTTCTGGGAGATCTCCTGGAACTGTTCAGAAACCAAGGCGCGGCTTCTGATTGGCTGTAGGAGCTTCCTGCACTCAAGCAGAAGCTGCACTGGACGTTTGGCTTCCAAAAAACGTTCGAAAACTGGAACACTCACTTCCGGAGAGCCAGTGTGGTATAAGTGGTTAAGAGCGGTAGACTCGTAATCTGGTAATCTGGGTTCAATTCCCCGCTCTTCCACATGCAGCTGCTGGGTGACCTTGGGCTAGTCACACTTCTCTGAAGTCTCTCAGCCTCACTCACCTCACAGAGTGTTTGTTGTGGGGGAGGAAGGGAAAGGAGACGGTTAGCCGCTTTGAGACTCCTTTGGGTACTGATAAAGCGGGATATCAAATCCAAACTCTTCGTCTTCCAGGTTTTTGACATTTGAGAGCCGAAATGTTTGGCAACTAAGCCATTCGACATCCAAAGTATGACTGTATATGTAAGTTTTCATGTGTTTTTTTTCCTTCTTGTAAGCGGTCCAAGAATCTGGTTATATAAATATTTCAAATAATAAAAAGGAAAGGTCAGTAGTACAGCATCTGCTTGCATACGGAAACTCCCGGGTTCAGCCCCTGACCTGGAAAGAATCCTGCCTAGAACCATAGAAAGGTAATTTATTGGGGTTATCAATCTCTTAGACAAATTAGCCACACTTTCATAAATCAATGGGACTTAGCTAGCTGTGACTGATTTCAACAGAACCAACATGTGGCTAACTTTCAGCGCACACCAATACATGGCTCCATGTGTGTTCACGGAATCACAGAATTGTAGAGTTGGAAGGGACCCCAAGGGCCATCTAGTCCAACCCGCAAGGCACATTCTTTCCTTAAAGAATTCTGAGCACTGCAGTTTGTTAAGTGTTGCTGGGAATGGCAACTCTGAGGAGTAAACTATAGTGCCCAGAATTCTTTGGGGGAAAGAATGTACTTTAAAGGTGTAGAATGCACATGTAAAGCCCATTGAAGAACATGGAATGAAAGGGGGTTAACTCACAAGTACGTCCCCTTGTATGACTTGCGTTTGTTTTTATATGTTTTCCCCTCAGGACAGTCCAATCTGTTAGGTGAAGTTCATGACCAAAAAGCTGTTTCTCAGAGGGTTGCCTTAACATGAGTGCTGTATCCCAGAGCATGGTGAAGCTGGGCTAATATGCTCCCTTGAGCCCCAAAGAAAGAGACACGCTCATTGGGGAAATGGCGAGGTTGGTTCCATGGTTGAGCTCTGCCCAGCATTCGTAGAGAGGGCAAACTCCGTGTTCAGGTTCTGCGGTTCATGGTTGTGCTTGCTGTCCCCAACGTTCGAGGAACCAAGTGACAGAAGGAGGGTAGTGCTGGAAAATGACAGCATGAAGGCAGATCTGCCAAAAGATGGCCTCAAGCCAGCAATGGGGAAAGTCAGTCACCAACACCAATGACAATTGAACCAAATACGAACACAGCGTTGTGAATAACCTGTAAGGGTTTTTTTAAAAAAATGCTTTTTTGTTCATACTTGCATCTACATCAAAGACATATCTTCCTTATTTTACGTAAGTCAGTTTTGTCAAAAAAAAATTAAAAAAAAAAATGTACCATAAGTCCTTCTACAATATATTTAGTACATAAGTTTGACTTCCCATCCTTTCCCAATTTTTCCACTCTGATAAACCTATACTGTATATAAATCTGTTTTCTCCCTTTTAATCTGTATTACTCACAGAGATTACTCAAAGGCTGCTAATGATTTCAGATTGCAACAATTATCCTTCAAATATCTCCTTAGAAGTTCCCAGTTTGAAATGAACTCCTGTTTTGACTTATCTTTGATCTTTTCTGAGAGACTGTCTAATTCAGCATATTCTACCAGCTTTAGTAACCGTTCAGATTTAGTGGGAATTTTGTCACTCTTCCAATGTTTTGCTATAAATACCCTTGCAGCAATGGTGGCATACAGAAAGACTTTTATCTTCCTAACAATGTCTGGACCTGTAATGCCCAATAAAAATGATTCTGGTTTCTTCAGTAAGGATACATTTAACATTGTTTTGAGCTCTCTCTATATATCATTCCAAAAGGTCTTAAACTTTTTACACACCCACCACATGTGGAAGAGAGTTCCACCTGGTTCTCCACATCTCCAGCATGTATTTGGAACATTTTTGTACATTTTTGAAAGTTTACAGGGGGTTAAATACCATCAATATAGCATCTTTTGGAGGTTTTCCCTTAGCGTAAAATATGCTGCAAATTTCCAATTAACTTTCCATAGGTGTTCCCATTGGCTCATGTCTATGTTGTGGCCAAAGGCTTGAGTCCATTTAATCATTGCTGAATTGACCTCCTCTTCCTTGACTTCCCAGTCAAGGAGGAGTCTGTATGTTTTAGAAAGAGTTTTGGTCTTAGAGTTTACCAGGTCGGATTCAAATTTTGAAATCTCCGTCGCACCTCCTTTCTTTTTATCATTTTAAAAATTTTCAAATTGATAATATTTTTGCTCTTTGAATTGCTTGTACCTCTAAAGGGGCAATGGGAGAGTTTAATATCCTGGATTTCTCTTTTGAGATCTTAGGCAGTCCATTCTTCTTCAAATATTCTGCAATTTTTTCACTTTTTTCGGACTCTTCTTTGTATAACTCTGTAGTAATTGGCAAAACATCTACTGATTTCCTTTGGATCATCAGACCATTTATCATCCATTCTGATTTTATTAATCTTTCATCTCATTTTTTTCTTTAGTTGCCAGGCCAAGAGTTTGCCCGGCTTATTTCCGAATTAAAAATGTTTATATTTTAGCCATTTGATCTTCCATTCCAGCTCTTCATTTATTACCATTGAGAATTGTGTTTGAAGAATTTTTATATTCTGTTTAATGTTTTCATTGTCTGGTTTATTAAGTAATTCTTCTTCATTTCTTTGTATTTCTTCCCAGATTTCCGTTTTTTTTCATTTTCCTTTGATGGGCATTTTCTTTTATGAAAAATCCTCTAATGAAAGGAAAATGAAAGAGAGGATTTTTCATAAAATAACCCACAAAAATTACTAGCCTGCAAAGTCTTACTAACCTGTCAGGGGCTGGCAGTTGAAAGGTGGAGAGCAGTGTTTCTGTGCTGGTTGGAAAGGATGGAGCATCCTTCCTCTTGCAGCCCACTTGAAAAGGGGCAACTGCTCCATCCCTTCTCCATCAGTCCGCTTTCTGTATGTCAATCAGACCACCTACCACCAAGGTACAGCCCTTCCGCAAGTTCCAAGAAGTTCCAAGGCCCCTCACCCCGAACCTTTACTATGAAGGATCACATGAGAGGAAAGTGGTTTACCTAAATTATCATCCCTACTGCCATTCTTTGGCCCTGGCTAATTGTTTCTGAATTTTTTATTGGAAGAGAAAGAAGAGAGGCTATCAGGGTGGCCAAATGGGGGGACAGATTTGCATATGCTAGTTTCAATGCACACATGCAAGTTTAGAAATAATTAGCACAATGGAAATGCAGCGCTTCTACCCTAGCAGGGAAGACTTTGACTAGGTGTTTTAGAGACTTTCTTATATACACTGAACATATCCTTGGAAATAGACATTGCCTTCATGTTTTCCTGGGCATTTCTTAAGCTCCTCTGATGGAGGAGCTCTTCCGCCATCTTCTTCCAGAGCTGTCCTGCTGCTCACAGAAAATGGGCCCCTGCTCTCCCTCCAGGTCTTCAAGGGTTATGTCATCTAAATGGAAAAGAAGAGAAGGCTAGCAATTAGAACTGCTTGGGGGACTTTCTTATATACACTGAACATATATTTGGAAATAGACATTACCGTCATTTTTTCCTGGGCCATCCTCTTCTGGCAGGAGGTATGCAGAGCCTACAGGGAAACAAAGAGCTACATGGGATATTTTTGTTTTTCATAACCTCGAAATAGGCCTCAGACAGTTACAGAGAGACCTTTCCTAAGAAACCTTAGGGACGAATATGACTATGGAAGCAACTGTGCTGGGCCCGGGGGTAACCCGTGAAGCACAGTCCAGGACTGGTCCAGAATCCAAAGGTTCTGCTGGGAGTTAGTCCGACAGGGCCAAGGCAGGACACGAGGCAGGAAACCAGGCAAGGACAGGTACAGGATCTCAGGCAGGATCTAGCATACAGCAATGTTGCTCCCGCAACCTGGGGCAGGGTCCGACAGCCTTTTATCTTTGTCAGGGTAGCAGCCAGTCCTGATCCCCTGGCGACTCACCTCCCTGTTTCGCCTGAAGGCGAGCACTCCTCCTGCGAGTACTCAGGTCTCTCCTTCTCTCAGACCTTAGTCTCTGCAGCTCGGGAAACGTCGGTGGGTTACTAGACCCAGGGGCTGCCTTAGCCTCCCCTGACCCAACCGGTAGTGGAGCAGCTGTAAGTGATGGCCCAGCTGAAGGCAACAAGGTAATCCCTGCATCTGGAGCCAGGCCAGGCTCAGGCCCCTGACTCGGCCCAGCTGGTGTTTGTTGCAGGGGAACCTGTGCAGACTGGGACTCTTCAGGATCAGACCCCAGACTTGGTTCAGATGATGCCTGAGGCAAAGGATCCGGTGCAGACTGAGTCTCCTCTGGTTCTGGTTCTGAGCCCGAGTCCCAGTCCCAGGCCATCACATCAACATCTATATGCTGAAGGGTTTTACTTTTTCTGTCCTCTGAAATAGGGGTGCAGAGGGGGAAGTTGTGGGTGAGAGGGAGATCTCAGGAAGAGGCGAAATCTTACTTCATCTTCCCAACTGGGATAACACTTTCCTCAGCCTTGAAAGCCTAGAAAAGAAAGAGCAAAATGTGAGAAATGTGGCTCACAGTACTCTCCTGTCCCTAAACTGGTTTTGGCATTCACACATCTACACTCAAGAGGAATTCACTATCATCACAGAATTCAGATGCTGAGAGAAATCCTACTTACATTTCCATCTCCTTTCTCTCACACAGACGAAATGATCCAACCATAGGAGCCCACCAGCTCTTTTAGCACTCTGGTGACCAGTGAGCCAGCAGAGGAAGGTGTCACAATGGCTTCTGTAAATCTGGGGCTGTCTCTTGAAAACAGGGACACTTGGCAGGTCTGCTGAGGTGCCCAGATGGGAGACCACCAGGGAACCCATGGTATGGTGCTCAGAATTATACAGTCAAAACGTACTATGTAAATACATATATAGACACACTGTCCTTTTTGTCTTTTCTCACGAAATAATATTTCACTAAGTCAGAAAGAGGCCTGCTCATGAAAGGGCATCTGTGGACCTGAGCCTCCAAAATAGCTCTACTTGGGAGTAATTTTTTCTGACCTCAGTGGAAATTAGTTCCTAGTGAGCATGCTTGGGATTGTGGTATAAGGAACATGACCCAACACTGGTGTCAAGAAAGGGGATAGCTAGCTTTATTCAAGTTTGCTACATGTTTGGGGGGCTCTAAGAAGAATCCCATGCTTGGGTGGGTCATCAAGAAAGATTTCAAAAATGTGTGCAGCACGGTGAGGGAGAAGAAGAGAAGAGTTGTGTCATTCACACATCATTAAGAATGCCACACACATGAGCCCTTAGACACCTCTGGAAGTTGTGCACAATGGCTTCCACATCTTGCTGGGCTACACAACTCCCACCAGTCCCAGCCAACATGGCCAACGGTCAGGGATGATGGGAGTTGTTCTCCACTAACATCTGGAGTGCACCACATTGGTTACTCCCCAAGCATTATGGTGTTTAAACCTTAATGTCTTAGAGCTCAGGCAAGTCACATCAGCATGGTTTCCATAGTGTCAGATATGTTTCTGTTTGTGCATGCACCAGGGGACATTAACAGGCCAGGGATGTCTTTGCCTTATGCAACTGGTGCTCACACCTTGACTAGAGGCTTAAGGACTCCAATCCATTTCAGAAACCATATCAAAGAGTAGGATTTTAGAACAGGATACATGGGCATTCTGGATGTCCGTTGAACAAGGATTAAAAGCCCAGCACTTGAAACTGAGTGCACGCAGCAAATGGAACTGTGAACATCATGATTCAGCCGACACAGTCGTCCTCAGCAACAAAAGTTACCCCGGCACGTTCTTCATTTTTATACTTCATTCGAAATCTGGGATTTGGTACAGGTGATTTCAGTATCTCTGCCTTGAGAGTATCATCTCCTCATGGCCCCTCCTTGGTGGCTTTCTGAGATCACAGTTTTAGGCGGGAAATTGGATGGGCTGGGTTTTTTTTTGTTTTGACATTTTAAAGGTTTGTAATGGTGGTTTTAATATGTAAATTGTTTAAAAAACCAGCCTCCAACATTTATCCAATAAAAATGGGGACGTCCCATTCCATAATGATAATTTTACTCTTTATACCCCACACATCTTACTGGGTTGCCCCAGCCACTCTGGACAGCTTCCAACATATATAAAAACATAATAAAACATTAAACATTTTTTTAAAAACCCTTCCCTATACAGGATTGCCTTCAGACGGCTCTGGGGTCGGATAACTCCATACCCTCCTATATTTCTCCAATAAAAATAGAGATATTCTAAGGAAAGGTAGGACTTTCTGGGATCAAATCAGAAACCAGGGTGGCTTCTCTAAATCAGGGACGTCCCTGGAAAATAGGGACACTTGGAGGGTCTGAAAAATGTGTATTGTTTCAACTCTGTGTGAACCACCCAGAGAGAACTTTGCTGACTAGGCAGTCAATAAAGGTATACATAAATACAGTGGTGCCTCGCAAGACGAAATTAATTCGTTCCGCGAGTTTTGTCGTCTTGCGATTTTTTTCGTCTTGCGAAGCACGGTGTCGGGAAAGTTTTGGAAAAGCTTCAAAAATCACCAAAGTCTTTAAAAACCTCAAAAGGCTACCACACCGCGTTCTATGAGTTGCTCCTCGAAGTCAAGTCGCAACTGTATTAACGGTGTTAAGAAAAAGGAAACAAACTTGCAAGACGTTTCTGTCTTGCGAAGCAAGCCCATAGGGAAAATCGTCTTGCGAAGCAGCTCAAAAAACAAAAAACCCTTTCGTCTAGCGAGTTTTTTGTCTTGCGAGGTATTTGTCTTGAGAGGTACCACTGTAAGTGCATGAAAAGAATTCACCTGGAAACATTAAGAACCATTTCTGTCAGGCATGTCTTCATAAATTACTCTTTTTAAAAAACAAAAACCAAAACCCTATGCATACGTTTTCCTCAATCTGTATATAACATAATGGCATTTCTCAACTAACCCATTTATTGACCTAGAACGTTCCCAGATCTTCCATATTATGCCTAAAGACACAAAGGAAAAAGTCCTGTCTAGTCCTGTTTTCAGTCCTGTCCTGTCTAGGAATAATAGCTGCATAAAGGATTAAATGACTTAAGAGAGGGAGGCCTCCCTTTCGATGAAATGTCCTTTGGGCCTATTCCAACATAAGCCATGCTTTCGTCTTTTGTTCACCTGCACATAACTGCCGTATGTGCCGTAACTGGTAGCAGACACTGCACAGTCCAGCTGATGACTGATGGGCGCAAGATATCTGGCACCACCCATTTCTGCAGGTGAAGGTGAATGAAAGGCAAAATACTACAAATAGCACACACAGCTCTTAGAAGCTGGAAGCTCCACACCTTGGCTGCCTAAGAAGTAGCCCCTGACAATATAGCAGGGATAGGGGCGCCATGCTAATAAACACTTCCTTTCTTCTAGGTGCTTACGAGTTTGCTGCCTAATATCTGCTCTAGTATCTTCTCAGGTCAAGGAAATCAAATGAGTAAGTCCAACAGCGAGTTGCTGCTTCAGTGATCAAATACTGTGCAAATTCTTACAGAGACCAAGCCAGTTTGCTTTGTAATTCCCCGTATAAAGGTTTCCAATTGGGAAAGTTGACCAGCTAACTCCTGTGTGAAAGTCATCAACTATCACCTACCTGAAGCAGAAAAAGAGGGATGGGAGACATGGGAAAGCAGGCCTGAGAGACCACCTGCTTTGGGAGCTTTGCGACTTCAAGAACTGGCATCTAGTTGGCTTGTTTCCCCATTCCTTCCTGTTTTGTTAAACATTTTACAGTATAAACCTGTCTTCTTTGGGATTGGGGGGGAGATGGGAACACATCTTAACTAGAAATCTTATCATGTGTACTTACTGAGATTGTACATCATCTAGACCAACAGACAGCTTTCTTGTTTCTGGGTTAACAAACATGCAGAAATATGGAGTCCAGTAACATGGGTGTCACATTGCTTATATTTGCCATACGCCAGAATCCCTTGTTTTAAAATGTTCAATGTATTTAAATGCCATCAGAATTATGGAAGATCCACACTGTACTCTCAACAGCTAATTATTGAAGTGGTGATGAAGAAAAAGTGAGGAGTGGGCCTGAAAGCTGAGAATTAAAATGGACCAAGTATTGCAAATACTTACAAGGCAGGGGGTGGTATGTGTTAGGCCAATACTGACCACTGTCTTTCTTCAGCCACACACAAACAGTTCTGTAAAAGAAAGGGAGGAAGCATCTTTAGCATTTCCCCAAAATTCGCAGGGTTTCTCATTAAAAAAATGGACACAAGTGCTAACTGAGGATTTGGCTAACTGGACTTTGGAAGACTTGCCAGTCATTAAGAATTAACCCCAAGAGCTCAAATGGGTCCCACACCTTCCTAGAACAAATATGGAAAAGAAGCTGTTATGCCTTAAGCAACTGCATCTAACAGCCTTATCTTGCCACTTATCTCCTGTATCTTTTTATATATATATACTGGTTTTCTGGAAAATTCTGGATACACCTAAAGTTAACTCATTTTCTCATAGAGAGGATAGAAGAATAGCAATAAAGTTTTTGTTACAGCACTTAAGGGCCATTTCACATATGGCAACATTCCCTCACCAAAGCACTTCAATCCCACACTGAACATGCCACCCAATGGCACTCCCTCTTCCGGAATGGTCTTCTATGAGCAGTTGAAGCAGAGGGCAGAAAGAACCACCACTGAACCCAACTGGCCTCATTTCTGACCATTTCAATATTGATGTACCATTAGGAAGAGTCAGTATTTCTCCTTTGGGTGTTTGCAAGAGTTCTCAGCTAGTTGAAGATGCAAAACAGAAATTCAGCTTTGGTTTGTCCTATGAAGTTCAAAAATATTCTCAGCCAAATGAGCACCAAGTTGAATACTACTAGGAAACTACTTTCCCCAAAACCATGACTTTGCTGTCATCTGTAGTTACTGCTGTTGTTACTACTCATCTCTCACTTACACCAAAAAGCTATTATATTTCATCACAGGCACTTGATTCCTTTCTTTCCATCCCATCTGTCCCTGTCTCCCACATTGTAATAAATTTGCTTAAATTTGGTCCTTTGGTATCTCATTAGCTTAGCAAAATAAATCTTTTAAAAGAAGATGCTTCAGAGTCACATGATTCTAAAGCCCACATTCTTTGCTAATAAAATACACATGCCCAGATACAAATCCAAACTTGACTACTCAGCTGTGCAAAAAGTAGTCATCATGATATGGCATCTTACTACTTAAACATCTGAGAACAAGGCTTTGAAGTAACATTATGAAAACATAGCAGCATGCTCTCAGTGGACGGGATTTCCTGAATCGGCAAATCCAAGAACCGACTGCCCAAAAGGCAGAACAGCTGCTGTACTACAAAGCTGTGAGTATATCCCCAGATAGAACAGGCAGATTATGAGACCCAAACTAACCCCTGATCTGTCAAAGAAAGGTGCATTATTTCCAACCTTCGTGCATTAGCAGTGTACTGTGTGAAGCTCAAAGACATCCTATACCTCAAAGAAACAACACCCCAAGAGAGTTTGTGAACCTCTACACTACAAAACCTGTCTTAATGACAGACTTCATGAAAACATAGTTTCTTCTCAATTAAAGCATTAGTGCAGTGAAACGAAACTAGCATATGCCATTTGCAACTGAGCTTTTACACCTGTAACCACTGCTAAAAACTACCTATGCATTATTTTGAAATATTGTGCTCGTAGACACAAAATATATATTAGCCCGAGTAAGTGGCGCGTTTCTTCCAATTCACACCTCTGTGGCTAATACAGATTAAAGATAAAGAGAGGTTGGTTTTTGACAGGCTGGGGTAACAGACTAAAATAAGAAATCCAACCACAAGAATGAATTATTTTTCAGCAACCTTTCCAAATTAAAAGTTATATTTTAATGTCTCAGATGGCACGCTGCTTAGGAAGTTAATTTATAGATGCCTTTGGGAAAGTAATTAAATACCTGAGAAGATTACAATGTTAACACTGCAGTAATGATAGCGGGACGCGGGTGGCGCTGTGGGTAAAACCTCAGCGCCTAGGACTTACTGATCGCATGGTCGGCAGTTCGAATCCCCGTGGCGGGGTGCGCTCCCGTCGTCCGGTCCCAGCGCCTGCCCACCTAGCAGTTCGAAAGCACCCCCGGGTGCAAGTAGATAAATAGGGACCGCTTACCAGCGGGAAGGTAAACGGCGTTCCGTGTGCTGCGCTGGCTCGCCAGATGCAGCTTGTCACGCTGGCCACGTGACCCGGAAGTGTCTGCGGACAGCGCTGGCTCCCGGCCTATAGAGTGAGATGAGCGCACAACCCTAGAGTCTGGCAAGACTGGCCCGTACGGGCAGGGGTACCTTTACCTTTACCTTTAATGATAGCACCTCCAGAATGTGTTCAGCAATTGTCACATCCCCAGTCATTTTAATGATAACACAACTCAAGTGCATTGGTGCACTGAAAAAAGACAGTGATATGCCAATAGAAACTATGCCTATAATTTTTTTTTTAATTAAAAGGGGGTACTCACTATATTGTATTGCACTTCTGACAGATTATTATCAAAGAGCTGAGTGAGCACCGTTGCCAGAATATTTTCAGTTCAACTTCTAGGCTGAAAAGGAACTTTGTCATTTTGGCTCAGATTAAAACACCACATAGGCCCTAGGGAGAGGCAGAGCTTTTGGGGGAAGGTTGAGGACTAGAAAGAAATCATAGGAGATAGTAAAACGAAGGGGTGGAGAGACCAGAGGCAAGGTGGCTGGTGGAAGCATGTAGCAAGGCAATGGACAAAAAAAAGAGGAACCCGGGAGAACAGCTGGGAAGTGAGACTTGAGGAAAAGCATAGCACAGACAGAGAAACAGGCGAAGAAGGCACCAGTGAGAGAAGGAACTTTGAAGAACATGATAAGCTGCATTGCACCATACCACAGACAACATTTCAAGTTGCAATCTCCAATTTTACACTTAGGTGACACATACATTTATCCTATGGGAGGGGGGAACAGGGTGCATAACAGAGTTCTGAAGAAACAATGACTGCTGGAGCTGGAGGAGAAAGTGCAAATGAGACCAAACCTCACAGAACAGCACAGGGGGTGGCAACCTGCGGCCCATGGGGGTCATTTAAACAGCCCACGAGCCACCCCCGAACTGAGCCACACGCTTGTCGGGTCCCCGCACGCTGCGCTAAACTGGCGCAGTGCGGAGTGGGGACTCGCTTCTGCGGTGCCGGAAATCATGTCTGTGCATGTGCAGATGCCGGAAATTGCGTCATCCGGCCCACGGAGCGATCTCTGCGGGAGTGAACCGGCCCAGGTTAGGTAAACCTTGCTGATCCCTGGAATAGCAGGCACATCAACATTGCAAGCAGATGCATGAAAGTAAAAGTTGTAATCTACTACTTATTTTAAAAGAACACTGTTGGAAGAGGGTGGTTTAAGTAGAGAATGAGCAGGAAAAGCCCCCCTACCCTCCTTCTCCACTAAGAGATTCCTCCCTCTCAAGCTATTTCCAGTTTGTTTCCACACTCTACCCTCACAAAAATGGGTTCAGCACCGCAGAGAGGGAGAAACAGTTGGGGGTAGATAGGAATGGAGAAGTGGCAGACAAAGAAAGGCTAAAACAGCCCTCACACTGATGCTTTTCCCTAAACTGGCCCCTCTCAAGCTGCTTTTTTCATTTAAAAAAAAATGCTGCTTTTTAGGTATCCACATGCAATGGTAACTTGATCCTGACAAAAGAGGACAAGGAACAGTTAGGCAGGAAAGACAGTTTGCATGTTGTGGCTTCTCTTGGGACTGAAGTACAGTGGTACCTTGGATTAAGTACTTAATTCGTTCTGGAGGTCCGCTCTTAACCTGAAACTGTTCTTAACCTGAGGTACCACTTTAGCTAATGGGGCCTCCCGCTGCCGCCGTGCCACCGCCACGATTTCTGTTCTCATCCTGAAGCAAAGTTCTTAACCCGAGGTACTATTTCTGGGTTAGCGGAGTCTGTAACCTGAAGCGTCTGTAACCTGAGGTACCACTGTACTCAGCAACCTAGAAGGGGCAACGCAGGTCAGCAGACAATGGGCGAAGGTGGTGAGATTAAATGTCACGTGTTGATCTGCGGCTAGGCTGCGCTTTTGAGTTGTATTGAAGGAAGGTGAGGACAGGTGACCTCACCTAGGTCCGAAGTCACCCCCCACCAAAGCAGGCTCAAAGCTTCTCAAAATCATTTTCTCAGCAGCTAAGCATCAGAAACATTCCGCTCTGCTGTAACAAAGGTAGAGAACAGTCCATTGTTTCTCAGGCCTTTCTCATGTCTTCTGGCCTTGCTAAAGAACCACATTGCAACTTGCTTTCTGTCCGGGAACCATGCCAGAACAAGAGATTGAAACGTATCTGAACATGCTGGAAAAACCCCTCGGCTTCTCGTTCCCCCTTTCCTGGGAAGAGTCCAATAGTCCCAAGACAGCTTTCTGTACATGCTCAGGAACCTCAACATGGGGCAGGACTCCTGAGGGAGGAGAAAGGAGGAGGGAACTGGAAAGGGGTATATATGCTTGTGCACATGATTGTGAACTCGTGCATGCTTTTTGTGACTTATCACACTTGCTCCTTCTACCAGTTCATGGATGGTAGAAATAAAAGCCTTTTCTCCGAAACTATTCCTTGAGTGTCTGTTGACTCCCACTTCCCTTTCCCAGGCGCAATATTTTTCCCACCCGAGGGCAAAACCTCATAAGGCTCCAGTATCCAGAACAGACTTATGCAAAGTTACTGCTTCTTTCCCCTGTAGTTCTCATGAACTCCAAAATCTGCAGTTGCAAGGGGGACACCAAAGCAACGCTTGAGGATGGAGTGCGAGAGGCAAATGGAAGAAACCAGCCGTTACAGCAGCCGGGGGGGGGGGCGCGCAGCAGAACAGGCCCGACCCCTCTGGGCCATCTTTCTGGGTTTAGGATTGCGCTTTTAAGCACTTCTCTCCTCGTCCTACGAACTGCACTCAAAAGAGCCTCCCTGTATGAAGAGCGGGGTTAAAAGAGGCTGTGAAGGGAGAAAGCGAATGGATGTTTTACTCGTGATTCCGTTGCTTCGTGGGCGGTGCAAGAAAAAGCTTGGGGGGCCCGCCAGATCTCCCCAGCGCGCTCCGTGCGCACGAAGGTCGGGATGCGGAGGGCGCCGCGCGCGCAAGGGGGCGCCGAGGCGCCGTTGCTCTTCCAGGCCGCCGAGCGAGGGAGGCGGAGCCGCAGATGGCCGCTTCCTCCCGGCCCGCCCGGCGGATCTCCGAGGGGCCGAGAGAGACGTGACCATGAGGGAGAGCGGAGGGTCGTCTGCGACGGTGCGGACGGGGCTGGTGGCCGGGCTGGCGGTCGGGGCCGGCGTCTGCTACTGCGTTTACCGAGCGACCAGCGGGAGAAGGGGGCGCGAGGGAGGAGCCGAAGCCGGGGCGAAGCGGGGAGATGTGCGTCCAGGGCAGGAGCACCAGGCGGCCGCCCCCACGTTGCTCCAGAAAGTGTCGGCGATGCCCGTGATTTCCAGCCCGGGCCGGAAGGGCCCGGAAAACCTTCGGCAAGGTAAGAACGCCGGGCGCTTAGTTTTGTTCTGAATGCATTTCCCAGTTACCGAGTTTGCGCTTTTCAAGAGGATAGTGAGAAGTCCCAGTGCCGGATTGACGTATAAGCTCAACAAGCTATAGCCTAAGGCTCCACTCTCTTGGGGGCCCCCCAAAAAACCTGGATGCACATTTCCAAAATGTTAAGTTGGAGCTTAATAATTATTTCACTATTAATATACTTCTTCTTAATTGTACAGTGGTACCTTGGGTTACATACACTTCAGGTTACAGACTCCGCTAACCCAGAAATAGTACCTCAGGTTAAGAACTTGGCTTCAGGATGAGAACAGAAATCGTGCTCTGGCGGCAGCAGGAGGCCCCTTTAGCTAAAGTGGTGCTTCAGGTTAAGAACAGTTTCAGGTTAAGAGCGGACCTCCGGAACGAATTAAGTACTTAACCCGAGGTACCACTGTATTTCACTATTAATATACTTCTTAATTGTATTTCAGTTCAACAATTACTTTGATAAAATACATATTTTGTTATGTGCAAATGGTTTTAGATACCCATTAGGTCCATAAACTACCATATACAGTCATACCTCGAGTTGAAGTTGCTTCAGGTTGAGCGTTTTCAGGTTGCGCTTCGCAGCGACCCAGATTTAATAGAACACGTTACTTTGGGGGTTTCATGTGCAGACCCTCAAAATGACATCACGCGCATGCACAGAAGTGGCGAATTGCGACCCGCACATGTGCAGACACGGGTTGCGTTCGCTTCAGGATGCGAATGGGGCTCTGGAATGGATCCTGTTCGCATCCAGAGGTACCACTGTAGCATATATTCAATACAAAAAACAGCAACAATTTGTTGTTGATAGAGGAGAGCTGGACATATAAAGGGCCCCAATACCTTCAGTAGTTTAGGGCCTCATCAAACCTAAATCCGGCCCTGAGTACACCAGTGGCAAGTGCAGAGAAATACAGCTGTGTATCCCTTAGACCAGTGTTCCCCAACCTTGGGCCTCCAGCTGTTTTTGGACTACAACTCCCATCATCCCTCGCTAGCAAGACCAGTGGTCAAGGATGATGGGAATTGTAGTCCAAAAACAGCTGGAGGCCCAAGGTTGGGGAACACTGCCTTAGACCACCTCATGAGAAGAGTGGACTCCCTGGAAAAGACCCTGATGTTGGGAAAGATGGAGGGCACAAGGAGAAGGGGACGACACAGGACGAGATGGTTGGATAGTGTTCTCAAAGCTACCAGCATGAGCTTGACCAAACTGCAGGAGGCAGTGGAAGACAGGAGTGCCTGGCATGCTCTGGTCCAGGGGGTCACGAAGAGTCGGACACAACTAGACAACAATCCCTTAGACCAAAGCTGTTTAGGACTCCTCAATCACTTGTCAGAAGCACAGTTCAAGGGGTTTGCATGTTATTTATGTACATGCTAGTAACATAGCATTACAAGGGCCTATCTAGCTAGGCATTTTGGCCTGCAGTCTACTACTGATAATAGTAGAGTGCAGTTGTGCAATTTATCCCATGGTTTGCTGCTAATTAGCAATCCATTCTTGGATTGTTAGTTGTTCAAAACGTTATGACTCATTAAAGGCAGGCAAGCTTCTCTGCAGTTAGCCTGATCAGAGGCTCTTCTTTCACCTCTTGCCATTAGTGGCGTTTTCATTTATTAAAAAATTGAACCTTTTTGTTCAGGCACCCATTGCTAATTATTAGTGAACGAGGTTGTTGCTTCTTACCTAGACCAATTGCTGATAAGGTATAATAAACCTGTTTCAAATACTGTATGTGTCTCCCTCCTCTTCTTTCCACACTGTTTCCGAGGTGGCTTGGAGCCAAGTGGACAAATGCAGTTTTAAGTAAAGAAATAAGGAAGAACCCAAGCCCACTGTCCTAGGAGGGAGAATAGATAGGAAATTCATGGTTATTATTAGTTCCAAGATGAGATGAAATGAAGTGAAATGAAATGTCAAACACCGGTTCAGAACAGACATCCTCAGATGCAGGGAGAACAACATTCATTGCTTTATTCTGCTCCATAAAAATCCGGTTAAATAGGACTTTATTATCATAACCATCTTACTAATTGGTCATTGGAGCTGAGTTAGTGATTTGCCCACTGTCACCAAAATGTATCTCTGTTTTAACACAGCCTTTTATGTTCATGTCAAACTTTCTGTCATTGGGCTATAATAGTTCAGAGTGTAGCTACACAGGTTTGAAACGCAAAGAAATGCCTAATGTAAAATAAAATAAAAAGTTGTAGTGCAACTGTTTTAGCTAGTGCATATACACACATTAACCACTGTAGACTACTGCAGCCTTTCCAATATGCAATGTAGAGGCAGGTGTTAAGACTCTGTTCCAGGGATGGGGAGTTTCAGGCTCAGGCACCAAATGTGGCCCTGTAGCCCCCTCTGTCTGGCCCTTGGGACTCTCTCCAAGTCACACACGCCTCTCCCCAGACCATATACCTCACTGCCCCTGCTTTACACCCTAACAGTTTTTGCATGGCTGGAATGTGTCCTTGATGTCTGGGTAGAGAGAACAGAGAGTGGCGTGTGAGCCTATGTAGCAACTAGCCTATTGCATAAAAGACAACCTAAAATGTGTTGCTCCACCCACTTTTACCCCAGGCCCAATCCACCACTGACATGATGATGTTGCCCTGGGAAGGCTGCCCAGAAGGGATTGTGGCTAAATTACTAGTAAATTACTAGTGTAGAAATTGTTCATGTTTCTAAAATTTCTAAAATTAGAAGACGTGGATCTTCCAAAATCATCCCATGATCTGGAGGCACACCATATACAGAATCTTATTCGTTTACTTGACTCTACGAAGGATCCCACAATTCAGGAGCAAGCCTTGATTACATTGAGCAACAGTGCTGCATTCTCTGCAAATCAGGTAAGTATTGTTCTTTGCTTAAAAGAAAAGAAAATATATAAAAGACAATAAGATAAAGTAATAATCATGTAAAAACTGATTAAAACAATGTAATTTGTTTCCTTGGGATCAGGATCATATAATCTTCAAATTGAAATCTTATTTTACAAGTAGATCTTGGCTTCTGTTAGGTCAGTGGTTCCCAATTAGCAAAGTACTTCAGAGCCCGTTTTTCAAAAGCCACGGCTTTTGAAAATATTTATATCTCTATGGTAGTTTTTGGTATTGTGAATTGTGCTACGGATCCCCTGGGTGGATTATGCAGACCTCCGGGGATCCACAGACCACCAATTGGGAACCACTGTGTTAGGTAACTGTAATATTTGGCCGTGTATTTTTCTAGGAGCAATACAGCTTCCACAGCTTAAGTAACAATTCTAAGCAGACCCATAGTGCCTTGTCCCATCTCAACGCTAGTGGTGCCTCCAGACTCTCATTATTGTGGAGAGGGCCTCAAGAACAAAAACGTTTAGTTTGTGCAGTTAGGGCTCTGTTTCTGTAGCTCAACAAATCCACTTTGAAAAAAAGAAAGATTTTGTATAGTTTGGAAAGTGATGAGGAAATGCATTGAAAAGTGTGAAATAAACGAATGATTAATGGAAAGATATATGAACACCTTGCAAGAAAATCAGGATAAATTTTCATTGTAATAAACCGCCCTGCAGACAAATCAGAACAAATGGTCAGTAGAGACCAGGTATCATTTTTCCTCTACATAAGCTTTGTGCAAGTAAATCAGGTTGAATGCTCAGTAAACAGGTCATCTGGAGGAGCCCTTATAGAGGAAACGGGAGATTGAGTTGAGAGTACTTCACTGTTCTGTACCTTACCTCAATGAGAAAAAGTAGAGATGTCATTAGTCGTTGGCAAGGGTGATGCACAGAGCCCTTTGCATGAGCAAACCACAGTTCCATGAACACTTGTGAGGAGGTAGGCAATTTCATCCCCCTTCCAACTCCTGCATAACTCTGTCCCACTTGAAAAGAGTGTCCTGGTGTGTTGGAGTAGTTTGGGAGAGGTGGGAAGAAGGTAAAAATGATACCTTTTGCAGTGTCTACCCACATGCTCCACCTTACAGTAAATGCTATGCCTAGAGTAGTTTTTACAAATTAGATAAAAATGAAATCCAATTGCTTCATTGTATTCTTTGTTGATTCAAGCAGAATTCATATAACAATTAAAACATATTTTGTTTGGCTCCCGGAATTAAATTAAGATAATTGTATATCACACATTTTTCTGTTTAACTCATAGGATATCATTCGAAATTTAGGCGGGCTTATCGTCGTTGGAAAAATGCTTTCAGTTCTTGACACAAAAGTTAAAGAAAAAGCACTGAATGCACTTAATAACTTGAGTATGAATATTAAAAATCAAGAAGAGATGAAGGTAAGTTTAAAAGCAACAAATTCTACTACAGAAAACTCTGTGCATAAATAATGAGTTTATATGAAGAACTTTTTGTGCAATCCCATTTAGATTCAAAGCAATGAAAGCTTTCCCGTTGACTTCAATGTGATCTAAGCTTTCCCCTGTAATGTTGATTAGGTAAATACTTTTTATAATGATTAATTACAGCATTTTACATGCTGCCCTTCAGTTAAAACTCCCAGGACAGCTCTCAAAGTCATAAGCAACACCAAATTAATAACAAAGATTAGCATAAATATAACTCAAAGGGGCTTTCCATATGTGGGAAACCACAGCTGAACATAAGAAGGGAAGGGCATTCAGAAGAGGATCGCTAATGATGAACAAAAAATAGGATGACTTACTTCTCTTGTCACAGTCACCCAACCTACATTACTTTAAGTTCAGGTGCTGTTCAAACAAGTGTTGCAAATAAATATGACGACATGCCAATTTTAGTATTTGTATTCAGAGGGCAATGAATTGGCTCTTGAATTTGCATGATGAAACCTAAAACTGTAGGGATGGTTGGTGGTGTTGCCCCTCAATCTACCATATATACTCGAGTATAAGCCGACTTTTTCAGCACATTTTTTATGCTGAAAAAGCCCGCCTTGGCTTATACTCAAGTGAGGGTCCCACTTACCTGTTCTCCAGTGCAGTGCGGATGACTTGTGAGCGGCAGGGGCTGTTATTGGCGGCGGCGGCGGAACGAGCAGCCCAGAAGCAGCCCTTTCAGGCTGCTCCTTCCTCCTCCTCCGCCTTTGCTGCTGTAGGCAGTGGCAGTGGAGGAACAAGCAGCCTCAAAACAGCCTCCTCCGCTGCCGCTGACAGCGGCAAAGTTGCGTGTGTGCAAACAGCCCCGCAGTTGCGCATCTGCAAACCCTTAAAGAAGCCCAGGCGTTTCGGCGCATGCGTGGCAGTGCTCCTTTTAAAAAAACCAAAAACCAGACAGAGCGGCGGTGGTGGTTGCTGTGGCAACTGCCGTTATGGTTCTAGGAGGCACTCGCGAAGGGAAGCTGCCTCTCCTCATGTCCTACTCCACTATCCCGAGGCGTGTGGGGCTGCCCCGGACGGTGCTGCGCTGGCTGCAGAGCCTTGATCTCAGCTTCTTGCCTACGTGTTTCTGTACGTGAGGCCGCCTCCCTGCTTCCCACACCATGGCCGCCCTGACACTTTCATCTCCCACTGAGCTTTGAGGGAGCTTGAACTCAAGCCCTTTGATATGTGTATATCAAATCTTCTGAGACCGAAGGCTGGGCGAACCAGTGGGGTAGAGAACCTGTGTTCTGTTGTCATCACTGCTGGAAACGTTGGGTAAGATAGCACCAGCATCCCCTTTATCCATTGAGAAGAGGTTTCCTTCCTTAAAAATTAAACCTGTGGGCTTGCGAAGTTTGGTCCAGAATTAGCTTCTGGACCACAAGATACCTTTCTTTCCCTAGGAAGAAAGGCTTTCATGGTGGCAGCCCCCAATGGAGGATTTGTAGTTGCTGCATCACAATCCTGGATTTGCATAAAGGCAGCAAGCAAAAGTGAAGTCAGGTTGCACAAGAGTAGTGAGCGTGGCATGACAGTGAGAAGGGAGAAACACTGAAAGGCTGGAGGGGACGGGGGAAACTGGCAGTTTTAAACAATGGTAAGAGGTCTGAGTAAAGTACTGTGGAATATTTGAGAGCTCTCATGAGGCAGCTGAGGAATGGAAGGGAGTAGTTTGAGTACAGTGAGAAGGGGGAGAGATGAATGTTTTTGTACTTTCAAAGTTATTGTTGGTACCATATTGTTTTTGTTGACCCTCTTTTCCATTTACAGAGCTAGTTTACTGTTTTTCTTTGAAATAAATATTCAAAAACATTTAACCTACTGATGCCTCAATTAATGTAATTTTATTGGTATCTATTTTTATTTTTGAAATTTACCAGTAGCTGCTGCATTTCCCACCCTAGGCTTATCCTCGAGTCAGTAAGTTTTCCCAGTTTTTTGTGGTAAAATTAGGTGCCATGGCTTATATTCAGGTCGGCTTATACTCGAGTATACAGTGGTACCTCGGGTTAAGAACTTAATTCGTTCTGGAGGTCTGTTCTTAACCTGAAACTGTTCTTAACCTGAAGCACCACTTTAGCTAGTGGGGCCTCCTCTTGCTGCTGCTGCTGTGCCGCCGCCGCACGATTTCTGTTCTCATCCTGAAGCAAAGTTCTTAACCTGAAGCACTATTTCTGGGTTAGCAGAGTCTGTAACCTGAAGCATATGTAACTGAAGCGTATGTAACCCGAGGTGCCACTGTATATGTTATTAACAATACTTTAAACATCCGCAGAGAAGAAAACAGATAACTCTACATTTAGAATATGTTGTTAACGGAAGGATTATTGTGATAAAAGGTTTTTCCAATTGTTTAAATTAGCAGCATTTGCTATACCTCATGTTAAAAAAAAGGTACTTTGTCGCTACCTTTGCTTACTTGTTCAAAATTTGCGTTCAACAGCGATAATATTTTGTTTTTAATGATAACAGTGGGATTATCACTGGGAGTGGTTTGTTCTGATCGTGTTTTTGTTTTTCCCTCCCTAAGATATATATTTCCATAGTTTGTGAGGAGACAGATTCATCTCCCTTGAACTCTGAACTTCAGCTTGCTGGGCTCCGATTTTTAACCAATATGTCTGTTACCAATGACTATCATTACATGATGACAAGCTTCATACCATGCTTTCTTCAAATGCTTTCGGAAGGAAATGAAAAAACACAGGTACCATAAGATGCTCTATCTTGTTAGGAGGAAAATCTTTTGGATTCTGCTTTTCTTGTCCTTTAATTCTCTGTGTATTAAATTACTTTGAAAATTAATAGTAGTCATGCACATAAGTTAAAGGGGGTAGAAAATGTTTTTAGCTGATTTTTCTTTACTCACCTCTTTTTAAAAGGTGAGGGAGTAGGACTATTTAGGCTTTCTGAACTCCAGAGCCAACTCAAAAGTTAACTCTAATTAGAAAAGGGATTTGAACCAGAGCATTAAAACAATTGCTTACTGGTCATTCATAAGAAAAGACCTTAGCAGGACTCCATTCCCTGTTCCTTTGTAAGTTAAGAGCTCCACAAGATGGCTCTCTGTCACTCTCAACCTGTTTACTTTGAGTGAAAATAACAGCAGAGCTTGTTTTGAACAGTTGTGAATGTTTCTTCTTTAGATTACAGAAGCACACATATTAGAAAACAGGATTCTCTGAGAATTCAGGATAGATTTATACTTATGACAGATGGATGTAGATTTTAAATTAAGAATAGGTGCAAAGATAAGGTTGGTGTCACTAGCGTTGCTGCATTGCAGCTTTGGGGCCAGTTTACACTTCACAGCTCAGATTAACTTTGTGTTTCTGCTGAGTACTATGCAAGCTTCATTAATGTGTGGCCCCGAAATTCCAGATTCCCCCCTGCAACTGATGTCAAAGTTTGGTGCTAGTTTTGTGCCACAAACCCTGCTTTCTGCAGTGCCCTCCAAACTGACTAATTGATAGTCAATCTCATAGGTTTACCCCCAAACTCAACTCTGTCTGCTTGACTACAGACTGGTCCCAAAGTGGTGTGCTGGTTTGGTGCTGCAAACTCCACTTTCTGTGCCACCCCCCAAACTGAGTGATTTATGAAGCTTGCAATGCGGGTAGCCAATTCTCGTACTGGTTTACTCAGAAATAAGTACTGATAAAACTTAAAAGGGGCTTATTTCCTAATAAGGACAAATGCTTGTTACAAGAAAATTGGGTTTATATTATTTTGCTTTTTTCCCTCCTTATAATTTTGGTTTTGTCACCATGTTTAACTGCCAGAAAAAGTGGGATCTAATTTTTTTGTTTTATGATCTCCTAGCCTGCAGTTTGTAAGTTGTGCTGGCAAATCTTATTGATTAGTAAATTAGTAATATGTGTTCCTAATATATCCTGCTTATTTTATGTGTAGTGTTAAATCCAAAGTATATTATTAAAATTAACTTTCCCCCTATATTAATAGGTTCAGGTTCTAAAAGTGCTTGTGAATTTATCAGCAAACCCAGCTATGACGGAACATCTCCTTAATGCTCAGGTAATGCTACTTTTTATGCTTCTTCCAACAATTACTATTTGAAGAAATAATAATAATAATAATAAATTTTTATTTATATCCCGCCCTCCCCAGCCGAATCCGGGCTCAGGGCGGCTAACAACAATAAAATAATACAACATTCTAAAATCATTTCATTATAAAATTAATTCCAATCAAATTGATGGCAACCATTGGGCTAGAGTTCTGTGAAGATTGCCAAAGGAGGGAGTCAGGCTGTGCCCTGGCCAAAGGCCTGGTGGAACAGCTCTGTCTTGCAGGCCCTGCGGAAAGATGTCAAGTCCCGCAGGGCTCTAGTCTCTTGTGACAGAGCGTTCCACCAGATCGGAGCCACAGCCGAAAAGGCCCTGGCTCTGGTTGAGGCCAGCCTAACCTCTGTGGCCTGGAACCTCCAAGATGTTTTTGTTTGAAGACCGTAAGTTCCTCTGTGGGACATACCAGGAGAGGCGGTCCCGTAGGTACGAGGGTCCTAGGCTGTATAGGGCTTTAAAGGTTAAAATAGCTATAGCTGAATGAGCAGTGGTAAGGAATACTCCAGGTTAGTAGCTGGAGAATGCCTAAGGTGTATTGTGCTCAAAATTTGATTTTGGGTTGGCATAGGGAAGTTCAGAAGCTAGTAAATTACTAGAGCCCATGAAGGTGGGTAAGTGATGCATATGATGTTTACTAAAAAGATGTATGTTCACTTATTTTTTCATGCCTATGAACAACTATTTCTTGTTTGTTTAATTCTCTAGGCACCCTTCTTATTATCCTTGTTTGACACCTGCATAAAAAAAGAAGTTTTGCTCAGGGTCCTGGTGTTTGCCGCAAACTTAACAAAACTTACGCAAAAGGACAAGAGCATTACTGTCCATCATCACAATGAAGGTTCAATTTTTTCTGTACTCTGGGGGAATACTACAGAGTGCGCTCAGAAACTAACATCTTTGTTGTACCATCATGACACAGAAGTAAAAGAACAAGTGGCAGAACTGATAATGCAGCGGTGCTGAAACTGGAAATTGTTAAAAGCCTCCATTCAAAATCAAATTCCAGATGCAAAAGCCTAAACTGAGGCTTATGAATGTCGGACTCACAATATATATGTAGACCTACATGTTCATGCAACAGGAAGAAAAGTAGTAGAACGTCTTGCGTGTATGAAACTACTTTCAACCTCGATGCAAAAGCATTTCATGGTAGAATTCACATGAAGCTGTAGATCAGTACTGTTCATTTATGTTGCTAAATACAATTTGTGTAGAGCTAATGTCTGTAGAAATGCTTCAGCCATAACTTTGCATATTTTGATTTAAAGCTCTCCTTGTGTCTCAAGAGTCCAACTCACTTCAAATAGGAGTTAGGCATTTGGGTTGCTGGTTTCATCCTTGCTACTTTTCAGGTGTCTCAGACTTTTTTTAAAAAATGCTGATATTTAAGTCATTTATTTTCAGTTCAGACATTTAATTATTTTAAAGATGAGCCAGCTGTTCTTATAACTATTTTGTGGTGTCTTATGTTTTATTCAGTTTGTATATTTTTGTACACTGCCTTGATAGTATAAATATTTTAATTGATCTTGATCTATCTTCTTAGGGCTGAGAAAACCTGATGCTAGAATATTTTGGCTGTATTCCAGAGTTGTATGTGAGTTCCATATGTAAATATGTAGAAAACTCCATATAAGGGTAGAGCTACCTTCTCTATTGAAATGTATGAGGAACAGCTTGTGTATAGCGAGCTGCAAGGGGCAACAGGTATAGTGGTTAAGAGCGGTGGACTCGTGATCTGGTGAACTTGGTTCGCTTCCCTGCTCCTCCACATGACCTTGGGCTAGTCACACTTCTCTGAAGTCTCTCAGCCCCACTCACCTCACAGAGTGTTTGTTGTGGGGGAGGAAGGGAAAGGAGAACGTTAGCTGCTTTGAGTCTCCTTCGGGTAGTAATAAAGAGGGATATCAAATCCAAACTCTTCTTCTTCTAACAGCCTTTACTATGAGCATACAATGTTTTGTAATGTGTTGGCATTGCTGTCTCCCATACCCTGTTTTTATATACCAGTACAATAAGTATTAAGATAATCAGACTCTGCTTTTTTATTTACTATTTAACTTTAAGCCCTCTAAAAAGAATAGCTTGCAATTATGCACACAAAAATTAAATTTACACCTCTGGAAGGAATTTATTTTTGTTTTGCAAAGATGGTCAGATTTATGTATGGTTGAGTTTATACTCGAGGTAGAAACCTTGCAGCCTGGTTATGACAGATTTCATCAGTCACAACAGGATGTTACTGCCCAGTATCTTACAGATGAACTTAAGTCCTCCAACAAGTGAGCTGTGAACATCAGTGTACCCAGAGCCATAATTCATTGTATTTGTATTTTAGTAGCTCAAACCCATACACCTGAATAAAATGTAAAGTAGCAATTAAATGAAAAAGTAGTATGTTTCAAATGCAGTGCCATAGTACTCTCCCATTTGTATTTCACAGCAAACACAAGTATGTAGTGATATAAAACTGCAAATAGTATGTTGAATATTATTCTTTAGCTGAAGATAAATCCTCCTAAAGAAAAATTGGGAGAGAAAAAAGGAGCGTAGTTAAATTAAATGGTTATTTCTTATTGTGAGAGTCCAAGTCATATTAACATAACATACTCAAAGTATTATTCAATAATATGACTACTTCTGAGCAAGAGAAATCTTTATTTTGTAAATTAGTTTTACTAGTTTGACACATGTATAATTGGCCATTTTTTACAATGTTGAACAAATTAATATCATGCTTTTAAAATTTTATAAGCAATTTGTATATGTTTTTCCACATCATTCTGACAAACCAATTCATTTGAAACCCACAGTAGGCGGCAGGGAGCAAGAACAAACAAAACAAGCTGAATAAAGATTTCAGAGAACAAACGGTTCCAGTTACATGCAGCTTGCTTATTCTCAAAACAAGAAGTGTTCAGGCCTGTGCTAGAACAATTTCACAGTGACAACACAATGCAAAGTGTACAGAGATTCTGGCCAGCAGCAACATAAATAGGCATTTTTTTGTAGTTAGAACTCTTTGAAAAGGCACATTTTATAATTTCAAAACTTGGCTCTTACATTTGCAATTGAAAATGTACAAGCATTCAGTAAAGTCAGTGTTTTGTTCAAAATGTGCTTTTAGCAACTAGTTGTGTTGGAAGACACCATCAAAAATCCTCTTAATTTCCAACAGCTACGAAGGCACAGGGCACATTCTCTAAGTGATCATTCTGCTCAAGGGAGATAATGGGCTGGGACTATTCACACTAATGCTGCAGTACTCAAAAACATTTTCCATGTGGCTACTGTATTGGTTGTAAAACTCAAAACCACTTCCATCAGGGTAGTTTCAGGATCTTTAAGTAGATCAGCACAACCCAACATTTTACACCAAGTGGGCTGCAAGAGTACTTTGAGACGGAACCCGCAGGCCACACGCTACCTTATTGCACAGGCCAAAATTTGGTCCCCATGACACCCTCTCATTGCTGCCTTTCTACAGCCAATAAGAAAGGTGCAAGGCTTTGGGAAGGAGGCATGAGGCCCTGACAGGGTCCTAGAACTCCCACCTTCTTCCCAAAGCTGGGAAAGCGCTAACTATGCCTGGGGAAGGAGGAGGGAGGATTCTGGGACCCAGTCAGAGCCCTCACACCTCCTTCCCAAAGCCCAGTGCCTCACTTACCTGGCTTTGGGAAGGCAGCGCAAGGGCTGCAGGGGGGAGCATCAAATGTTGCTGATGGCCACTAAAAAGGCCTCAAGGGACACATGCAGCCCTCAGGATGCATGCTGGACTCCCCTGAACTAGATCATTTCAGATTTCAGCCTAATCCAAAAACAACCCAAGCCCTTTCTGATGTTAAACAATAGTAGCTAAGGCTGTGCTCCTAATCCCACTTATGAGGAAGGAAGTCCCATTGAATTCAATAGGACTTGATTCTGAGTAGACATGGTTAGGATTCTGCTTAAAAATATGCAATCTGAAACATGCATACTGGTTCTATCACTGCAGGCTTGGCATCTGAGTAAGGATGCTAAAGATTAGAAAGTGTGTCTGTTTCACAGGATGGTGGGATGTATGCAAATGAAGGTTTTGATCCTAATCACCTGCCAAAAATTAATGGTATTTCAGCAAGACCTTCCAGGTATATGAATCCACACATACCATCATTTTCAGGAAAACCTATCTGCAGTTTTCTAATTCCACCCAATTCCTGTTGATCAGATCATTGGTGGAAATGATGGAGTGCCTTAACTGTGCTCTTCCCACCCCACTCCAAGGCAGGAAGGGGTCCCACAAGCACAGCAATGCATATGGTAAACGAGTGTGCATATGAGCCCCTGGCCTGAAGGCCATTGCCATGGGAGATTTTACTATAACAGACTTGCAGTCAAATGCATGCAGAATTCTATACATAAGCACTTTATCCAACATAAGGTTACACTCTCTGTGCTCCAAATCTTCATGTGTATGTAGGCCTTGTTTTTCAGTGTAATCCCCCACTTTTTAAACCAGAAATCCGATTTTTAGAAAGGGAGGGTTAAAGCACTTAGCAGTTCAGTGAGGGAGGGAGGGTTGCTATGTCAAGAAAGCCTTGAGTTCACAGGTCCTCTTGGGTCTTATGGATTGTGGCCTAGTTAATCTCTAGCAGGTGACCTGCACTGGTTTTAAAGAGGTGAAATGACTTCACGGGCAATGCAATTAACTCCTTATGTACACGGCATGTGCAGCTAAGTTAATGCTATCAAGTGCTATTTCATTCATTTATTAAAAACTTGCAATTTTGTAAGGCTGGTATGCAAACTCCTGAAATCTTAAAAATCCTGTTCAAAATTTTACAAAAAGGTATCAACCTTAATTGCTTCCCCCACCCCCAGATACAATTAATAAGAAATCCGTTTTCCCCCCCCCATTTTTATTCAAATCCATCCTCGTTAATATTTAAGTCTCGTGATTCACCATGCTTTAAGACAAAGAAATCTTCAGTTTTCAGTCCGTATCTGTCTAGAGCTTCCATCAGTTTAGCAGGAGGGTCCAAGTAATACTGTGGAGAAAACAAGCAGTCAGGACGGGATAAGCCTGTTGTGAAACAGCTTCATAGGTATGACTACTTTAGTCTTGCAAACTTAAGGGGAATTCTGGTTCCACTGAAATCCAATAAGACTTTTCTTTTTTCCTTCTGAAGTCCTTGTTAAGCTCTGAATGGGGTTACCCCCTTGAAGCATACCTTGTATTTGTGGCAACACGTGTTATTGAACTGATCCTGCTATTTCAGGATGAATCAACTGCTCTGTGCAGCTGTGGTAACTTGTCCAGACTGAGCACTCTGGGACTGCACACTGCTTACAAAAGCTATGTTTTCCATGACTAAACTTCTTAGATATTACAACTGTTCATGAGAGCAGTTGTTTGCACACATCAGAACCAATTTGTAACCTCGGTTCTTGCCGGTGAATGATCACATGCATTGGATTGTGAGCACAATCTTTCCCGTTTATGGGAAAGTATGAAGTGCTCAACAAAGGCAGATATTCCTAAAAAATAATAGAAAACCATGGGGCCACAGCTCAGTGATGAGTCAGGAGTATGCTTCTCCATACCAGTTACTGGGAAACATGAAAAGAAGGGCATTACAGAGCTCGTGCCCTACTTGTGAGCTTCCCCATAGGCATATAGGGCCTTTAGTCTTATCCAGCCAGGGCTCTCGTTCTTAGGATGAATATGCTCTGCATCAGGTCCAGTTTCAGTCTCCAGTTAAAGGACTGAAGGCAGGATAGGGAAACGCCTTAGAAACAGTCTAACTCAACACAATGTGTTATTAGTTTTCCACATTTGGAAAGTATTATTCTTAGTTATCTAATAAGTAGCAACTGCAGACTGAGAACTGTAGTCATGGTAAATTCAAGAATAGCTCAAACACCAGTATGAAAGAACATACAGTGGTACCTCGGGTTAAGAACTTAATTCGTTCTGGAGGTCCGTTCTTAACCTGAGGTACCACTTTAGCTAATGGGGCCTCCCGCTGCCGCCGCACCGCCACCGTGTGATTTCTGTTCTCATCCTGAAGCAAAGTTCTTAACCCAAGGTAATATTTCTGGGTTAGCGGAGTCTATAACCTGAAGCGTCTGTAACCCGAGGTACCACTGTATCAAAATATGTTTACTTGCTGCAAACTTGTAAATGAAAAGAACTGTGGCAGAGAGGATTAAACAATGCCTACATTCTACGAAACCCTTGGGCTGGTACAACTGACTTATCAAAGTCCAGTGGCCAAATCATAAATTTTATGACGGAGATACCTCTCCAGTTGTGCACGCCACCTTTTGACAGTAAATGTTTAAATAGTGTCCTTACCGGCCATCCTTTTAATTTTTTAACATATAAATTTTCCAGCAGAACTAGTTTACATTCTGAATCTCTGTACTTAGCAGGGCATGAAATGTGGAGGATCTGTGGGGTTCAGAATCCTTCTCAAGCACCTACCAGAAAGTTTAGGGATTTCATAAACATTAATGATTTCTGATTCTAATTCCAGTTTTAAGAATCAACCACGGTCTTATATGCTCAGCCCCTTCATCTGCAGAGCATCATCCTGTGTTGTTGGCCAGTAAATAATAATAATAATAATAATAATAATAATAATAATAATAATAATAATTTTATCATTTATACCTCACATATCTAGCTGGGTTTCTCTGGGTGGCTGGGGGTTAGTTTCTTCATTATGCTAGAATGTCAAAGAACGTTGGGGTACTGGCACATATGTATGCTGATATAATATGATATGCATACTGATAAGATATGATTTTGTTACACATTCAGGAAACCAGTTTCATACCAAGTGAAATTGCCTCCAATGATTTTGTCACTCTAACACAAAGCAACTATTAATTCAGTATATAAAGACAGAGCAACTAAGCTGTACACAATCTCTTAAAGCACCCTTGTCATTCTTTCTTTAGTAGTTTGCTTCAGAGTATCTGTAAGACATTCAGACTTACTACTAAGCAAAATTTAAGTCAAACTAAAAACTGAGGGGGAAAAACTAGCTTTGACAATACACAATTCGTTGTAGAGAGAATCGACTATCTTCAGAACTAAAATTGACAGCCTATAAAATAATACTAAAATCAGAGGCCATTTTCTTTGAAGCATTTGAAACACCTTGAAAACTGCTAATGGTCCATAAGAAAAAAATATAACACTACATGACTTCTTTTTTATATATAGTTAAGTTAGTTGGAGCTCCTATACCAAAAATCCATTCAAACTAAATCTCCATTCAAAATTACACACCTGCAGCGGAAACAGCCCACTATTCTGTCCTTGCCTCCTTCCAATTAAGTCTCCACGGAGGGCAGGTAATTCTGCTGCCTCTTTGCATCAGATGTAATTAGATCACTTAATCACACCTGATACAGAGACGCAGTAGAATTATCTTTCCTCAGAGGATGCTGCCTACTGCAATTCTTCTTGAGATAATGTTCCTTCCAATCAGGGGACACAGCACAAAAACACAGGATGTGCAGTTCTCCCATACACTAAAACTCCGGGATGTAAGTGAATGATACTTTCTGTTTTCAGTCAGAAGAAAGGATATTTCTGCTATCAGGTTGGAACAGGCAGTTCTAGATGCTACTATTTTGAATGGACATCCGCAGCTGCACAAATGGTTAGTTCACACCTACCTCATTTGCTAAAGCAAAGGTTCCCCAGTGAATTCCAACAGACTTCTTTGCTTGTACATCAATATGAATCCTTACTGCTTCTTCAGGGTCCACATGCTGGTATTTCATAAACCACCTACCAAAGAGGGGAAGAGCATTTTTCCTTGCCAGTTACACAGACATGCACTGGCCAAGTTAAGGCTCCCTTACTGCCCTTCTCAATCTGTTGCATAGCTTTTCCTCTTACTGGCCCACTTGGTTCCCTTCTCCCATATTGCTAAAAGAGATTGCTCATTTATCTGTTAAGCTGCATCTCAATCATTCTAATTTCCCATCTTCCACAAGGCATCTCAATCACATTTAGTTTTCCTGTAATACAAAACCAGCAGCCAATCTTCACCTACCCCTTGCCCATTAAGATCTAGCCTTTCCTCCTGCCTGTCTTTAAGACTGTGAGTTTTCATTGGCCCCGTTCAGGTGACATTGTATGCCATAAACCATGGCTTAACATAAATCCGCAGCATGTATCACTCCCACTGCCCTTCTTCCTTCATGCAAGTAACAAACCAAGAACCTTGGTTTTCTGTGATGTTCAAAACAGTGCTCATGGTTTGTTTCTCTCCAAATACAGTGGTACCTTGGGTTAAGAACTTAATTTGTTCCAGAAGTCCGTTCTTAACCTGAAACTGTTCTTAACCTGAGGTACCACTTTAGCTAATGGGGCCTCCTGCTGCCACCGCGTCACTGCTGCACGATTTCTGTTCTCATCCTGAAGCAAAGTTCTTAACTCGAGGTACTACTTCCGGGTTAGCGGAGTCTGTAACCTGAAGCATCTGTAACCCGAAGCGTTTGTAACCTGAAGTACCACTGTAAATCTTAAGTCAACTGTTCTTGGCTTCACAGTTGCGGCTGAGGAAGGAAGGAAGGAAGGAAGGAAGGAAGGAAGGAAGGAAGCTGTCATGATAAGCCAAGGCATAGCTGTCAACGTTTCCCTTTTTTTAAGGGAAATTCCCTTATTCCGAATAGGATTCCTCGCAAGAAAAGGGGAAAGTTGACAGCTATTAGCCAAGGTTTGTGGTTTGTTGTTACTGCTCACACTAGAGGAGAATGAAGCAGGAGTGATTTGGCATGGTAGGCCAACGTGGCTATGACACTGCCTGTGTTTTACACACTGTTGGTGCTGTATATAAAACTACAACTGGTTTTGTATCTTGAGTCACAGGCTCCAGTTTATTGGCTTACGTACCTTGGTTCATATGCTCCAATAGGAATAGCTGCAAGATCGAAAGGTCCAAATCGCTTCCCTATCTCCTCAAATGCAACACAATAGCCAGTATCTCCTGCAAAAAAGAACCTATTCCAGGGCCCCAAGACAGACCAGCTTCCCCAGAGAACTTTGTTGTCATCTGTTGCAGTCCTCTTGGACCAGTGTTGGGCAGGAGTAAAAACAAATGTAACTGCGTCATGACCAGGAACACAGTTTTCTCCCCACCAGTCCAGCTCAATAACATTCTCACAGCCACATTTCTGCATCCAGTCTAAAAGACCCAGGGGCACAAACCATCTCAGGTCACTGCCAAAGCGACTATTTAAATTTATTACGGAGTGGTAGTCCAAGTGGTCGTAATGAGTGTGGCTGATCATCACTGCATCTATTTTGGGGAGTTGATCTACAGTACACGGAGGTCCTCTAAAACGCTTAGGTCCTCCAAACTGCACTGGAGAGGCCCGCTGGCTGAAGATGGGGTCAGTAAGAAGTGTAAGTTCATCCATTTCCACCATTACAGAAGCATGTCCAAGCCATGTTACTCGCATACCAGCTCCGGTTTTTCCAGCTAGTTCGGGGTTTTGAACAAAGTAAGGTTTCAGTACTGGAAGCTCTCTGTCAAGTTCCTAGCAAAAGAAAACAAGGACACAAAATTAGAAAGCACACCTGGCTTACAAGCAGCAAGTGTTTCATCCACCTTGGACCCTTGAGGCAGAAAGCCTTGTTAACTCTACACCAGGCATCCCCAACCTTCGGCCCTCCAGATGTTTTGGACTACAATTCCCATCATCCCTGACCCCTGGTCCCGTTAGCCAGGGATCATGGGAGTTGTAGGCCAAAATATCTGGAGGGCTGCAGGTTGGGGATGCCTGCTCTAGAAGAAGAAGAAGAAGAGTTTGGATTTGATATCCCACCTTTCACTCCCTTTAAGGAGTCTCAAAGCGGTTAGCATTCTCCTTTCCCTTCCTCCCCCACAACAAACACTCTGTGAGGTGAGTGGGGCTGAGAGACTTCAAAGAAGTGTGACTAGCCCAAGGTCACCCAGCAGCTGCATGTGGAGGAGCGGGGAATCGAACCTGGTTCCCCAGATTACGAGACTACCAGCCAGTTCAGATTAGTATGATGCAGATCTGCACGAGTTGTACGTAAGGAACCCTGTTTATGTGCATGAATCACCCTTGGTATTTCAAGGTAACGAGTTTTGCTTGCAGCTTGGATTAAGGGAGGTGTTATAGGAGGGTGAAGGTCCAACTCTGCTTGCAGATAACACTGACAGATAACATTTAGAAAAGAGATGACCAACAACTAACAGTAAACATGAAAATCATTTCCCAAATACAAAGGGCATTCCAAATTATTATTATTATTATTATTATTATTATTATTATTATTATATATTGCCCTTCATCTAACGATCACAGGGCAGTTTACAATATAAATACAAAAAATATTTATTATAGGGCCCTGCCCTGCTTCTCTCCACCTGGCTTGGGGCAGGGCCTAATAGGCTCCATGGAGGAGTGCTGCTGCTGCTGGGCAGAGAGGACTCCGTTTTTGTTTTTAATTGCTTTTATTTTTTATGTATGTCATTTTAAATTGTGATTTATATCAATGCTGTATTTTTAGTCTTAGATTTTATGATTTATATGGAAATTGTTTTCCATTTGGTTGTGTACTTTTTGAAGTGTTTTATTGTTTATGACTTTTGTTACGTTGGTAATTATGTAAATCTTGTCATGTGGTAAGCCGCCTTGAGCATTGTTTTAACTATGGAAAGGCGGCATACAAATAAAATGATGATGATGATGAAACAAGACCGCCCCACCTCCCAGTTTAAAAGGGCATAGATTGTTTCATTAGCCAAAGGCCTGGGAGAGGAGGAATGTTTTTTCCTGGTGCCTAAAGATATGTCACGAAGGTGCCAGGCAAGCCTCCCTGGGGAGAGCATGCCACAAGTGAGGAGCCACCACAGAAAAGGCCTGTTCTTGTGTCGCTTATCCTCCAGACCTCTCACAGAGGAGGCACACAAAGAAGGGCCTCTGATGATGATCACAGAATCTGGGAATCCTTGCGGTATTGAGCCGTTTAAGACTTTATAGACCTGCAGCAAAGGGCAGCCCCCTCCCACCACTTCTCAAACTGCTCTTTCCATTAAAAAGTTTCTCATATTCAACCAAAGTCTTTCCTTCTGTAATTTAAACCTATTAGATCTAGCCCTGCTCTCTGCAGTAGCAGAGAACAACATTTCACCATTATTTTCTAATTTGATGCTGGTCTCCGAAGGTTAGCCAAGGACAGGGACATCTGCTAAGGAGTTTAGACGTGAATTTGTGTGAATATGCAGCAGGAGACACTGTCATATTTGGGGGTAGTCATTGAAAATGCTGCACCGCCTTTCTGTCTGAATCTGACAGAGAAGGCCTAATTAAAAACATGTTCTCCGTAGATCTCAGGTATCATAACGGAACACATGGGAATCGGTCTCAAAGGGACACCGTGCCTGAACTGTTTAGGGCTTTAGAGGATACACAAGGGATGCATGTACACACTGCTACAAAAATTGAAAATTATTCTTCCATCTGTAATGCTCTGAATTATTCGTTCTAGTTTTGCTGGAATGAAGGGGCAAGTAACTACTCAAGGAATTCAAATCCCACTCCTAACTACGTGCTCATCCACCTTAGCAAACGTCTGTTATTGCAAAGCTATGCTTGCTTATGTGTAATGCTTCTGTAATGATATAAACCAAGAAAAGTGCTGTGTTAGAAAAAGAAGACTGAAACTCTCAGAATAATGAATTTTACAGCAAATGCAGCATCCTGTGCTTTTTCAGCACTGCTACAAAATTACTGCATATGCACCACCAGCATAAAATTGAAGCTGCAACTCAACTCTGCCTTCTTATACAAAGGCTAGGAATTCATTACTCCCAGTCTTGTCACTCAAAAATCAAACCCAGTTCTAGGGTAATGTAGGAGAAAAGCCTTTTAGTTGCTATTGTTAAACAACTGAGAGTCAGAATCCTTGCTGATCTACTGCAAATCCCTCAGAGATCTACTAGTAGACAGGCAATCCATGTACAAGGCTGCCAAAGAATTTGTTTTATCTGGGCTCTATGGTGCAATGTTGATGAGCTCTTAAGTTATGCTTTGATTAGGTGGCGTGACAAAGGCAGTGTTATCCCACACTTTCCAGTAATTTTTCTGTTACGAAAAGTCTGCTTTTGGGGGGAAGTGGGCTTTTTGTGCAAGACATCCCAGTCAACTATAATTGCACAACCTAAATTTACCAGTATGTGATTGAATCCTACCTGAAAATAGCAACAGTCTGGAAGCACAGATAGTTTATTTATCTATTTACCACATTATTTATTTACTTGCCCCCCCAACGCGCGTCTCCACCCCAGCTGCCCAGCCCACCAGGGGGATGCAACATTTGCCACGCCACGGGCACCAGCAACCCACGCAACACCACTGCACGTAATATATACTTCAAAAATCTTTGACTTACTGGTAAACATGTAATTTACATGAAGTGGTATTGAGAGTGCTTCAAACATAACTAGATGAATAGAACTATAGAATGTTTACCTGCTTTGAAGATGGGACCTTGCTGTTGTCCTTTTCCGTAAGAGCCCATTTCATAATATTTGGGAAAGAGGGAGGTTTCCATGTTGGCCAGGGGTTGATAAACCTCCCATCTTTACCTCTCTTTGATTTTGTTACATCTTCCTCCAACCTATAATCCAGTCTGAAGCTTTTTCTGGATGTTCTGGAAGAATCGCTGCCCCGGGAACCTTGACTAGAATTTTGCCGTTTCCGTACTGCTTCTTTAGGATTCTGATCGCAAGGAGACAAAGGCTGCTCTTCGTCCATATCTTTTGGCGAAGAACTAAAAAGAAATATATAAAAGTTTATCTTTTTTTAGCTGAAATATTTTTAATGCCCAAAACAATGTCCCCAGAATAATCCTGTCAGCTCCTCTTCCATCTTTCTGTACAAAGAATGCACAAAGAACTTGTTTTAGCAAGCAGGTGTGGCAAGATTTTTGCGATTCAGGCAGAATCTTGCTCTTTGCTATGCACAGCATCAGACTCTTGAGTTCCTGCATGTTAGGAGGGGATGGTCTGTCCTTCTTCCAGAAATTGATTCTAACACTCCTGAAGCTCACAATCTGTGCAGTTAGATTTAGCAAGTTCATTCCTAAGACACATCAACCAAACAGGCAATAACTTTGCATCCAACAGCACTCTGCATTTTCATCTGCACTGACAAGCAGGGATCCTTGACCAGGGCTAGGATGGTGGGGAGGAGAAAACCACGGGTGAGAGCAGAGAAAGAGAGATTAACCAGAAGCAGGATGTCCTAAATCAGCTTCCCCGTGGATGTGGTGCTTTAAACTGATGGGTACTTTCCATCACACTTTAGGGAGAGGATGCAAGGAATGATAAACAGCAATGATATCTGGAAACAACAAGGTTATTCCTACCAAGATGAATCATCTTTCCCTTGACAGTGAGTAATAGTTATCGTTTGCAAAGGACCTCAAACCTACCACACAGGGGCACTACATTTGCACCTACTATTTCGGACTTTAGATTTCAAAATCCAGACTTAAAATACTTTGAACACTGGGGATTGTAAGTGCTTTCCAGCTGCACTCTGAACTTCTGTCAGAAATGCTTGATTAAAATGAACTCTTTGGTCCCCTATTAAGATCACAGCAAACAGTGGCTTGGTTGCTAATCCGGCTACTTACACCTGAAAGGGCAGGTGAGGTCCCAAGAGCTCTGTATAGTTGAAACAATTAATGATCAGTCGTCAAGAGACAGGTGTCTATTAAGCTCTGAAGTGTACATTAGAACAGAGGTATCAAACTCTCTTTTTTAAGTCATAAGAACTGGGGACTGAAGACCCTTTGCATTGTAGGTTGGTTAAGGGGAGACTTCAAAACTAGCGGGGGAAACTGGGATGGGTAAATAAAAGAAAACAGTGAACTGAGATGCATGGATTTTGGAAAACAGCATCAGGATGGTACGGAACTGAGTAAACGCAGAAGAAGAAATTGAGAACACCTCATGCAGTATCCAGGTGAGAGATGTAATGTGCTGTGAAAGGAGAAGCAGGAGGAAACAAAGTCTGGGGAATCAAGAGTAGTGAAATGTCTGGGTTTCAACCAAATTAATCAGCTACATTATACTTTCAAGGTTCCTATTACAGTTCCAGGGTTGCTACAAATATCCCTGTCCAGAATAATTCTTACATATAAACTAGCTTTCATACTGTTCTAGAGAGTGAGAACAGGCCTTCCATGTAGAGATAAATCAAACCTTAACTATACCTTTCCAGTACTAGGGCAGCTTGAACACAAATCACGTCCAGCGTAATTTGCAGTGTAGTCTACTGACACAGATTCAGCTTTTTTTATATCAAAGAATGTGCATCCTTTGATGTCAGTAAGGTAAGGCATGTATTCTTAGACTGCAATCCTATACAGTGTTACCTCGGGTTAAGTACTTAATTCGTTCTGGAGGTCCGTTCTTAACCTGAAACTGTTCTTAACCTGAAGCACCACTTTAGCTAATGGGGCCTCCTGCTGCTGCTGCACCGCCGGAGCACGATTTCTGTTCTCATCCTGAAGCAAAGTTCTTAACCCAAGGTAATATTTCTGGGTTAGCGGAGTCTAACCTGAAGCGTATGTCACCTGAAGCGTATGTAACCCGAGGTACCACTGTACCCAGTTCGGAAGCCCCACTCAACTCAGTGAGATATGTTTAGCACTGCACTGCTGATTTAAGAAATCTGGTTCCACCACTGAGCGCCATCTAAACTAGAGTTCAGTTAACAGCTATGATTCTTCTCATACAGTACAGTACTTACCAGCTTGGGTGAATAACTGGATTTGTCATAATTCACGATCATTTTGCTATTAACCTTAAGACTGTGTTGGTGCAAAATTTAAGCAGAAAGAAAAGAAGTGAAGAATCAATGTTAAGAAGTAATACACTTTAGTATTTTGAGCCTTCCCTCACCACCTGCTCAAGATTTCCTGCTGCTGTAGAGGCAGCCTTTTGCTGGGAAGTGAAATTGTGATGTCATGGGCCGGTGACAGCTCAGGTGAGGAGAGGGCTACAGCCACGTGGCTCCATTTCTAGTTATTCTGCAGCTTTGCTGAGACTTGTAAGGCATTAGTCGGTATTCTGCTCAAAAGAAATATATTTTCCTTAACACTTAATAGTACATCAGCACATCTAAAATGTAGACCATTCTTTCAAGCTTTTCTTGTAGCTATAAAGGCCTCTACCAGCTTATATATTCCCTTTGGCTCTTAACATGTATTTCTTTAAACAGCCCACTGCATGAAATCATTACACTACAATTCATTCCGGTTTTTTGGGATGCTGAGACAAGGCATGTCGTAGCCTCAGACACAGATGCCTGCCTCAGGGCTCCATAGTTGTTATTTTGCAAGTGCATAGTTTTAAAACAGGTTTTAATACTCCATGAAAATGGGACAGCTTGGCCATGCGCATACAGGGGCATGTGTGAGAGAAGGTGGGGCTTACCAGTGTACACCCCATCTTTTCATCCAGTAGGACCAGTTTTATACTTTTGCCTAGTGCTCCATATAAATTAGGCCTGCCACTGCAGCAGTCTGAATTCATGGATAAAAGATTGCTCTGATGAGTCCTCTGAAGGATGAAGGGAATGGAAGATATAATTTAAAGAGTTCCATCTGCTACCGGTATATAACTTCTACGTAGGGAAATAGACAAGAAAAAGGAATATACCACCATTTATGAAAGACAGAGGCTTTTCTATTTTGCCACTTGCTGAACAGCAGCATGCAAAGATGCAAAAGCCAAAGGGCTATGGTAACTGAGGAATATGAGCAGATTCATGCAATTTATGAATGCCAGTGTAAAGGTCAACAGCCCATGGTCTACACATCCCAAAGTTTTTTCTGTTCTGTAAATACAATGGTACTTGATCTCCCTACATACACACCAAGACAGTGACAAGTAGACCGTTTATTCTCTCAACATGAGATTGCCCCCCACCCTGAGGTGGCAAACTGACAGTAACTATATTTTAAGGACTCCAACTTATTGCAAGTCATGCATCCAGGTATTTCAGTCTCCTCCAGAGGCAGCAATATATTTTGCATCTCTTATGAAAAGCAAATATTGCAACCTGATACCTGAGAAAAAGCAACCACCCTGCTTCCTGTTACACCCTAGGTGTGTGTGGTCTAAAGGTGCGTGTTGGCTAATGGTAAATATGACTGATAACCCACATAGTATGTGTGTGAAAGGAATGCAGGTACCTTTGGACTGTGAAGAACTTAACACAGTACAGCTTTCTTTTCACTGAGACTCAGTGAACAGAGGTATAATATCAGCTACCATAAATATATAAATATATGACACACGAAGCTGAAAAAGAGATCTTCCTATAGGCCTTCAATTAAAATAATAAATATCGTAATCACTTTCATTTGAGAGTCAATGCAACATTTCCAAATATTCTCCCTCCTCCTGTTTCTAATGCTTTCATTTTGGAGAATAGCCCCCTTTTAAAATGAGATCGAAAGCAAAAGTTTATACAACTCATAGAGACAGATTAACAGTAGTGTTAAACTTCGAATTGTACAATGCCTAAACGGCAACCATGCACTCAGTTCTGCACACTGAAATCCCACTAAAATGCCAGCAGCTGCAGGACCATAGTCTTCGAGTTGTTGCAGATGTTTCTTTTATGAATATTTTCATTTTTCAATTAATACCTGAAGGGGGAACAGCAGGTCACAGCAGCAACTTGCAATTTAAAAAGCAGGATTCTGCCATTTTTATAATCACAGAAACTGCCCTGCAATTTCTTTGATGCCCTTCCAGAAGCTTCGTAGGGCATGAACATGCCACAGTTGGAGAAGGTCAGGTTTATATTCTGAATTGTTACTGTCAGTGCTTCCCCAATGGGCCAAAATGGAAAAAGCTCTGCCAGCAAGCGTGACTGAAAAACCAGCACTCAGCAGCTTCGCTTCTTTTTTAATACACAAAACAAGTCACCTTGAGACCCTGGCTAGCAAGAGAATCCTCAGAAGCAAAAGACGCATTGCTTGCTTTTGTTTTAAACTAATGTGAGAGGTCTAAAATAGACTCTGTGAAGGAAATGTCTCCAGCAACTTTAACCACTTAGGCTCTGACAGGCATAATGCATTTTCTTCCCCATCCTCTTCATTTTGTTGCTTTTTAGCGATGAAATTGCTTTAGGCATCAAGTGGAAAATACGTTGCAATTATGAATGCTGCTTTTAAAAAAACAATACTATGAAGCTTAACAGAAGGTTCAAGGCATTTGGAATGAAACACGGCCTGAGAAGAACATATGTTTAAAGAAGATTGGAAAACGTTTATAGAATATATGGGAAATAATTGTGTACAGCTGAAAACTCTGGCAGCATTAAGATAAAATCAACAGGGTAAATAAGTTTTGATGAATGCAATAATGGAATACTGAATGGTATAGTTTTTGTAAAATATGCAGGGATTTATGATCTGTAAAATGACCCATGGAAAGAGAAGGGAAGTCACTGATATCTTAAGGATGTAAAATGAGTATTTTAAATGGTAAAACAAATTTAATAAAAAATAGATAGATAGATAGATAGATAGATAGATATAGAAACACGGCCTGAGAATCTACTGCAGGCATAGGCAAATTCGGCCCTCCAGATGTTTTGGGACTACAACTCCCATCATCCCCAACCACTGGTCCTGTTAGCTAGGGGTGATGGGAGTTGTAGTCCCAAAACTTCTGGAGGGCCGAGTTTGCCTATGCCTGATCTACTGTGGAATCACATAGATCAAGGAACCTTTTAATAGAGGGGTCAGCAAACTTTTTCAGCAGGAGGCCAAGTCCACTGTCCCTCAGACCCATTGCTGTGACATTTTACATGGGACCTGTCAAGTCCACGTCTCATGAACTTACACACTGGGGGGAGATCCTAGCCATGGAGGGATGAAACTGAGGGTTCAGCTTACACAGGCAAGCGAGCAGGAATCCCTGCCTACAATCCACAGGGCAGCACCGGGAGGGACGGGCAGTTTGCATTACCACTGATCAGGGCCAGCCGAACCGGAAAGTGGCACTGCCCTTACCTTTCCAGGGGAAAAAGCATAATGAAGCTCTACACCAGGAGTGGGGGCAGCGGTGGAGTGTCAAATCAACCTTACCCAATGGTTGTAGTGGGAATCAAAGGCCATGGGGGGGTCGGGCACTCTGAATCACACTGGGCAGTAGAGAGCCCAGGCAACCCTAGAGTAGAGCTTTCCAAACTCTGTGTTGCGACACATTGGTGTGTCGTCTGCAGTGTGCAAGTGTGTGCTTCTCCCGGGGCTGGAAGGGGGTTAGTTCCACCTCCAGTTTGGTAGTAAAACTGAATTACTGTGTCGCGAAATGACGTGTGTCCCTGTGGATCCTGCTACCTGAGGCTTGTCTCCTCCCCATGTCTCATGGGTGGGCCGGCCCTGCCATTGCTCATCTATTTTGGAGCAAACTGTCCCGGTGCTCTATCATCTTTAAAGCATGTGCAGTGAGAAGGTTTTATACAGTCAACGGCAGGTATGAAAGATGGAGAGAGGCAGGGAGGGGGAGATGTCAAAATAGAAGCAGGGCACAGAGTGTACATGTATGATGACAGGCTTGAAAAAAGCAAAGGCAGAGAATGCTAGGAGGGAAATTCAACAACAGAAGCTGAGATTGCCCGGCCAAGGTAATACTGTGCTGAAAATCAACAGGAGCCTCATGATCTCTGTAGAAACTCATGAACCCACAATCGAAAGAAACATGAATCCCAAGAGAACAGAAGGAACTCCAAAGGCTAACTACAGTAGTCCAATCATGAATAGTGATCTTCCACATCCAAACAGCCATTCCCAATGGATTGGTGCAACGAATAACAAAACAACAAAACAATCTAGATTGTTGTTCTTCGCATGTAGGAGGAAACAAGGCTAAGCGTGCCAAGTGAGCTCATCGGGCAAATTTCCTTTAGAAACAAAATGCAGCAACTAAAGTAAACAGAATGTAGAACACCTTGCAAACACCTTGGCTCTTTGCAATCAGCCCAGCTGTCCAGGATCTCAGTCTCCAGCGGCAGTAACTCCTACAAGTTTTAGGGGCAGAACATTTTTTTTCTTGTCAATCGCAAGACAGCATATCAAAATTAAACAAAATCTCTCACTCATGCTCACAGTTTTAAAACTAAAAAGCTAGTAGTTCCTTTGATATTTATTTTGGAGGCTGTTACAGGACTTCATTCCTTTGAGAGTCAGAACCATTTTTCTGGTCGACACTTAAAATCTTTTTTGGGAGGAAGGGGGAATTATTTTATTAAGTTTGAGAAACACTACTGAAGGTTGTCTTTGAGGAAGGTGCATAGCTCTTTTCGCATTAAAACATATATACAAATGGCAAACAGTATAATTTGAACATACCCCAATTAACTAATCCTTTTATATCAAGTCCAGGAACCTTTACTTCTTTGCATTTAGATTCAGGTAGGTAGCTGTGTTGGTCTGACGCAGTTGAAATACATAAAAAAAATAAAAAAATTGTCCAGTAGCACCTTAGAGACCAACTAAGTTTGTTCTTGGTATAAGCTTACATGTGCATGCGCACTTCTTCAGATACACTGAAACAGAAGTCACCAGACCCTTATATATAGTGGGAGGGTGGGGTGGGGTTTTTCTCAGCAGGGTAGTAGGAAATGGGTGATTGAGTCAATGGGTATGGTAAACCTGTTGACGACTGTTAACGACTGCAATTAGTTCTACAGGAAAAAGCAAGGGATAGTATGCAGATGATTAGCGTATGTAATGAGACAGGCATCCAATATCTCTATTAAAAAGGTAAAGAGACCCCTGAGCGTTAGGTCCAGTCGCGGACGGCTCTGGGGTTGTGGCACTCATCTCGCTTTATTGGCTGAAGGAGCTGGCGTACAGCTTCCGGGTCATGTGGCCAGCATGACTAAGCTCGCTTCTGGAGAACCAGAGCAGCGCACGGAAACACCTTTTACCTTCCTGCCAGAGCAGTACCTATTTATCTACTTGCATTTTGACGTGCTTTCGAACTGCTAGGTGGGCAGGAGCAGGGACCGAGCAACAATAGCTCACCCTATTGCGAGGATTCGAACCGCAGACCTTCTGATCGGCAATCCCTAGGCTCTGTGGTTTAGACCACAGCACCACCCGTGTCCGGTAGCATCTCTATTAAGATCTGTCTTAATAGGATTCCTGTCTCATTACATACTAATTGCAGTTGTTAACAGTCTTCAACAGGTTTACCATACCCACTGAGTCAATCACCCATCTTCTACTACCCTTCTGAGAAAAACCCCACCCCACCCTCCCACTATATATAAGGGTCTGGTAACTTCTGTTTCAGTGTATCTGAAGAAGTGTGCATGCACATGAAAGCTTATACCAAGACCAAACTTAGTTGGTCTCTAAGGTGCTACTGGACAATTTTTTAATTTTTTTATATATTCCTTTGCATTTAGTTGCCCAGCATACAAAGAACAGAAACAAATCAGACTCACATTAAACAACATACTACTTTTTTACACCAGCGTTTATTGATACTATTTAAGAGTGATTGCTAGCAAGCTGTCCAGCATATGCAACACAAGACACATTAAATAATAGGGCCAGTTGCCAGACATTGAAACATATTTCTGCAGAACACAGTTCATTTTTAAATACTCCAGATTATTTTAGGCTGATCCCTACTGAAGATCTGCACCTACAACAAATATCATTCCACAGGATATTGTTTTTATGTGCAAACGTTAAATAAGAAATCAGTGCTGCAAGGCATACAAATTTGGAAGAGAGGGATTATATAACATGCTTTTTGAAGACTGCTGCAGCGCATTTCCATCTCAATGAGGGAGAAGGCTAGGAGTATAGCAACTGAACTGATCTGCCTGGCTTTCACTCTCCAGTCCAGTCTGATTCACCAGCTAAAAATGAGACAGATCTTCCCAGGGGAAGACGGGGTTGGACACAATGTATGCTAATATCTCAATTGGACATAATCTATTTTCTTTGTAGTCCTTACAAGAATCCCTCAAAGTGGTTGCCCATTCATAGAAATCTGCAAAATGAACAACTGAATTGTAAAATATTACTATTAAACTGTCACAAGCCCTAACGTGGCCCTTAAAGAGGTCCAAGACATGATGAGGCACAGCTCAAATTAAGCCCCAGATGGCAAAGAGAGAGACTTTAGCAACTGTCTTCAGTACACTGTCTTCCAATTCTAAAAAACACTAACGATTTGCAGTTATAGTCACCTGATTTTCACAGACCGCAGCAGCAATCCCTTAATTCATCCCTGGTAAATACAAATAACAGAGATCCATAAATGCTGAATTAAAGGGTGACAAAGGTTTAACTATTTGCTATTTCTAAAACACAAAGATTGCTATACCTGCTTGTAAAGAATAGGCGCCATCTGCAAACCGCCTTCCAATGTGATAGCAAGTTACATGCTGATTTGCCATGTACCTCAACTGCATTCCATTTAAACTGACAGTGTGGGAGGCCCTCACTCAGACAATGTGTTAGTCATTTGCACAGTATGTCCAAAGAACTTCAGCAAGGGCTTGATACTACAACAGATGGCTGGGAAGTGACAAGACACACGTAAATCATGGGCGGCAGCAGCCCCATCCACAACCCAGTAAAGACAAGAATATCAATTTAGCCCATTTGCAAAAGTGGTGCATAAATCAGTTTTTGCACATCTACCGTTTGCAATTCTCATAAAAAGTAGCTCTTAGTTTTTGAGACTATCATTTAAATGGAAAACCTGCAGGCACTTCCACACAAAAAGATTTAAGCATATCTTTCATTTGAAAGAAAGAATGAGCATACATTTCATTTCTCTCTTCAGTCTAGCTAGCCCGCATGAACATCCAGATGTTGCACAAATGCACAAGCTGCTTAAATGCCCTTTTTCAGTTGTGGAAAAGAGCCCCAATGCATAGGAGGCTTAATTTAAAATCATCTCACTTCCAGGTTCTATTCCATATGATCCACATTCACAAGTGACATATTTCGTAAGGGAAGGCTTTTGCGATGCTGGATCCAATGCGTTGCTGGATCAGGGACTCCAACGGGACTCCAGCAAATTGCACCCGCGGCCAGACCCACCTGATCGAAGCTTCCTCAGAAGGAAGTCCCACAGAAGGCAACAACTCCTGCACAGCCCTATATGCGTCTACTCAGAAGCAGGGACACAGGGTTTGCCCTTAGGTAAGCAATAGAGAGGATTGCAGCCTTAGACCACAACTGCGCGGCCGGAGAGCGATGTTCGCCTCAGCCAAGCCGGCTCCTCTCGGGGGGGGGCTGCGAAATAATCGCGGCGCGAAATCGCCTTCGCAAAATCCCGAGTTATTCTAGCAGCCGGCGGAGGTGCATGCCCACTGCGGGAGGAGGAGGGGCTGCTTCTCGCAGGCGAAAGGAAAGGAAAGAAATACGTTTCATGTGGTATTCGGCGCGAGCAAAGCGGGCTGCGGATCCCGCCCCCCCCCCCGCCAGCCTTAGAAATGTGAATAAATCCACCCGGGAAGCGGCGCTGGCGCTCCTCACCTCCCCTGAGGCGTTTCTTCCTCCTCGTCGTCCATGACGGGGCTGCTGCTGCTGCTGCCGCGCTTTCTGCCCGGTTCCTGCTGCTGCTGCTGGCCCCAAAGGCCTCGAGGCTGCCGGCCCTCCTTGGCCGCTGCCGGGCTCGCCGAGGGGGAAATGAGCGCGAGGCCGGAGCTCCACAGCGCCCTGCGCCTCACCATGGGACGCCCAGCAGCGCCGCTGCCGCCGCGCCTTCCCCGGGCCCGGTTTCCCGGCCCACCCGAGCTCGCGACCGCCCTCTCCCACGCCGGAGAGGAACTGCTGCCCTCCTCGAGCTCCACGACTGGTCCAGCTCTACCTCTCTTTCAAATCAGAACCAGTGAAGGCGGTGAAGGTCCTGTGTGAGTGCCTGGAGGCGGTTGGAGGATGGATGGCAGCTAATGGATTGAAGTTGAATCCTGACAAGACAGAAGTACTGTTTTTGGGGGACAGGGGGCGGGCGGGTGTGGAGGACTCCCTGGTCCTGAATAGGGTAACGGTGCCCCTGAAGGACCAGGTGCGCAGCCTGGGAGTCATTTTGGACTCACAGCTGTCCATGGAGGCGCAGGTCAATTCTGTATCCAGGGCAGCTGTCTACCAACTCCACCTGGTACGCAGGCTGAGACCCTACCTGCCCGCGGACTGTCTCACCAGAGTGGTGTATGCTCTAGTTATCTCCCACTTGGACTACTGCAATGCGCTCTACGTGGGGCTACCTTTGAAGGTGACCCGGAAACTACAACTAATCCAGAATGCGGCAGCTAGACTGGTGACTGGGGGCGGCCGCCGAGACCACACAACACCGGTCTTGAAAGACCTACATTGGCTCCCAGTACGTTTCCGAGCACAATTCAAAGTGTTGGTGTTGACCTTTAAAGCCCTAAACGGCCTCGGTCCAGTATACCTGAAGGAGCGTCTCCACCCCCATCGTTCTGCCCGGACGCTGAGATCCCACGCCGAGGGCCTTCTGGCGGTTCCCTCATTGCTAGAAGCAAAGCTACAGGGAACCAGGCAGAGGGCCTTCTCGGTAGTGGCGCCCGCCCTGTGGAACGCCCTCCCATCAGATGTCAAAGCAATAAATAACAACCTGACATTTAGAAGGCATCTTAAGGCAGCCCTGTTCAGGGAAGCTTTTAATCTGTGATATTTTACTGTATTTTTTGTTTCTATGGAAGCCGCCCAGAGTGGCTGGGGAAACCCAGCCAGATGGGCGGGGTACAAATAATAAATTATTATTATTATTATTATTATTGGTTGTGAAGCCCTTCCCCACAGGACTGGGGCACGAAGGGGGCGCGGGGTGGCACCCGGGGCAGCTCACGGCCGCCAGGCAGAGGAAGGACCTGCCACGTGGAAGTGTCCGGCCATATTCACTCAGGTGGCCCACTTCTTCTGCACATCTGCTTTAGGTCTACTTGCGGGGAATTTTGAGTGTGGTGGACACCGCACCTCTGCTGGGGGACGCATCATGTTTAGAGATGGGAAGGCCTGGAAAAAAATAGGGAAAATAGGGGGAGAAACAGGTCCCCCCCATTTCCCCCACAACTTTTATTGTTTTTTCCCCAGGCCTTCCCATCTCTAAATGCTCCTCCTGGAGCAGATTGTCCACCTTTGGTCTTGTGTGCTAATCAGGCACAAGTGACAAATTCCCTTTATATGCGGTTTCTTGTTTTAGCACCCTGGGGACCAGAAGTCCCATCCATTTATGGTAGTGCATAAAATTCTTAATCTCTCTTTTTTTTTTAATGATATTTATTAAAATTTCAGAGGGAAAAAAAGAATTACAGAAAAACGAAGAGTAAAAATACAAGAAAAATACAAAATACAGAATAAAAGAATAAAAGACACTTAAAAAGAAAAATGGGTCAATCTTTCCATAGCTTACATTCATATCCTTGTTTCCCTGACCTCCCTTTTTTGTATTCCAGTTCAATTAGTTAAGTCAGCAATTTCTTTCCCTCTTTGTTTTCTCATGATCCTTTAACTTAATATACTATAACTTTAAATTTTCATCAGTTATCAATCCTTTTTTACATACACCTTTATAGCATTACTGTTTAAACCACCTAGCTTCATTCCAACATCATTCTAACATTCATTAATTTTGCAATATTTCTGTAAATAGTCTTTAAATTCATAAAATTCTTAATCTCAGGGTTGTGGATTTGAGCCCCATGTTGGGCAAATGATTCCTGCATTGCAGAGGGTTGGACTAGATGACCCTTGTGGCCCCTTCCAACTCTACAAATCTATGATTCCATGTTGTGAGCCCTGTAAAACAGCACTGGTTCCCACTGTCACTGGGATCTCAGCGTCCCTCTTTATTATAAAATGTGTCTGTCCTGCTGCTGGTTAGATACCATATTGTATTGGCTTGTTCTACCTGTCCATAGAAAATAACAGCAGAAAGAACTAAATGACAGTGTGATGTAATTATTCACACAGGGATCTATCCATCTCTCACACTGCAAATCCTTGAGTTTCCAATATAATCTTTCTCTCCATCTGGGGTCCAGAAGCTCACTTTTCAGTATGTTTTAACACCATTTCTTTGTTCCAGAAAATCTCACAAGATCTGAATTCCACATATTGATAAAGGGCAATACATTTGTATACGTACCCTCAAGCATGATCTACAATTTAAACTCTTTTTTAATCATGGCAATAAGCTCCCATAAACAATCAGGGCCAAGAAAAATGTATGTGTATATCCTCTTTCTCCTCTGTCCCACCAGCATACTTGGGCCCCAATGACTTCAGGCAAAATGTGTGGACTAGCTTGATAGATGCAAGCATAGTTTTCAAATCCAAGTGGTGCAATGCTTTTATATCTGTTGTTTCATCTATGAAATCTCATTTACTCATGCAAGTCATCATATGATATTAGTTATTAAGTGAGTAACTTTTATGTGTAAAACCAGTCCATGACCACTGAAAGAACTTTGTCCCTGCTAAAAGATAGGGGGAAAATTTTTGCCTTTTTTTTTTTTTTGGCCTATTATGAAAGCACTAATGGCACATGATTCCTGCCAAAATGATAGTTCATAAACTTTGGGTGCTTCTAGGCTGTTGCTGTTTTCAGGTATGGCTCAATCAACTACCATCAAATTCAGGTTGTGCAATTAAAGTTGATTGGGAGGTCATATTCCCTCAAAAGACCAGACTTTTTGCAATAAGGAAAGTGACAGGAAAATGCAGGGGATAACACTTGCTTTGATGCAACATTATCTAGCTTCTCTGCAAAGAAATCGGAGTGAATGCTCATTAAATAATCAACATCATTAATCTCACTGAAAACAAATCAGGATAAAAAATAAGCAGGTTTTCTGGAAGTAACCTTAAAGTCTACACCCATTTTTACTCAATCCTGTGGCGATAGGCAAAGCCCGCCTTGCCTGTATTGGTTCACACTGGCCCATGAAGAACTCATTATGTGGCACATGGTGACCTTAAGCTTTGGGGACCCTGCAGCAAAAGTCACTTTTAAAATATTTGTGATTGTGTGTCAAAACAACCTGAAACTGGACTGTATCTTGAAGTGGTAAGACTTTTCTATCTATCTATCTATCTATCTAATATTGCTTACTTGAAATAAAAGTTCTTAAGTAGTTCCCAAGGTAAAAAGGTAAAGGACCCCTGGATGGTCAAGTCCAGTCAAAGGCGACTATGGGATTTGGCGTTCATCTCGCTTTCAGGCCAAGGGAGTCGGCGGTTGTCCACAGACAGCTTTCCGGGTCATGTGGCCAGCATGACTAAACCACTTCTGTCACAACAGAACACTGTGATGGAAGCCAGAGCGCACAGAAATGCCGTTTACCTTCCTGCCACAGCAGTACCTATTTATCTACTTGCACTGATGTGCTTTCAAACTGCTAGGTTGGCAGAAGCTGGGACAGAGCAACGGGAGCTCACCACCGTCATGTGGATTCAAACCGCCAACCTTCCGAACGGCAAGCCCAAGAGGCTCAGTGGCACCACCCCTGAGTTTACAAGTAACTATATGGCACAATATAATCATCTATCACAGATTACTCACTCCTTATTTCTTGAACCACCTGACACATAAAACATTCCTAATTCCAGACATCATAAAATATAAACTTAAGCACACTGGAATCCTTCAAATCTAAAATAGCCATTTGAGAGTTCTAGTTTCAGCTTCAATGTTCTGCTCTAGGTTTCTGCAACTGCTTAACTGCAAGGGAGTATGTGGCACTCATTAATTGCATGAATTAAACATAATCAACATGTTCAGTACACAGTGCCAGCTGTCTAGAGTTTGGGGGTGACATAGTAGAACCGCAATTAAATCTCTGCTATTGATTAATATATAATCTTTAACATTTGAAGACTAGAAACACAGTAATCAGTAAAATTATCACCATGTTAATATGCAGATTTTACAAATTCCCAAGGGTGTTTTTATTCTTTTTAACTGAAACATTTAGAGGGATTTACATTTGGGGAGAAAACAAGACAGAATGCATCAATAGGTATAACAAAGAATAAGGAGGAGATAAACGGTTGAGATCCAAATATATCTATGTAGATAGTTAAAATAATGACGCTTTTTAAATTATGCAGTATTAATCATATGCCATCAGGAAACCTTATTGAAAGTAGTGATAATGAGAACTAACCTGTTTCACTTGCATGTATTTAATTAATCCTAAATTTATTTTAGAAAAAATAAAATGCTTATTTGCATTTATACTCCCACTAATCCAATGGATAATTTATTTGAAACACTCTTCATGTCTGCATTCTGTGTTTTGTTTTGTTTTTAAACAAATGAGGTTTTCTTTTGCTATAGCAAAAACAGAATACAGCTAAATGAAAAATAACAGTCATGTATGGTTAATCACTACTTGTGTTTAACATTAATAGTGATAGATTCCTAGAAAATGATACCAAAAGTTGTACATTTGGTAAGAAAACATGGTGTCTCGAGGACATTCTCCTGATTTTTTCTTTTCTGTAACCAAGAGTGTGACTGAAAAGGAAAGTCGGGAGGGTCTCTCTGTTCTAATCCCCTCTGAGCTACTGACATGCTTGGGCAATTTATTGAGCCACTTGGGTACAATTTATCCTTGGTGCCTTTCAACTGATTACAATGGAGTTAGTCCAGGAATATATTTGTGCTCTTTTGCTTCAGTTTGTATTAAGACATTAAATAAAAGACAGAAAACTCAAAAGTAACAGAAAAACGACTTTTGAACAGGTTACATTTCACAATTTTAAAGTGTATAAACTTTAAAACAATTTATTATTCCACAAATACAATTTTGTAAACTTCTCTTGTGTACCACCTCCCACCCCCCAATGGGGCTCATAGAGGAGGCTTTGGTTTTGTATACATTACTGGTGCAAAATGCAGCTAGGTCATTCTTTTTATCAATTTGGATTGAAGCAGAATTGGGGGGAAATGCATCAGAATGCAGTATTTCATAAGAAAGATAAGGATAGCTGTAGTTTGCAACTAATGTTGTGGGTACACCAACTCTCAAGCCAGCAGCATAAACACACTGGATGTGTAGTAAAGGGGAGTGTATACACAGCCTTTAGCAGTGGAGTTGCCCAGATATTCTTAAGAAAATTGCAGAATATACAACAAAAACTGCTGCTTGCCTTCTATCACTGTGCCATTGAGAGCGTGCTCACTTATGGCTTATGTGTGTGGTACGGAAGCTGTACTACCCAGGACAGGATGGGGTTGTGCAGGGTTGTTAAGGCAGCAGAGAGCATTGTTGGCTGCCCACTCTCCACCTTAGAGCAGATTTATGCCACAAGGTGCCATAGGAAGGCACTGGACATAGTAAAGGATCCATCGCATCCTGGTCACTGTCTCTTCGAGCTCTTGCCGTCGGGACGGAGATACAGGACAATGAAGACAAGAACGAGCCATCTTAAGAACAGCTTCTTCTCCAGAGCGATCTCGGCCCTGAATGGGAAGCCTGGACTTTGAAAGTCATCTAATCTCCCTTGCTGTATTATACTGTATTGATTAATTAGAGTTTTTATGGAGCAGTCAAGTAATTTCGTTGTCCCCGAAGGGGGCAATGACAATAAAGATATTATTATTATTATTATTATTATTATTATTATTATTATTATTAAAATGTCTTTTTGATATATGTTTAAAGAACTCTTTGATTCAGTCAACTATTCATTTCATGCTAATTTATATGCTTTATCCTCCAGTCTCAGAAAATTTGAGTTCAGGCAGGTTGAAGAAGTATTGCGTATAATTTACAACACAATTAGTTGTGAGCAGCCAGAGTGACCCATCTCACCAAAATTACTTAGAACGATACTGCACATTTTGCTCCGTGCTGTTCTTTCTAGCAGGGCTATAAACATATTCTAATTGTTGGCAGCCCTGCACAAACACACTCAAAAACAGGAAGCAGGAGAAGAGGTGGAGGCTACAATGAGATAGGATAGGGAACAGAATGTATCTTTCCCAGGCCCTAAAATGGATGAATCCCAAGCCGGAATTAAGATTGCCAGAAAAAATATCAACAACCTCAGATATGCAGATGACACAACCTTGATGGCAGAAAATGAGGAGGAATTAAAGAATCT